ATCCTGTGTGGGGACCATTTTGTGATGGAGCCCACAGCAGCAAATTCCCAAACGTGCTCCTGGTTACAAAAAGGTCGTGGTTGACATGTCATTCTCCAAATTAATGAACTTTGCATTCACATTCTCTCAAGAATGCAGTCTTTCTATGTATCCACCTTTCTCTTGCATCACCTGGCACATATCGCAGCTGTGTCACACACACGCCCATGTGTTTAGTAGGACTCGGGAGCAGTAAGAACCTGCCTGATGGTTTCTAGTGCACTCACAGGCAAATTTTGGAATTAGGTATTTCTAGCCCAATGCAAGCTGTGGTAGTTTCCTATGCATATATTACGTCAAAGTATGTAAGCAGGTTTGGCAGAGTTTGTGACCAGGGCAAATACAAAGATGCCCACAACTGAGTGTTCAGTATCCCCTTTAGAGGTTTTGTGTTTGCCACTTGGGGGTGGAGTTGATTGGAATTTGGAGGAAATGTATTGGTGAACACAGTTTGTGCTAGACAAAAGTCACTGTCCAAGTATACTTTTGCATTCAGCGATACTTGAAAGGCTCGCCCGCCCAAGTCGCAGAGCAATGCGTTATAAGAACAGAGGGCTCTTCTAGAAGTGGGGAGTATGAAAGAATGTAAACCATTGACAGCAGGGGTCCTCAAACGTTTTCAATGGGGCCAGTTGAATGGTGGCGGCAGCGGCAGGCGTGCCTGGCAAGGCGGCAGCTTGCTCACTCAGAGATCTCCGAGCGAGTCCAAAACGATCTCCAAGAATCAGGCGGTGGCGAGCATCTGTGTGGCGAGGTGGGCAGCAGCAGCGAATGCGGGGAGTCCGAAACCTCTGAGGGGGGCCGGATAAGTGGGCATGGCAGTCCGGATCCGGCCTGGGGGCCACAGTTTGAGAACCCATGATCTAGAGGGCCATGTGGCTACAAGACTGTACAAAAGTGCTAAATAAATAAATCTTAAGCAAAACACTGACTTTGCTGTACATTGAAGATTCCTTCCTGGCTCATCAGCTGAACAGGCAGTCATTCACACAATAAACACTACATCTCCTTGCAAGGTTGTGTTACAGTAGTGAAGCTGAGCTATAATTTAGTTGGCTCATCTTTAATTATACCATTTTCTTTCCTGGCCTCAGATAACTTAGGCAATCAGATTGAATGTGTTTTCTTCTCAGATTTAAAATAATATTTTTATCTCTTGATTAAGCTATGGAATTTGTTGATGCTGGAAAACTAACACAGGGTAACATACATTTTTGGTATAACATGAGTCTTGGCAGTCTTCAGTTTTTGTCAGGACTATATAAATACACGATTTCAATTGCAGGAAACTGCCTGAACTGAATAGGAATTGTAAATGCTTTACTAAAGAATGGTTTGTGGCCTAGCACTTTCTCAAAGCATTTGAAAATAAGGAGTATTTTATGTGGAAAGCACCAAGATAAAAAAATGGTACATGGACACATGGGAAAAACAATAATGAAACTAGAACTGTTCCTACTCTTTCTGATGCAGCCATTCTCAGTGCTCAAAACCAAAGCCACAAATACTGGAAACAGCTTCTCTCTTCAATAATGGAAATAGAAAACAACATTCGAGCTGCTTGTGCAGATTTGACTTTTGCCTCTGCTGCAGTTTCCAATTGCTTCTTGATCTGCCCTTGCTCTGCTGCAAAACAAACAGCCAGTGGTTATCACCCCATCTATCCTCTATTTCTAATTATAACATCAGAAACTATATTATACCATGTCCATCTAGTCCAGTGCCGACAACACTGACTGGCAGCAGCACTCGGGGGTTTCAAGGAGGCATTTATCCTGCCTTCCCTGGAGATGCGGTCAATCAGTCCAGGGACCTTTTGCATACACAGCCAGTGTTCTGCCACTGAATTAGGACCCTTTCCAAAAAGGATGCTTGTCACTCCGTAGCTGCCAATCAGGGAAACCTATGCATGGGGCACTTGGCATGGATACCAAGAGGAACCAAGGGGCTTGCACCTCGGGAGTATTTCATTTTTAATACATGTATTCGTTTAAATCAATTCAAATACCTGTTTGAAGCCTGCAGTCCCCTGTTCAGTTACTAGGGGGCAGGCTTTCCCAAGCAGCATGTAGCCTGGGGGTCCAGTGCATACAGTTCGAAGCAGCAGGAAGGAAGGAGCAATCGAAAGGACAAATGTGTAATGACTCCCCCCCCCCCAGCTCTGGTGAAGACACCCCCCCAGCAATGGAATGGACAGACCTCCCCCTCAGAGGGCAATGGGGCTGTGCCTCCGTCCTGTGTTAATTGCTCTCTGTACTGCCTAATACCTAGACCAGGGATGGCCGATTTGGAGCCATTAAGAGGCAATCAGTGCATATCCCCACAGCGGCTACATTTATTCATTTATTTAATTTATTTATTAAAAAGTTTCTATGCCGCCCCATTCGCTGAAGCCTCGGGGCGGCTCACAACATAAGATAAAGTACAAAAATAACAATATAAAAATACCAATATAAAATAAATAATATAAAAGAAGTCGCCCTGGCCAGATAAAAGCAAATACTGTTAACAGTTAAAATGACGCTTAAATAAAAAGGTCTTCGCCTGGTGCCGAAAAACAAATGACGGCGCCAGGCGGACCTCTCTGGGGAAAGAAAGAAAGAAAGACCTGCAGTTCAAGCACTGCAGCGGCCATACTTAGCTTAGGAACAAGATGAAGTTGGCTCCAGTACGTTCAGAAGCCAGAAATGCTGGCCTGCAGGAGCAGTGGGGAGAGGCACGTGCAGTCCACGGACCACCTGCTATCTGTCCCTGACCTGGGCCACAGAGGGCAATAACTAACAACAACAACACTATCCTTGGTCAGGGATGTGCTGTAGAGCCAGGCTGGCTTGCCATATAGTGCCGTTTGCTGCTTTTCTTCCTCTGCCTAGCCCTGCCAAAAAGGCTCTTAAGCTGAACGGCAATCCAGAGTGACCCGTGTCTACAGTCGCTATCCAGGCCGTAGAGAATACTTCTCATTTGTTTGAATGCTGGTTTCAGAAGCTACATAATGGTGCTGTTTGTTTGTGTTTCATTTCTATACTGCCCAATAAGCCAAGCTCTCTGGGCAGCTCACAACGATTAATCAAATGGGGAAAGCTCTGCAACGGAATAGAGGCGTCTAGTCCAGTCACCTGCTGATGAGGAAACCTGCTGTCGCAGCTTTTGTGATAGATGGCTGTACAAGTGCCTGCTTCAAAGTCTTTTTTGGGTCCTACCTTGCTGAGCTACAGAAGACAAGTTTGCTGCATTAGCTTTGTGAGATCCCTTCACATATGTGAAGAGAAGAGCCAAAATGATGAAATGGTTGGAGCAAAGACTCTATGACAGGGGTCTCAAACTCGCGGCCTACGGGCCAATTGCCAGGCCGAGTGGGGCACGGGGGAGGGGCCCTGCGGTCTTCAAAGCGCCAGCGGCGCCTGGGCCAGCCTCCGGGAGCCACGCGGGATGAGCGGCCCCCCACCACCGCGGTGGTGGGATACTTGATGCGGCCCAGCCTCACCCAGACTCTACTTCCAGTGGCCCCCAGGTAAGTTGAATTTGAGACCCCTGCTCTATGAGGAAAGGAAACATTGTCTGGTCTGTTTAGCTAGGAGAGTCAAGAAGACATCATAGAGGTGTACAAATAGGAGAGTGTGAAGAAAGGGGAGAGAGCACCCACTTGTGAAAAGCGGCTCTAATGCAAGAGTGGCCAGGAAGTAGACCTCCAGATGTCTGAGCCTTAAATTTCCAGATGTCTCTCCCACGTCCCCAGTGGTCGGGATTGCTGGGAGTTGCCATCCTAAGCACCTAGTGATCTGTTTCCTGCCCACCCATGCTGTGAATACTCCCAAGATCCAGGACCCTGGCTGAAGCCAAGGGAGCCTGGAGCTGGCTAAGATGGCAGCCCTTTTGTGATCTCTGTGTATATAATGCCTTGAGCTCAGCGATCGAAGAAAGACAGCAGATAAATGCAATGCACGCAAAATAACTTTTGAGAGTTTGATTTCTCTGGACAGCCAATCCACCATGCTATACCACAAATTATTTCTGGACCGAGCCACCCTAGTTTCACAAATAATCTGCTGTTACATGAAGGGACTGCACTTCAAGAAACCCATGTGCCCAAACCCATGTGTCCAAAGTCCTGGGTTTGAAAGACCAGCTGTAGTGGCAGTGGGGTTAGATCCTGGCCGTTACATTCCCAATGCACACACATACCAAACGCATATTTTTAAACCATTGTAATTAGCAGTTGCTTTCTCCTAAATGTATAGTTGAGAAATTCTTCTATTTTCAGTGGTGAAAGGCATTTAGGGAGTTGGGAGTTTTTGCGTGCATTTGTGGTGATCTTGGCAACAAAGTTGACCCTTGAGTGATATATATTTTTATTGCAAAAGATGCTCAGGGAGGAGGCAAACCTCAGGGGATTAATCTAGCTGTCACCAGCATGCATTGAAAATAAAGAATTTTAGTGGAATGCTGGATTAATAATTTTTTTATGAGTCCCTTACATTTTTAAGTAAAAATAGCCACTTGCTTACAGAAGACAGTCAGGCTCTTAAATGGTAGTAGGACCCCCCCCCCCCGAAAGAATTGAATGATAGCACCATATGAATTTACCACCTGGATCGATATTACATCTAGTTCACCCATCAGTACCTTAGAATACTCCATTCCATGTTGATGGAAAAGTAGAGGATTTCCTTCCATCTGTTTGGAACTGATAGGAGAGAGGAAATCTATTGGTGTTCCTGTTTGGAGCAAAAGTTTTTTTTTTTTTCTTTCTCTAGGTCGTTTGTGTACCTCTATACGTTTTTTCCCTTTACAAGATCTGCTGACAATTCAGCAGATTCACAGCATGGAAATGCTTTTTCTCTGTTTTCATTTAACTTCTGGGTTTCTTGGATTCCGTCCTTAGTAGGCGGCGTTTTCTTACATAAACAGCATCCTCCACAAACCCCTTTAAGCACAGAGGTCTCTCCTGCAAGAGCATCACCATGAAGATTCCTGGCTTACTCTTTCTCTTCTTAGCAACCTTTTGGGTCTCTCCAGGGGAAGGGCAGAGCCAACAGGTAAGTTTTCCGGTTTGTTGGGTGCTGAAAGCTGCAGCCGTAGATGCAGAGAGAGCTTGGAAATCAGCTCCATTGAAGTTCAGTGAGAAAGTTTGCTTTGCTTCTCAATGAGCAGGCACAGGATCAGCCTGCATGTTAAATAGCCAACCGCATGGTTCAAAGGCCTATTATACTGCTGCAAAGTTTTACTTCCACTCTAAACCCAGAAAATAACCTCTGTGTAATCAAGCTTTACGGATTAATATCTACTTGTGTTGTATTTATTTACAAGGATTTATATGCCACTTGCATCTAAAGATATTTACAGCAGTCAGCATAAACCATAAAAACTGGCTATGGTTAGGGTTGATTAAAAAAAGTGCTCCCAATTAATTGGGCAACCAGGTTAACTGTTTTAATGAGCATGAAACAGCAGATGGCCAGCAGTGGGTCTCCTGCCTTCTCTCTCATAAGAGAAAGGCTTCTTCTAAAATGGTGCATGTTCTCACAAGCACATGTCAGCTAATCTGCAGTGGGCAAACTTCAGGCTTGTGCATCAACCTGAACATTAATTTAATTTGCAGCAGCTGGAACCTGGTGCAAAGGACATACACTTGAGAGTTGGAGAATTCTGTGCACACAGGTTTGTTCTGAATACTGGAACCGAACAAACCTCACAGTCCTTCTGTGTGATAATCAGTTCCCGGTTAGTGCAAACGTTCTTCATTTCAGGCATTTTACTTAGGTGGGAAGGTCTACTGTTAAAGAAGTGTCAGGAATCCTTTCTGATCTAATGCAGAGCACCCATATACCTACCAGTAGATACAGGTCCATCTTTTGCCATGCTGAGGTTACATTATGATTAAGCTTTATTGAGATCTCTTTCTTTTGGTGGCAACCTTTTGAGGATGGCTGGATGGACAGATATATAGGCAGAAAATGCAAAAATGAATTTTCATTTTCCTTAGTACTGATTCTGGGGGAAAGCACCTTGAAGGTGAGTTCATACAAAATGGGAAAAATAATGATTTGTTCATTCTATAAACAAGAAAAAACAAGGGAACACTTTTGTGTGCATATATGTGTACAAAACAGAAAATCTGGCCTGTTTTTTCTTGTTTTAAATATCGTGCACCTCCAAAATGTTAGTTTATAATACACATAGCTTAAGGCAAATCATCTTCTTGTAAATAGCGACTAAATGCAGTGTTTCCAGCTCCAAACTTGCTTGGCAAAGGTGCTCCACAACTCAAGCCACAAGCTGCAGGCCAGCAAGCAGGAAGAAAAAGGAGGCCAGTGACAAATTTGCAACAGGCAGATTTAGCAGTGTCTTTTGTCCCGTAAGAGGAGAATTGCTTCTGGAGCTTCAGTTTGCCTGACTGTTGACTGAAGTTGAATCAATGGCAAGGTTTGCATTATGAAAACATTGCAGGTTTTTCTAAATCTAGCTACAGTCTGAATGGGTGAAATGAAAAATTGGGCTAAGCGAATGGTAATTTTCATTTCCTTCAGCATGTGTGCACAATTCCTTTGATTTCCCTGGGAACTCATGTTTACAGCACCAACAATATATTGCATATCAAATGAAATCTGAAGGTTTACCTGGACTGTGAACTTCCTCTTGGAAAAAATAGAATGATGAACTGCTTAGATTTAACCAGTCGGTTGGTTCTTGTATTCCAACAATATTATTCATCAACACAATTTCGTATGTCCTTCGGTGAAGAACTAGCATCCTCAGGAATATGTTAGGTGCAAACACATATAAGAGAATCCCAGTGTACTTTTCCTTTTTTTGTTTTTAAAGAAAAGCAGCTTTAACAATGGGGAATTACGAGTTTTGGCCAAGGGTTAGCATACATGTTGAATCGCCACAAGTGAGGGGGACAATTTGCGTCAGAAAAACGGGAGACAAGGCAAAATAGACTTTCCTTGCACATACGCACAGGGGCTGTTCAGATATGAGGGTGGAATTTGGCAGCAATTAGTGGGTTAGTAAATTAACTTACAAATCATGGGGACACACTGCATGTAAGCCATTTCAGGTTTCTAGCGACTTGTGAGTGCTACATCCGTGAGTTCTTTTCAAGAGCAAGCTATGGATTAATTGACCCATGAATTGCCCGCAGACACCACAGTTATAGGCAGACAAGATTGTTGCTTCCTCTTTTTTTCTTTTTTCCTTTTGCTTACATCTGGGTTCTCTCCCTTAGCTCTTGGCAAAACGTAACTGTGTGGATGCAGTGAATCTGGAAAGATTCACCTTGATGAGCAAGCAGAGCCCTGTAGCCTGCAGGCTGCCATCACAAAATAGTCTCTGTGTGGCATCTATTTCTGGTGCACGATGCTGGGGTAGGTCAGGTTACTAGCACCCGACTGTTTTGGTAACTGTGTATCTGTGCAAAATGGAAGCTTTGACAGAGAAGGGTCTCTGCCTAAATATTTCATTGACACAGACGTACTGAGATATGCCAGTACTGATCCCGTGCAATCTTCACTGGGTTTTTCCCCACAGAGATGAGAGATTAGGATTCTCACTTGAAAACCTGAAAGCCAGTTTAGTTTGATTGTTTTCATCACGGCATGTACTTGGAAGAATAAATGGGTATTCTCATCTCATTTTCTAGCTAAGGTCCATGCGATGTAACCGAAAGTCTACCTTTACACAGAACACACCTTGTACTTCCTGTGCAATAGCTCCCAGGCTGTCATGTCCAACTGGAATGGTCAGAATGGCCCAGGGGGCAGGGAGATGCAGGTAAGCTGCTGTGACTTCTTTTCTTTTCTTTCAGACTGACGCATTCAGCACATTGCATGTGGCTCTCCTAAAGCTCGCTACTGTAGGACTGAGAAACAGAATAAGGGGTGGGGCTATGCAAATCAGAGAAGCGGGCTTGCATCTCATTGGCTGAGTTCACCAGGACCAAGGAGAAGGCTTGGCTCCCATTCCAGTGGTGTGCCAGAGTGGACCCTTCATCTTTTCCAGTACAAGGCAGCGGCTGCTCTTCACGCTTATAGGGAAACACCGCTCTTTCAAATGTCATCAAGATGGTAAAGCATGGGCTTGAAGCCCATCTCTGGATGACCTGATCCTCACTCATGGGCATCTAGAAGCTGTATGCGTATGCATACATTTCTTTTATTATATATTTTCATTGTCAGATTTCAGCAAAACAATCCCCCCACACACAAAAAGGAAAATAAATGTAGCTACATAGATTTGAATATATCATTTCAGTGCATGATTATGGAGTGTTTCTACATATATATGAAAATACAGCTTTCTAAGAATTATCCATAAAATTCAGAAAAAGCATATGAAATATCCATATAAGTCTCTAGATGTAAGTATTAGGTCCTGGTTTCACTCCATTCTAGGCTATGAGAATTTATTCCCCAATGTTGTAGTATCAGTCTTTTAGCTGCCAAAAGGTTATAGAGAATCCATCTGTGTGGACTTTGCATTAAATTCCATGAAACAAGCAGATAATGTAAGAGGGTATGTAGGTTGGTAGATACTAAAGAAGATTTCCCTACAAGGTTTATCTGTATACTAAGTTCTGCCTCCCAAAAATAGGCAGTTATTGAGCATTGCAAAATCCTATGATTAAGGAAGCACTAGCTGTGTTACACTTTGAGCGGTCAGCTGGTTTTGAAAAGAACTTATGAAGGAGGTGTTGTCCAATAGGCTGAGAACAAGAGTTCTGCTGAATAAAGTGAGATGCTAAAGTGGAACTCCAGTTGCTAGGCAAAATGGAGCAATCTGGTTCCCTTTTCCAATCTTCCTTATGGCCTGGTTTAGCATAGTGAGTATGCTAAACATTTATAGCCGGTGGCACGGAGGCACCACAGACATTATGTTTCTGTGAACAGAAGCCCTGAATGTCCAAGTAGCCCTTGTGGCATGTGGTACTTACTGAGGAATTTGTGTGTTTTGCCCAGTGCAAGAGAGAGATCAGGTCTTCATGTTTCCTGAGATGCTTCCCTCTCTTGGAATGTGTTACTAGTTACAACCTGATACCTGCATTACCCACTAGAGTCCAAACTGCTGACCATATGGGCACAACATCTAGTCTAATTTTTGGCCATTTTTTGTTTCTTCCCCAAGTCCTGTTTTTGTATCATCTACCCTAAAGAATATTTCTTGACAACTTGAAAGCTTATGCAGTCTTTTGTAGTACTTTGGTTGGTCCAAATCAAGGACTGGGATGGGGATACCACATGGATATTAAAAAAATAAAAATAAAAAAATCCACTCTTCAGGCAACAGACTCCCAGAATTGCTGAATAATGTAAGCCGATGCGTAATGCAAAATAAGCAGAGTAACCATTAAAACTGAAGTCTAAGAGGCAAATAAGAAGGTTTTCTTCTAGTGCTGGGAAATGGACAGACTGGGTGTCAAGCAACCACTGCAGAGACAGCATGTGAAGGGCAGGGTTCCCAGCCGAAGAGGCCCCATCTCATTCCTTTTGGCAGGGAAACCCACAGGAGAGCTTCTGAAGATGATGCTGAGCAAGTTCACGTGGAGGAATTTACTACCCTGGCAGTCAGAGTTCCCCAGGCTCTGGAGGCTAAAATTAAGCTTTTTGTATCATCCTTTGAAGTGTGCAAGGAACAGTCCAGCTGCTTTAAGACTGGTGAGAGGTGGTCTAAATCCCATTTAGCCTTCTACCTGCAGCATTTAAGGTAACCACAGTTTGCAAACTGTGTTCAAGGCAGGTTAAACCACCAAATAGCCCAACGTGGGGTGCTCTCAGTGTGGGTATTTCGAGAGCACAAAGCCCTACTCTTCTCCTTACAATCTTCCCCTTACAGCTGGTGTCAGTACAGGGAAAGGGCTGTTTTTAGCCAGGACCGCAGGACAGGCAGAAAAGCTTCTGCTCCCCTTCTGCATCGGCTGCAGTCTGGATCATGGTCAGACCACCTAGCTGCTGCTGGGGCCAGCCCAAGAAATGTTGTGGCCCGAGACCAAGCAGCGTACAACCCATCCCCTTCCTCCAGGTCAAGGTGTGTAACTCCCAAGGCTCGTGGGTAGCTCCAAGAAGTACCGAATAATTTTGACAGCTGAGGCAGAACATTCTGCCAGCATCTCTTTCCTCTCCCTGGCAATAAAGCACCTATCCTGCAAAACTGAATAATGAACACTTTGCTGCCTTTAATGACTCCTGAGATGACCCAAGGAGCTGCTGGAGGAGGCTGCCTTCGCCTAAAGCCACGGCTGGTGGCAGCCTTTGACTATTTTAAAAGCAGATGTCTTAACTGCAAAGCAGCCAGCCCTGGTCTGTCCCTTTGGGCCTGTGCTGAATATGCTGGGGCCACGTGTGCACACGGACACGGAAAGCTGGCTGATCAGGTGGAGTTATACACGATGGGAAGGGAACTGTTCGAGTTCACACTGTGAACTTTACATTTTGCAGAATAGGCCATGCCATGGACTGTAATAAATAATTCTAGGCTCAAAAAGGACAGCCTGAGTTACCAAAATCACACCTTAGAAGAAGAGTTACAGGGAAGGTGGAGAAACCCTTTCACTGTTGCACTGTTTTGGGAAAAAGCACATCTGGCTGAGTGCAAGGTCCCATCGGTCTCGGGATGAGTGGAGTGTTGTCCCATAACATGTTCCCCGCCCTGTCCTACATGGAGGGCATTTCATTTCATTTCATTGGTTCTGCCATGGGGCAGCCACCAGAGACAGAGGGTGTCCACAAGTCCAAGCTGACACTGCCACTAGCCCCTCTTGAGAAAACCAGCAGGGAACCAAGTCCCAGATTGTGTCTTGCAGTAAAGACTTGGTCAGATTTAGCTTCACTCAGCGTTTGAGGCATGAACAAATAATACAGTTTTGCTGGAACTTTTGTTCTGCACTAGCACTAGGAAATTTCCAGCAGAGGCATCCAGAGTAACTTGAATGCTTTCACTGGATTACACAAACATTTAGAGGAGCCTTCTGCTACCTGGTCCCCTCAGATGTGGTGGACAGCCATTCTCACCAGCAGCATAGACAGATGCCCTATACCACCACCACCACCACCACCACCACCATCATCTACAAACAGAGGGAGGGAGGGGAGGAGAAAGAGAGAGAGAGAGAGAGAATCAAAGATTGAGCCTGAAGGCCAAATGAAACATGCACAGTGGAGCAATGTGCGTTCGTTTGCTTTGCTTTGATGTGAGTCCTTGATGAAGTCCCAGTTGGGATCAGACCCACAGTGCTTTAGAAGGGGAGGCCCCCTCACAATGCCCCCCCCCCACACACACACTCACAAGGGAAGTTAAAATAAATAAGTCAATGGCTCCATCGACTTGACTCTATCTATGAAAAAAATACCTGGAGTGCCCTTTCCTCGTGAGGATCACTGCTCTGGAGCTGTTCTTTTTTATATTTCAGGTATACCGTAAAGCTGAGTGGGGAGACCCTTTCGTTGCAAGGTTGCACTTATCTGTGTAAGAAGGATATGGAGGAGGAGCAGTGCTGCCCTGGATTCTGGGGTTCTGAATGCTATGGTAAGAGTGCATTGGGCTGTCAGGGCCTCTGGGGCCTAACCTAGAGTGTGGGGCTGGGCTCCGGGTTTGTGGGGGACACAGGGAGCTGTCAGCACTGCAGCCCTCTTGAAGCACAGGAAGGGACTGTGATGGACAGGGAGCAGGCCATGCTTTGGATTCATCCCACCTGGAAGGGACACTGGAGGGCCAGCCCCCTGCTCTTGCTTGGTCAGTGAGGCAGCCCCAGCCCCACTGCAGGCTCTGCCTCCTGCTTTTCCTCACCTCCCAGGGCCAATTTTCAGTTTTGCAACCCATGGCTTTGGATGGTCCTGGGCTAACGCTCGTGTCTAGAAGGATGGGGGATTTCCCACAATTCCAGTTCACTATACAGAACTTTGAATCTATGTATGTATGCATGCATGCGATGACATTAATTTAAGGGCTGGTTGCTTGAACAGAAGTCAAATGGGACATGCAAAGTATTGATGGACAATGTGAGTCTGTCTGTCTGCACCATCGTGTAAAGATGGTGGATCTTAAATACTGAAAACCTGGCATGCCCGCTACTGGGATCCTAAAGATGTGGTACCTAATTGTCTCTAAACTGAGTACATTTTCATGAACTCCAATATGTTTCTGTCTGAAGCCTGCGGTGCCATCTTCAGTCTCCAGGTGGCAGACTTCCCTAAACAGCACCACAGTTAGGGTTGACATAGACTGAACGCTGGAGGAGGGTAGTCTGAGGGGCAGCGCTGGGCGCCTGCCCCAAACCCTCTGCAGCGCCACACTTTCAGGCCCCTCCCTCAGGACGCCAGGGCAGTCGCTGTGGCCGGGGACACCAGTGGGCCTGGCGGCATTCAGATGGCCTGTGCGCCAGAGTTACGAGCATTACGGCCAACGCAGGCAGCTGTGTGGTGGCAAGAGGATGGCAGGGCCGTGCTGGCGTTGATTCTAGCCACGTTAATGCCTGTGGCTTTTCTTCTTTGTCTGCTTGCTTGCCGGTTTGCCAGAATGCCCTGGTGGAAGAGGCAATGTTTGCGGTGGCCATGGGGTGTGTCTGGACGGTGTGACGCAGAATGGAACGTGCATCTGCATGGTAAGCAGGAGCATTTCGAAGGGGCAAGGGGACAGTGGCCTCCTGGAAGAGCTCTGATCCCCAAGTCCCCACTTCCATTTCAAACAGACCAAAAACTGTCTGGCCCTTGTACAACCTCAGATAGGAGCCGATATGCACAGCCATGATTCTGGCCGTTCGTTTTGTGAGAAACTACGGCTGGTGGGAAAGGATTGCCCTCCCATTAATAGATTAATTAACACACAAATAGAAATTCAGGAATCTAGCGAAGATGTAATTGAACAGGAGCATGTCTACCAAAAATAAAGGTAGGAGCAAGAGGGATTTCGTGATCTTTCTAACTCATATGATCATTTATGCGGTTTGTAAACATTTAATAAATTATCCCGATGGCACACACAGATAAAGTTTATTATTAGTATAAGCCTATGGAAGCCGGCAGAAATGGGACCGAGAGAGTGGGAGTTAGGCCAGTCCTGCATTACTGTCATTATGCCCATTTTGTGGAAGCCCCGTGAAGTTGTTGATGCCCTTGGTAAGGGCAGTGGAGCCGTAACATACCGGCAGATGGAAGCACCGCACTCAGCCCGTGTTCCCCTTCCCCGTCTTCATGGGGCTTCTTGATCCCTTGCTCCGCATAAAGTTTTCTTGGAGTTCGTGTTACACCTTGTGTGGCGGTTAGCTTGCCCTGGTGCTGTCAACTTCCCTGAATTTTATACTACTCTGTGTAAGCTTCAGAATGACACGGAACGTGACTCCTAAGCAACAAAGTGTGTGCGTGCACACCAGAAAAATGCACACCATGTGTGTTCTGCAGAATGCACGATGCATATGAATTAAAACCCCTACCAGCAAAAGTGAAAGTATACGGGGTAACTCATTTCTGCTGATTCCCTTGTATATTACTGTAAAGGCAGCAGTTAGGAAAAACCAGGCAAGGAGGCCTCATGTGTGTGATCATGCACTGTTGACTTCACAAAGGGAAGGACGGAGGCCTTGGCGGGTACCGGTAACACGCTTCCTCATTGTGTGGCTAATTAGCAAGGGGTCGTCTGCCAGACAGACAGGTAAAGAACCATTTAACGAAGTGAAGCTGCATGGTTGTGGGGAACAAAATTTGCCAGCCTTTCCCGATTTTAAAGAGTCTGCATTCCAGATCTTCATAGCTGGCCCACTCAAAATGCTGCCACAGCTAAGCTAACAATGCAGCTCCATGGAATCCCTAGAGACCGCAACAACTCCATTGCAACAGCTTCTGAGATTGCCCTGGCCGGCCTGCATTATCTTCCTGTTATTCATCTAAAGAAATCTTTTCCTTTGGCTGAGAAAAGGCGAACACTAAGCCAAGCTGTTTCACTGGGGCAGCCTTCGTCACATCCCCGCGCTGTTCTCAGCTCACTGCCAAACCAGCTCTGATGGAGGTGCTTTCGGTTACCGTGTCCGTTAGATGGCTCCGCTACAAGTGTGATAGTGCCGCACAGCAACCCGTCAGGCTAACCCGGGCTGCAGTCCACAGGGCACTGTTGTGTCGCTCAGACTGATATTCCCAGGCTGGCAACAAACAGTCACAGTACCCCATAGGCGGGAGGGCTTGTTGCACCCATGTTGGGCTATGATGGCATCTAGACCAGGACAGCCGCCCCCCTTGAGGGTATAGAGACTCAGCTAGTGGGTCCCATAGCGAGCGCAGCACCCCCCCCTTGGCGTTCTTGGCATGGGGCTCCTGGTCGAGTGCCTGCACACTAGGTAGGCTTCCCACAAAGTGGGCGCCTTTTATGGGGAGCCCCGCTGCTGCCTGACTGCAGTGTGCATCAGACGGATCGATCAGGGAAGGCAACCTGGCAGGCAGCCTAGCCCAAGTTAATTACAACTTAACGTGCCATCACCATAACCTTGACCTTGGCTTAATATCTAACAGATACTAGATATCGAATAGGGTATACTACTTTAAAATCTTTGAGGGCTGTTGAGGGAAGCAAAGCTACAACTGATCTTCGCCTGCAAAAGTATGGCCGGTAGATCACCCCCTTCATGACAAGATCCTCTAGGCTTTGGGGGCTGCGTGTCTCGGTGGATTCCCCCGTGCCACTGCTCTCATGTGAGCAGCAGCGGTGAGAGGCAGCTTAGCCCAGACAAGCCAGTGGCGGGGCGAGAAGCAGCTGCGCGGTCTTAGCAAGCATAGAAGGGATGGAGGGGGGTCAGATGAGCAGTGCTGCTCCTTTCCACGGCTCTGCCCAGTGGATTCTTGGCTCTGTCACTGGAGCGTGAGGGGTTTCCCTCTGGTAAGCAAGGGCAACACAGGGAATCTGGTGAGGTGCACAGGCCCCGACTGGGTGTCAGCACCCAGTAGATTCTCGCCACCCCTGTTCATACAGGAGCAGTGGCAAGGAAATCAACTGAGCAGCATTACTCTTCTCCCTGCTCCAGAGATGATCCTTAGAGCAGGAGGCAAAAAAACCAGGATGCCTCTGACAGTTGTACGAAAAAGCGGCTCTTGAGTAGCACTCTCTGGTCAGCCGCTTCGCGAGAATGGTGACAGGGCACTCTTGCAGAGTGGCTCTATGGTTCTGCCCTATGGGTTGTGTTTCCTGGGTCCGATGGCACTACAGGTACTCATAGTTCTGAGACACCATAGAACAGGCTATTGCTTCCATTTGTGGTTTCTCAGAACCAAAGGTACCACACTGAAATGCCGCAGTGAGGTTCGGATGCTGTGACGGAGCAATTTGCATTAAAAACCCTGTTGTTTTTCATATCGTGTGAACCTGCTCATTGTCATCCTCGTTGCAGCCCAAAGAGCAACAGTGGAAACAACTTGCATTTAGGGATCTTTTCACGCAGAATTTTCTCCAACACCACTCCTGTTTGAATTTTGGCATAGCTTAAATTTGTTGTCTGATCAGGCAAACCATGAGCAAAACTTTCCAGGATGGCCTTGGAGGATGGTATGCAGTTGCAAAGAATTAGCTCAGACTGGAAATGTTAAATCTGAAAACAAGCTTGAAATGAGTCATGTGAATCACCCATTATTTGTGTGGTAGCAAAAGCGAACTTCCTTCTAGACAAACATAAATTGTCTGTTTCCGTTTGTTTCAAGAAAAACATTAATCTCTTCAGCAAGATTTCTCCAGCCACTTAGCCCCAACATGTACAATTTATTTTATCTATATATTTAATGACTTTTCACCTTGCCTGTCCAGAGTTGTTCAAGGTAGCTCTCAACATCATAAAAACTACAGAGAGAATAAAATGCAAGAGGAAAAAACTCTCCAATGTACAGGAAGCTGTCTCCAAAGGCATGACAAAGCTTGGAGAATTATAGACACTGGCCCATTCATAACATAATTCCCTCTGAGTGAATAAACATAACTCATTTAAAAAAGTGTGTGCATATGTGTTTTTTAAAGGTTTGTGTTTTTGTTTTTTAAAAAACAGGATTTTACAGACTTCTTAAAGCAACAGCTATACGTACAACCTCTTAAGGCTAAATCCTTGGCCCTCTGGGCAGGGCCCACCCTCATCTAGCACTAGCATAATGGCATTGCACCAGCATATGGGGCCTCTAGGGCAATGCCTGGAGGGCTTGCTGGTGTGTGTGTGTGTGGGGGGGGGCAGGCACTGCACCAGCAGATGCTGCTGTCAAGTAGGAGGCTTCCATCTGACTTAAAGGCTGCTAGTGCGTGTGCCATCGGTATGGCAGGGAAATGAGATCCAGGGGAGAAAGAGAAGCAGGAGGTTCCATGCACCGTGCTTACTAGCATGGCTTAATAGTGGGGGCCACAACAAGCGAGTCACCCTGATGGGACTGTGGTCCAGGTCAGGAGAAGCCCTCTTTGCAGCTCATCAGGGCAGGGCAGTGAGTCCTCCTTACGCCTTTCATTCACCCGAGCGCTGCCAATTCTTCCATTCTCAAGTTACGCATATCTTAGAACTCCCCCTGACAAAAAAACCCAAAATAAATCAGCCAATCCTTTAATTCCCACAGCACAGATTATTGTTTTCTGCCCAATAATTAGTATTTCTTCCTGCTGGAGAATTTACTAGCTCAGCTATGCTCCTATCTGGACAGGGATTGCCTGGCTTCAGTAATCTATGCTGTGGTCGTCCCTAGATTAGATTACTGCAATGCACTCTGCATGGAGCTGCCCTTGAAGAGGGTTCAGAAGCTGCAGCCGGTGCAGATGCAGCAGGCAGATGAATAACCAGGACCCTTAAGTCTGAACTCGTGGGACTGGCTGTGGTCCTCTTGCTCTGCTTGCCTGTATGTTTCTGGGGCCAACTCAAGGTGCCTGCATCAACCTATAAAGCCTTACACAGCTTGGGACCCCACTACATGCCGGAGCATCTCCTGCAGCTGCCGTCTTCCCAGGCACTAGGCTCAACCTCCAGGGCCTTCCTCTGAGTGCCAACTCCAAGGGAGGCTTGGAGGGCGGCAACAGAGGGGAGGGCTTTCTCAGTGGTGCCCCCGCTCCTTGGGAACAACCTCCCACCGCAGCCAGCCCCACAGGAAGTTTATCTTCTGGTGCCAGATTAAGGTGGCCCCTTATGCTGAGGCCTTTAAGGACTTACTTGGGCACCTGGGGGCTTGAGGGGATAACCCATCCCAGGTGTCTTTTACAGAGTCATTTTGTGCTATTTTAGCACTTTTCAAATATTTTAATGCTTCTCTGATGTTATGATATTTTATAGTAGTTTACTATATTGTATTGTATTTATTTTGTATAGTATTCTGTTGTTTTGTTTTATGGATTGCTGTAAACTGTCCAGAGAGTTTCTGCTATGTGGTAGTATAGAAATAAATTATTATTACTATTACTATTATTATTATTGCCTATTATTATAATATGTGCTTTGTAAGTAAATGAACCTGATCAATAAGTGAATTTTCATATCATGCCAGTCCACCTTATGCATAAGCTATGTAGGGTAGGTGGACACACTGTGGGTTTTTTCACAAACCAACAGACAATTGAGCTCACTGTGTGTTTGTCTCTTTCCTCCCTTAGTCCTGCCACGGGTCACTGAGGGAACCCCTATTAAACTTGTCTGCTCTCCCCACCATGATTGTAAGCTCTGTTGTGTTCGCTACAGTTTTTCCCACTTTCCCCTGCTTTTTCCAGAGCTCATACATTGACAGCTTGGGGCAGGTCTTTCAAAATGCTCCTGGTCAGTCACACCTTTTAAAAAAGAGGTGTGCCCCAACGCTACACACTTTCTGTAGCTCTTCTAGTACACTTGTGCAAGTGTGGAGGTTCTCACTTGCACTACGTCCAAAATAGCCAACCTCACCGGGGCAACGTTCTGGGTTTGTCTGGATGTCGATCATATGCCTTGACCTAGAGGACTACGGAAAGCTTCATTTTTCACTTTGCTTTCTCTTAACAGCTGTCAAAAGCCGAGCTGTCAAGGGAAATGAAAACTGTGAGCTAACTTTTCTTGCAAAAGTGGGTGAGTCAGTAGATCATCCCTTTTATATTGGGATCCTCTACTGTTCTTTGGGGACCTATTTCTTGTGACAATCCTTGCACTTTTCTATGCTCTCGCAAAACTCTAGGTGCTAAGGAAGCTGGAAAAGTGTGGAGGTTTGTCAGCAGCTGCTAAACTTTGGCTTCTTTATAAAGAGCTTTTCTTGAGAATATCATCTATTGTTTTTTGTATTTACCTGTGCCTGTGTAAGTCCCTGTCAAAAAAAGTAGCTGTCAGCTCAGAGATCTGAGAAACAATCTCCAGAAGGAAAGAAAGAGCAAGTGGGGAAAGCCATGGGGAGCACTAAAGGGCTGATAGGGGGCATGAAGCCAGTAATGTGGGGTCCCCACCATGCTGCTTGGCTATCAGGTGGTTGGTTGGTACAGGCAGCGGCCTGGGCTCGCTTGGCAAGAGTGGGAAGGTGCTTTGCCACTCTTGCTGAGTGGCTGACTAGCCACTTCCCACCACCCATGATGGGGTTCCTTGCCTGCATTCAGATGACACAACAATTCAAAGAACTACCCATGGGCTGTTGGGTGCCTTGTAGTCTCCCCACAAGCAGCCCTGCAGGAAACACCTAGGTTTGCACAACACAACGGCCTCATGTGGCTTTCTACCCCCAGTGGATTGTCATGCTATGAATGGAATCCGTGTCTTAGCATCTGTACACAGAGAGATGGAAAGAAATGGCAGGGGGGTTTTAATACAATTTATGTATACTTTGTGTGCATTATGAACTTCTATATGTTATGCAGAATATTATGTTTTGCAGAATAAGCAAAAGATGTACTATTTCCTAACACAATAAAATGCAGGGGGGTTATTCAAGTAGTTAGATTTAGTTTATGGCTCTTGCATACTACAAAAACTCCACTTACAGGGAAATCCTATATCCGTCTACTAAGAAATGTGCCTCATAGAGTTCAGTGATGCTTATTCTCAGAGATGTAGCTGTAAGTTTGCAGCCGTAGGGCAAAATCTACTGTATATTTAGGCAGAAAAAGCTCCTGTGACTCCCCATATTCCCCCACAGCGATGCTATTGAACATTGTAAGACTTTTTCCATGTCAACATGCATAGAATTGTGTCCTTAGTTACAAAGCTCCACTTATTTTAGTCATTATGTCAAGTAGTTAAAGTTCACGTACTTTGGTCTAGAAGGTATTTGACATAATTATGTTAAATTAAGCTTATGCCTGATTTAATGTTCGCTTTCTAAATTACACTGCTTTGAGGAAGAATGTTCCCTTGAGTCCTTCCTGTCTCAACTTAGAGTCAATTGTTTGTCATAAGAAAAATCTATGAAGAATAGCTTTTCTTTGGGAAAAATTAACTACATGCTACCATTTTACCACCACCAAGGATGCCAGCAGGTGACTAACAATGTGTGTGGGCAGAATCTTTCATTTATTTTTGAAATTATTCAGTCAACCCAAGACTGGGTTGGCACATCACATTTGCCTAGCAGGTGAGACCAAGCATGTTGCAAAGGATCACAGAAGTGCTGTTGTACGAAGTTGCTCTTTTTGATTCATTTAGGAGAACTATGGTGGCTACGCATGCCAAGATTGCCAGGATAAGAATCATTTTGGACCTGACTGTCAATCTGGTAAGTTTCTCAAGCAAAGGGCCTTTTTGAAGCCAAGGGCATGATCCTATGGGTGTGCCAGCCCCCTGAACTCAGATGAATGCACACTTCCTCTGTGGGCTGAGAGGAGTCTGGAGTGCAAGTTGCCCCTGCACTTTTCTTGCCCTGCAAAGCAGTTTGACAGCCACTTTCTGCCATCCAATTGTGGTGTTTTGGAAGGGGAGGGAAGGAGGCTGAGGTGCCGCCAGGATATGTTGTATCTTGGTGGCACTGGTCTCCTCCACTTCCTGACCGCCCAGGATTTCCACAGTGCAACTTCTCCAAGGTTGTTTGCATGACCTTGAAGAGAAAGCTGGTGTGGCTCTCTTTGCCCCAAGGCTCTGAAAAATCCTATGGCCTTCCAGATGTTGTTGAGAAGGCCACAGGATCACTCTCCCAATCACTTAACTGTACTGAGTGACCAGTTTTCAACACCAAGAGTGGGCTCCGAAGGTTAATGGGGACTGGTCTTGATGAATGCGATTGCGATGAACCTTTCCAGAGCCATGCCAAGGGTATGGATTTTGTCCTGTTTTGTTGTTTTTCTGCACAGTATGCGAGTGTCAGCATGGAATCTGCAACCATGGACCCTCTGGTGATGGAAGCTGTACCTGCTATGCTGGCTACACTGGTCCAAAGTGTGACCAAGGTATGTATAGCATTTAATTTCTCCTTTTTATAAGTTCCACAAAGATGCTGGTTTCAAGGGAGATGCCCTTGGAATAGCCAGTGTTGTTTGTGCTATCTCTAAGCTGCATCTGCTAGTTAGGGCTCCTATTAATGGGAGGGCCACTAACCCAGTACCAGAATTGTGAATTATGCTGATGTGACAGGCTGGCATGCCTGTACGTCCAACCCTGTAATGTAGAACAGCTCACAAGGCCCTCTTTGCCAGATTTCTCAGAGCTCTTTGCCAAATTTCTCACCAGCTGCTCATGTTGTAACAGATGTCTCATGGAAGAATGCAGGTTTCTTTTTCAGAGCATGTTTCAACTCTTTCAAGAGAAAGTTAGCGTGTTTTGCCAAGCAGTCCAAGAGTGTGAGTGAAGCCAAGCCTCAGTCTAGGCAAATAAACTGATTACCTCCAGTTCCTTATTCTGTATGGTTGTGGAAATAAGATTGAGAGGAAGAGCTGGACTGTGTGAGCCACCCTGAGTTGGGTGGGCTATAAAGATAATAAATACACTTATTAAGGAGCCAAGCCGTAAGACAGAAGCGGTTCCTTTAAAATAAATTAAACATTAAACTTTTGCAAGCAAAAATGGGTAAGGATCCCAAGAATAACTCAGCCAAACAGCTCACGAGGTCTGCACCCGGGGCTGCTTGGCTGGGGTTGCCCCTTCGCTATCTATGAGAAGGTGAAGAAAGAGAACGGCATTTCCCCAGGGCTGGACATCCAGTAATTACAGATAAGGACTGACAGACTGGAATTTCTCCTGTGAGTTTCCCTAGGGAGAGCAATGCTGAGGTCCGTTGGCATGGCACCCCTGATGGGCACCTGCCTCCAGGAACTTGCCCTCTCCCCTGCTCCCGCAGCTCCTCCTCCACTTGCTCTCCTTGCCACTGCTGGGCTGCTTGACAGGCAGGGGGGCCGTGAGCAGGGAGGCTGCTGCGCGTGCAGGGGGCCATGGGAAGAGGCAGCCCAGGGTGCTCTGGCGCCCGGCCTTTGCTGGGGTGAGCACCCTTGGCCTGTGAGCAGCCGTGTCTCCACTGAACTCCAGCCGGGCCAATAGCTCAGGGGTGCCCCCTAGATTTTCTCGCACCTTCAAACATTTTGCAATCAGAGCATTGCCATTATTGTGGAAATATCAGGAAACCCACAAGAAGGCCTTTGTTCTTCTCCTCAGATGTACAAATGCTATTATCCTGAGCAAAACTGCCCAGATAGGCCTAATGATGTGTGTGATTGTGACCCACTCATCATCCTGGAATCTACTTAGATGCAGAGCAGTTTATAAAGGTTGCAACTACATGAAATAATAAAGAATGAAATAGATTACTTGTGCAAACAGTTGCGCTCATCTTTTACGAAGGAGCGTGTTGCTCAGATTTCTACAGGCTGCTCTTTAAAATGTCTGTTGCTTCAGTGGTGAATCGGACATACCTTTGGACAATTTGGGCAATTCATTCATTCTTTTTTACATTCAAATGTATCAGTACAGCTCATGAAAAAATAACTTGTCATCTAAAAATTAAACTATTGGATTGTTCAGTAACATCAGACCTCTATTTCTTACTGAAATTATGCTAAAAGTAAAACAGTTTCTTAAACCTTGATGCAATTCCAGATTAGATCAACAGAAGTAGTTTCAGAGTAATGGGAAGCGATAGTTCACTAGTCATACCTCAGCTCAAATACCGTGGTTGGTTCTTGATGCTACACTTTAAGTGGGATCCAGGTGAACTGGAATGAGGTCATAAGATGTCAGAGGATTAGAGCCTAGATCCTGCAAGGAAACTGGCTATGTTTACCTCTAAGAAAGGAAACTGAGAAGGGGTAGGGTTGTCCCACAGAAGAGAGCTACATTCTGCTGTCTGTCATCCACGGGGGTAGGACATGAAATACAAGGCTGAAGGGAGCCCACCTCTGAGGCAGAGCTCCAGTGTGCCTTCTGTCCCCAGGAGTCTCCAAGCCAAGATGGAGCAGCCAGGGCTAGGGATGCTTGGAACTGGATTCCAGCAGTTAAACCCAGTGGCCTAAATGGCCCTTTCCACTCTGTGATTCAGTGAGGAGACTCACAGTCCTGTTGTGGCATTTTCTTGATCCCCTACTAGCAAGCTGCCCTTGACTTTTTACTGTTCCTTGCTGAAGTTTCTTAGTAAAAAACTTTCCAGGTATATGTTGCAGCATGGCTGTAAAAACAAGGGTTAAAGAAGATGGGCATAGAGGACTTTTTTGTCTTTAAAATATCTGCAAGCTAGATCATTCTTTCCCCGTCTCTACTCTTTGGCAGTCCCTCTGCCGGCACTTTTAGTCTTGCTAGAGGCCTGTCCTCATGGAGGCTGAGATACCAGATCACTCACTGAGCACTCCCAGGCCAAATTGTTGCTTTGGCAAATTGCCAAAATGGGCAAGCATGACTTTTTCACCAAAAATTATTTTGTTTTCATTTGGATTGAGCTCTCTTTTGTCAATTGGTCTAGGCAGTCAATTGGTCCTGAATCCATAGGCAGACTTGTGGATCTCAGTCAGCCAGAAAGATCCACATTTTGACAAAATTGTGAATGAGAAGGAGGAACAAAGAAGTCATTGATTTTAAAAATAAAATCAATGTAAATCAGTAAAAAAAATACTGTTTACATTTTTTTCCTATTTGTTCAATTTATATTTGAATTTTATGCACCAAGTTAAAAGCTTCTTTTTAACTTCAATTTGTTCGTCTGCAGTACTTTCAAGGAAATGTGTATGGTGGTCTGAAAGTCACTTGTATTTTGCAATTCATAAAAACTTATATGTCGTGATATTTCAGAGCTGTCCAGTTGTGGAGGTGTGATATGTCAAGCCAACTCTCTTTGTGTGACAAAGGACGGGCAGCCCAGGTGTGAATGCATGCCGGGGTACAGGAAACATGGGAGCTACTGTCAAGGTGAGAGGAAGTAACTGATGCTTATGTAGCACTGAAAGCCACCCATGTGCATCTTTTCATGATGCAGAGCCTGTGGCAATCTTGTAAGGTGGGCCAAGTGCATTTCCGCTCCTGCCTGGTTTTTCAGTCCCAGCTCACTCTCCCTGCAGTCACTCCTCCCTGGGGATTACTGTAGCTGGGACACCAGAGGACCAGGCTAAAATCGCTCCTGCCTTGGATGCTAGACACACATCGAATGGTACTCCCAAAGTATGCACCTTATCTTTCAGGGGAGAGTAATCCATCCAGCCTGCTTCCCTCTGCAGTGATGGGGCATCCTAACTCCTCAGCCATGATGGCCAGGATTTCTGGGGATAATGGGGATTGCAGTCCAACACACCTGTGGGGAGACCAGGTTAGGAAAAGCTGACTTAGATCAAGGCAACCACCACACCTCAGCCCCACAGGTTTCTGTGAACACCCCACTCTTTTCTGGGCTGAAGTTTCTCTGATTCCCCCATGTCTAGTCTAGGGACTTGTTGGGAATTTCTTCAGCCTCCCTGGCTCTGCTGAAAAGGAGAGGTAGAAACAGATGCCATCCCCACACAACTGGTCAACCTCTTCCTGTAATTTCATATGGCTGTTGAAAGCCACATGCTGTCTCAAATTTCTGGCCACGCCAAGCAGCCCAGAAGGGTCCAATAACTGATGGCACAGGAAGCCACTGAGAAGTCCAAGGGAAGCAATAGGATCAGACTCCGCTTCTATCTACATCATGATAGTATCTACCTTGACTGCCAAGGTTGTTTCTGACTGAACACCAGATCTGACTCCAGAATCTGCATTACTCAGAAATATTGGGAGATTCAGTCTGTATTTTTTCGTATATAAACTAGAAGCAGAAAATGGAAAAAGTAAAACTATTTAAGATCTATAAAAACAACCGAACACTTAAGTTCCAGAACGCTTCTTTTATCTTCTCCTTCCTAGTGCAATTGGGCTCATAATGAAAAGTGTAGAATTTATTAGAGACCTGGCAACTGTCTTTGGTGAGACGCACTGCAGCTTGTTTGTTCCTTTCCCTACATGGGTTTAGTTCCCAAAGTCTTCACACACAGCCCCTTATTCACACATACTTGAGGGCTAATGAACAGCCAAAGTCAACAAAATGTGTTGTGTGTAAAAGCTATGCTGAACCAGTGAAAAGACCTCATGCTGGGCCAAAGCCAGGCAACCAGAATCTGTTTAGCTTTTGCTCTTTGTTCCACAAATTGTTCACCCATCTGAGGACCGAGACCCAGAGAGAGAGAACTCTTGGGAAAAGTTGTGCATGGAGGCTTGACAGAATGTGACGCAAGGCATTCAAAGCATAGTAGCAGCATGAGAGGTTGCCTGGGCCAGCTCCAAAATGCTGATGTAGACGCGAAGCCTTCAATATGTGCTTTATAACCAGGAGAGTGGTTGCATGTGAACACAGAAGGTGCCCAGAGAAAAGGGTCTACAAATGTCAGGTGCAAAGAAAGTTTCTTGTGGGGACCAAGTGAATCAGTGCAGGCGGCACTGGCCAAATCAATGACTGTGACTCCAAGCGCTTGGTCTTGTATAGCCTTCCCCAACCTGGGCCTCTCCAAATGTTCTGGACTTTCAATCCCATCCTGGCCAATGGTCAGAAAATGGTGGGAGACACCAGATGGGTGAAGGTCACTGAAGTTGCTAGCAACTTGGCTTAAGGTCCTCTTCTGCTGATGCAGGGAAGGTGCCATCAAAAATGAGCTTTTGGTTGTGGGCACTGAATTGCATCAGTGTCTACCAGCATGTATTCTGCCTCTCCCACTGGCTGGCTACATTCCTACCTTGAAACTTCTACATTTGGGCTGGAAATGCAGGACTAGCTTACAAATCCCGTCATGTTCTTTGTTGACATCATTCACAGCCCAGGACCCCTGCAGTTCTTCCCCGTGCTCAGTGTTTGCAACCTGCAAGGCTGTTGCGCCGATCGACTATGAATGCACATGCAAGGAAGGGTACCACGGGAATGGCCGGATATGCCAACCCATAAATCCCTGTCTCACTGACAACGGAGGCTGCCCTAAGAACTCCACTATCTGTGCATTCGAACGTGCAGGAGAGGTAAGCTGATTAATTACTATGTGCTTTGCTTATCAAAGACAACCCCATGATTTTGCTTAGTGAAAAGTGTACTAAGAACCTAGTACTGTATGCAAATAATAGCAGTTACATTCCAAACAAGTCATTTAGCAGATGATAGACTATTCAAATGCAAGCATCTTGCTGAAGAGACTGTTGAGTAAGAGCTTCTCTACCTTCCAGTTCTTGGTTTAAAAAAGAAATTGGAAAGTTGAAGAAGGTGACCTGGTGGCACAGCACTACAGCCCACCATGAAAGATCAGCATGGGCTCTTGCATCATGCGAATACAGCACAGCTTCTGCAGGTTGGCTTATTTTCCATGGACAAGCCACCCAGAGAACCCATGGCTTGTTTAGGGCTGTCCACACATGGCAGGGCAATTTTATCACAGGCTACTGGAAACTGCTAGAGAGCAACCTGGCCGCAACAGCAACCCCCCCCCCCCCGCCTTTCCTTGTTGTTGCCACCCTGCCTCAGTCTTTCTCAGTTTCCCTCACTTCATGCCTCCAAACAAATAAAAAGATGTGACAGCTAGCAATGATGTGGGGAGATCGGGAAAGTGCGTGGGGAGTCACAGCAGCTGGAGGGAAGGCAGTTTGTGAGCGGGTGTTCTTACTTAAGTGTAAAATGAAGCAGCCTTTCATTTCGTGCCCTGTGTGTGTGTATGTGTGTGTGTGTGTATGTGTGATTTACTAGGGCATTGACAAAAGATGGGTATCAGTAGGTTAGGCTAGGTATCAGAGAGTCCCTCCTACACTGTTGTACAACACCAAAATCCCTCCAGCCAGCAGACCGATTTCTGCATTCATAAAGGCCCTGAAAATTATTCCCATCAGGCGATCTGATGTACAGCAGGGAGCTTCCCTCCATTGCTGGCAACCCCAGCAGGCCCTGTGAAGAGCAGATGCTGACTCAGGAAGTTTTGCTGCAATGGCACTTGGGACATGTGCTGGAGCCAGCGAGAGGAATGAAGGGGGAACAATCCACAACAAGCCCAATTGTCTGTTGGATCAGTTAACGGAAATGTGTAAATTCCTCCTCCATTTGCTTCCCATCTATTATATTTTCATACGCACAGATGGTTATTTTTAAAACTGTCAGGGACCTGCAGTAACCGTCAAGGCCATTGCTCCAAAAACTTGCCGTGAAAAGGTGGAGGGTGATTAGCTGGAAAGCTAGGGAAGTGCTGAATAGATCAGGACACTGAAAAATGTTAGTTCAGCATGGAAAAACAAGAGGATCACTTCACCAAGGGGAGATATTGCCCCCCTCTTGGTGCATGTGCTCCTTTGGCCCCCCCCCTCCCCCATTTATGGAGTTTCTGATGTGTGCTGCCTGGCTCCTCCTTTCCCCTACTTGTTTTTCTTGCCTGGTCCTTTGCAATGAAGCACAAAGACCAACAACAAGAACAACAACAACCATGAAGAAGATGAAGATGAAGAAGAAATAACAGATAGGACCTCAATTGTGCATTTTTAAAGCACCAACATTATAATTGAAAAAGCCAGGGTATGAGTGACGGTCTTCCAAAGTGCTGCTACCTGGCAAGGTCATGAGGAGTGAATGGCATGGGCTTTCTGGTTGCTTTTGTCAGTCAGCTCTGTAGTCAATTGCAGTGGCCACTGATAACATCTGCCTCCTCGGTTCAGATGACATGATGATATCTCATGGGCAAAAACAACTGTGCAAGAAACCATGGGCTGTCTGGGTGGCTTGTTCCCACTGAATAAGCCACCTTGCAGAAAATGCTCCACATTCAGAAGGCACAACAAGCTACAATGTCTGGCTGCCTATGGTGGGTTGTTGCATTATGTGAACCCAGTGTGTAAAAAGCTTTCATCTCTTTTCTAGAATCAATACCTGGGGATGCATAGAACAGCCTTTGCTGATACATCTGAAGGGGGTGAGCTTAGGGAGACTGGGAGAGGCCCTGCATCCTGTAGTTTCCCTCTAGAGCAGATTCTGAGGTTTGCAAGATGGGGGGAGTACAGGAGGGAGGAGAACAAGGTGAATTCCCATTGCATGACCAGTGGATGGTCCCTTGTGCAAACTTTATCACTTCCCCATTATTGAGATCATCTGGTGTGTTCTAGCATGTTCTAAAATCCTGCAAATAAATAAAGTGCAAGGATGAGATTAGCTGAAGGAGCTGTGACCCAGGCACAAAACTGCTGATCTACCTTCTTTTTCCGTAGTCAACTTGCTTGTGTAAGACAGGAATGTCCAGGAGCAGCAGGCAATGGGGAAATAGAATGGGTTGTTCGCCCATCAACTTCCGTAGATGCTTTCATTTCAGCTGTGACAGCAGTTCAATATGTGAAGAGGACCCCAGTGGGACTGTCAAGTAAGATGCATAATATACATAATGACTTAAATATGTTGAGTGGAAACTGTTTTGTCCTCATTTTGACTGCTAGAATTCTGGATCCAGAACTGAGTCCTGGATCAAGGGATTTGGGCTCCTTCCACACCGTTTCTCCATACATTTGATCTTTGCTGAAATAGACCAAGCACTCTCATCTCAAGTGTAACTGGGAACTGTAGTGCAATGCATTGGGAGCAATGCTACATTGAGGAAACACCACTTACTCCAAGAAATTCCAGGTAGATGCCAAGGATCCAGGACATCCATGATCAGACTGAGCAGCTGTACTTCTATCTTCCCCCACACTATATCTCACATATCTAATGGCAATTTAGGTCAGGAAATTGGGTGGGGTGAAAATGCTCCAGGCCAGTCTGCACATTGTTCTTTCATCAAATTAGCAGCCTCACATAGCTGCTTGGAAGTTTTAAACAACAGCGACCACTAAACAACAGTAGAAGCACAAGGACAGCCCTCCATGTGCATCGTATCTACTGTGACCACCGGAGTGGCATTTTTGTCTCCTAACAATTGCACAATAGGTAACAATTGTAGCTTAGGTAAACCTTCCTCCACCTAGAGCCATCCAGATACATTGGACCACAGCTCCTATGCTGGTTGGGAGTTAGAGGAGCTGTAGTCCTAATACATCTGCAGGGTGGGGAAAGGTGGATCAGCCTGAGACAGTGATGTGGCTCAGACAACATGATAACCCATATTCAAGTGCCGAGTATGAGCTGAGTATGGATTGCCATTAAACAATGGGTTATTATTGGTCATAGTGTCATCCGAACCCAGCTGTACAAATAATTCATAAAGAGAAGGTGGATTGCAGACTGTGGGTTGTTTGTGGTTAATAAACCATGGTATGTTAGTGCAGCTTAGTTTGGGCAACATGATATTAATGTTTCAACAACCACCCATGGTTTAATGACAACCGATAGTCAGCCCTTCAGTGTGGGAGTTGTCTGAGCCCAGCAAGTGACTTTTCTAAAGCCACCCAGTGAGTTCCCACTGGAAGACTTCTTCCTGGAGGATAAGCTGGAAGATGAGGAACTACTCACTATGAGTGGTGCTCATGATTTGCCAATAGCCCCAGAGAAGCCTGGGCCATTAGGGGCACCCACCAGGAGGGCATCACCTGTGGAGGATGAGGACCCTGCCTCAGAGGTGGAAGCAGAGAAGACCCCAAGCCTGGAGGAGAAATGTTGCCTTGAAGGACAGGAACTCAGAAGGAGTGCTGAACTGAGTCAGAGGTCTCCTTGTGGGAAAAGGTCTACTCACAAGGAGCAGCTTTTCAGCTGCAGACACTAAAAGTTCACAGCTGAGGCTTGGCTGTGACTCCAATAACTTCTGCGTAAAGCAGCAGCAGCAGCAGCAGTGTATGGCCAAGAGAGTCCTTGGATGCAACACTGGTTAGCTAGTCCTGGATTTGGCTCTGGGTGGTTTTCTTGAGTGGGACCTAGTATGAATGCTTCTGGATTGAACTCTAGTGCAGAGAACCTCCTGAGATAATTGGTTCCATTGTTACATTGCTCTAAGAGTCAGGAGTTTTTCCTGTTGTTCAACCAGAATCAGGCTTCCTGTTATTACCTGAGCCTGTTACTCTGTAACCTGCACTCTGGGATGACTGAGTAGAGAACCTGGCCTTGTGCTGTGTTGCAGCCTTAAATAATTGAAGACTGCTGTCATATCTCCCCTCAGTTTTGTCTTCCCAAGGCTGAACATGCCTCGTTCTCCCAGTCTCTCCTCGCAGACTTTGTTCCCAGTCCCTTGGTCATCTCTGTTGCCCTCCTCTGTAGCTCTTCCAGCTTGTCTGCATCTTTCTTCAACTGTGGTGCCCAGAACTGGATGCTCAAGATGAGGCGTAGCCAGTGCTGAATAGAAGGCAACTAGTATGTCACACGATTAGAAAGTGATGCTTCTCTTGATGTATCCCGAAATAGCATTTGACCCTCTTGCAGCATCTCCACGCTCTTGACTCATATTCAGCTCATGATGTGCAACAGTTCTGATCCTTCTTGCTTGTAGTTTTGCTGAGCCAAGTATCCCTTGCCTTGTAGTGATGCACTGGGGGTTTTTTCCCCTAGGTGCAGGACTTGGCATTTGTCCGTACTGAATTTCTTTCTGGCTTTAGTTGAGGGATCCAATCTATCAGGATCACTCTGAATTAGATGTCTGTCATCCAGACTATTAACTATCCCACCCAATTTTGTGTCATCTGCAAATTGGATCAGCATTCACTGTACCTCTGTACCCAATCCCTTAATTGAAATATGGAAAAGCATGTACAACAGGTGGCTGTATTGGAAGGGCAGTGCTATTGCAGAAGGAGGTAACCCTTCTGGGTCTTTGTGGGCTGGGCACATCTGGCCATTAAGAAACTCTCCTGGACAACAGCATAAAGGGAATATACAAAATAACTGGGAATTCCTGGTAAGAGTCCAAGTCAGGAAACATTATTTGGAGTAATTCCTCCTACTCCTGTTGCATGCTCATGAGGCAGGAGCAGCTCAGCAACAATTGCAAAATGCAAGGGACCCTTGGGAGGCATGAGTGCCCCAAATCCTTAGGGATCTTGCTACAAAAGGGGGTTTGATGCCCCTATTTCACAGGCAGTGATCTCCCAGTTTTCTTGGCACATCTGGTTGGTCACATTTGACAGCTGTTAAATGCTGTTCAGAAGGGGGGAAGAACCCCCTTGTAGCCCACAGGGGCAGCGGACAGGTGCGTGTCTGATGGATCTTGCCCGCAGGCACCCGTTGCCCATTATCCACCTCTGGTTCCCCCTTGCCGCTCCCACAGAACTGTGGGAATCTGCAGTTGCGCAAGGTAGGCTATAAAAGATTTTAAAAATATTTTTGCAGATATTGCAAAAACAGGTGGTTGCATTTTTTCAAAGGAAATAAAAAATCCTACATCTACCTGTTCCCATCCCTGCAGTGAAAATAGTAAATTAAATAGCAAATTGTTTCCTGCTATGGCAACCTTTCTCTGCCTAACAATTAAAGGTCAGTTGGCATTCGTACTCTGTATAGTGCAGAAGTGAAGACTGAGGCTGAGAGAGAGCACTGTTTGCATAAAGTCAGCTCCTGAGTTTGTGGCGGAAACAAGATCTACACGAGGGATGCTCTGATTTGTTGTTCAACCTCTTTAGCCACCTGATCCTTAGAGCACTTTAGATTTTTACTGCTGCTGTAGCTGTAAAAGAAAATCAGACAGAGTCAAACATAACACTGATGTTAGTTATATTTTGTTGTATCTGGTTTTGCTTTATTGATGTGTAGTATTACTACCCATGTCAAATCAAGACATTTCTCATTCAAGGCCCTCCCGCAGTACCCTGTTCTGGGGAAGGGTCAGAAGGCAACAATGAGGGAGAGGGCCTGCTTGGTGGTAGCCCCAAAAGCCTACCTTGTCAGTTGCCAACAACAACAACCTCCCCAACAATGTATGTTGTGAGCTCCCCGAGGCTTTGTTGCGATGGAGGCGGCATAGAAATGTTTTAAATAAATAAAATAAATAAATAAACAAGGCTGCCTCATGCCACACATCGCTATCTTTGCACTATTGCATTGACACCTTCTTTCCTCTCAGACACTTGGTAGCATATGATCAATCATGTTTTGAATTCTTGATTGTTCTGTTGCATGTTTACATTATATACTTTTTATATGTGTTTTAAAGATTTTAACCTTTATAAACCTCCCAGAAAGCTTTGGCTATCAGGTAGAACAGAAATTTAACAAGTGAAATAAAATGAGGTGAAGACTGAATGTCTGGAAAGAAATATTTTAAAGAAACAAGCAAGTTACCAACCAGACTTGGTAAACGAGCAAACAGTTTTTGAAAACCCCTCTCATTTTCTCCAATGTTGGTCAGGTGTGTCTGCCAGGATGGAAAGATTGGGGATGGCAGACTCTGCTACTCAAGCATCATGCAGGAGATCCTTTCACTGAATAGAAAACTTTTTGGCAGAACCGGATATCGCTTATTTGGTAATTTTCTTCAGAACATCTTTGATTGGGCGGTGGGTCCCCCAGTTCGCTGGAGTCCACAGAGCACAGTTAAAATATTCTGGTTGTGTCAGACTTCTCTGACTAAACACATGCTGTCAGTGGCTATCCTGGGGCAGATGGAGCAAATTATCTTCTACCTCAGTTGTGGTCTGAACTCATCCTTTGTGGCAGCCATATTAACTAAAGCGACCTGCCTCAATGGAAACCTGAAGCATCATCAGTGGTGGCATAAATGCATCTAGAATATGAGACACCCTCAGTTCACAGCAATTATTGCTGACTTAGGAAGGAAAGAGGGGATCTGCCCAGATGGCAGGGTGGAATTGTCCCTTGTTATGCTGCATTAGGCTAGAAGTGACTCAGTGGGTCGATGGCTCAGATCTCCTAGCAGCCATCTTTCTTCCTTCTCCTCAGTCACAAATGGCCGGGGACACGGAGAGTATTTTTCGAAGTGGGAAGCTCAGGGTGGCCCAATATGAAATTAAAAGTCAAATGTAAAAAGGGCCTCAGCTGTACCAAAATTATATTCCATTCATGAATGTTGCATTTCAAGTGGAACCTGCAACAAAACGGTGCCGCCGGATGTTCGTGTCCAGTGTGCCAGCAAGGCTCTCTTCCAGGTACTCCATTGCTTCCCCCTCCCCTGGATTTCTGGTTTTCCTCCTGCAGCAGTCAGGCAGCACTCTGGGCATGGGTTGTTCCTCACTGCCCATTGAGCTTCCCTTCTGTGCACGGATGGTGCCAATAAGTACTAGTTCTCCAAATAAGATTCCCATTCTCTCTCACACACGTATACATAGAAGTAGTATGTATACTTAGTAGAGAAGACCTAGGGGTGCACAGTTCAGGGTTTGGCATCTTCATTCTCCAGTTCAACTTCTTTCATTTATCTAGCAAACCTTCCTGGCCAGTTCAGTGCGCTCTGCCCTCCCCAGCAGAGCTGTTCTCCTGAGGCAGAGAAGAACGGCGGTCCTTGAAACTGGGCTGCACCTTTTGCTGTTTATCAGTTCACCTTGCCCGGGGGGCTAGGGAGTTTTGAGAAAGGCCTTCAACCCTTCTCATGTGCATTATTTCCCCAGTTTATTACCCTCACTCCAGTACTGCTCAGAGAAAACTCTGCAAGTATCTATATTGGATTTGCTGTTGTAATCTTGTTGATTTATCACTATTAGACTTCATATTTGTTTCATTTTGTATTCTCTATGGTGTCTTGAGTGCTTTAGAGGAAAAAAAAACCCCAAGGGTTTGAATGCCTAATATAAATCAATTTTGAATCAGAGAAATGGCATAAGGACTTACTGTTCCACTTCCACAGGGAAATTCAGAGCAACATGGTGTGACTGCTTTGCAGAGGAAAAAGCATAGAGCTAGGATGAGGTCCGTACACTCGTTCTCTTCTCCTGGTGCTTGTAAAAGCTTTAGCCATATAGACAAGACTTTGGAAAGCAATGAATCCAATCAAATGAATCATTATCTGCTCTATTTAATGACTTATTTTCTGGTGGGGGTGTCTTTTAACAGAACTGGGTTGCGAATTAATGCTGAACAAATATGGACCTTTCACAGTGTTTTTGCCACTAGTTTCTTATTCCAGAGAAACTGGCAGTGATGTAAGTACCCACTTCCTTTGGTAAATTGTGACTCTGGGAATGTGTATTTAGGGAAGTCAGTTCCTTTCCTCTGGTGTGTTAGACGAGACGCAACCATTTCTCAGGCATGCCTGTGCCTCTGGCTACTCACGGGTTCAGCACCTTGGGTCTCCTGTTGCAAACCACTGAATGGGTCCAAGCAGTGACCCTGTGTGCTGAAAGTACCAATCTTTTTCCTTTAAAAAATGGAGGGGGCAGATCATGGTTTTGGTGTTGGTAGCATTGCAGTAGATATTGAGGTGGATCTACAGAAAAAAATCAGCAAAGTTGACATTCCCTGGTGGATATTTCTTTCCATGTGAGGTTTTAGAGGTCCAAGAGCAAGCTGAGATCTTCCTTCCTTGCTCTCATTTCCATTAAAGAAATTTGCACTGCTGCCCCTGTTTGGTGCCTCTGAACTAGCAGCTGACACTTGTGAGGGAATCTGTTATTTTGAATGGAAAGGGGTTTTCTGAAATGTCTGAGCTTAATACAGACTCAAAAGGGTGATCTTTGTCTACCCCTCTTGAATATCAAAATCAGGTGCAGAAGACAGCACAGGGTGCTAGTATTCCCGCATGTTCTGCTTTCAGAATTAAAGCAGTTATTGCTGCTACTGAAATGACTCCGTGGATATTTTAAATTGTCTCACTGATGTGAATTGATCAATCTGTACTTGAGACAAAGTTACTGGATTCCACAAGGCACCTGTTGGTTTGTCTAAGATGCTGAAGGGGAAACAGTGGAGCATAAGGCATTTATATGAAGAGATTCTGCTACCTTTCCAGAAAAAGGCCAAGACTGCTTCTAGAGTCCTCCTAACCGGAATATGGTGTTGTTTACAATCTGCTGAATGTGGAATTAAAATGATATTTTTGCAGAAGCACGTAATTGTGTGGTGTAGTTGTTAAGAGCACACAACTGGGACTCAGGCAATGCAGGTTCTAGTCCAATGCAGGTTGCTATGGAGCCAACCAGGTGATTTTGGGCAGGTCACAGACACTCGGCCAGGCCTACCTCACAGGGTTGTTGTTGTGAGGATGAGACTGAGAGCAGGAGGAGGAGAATGACCTGAGCCACTTTGAGTTCTTTGTTTTAAAAAAAGACAGAATATGAATCTAACAAAAAATAAATAGCCCCTTTTCATCACTAACCCTCCCATAATATAAGTTCTATTGAGTAGAGGGTCCCAGAAACATTAAATATTTCTTCTTCCTCTGCAATATCTTGTTTGAAATTTGGACCAAACCCTAGCTGATTTATAACAGAAACAGAAGGGATATGAACCTTCCATGTGGTCACGTGCCTTTTCTATTTAATCAGAGGTTGTTATTATCATGTTTATTTTTTCCATTTGACATGATCCACCACATTTATCAATTTAATTTATAAACACTAAATAAACAACCTGATATCTGCCAGAAGTTTTTGACTAAAACTCCAATCTTGACTTGGACAAATGGAAGTTGTAGTCCAAAATATTTGAGAGTTGCCTACCCTGCTTATAAACTTTCTCTGTTGAATATGCCTTATTGCTTCTGTTATACAATTCACAATTTGATACTGGGGCAATTCAGAAGGGAATTTAAGGGGAATTAATAGACTATTCTTTACTATTCCCCTTCCCCAACTATGGAAAGCAATAAAATTTGCTGAACCAGCAAAGAGGAAGTGTGTTATTAAAGCCATGGAGCCCTTAAAATCCTCAGGCCGCACTCCTGTGCATGCTTCCTTAAATCCTGTTGAACTTCTGGCCAGACCTGCATGAAATTGCACTATTAGCAGATTTTTTCCCAGACTGGCAAGTGCAGCAATCACAGTAACAAATCATCACAATACAGATTTTGGGAACACACACACACACACACACACACACACACACACACACACACGGAAGAGCAGCACCCAAATCACTGGAATGCAAAAGGCTGACAATTATGTCATCTGAATATCTGGCAAAGTGGTTGAACCCCAGAACAAAAATTCCAGAGAAAAGGGCTAGAGAGAGACTGAGAGGGAGAGTTGCGGGGAAGAAACCTGATTTGGAAGCATGAACAAAAGCTATTTGGTCTCTTTTACCATTAAAAGCTAAAATAGTACCTTAGTTTGATAATCTGTGTTACCATATTACCAAGTTTTGTATTCTGGAAGTTAAAAACCTGTTTTAAAAGACATTATGGAATCCATGCTTAACACCTTTGCCTTTCAATACTCCCTTTTGTTTTCATAAAGAGCTCATTGGAAGAGAACTTGTGCAAAACACACATAATACTTGGACAGCATTTGTGGTCTGACTTGGTCAAAACAAGAATCCTGAGGACATTGTCTGGACATACAGTGACATTCACTAGCCAGGTAAAATAATTTGAATGCTATTTTCAGATTTGGGTTGATGTTCTAAAAACTGGGCCAGCCTGACATTTATCTTCACTTTATTATTTCCTTCTTAAAGTTTGTGTTGAAGTCTTCTGCCTAATTTCAAATGCCATAAGAAAGACATGTCCAATGCTTTCTTTTGAAATTGTCAGTGTGGTGTAGTGGTTAAGAGCACGGGACTGGGACTCAGACGACCTGGGTTCTAGTCCCCGCTCAGCCATGGAGCCACCTGGGTGACTTTGGGCCAGTCACAGACTCTCAGCCCAACCTCCCTCACAGGGTTGCTGTTGTGGGGATAAGATGGAGGAGGAGAATGATGTAAGCTGCCTTGAGCCCTTTGTAGGAAAAGGCAGGATATAAATCGGAAAATAAATAAATAAATAAATAAATAAAAGTATAATGTTCTATGTCTTATGGATTTAGCACAAAATATTATCCCTTTGGCATTTCCTTTGCTTGCTAGTAGATGTTCAAAATAATGTTTGAAGATGTTCCTAATCAATGAACAATTCTTGTTGCATTTCTTCCATCTGTCTAGGTAGCTTTCTAGACCAACATGGTACAGTGAAGCATCCAGGGTTCTCTGGGGCAATGTGTCCAAGCATTTGGATTAGCGGGGCTTATGTCATCATTTGCCACTACCTTTGGACTTTCTATTCCCTCTGAGTTTGGCTGCAAGTCACACAGCAGCTGGTTGGAAATGAATTTTCCTATATCCTGAAGTGCCTGATCCTGCCCAATCTTGGAAGCTAAGCAGGATCAGGCCTGGTTAGAAACTGGATGGGTGACTAGAGTGTGCAGTTCTATGTATATTGTTTTGAACCACTCAAAGAGCTTTGGCTATAAGCAGCATAGAAACGTTAATAATATTCATACTCATAATAACTGTCTGAATTGTTGGGTTCCCTTTGGAGGCATAATTATAGAGATTGCTGTGAGCACCTGCACTTCAAGATGTTCTGTGACAGCACTGAGCTAGATACATAACTGGATATATTTAGGCAGGAGATTGAAGACTAAGGAAGACATGGGGGCTGTCTTCAAGTATCTGAAGAGCTGTCATGCCAAAGATGGGGTACATGTACTGAGGACAAGACTAAAATCAATTGGTGGAATTTATTTATTTATTTATTTATTTATTAAAACATTTTTATGCCGCCCCATTCACCGAACAAGGCTCTTAGTTAAATACTAGGAGAAGTTGCATAGTGGAACAGACTAGCTCAGGTGGTGATGGGTTTTCCTTCCCTAGAGATATTTAAGTGGAAGCTGGACAGCCATCTCTCTGAGATGCTTCAGTAGTTACACCTAGTGTTGTAGATCTTGCATTGAGCAGGGGGCTTGACCAGATGACCTCAAGGTCCCTTCCAACCCTAAAATTCAATTATTCTAGTAGACAAGGCTAGGAGGAAATTGCATAATGCCTTCTGCTAGCTGAAGGACGTGCTGAGTTTCAGTTCTCTTTTCTTGTGTGTGTATCTTGTGCCAAGTCAAGGAAAGCCTTTCTGCATGCAGAGAGCTACCTCTGAAACCAAAATGTTCAAAGACAATCCTTTTAATAATACAGTAAGCTGATTCTCTTAGGGGGTCAATCCCATTTTATGAGCTAAGAGGAAAGATTGCAATATTCATCCAAATACATGGTTTTTTAAATTAACTATTCAGTAAATAATTCAGCTTTATGCAGATGATGAAAAGCGAGTAATATACCCAATTTAATTTTCATGTGAAACAAGAACTGTGATAAATATTGCAAAATAACCAGGAAAACTGGTGTAGCAATTAATTAGATTAGATTAGATAGACCAGTATAGAGACCAGTTGCCAGAAGAGCAAGAGAGGTGGTCAGTATTTTTTCCCCTTTGGACAGTTTATTTTTAGCTGGACACTTTTGGGGAGTAAACCACTTCCATGGCCTCTGATCTTCTAAGCCACCAAAAACTACTGGGCTCTTTCTCTGGCTGTACCATCAGACTGACTATCATGATAGAAGGGTAACTTGTTTAAAGAGCTGATGGCCCTCTTGCAAAGAACAAGTGAGTGCAAAACAGCTTTTGGGTGGGGGGTAGTGGGGGAGCATGCATACACACACGTCTGTGCTTAATAGTTCTGTCAAATCTTCTTAGTTTAATTCCACACACCCCACATCAAAAAACAATGTCCCAAACCTCTACCATACATGTTAGAGAATAATTGCCATGTAGAACATTGATGTAGGTGTCTTTGCACTAAACATGGAAACTGGGTTACAGTACAATCCTAGGCATGTCTACTCAGGAGTAAGCATGTATAGAATCGCCACCTTAATAGCCTTCCGATCTCCCCAGGAACCCCAGGAATTGTTCTGCAAGTAGGACTTGGAATGTCTTGGCAGAGAATCCTTCCTCAAACTACAGTTTGCAGGATTCTGTGGGTGAAGCCATCAATATTCACTGCATAGGAGGTGTGTCTGTGTGTGTGTTAAGAGCAGTTCCCCTCTAAAACATGGTCTTTTGATCTAAAGAAAGTGCAGTTTTATGTATTATTTAAGATTACCTTAGGTAGCTGACAAGATTCAGGCTGCTCTGTGCATTGGACTAGCTTTGTTCTTCTGTAGGAAAAAATAATGCATGCAGGTCATACTGTACTTGCAGCAAGACTAGATACCACAGATGTGTATGTAGATGCATTTTAATTGCCACGCTGAAACTTGCACCACTGAATAATCATGTATTACTTTCCCATTTGTCATGAACCAAGTACTACCAGTTTTCAGATGCCCCACAACAATACTATATGCTGAGACAAGGGAATTTGCCAGCTGCTAACGGCATTATACACACTGTCAGTCTAATGAGGAAACAACCTGCCTTGGACAACCTTGGAAATGTTCAGGTATGTTGGATGCTCTTTTTCCTTATGGAAACTGAGAAGGAGGCAGACTAGGAGGTCAAATACTTTATACAAAGTAATATAAAGATGTTGGGCATAATCACTTCCCCCCCATATTAATATGGAGAGCTCACCCATTAGCAGACTTCTCCAATGAACCCCCAGACAGGATCTGAATTCTGGTGGACAGCTTTAGAAATATGATTACTGCTCTGTGAAAACCCTGCGGATAAATACGAGAACTAAATGTTAAAAGATGTGTGCACCTCATCCCTCCCCCACCACCCCATTCTTCTTTTTAGCACTCTTAAATGAGAGGTACAAAACTATTTTCTCTTGAATCAATTGTGTCCCGTCCTTCTGGTGCTAACCGCAGCCCCCGAATTCCTGAGCAGAAGGGGCACCTTGTCTTAATTTTAATTGGCTATGCCCCCAAAGGGATTTTTATCATGCATGGATTCATCAATATTTGTAGAGGGAAGTCTTTTAAACAGGGTTATACAGCAGTAAAACTGCATTTGGATTGACTATGAATGTGAAAGTGGATATACCAGCTAAAGGCCAACAATGAGCTATTTACTTTGCATTTTTATCCTATGGTTCATATGGTGTGCATAGCTTGGAATCCATTTTGAAATGCAAAAAGATATAAAATACAGGAAATGCATGATTTAAATATATACTTACATACACATTTAGAGTTAAAATCTAAATTAGTTTAAGAACAGGTAAAAACTATTGCACTCTGTGAACTCAGGGTAAACATTCTTGGAAATTTTCTGGTAGTGGTGCTGGGAGCTCAGAGTACTGCTTTTACCATAATATTTATCCTGCCCTGAATAATAATTCAAACTGAATGTTATTGATTGTTCACATTTTAAGGGCATGTTGCCTTATTTGCTCTAAATCTGCCTTTCTCTTGTGTCTTGCAGAAAACAATTGCAGAGATTCTTGCTTCCGCAGAAGTTGCCAGCCGCTTTGAAACCATCCTGGAAGTAAGAAATCCCACCCACACATGGGTCAGGCAAAAAAAGTGTTTTAGTCATGACAGCATTTTCTCAGCATTTTCTCTGTGGCTTGTTCAGTACCACAGGGGTCTCTTTTCAGACATTTTATTTGAAGAGCATTAGGGATGTTAGAAAAATTTTCTCCATGGAGAGAACAAAGGGAGAGGGGGCAATAGCAGAACAGGTTAAAATCTGCAGAAAGAAGTAAGCTCTGGTTTGAAAGGTTTATTCTCGTAAAGGAAACCCACTGAGAGCATTTTGCTAATGTCTTCATTGGAGGAAGGTGAGATTTAGTCTTTTTTTCTTCTTTATAGAATGGGCTTTTTGGAAGCGTCCTGTAGCGTCTTTCTCCCAGAAAGAGTATTTCTTCCCACAAGAGGAGTATCTGGGTGCTTCTAGATTGACTGCTTTTAGTGCTAGCAATAAAAAGGCATCGCTCAACACTGTCTTTTTCCAATGCTCTCCTTGTTTGTTATTCTTTCTGCACAGAAAAGGAGCAAAACACAAGGGTTACATGTGGAAGTTGATGGTACCTATCTGGGCACACACCCCCTGCCAATTCCACTCTTAAGACTAGATGATTGCAGGATAAGCCCTCTCCTCAAATGTCTTCTCTTTAGAATCCTCTAGAAAAAAACATTTCCTTGGAGCTCTTCTTTGTGAAAGTCAATGCATGTCTGCTCAGAAGTATGGCCCATTGCATTCCACGGGGCCTGCTCCTGGTTAGCATTGCAGCATCAGTGCGCAAAAAGTTCAGATCCTTCTATCTTAGGGCTTTCCAATAAAGCACTAATATAAAATCATCTTTCTTGAAAAGATTTGCCAGTATATCAGGCAGAAGCCATTTTCTGTTTTCTTCAAGAACACTGACAGCAAAAGACAGGCTGTGGCTAGAATCCAAGAGAATTAAACACATTTAAGAACAGTTGCTTTTAGTGAAGTAATGCCTGTTTTGGATCTTAGTCAGAATGTACTAAAAAGAATGAATTAAATATTTAACGAAATCCCTCCCAGGGCAACAAAGAGAGTTCATACAAAGTTCCAAGGCTTCCTTTACAAAATATCTATGGCTTCAGTGCCATCGCACTGTGATTCCCCAAGCCCAGTTGACAGGTGGATCATTGATCAGTAAGAGGCAGCTGAATGGAATCTACCTGCGCTTTTCATATCAACGGTGAAAAATCCCTTGCTGTCAACTTGCAAGGACCCCTTTTCTTTCAGCTGAGCCCTCAGTTTAGTCTCTCACCCAGGAGGGAGATCTGAATGCCACCCAGAACTAGAACTATCTGGTTCTGCTTCTTTATATGAGATCTCCTGAACATGGTTGCAGAAGAAAGGTTTCTTCGTTGAAGTTGCCATCTCTGTTGTTTATGGATGCAGCTTATTAACTTTGCTCAGGGCACAGGAATGTGACTGGTTCTTCTCTCATTAACTGAGCCTGATCTAGCCACAGTTTGTCACACCTAGTCCTGGGGAAATCGGTGGCCTTTAAATGAGTTACTACTTGCTGGTATCGTTTCCATGGGACTCGTCTCTAGCTGGACTGGGGCCTGTATACGGAACATAATTCAAATGTACATTTTTACACCCAGCAAAATGCTGGGAGAAAAGTATAATGAATCATTCACCTTGACCTGTCACCATTGCATCAGGGTACACATGTAAAAGCTGTTATTTTACTAAATAAAAATTGTTTTAGCCCAGAGTGATCTATGGTGGTGCTTCATATTTTGTAGAACTGTGATATGCCTTCAATCCTGGACAACCCTGGACCTTTTACTGTATTTGTACCAAGTAATGAAGCTGTGGATAAATTAAGAGATGGAAGGCTAATTTATCTCTTCACACAGGTGAGGTCCTGGTTACAAATTACATTAGAAGAATGAGAAACTTTAGCACTCTCCTAAAGACATCTTCAGTCGTCATCTTGCTCATAGGCAGAGATGGTGCAGCTATACCATTCTTCCTCAGCTTGACTTCCCCCAGATTGAGCTAGCAGGGTCATTTGCTGGGGATGATGGGCACTGTGCTTCAAACTGTATCAGGTTAGGGAACTCTGGTTTGCTCTGTGGTTTTGCCTTAACTAATCTTCAGAGGAAATGAGCCAGTCATAGGACTTTCTTTTAAATGACTCGCCTCTCTGAAAGCCAACATGCTATAAAATTACTAAAGAAACCGCTATCCTGTAGGGATCAACATAGATTCATAGTTTTATAGAACAGCAGTGTCAGAAGGAGCCAAGAAGGCCATCAGGTCAATCCCGCTGCTGGTGCAGAACACTAAGTCACATTATCCTGTAAGTCATAGCTGCACATGCAGTTCTTCGTTTTTATTTTTACTACAGGTATTCCAGCTGTGCAGTCATATCCTATAATCTGTCAGTGTGTGATTTGGCGGGGCAACTGCATTGGCTCCTGGAGGCAATACTTTTGGAAGAATATAGACATTTCTTAAACAAAATGAAAGAAGTAACATTCTCTGTCCACTTTAGTCTCAAGTACAGCTACCCTTGCATACAGCCCAAAGCTTGAAACTTGCTTTAAAATATGCCCTCCCCACCCCCCACCCCATGTGTGTGTGTGCACATTGGGAAACCCAGAATTCAGGGACCCTTGATCTGTGATTTGTTTAGTAAGGCATCTGTCTTGGAAATCTGTCCTGCAGCTTTCTCAACACACTTGGGAAGAGAAACTGGGCAGGAGCACTAAAAAAAGATGCATTAGCACACTTGCTCGCTTTAGGATGCTGGCTTGACACTGGTTGGAGTGTACAAGCAGGATCTTCAGGGGGGCAAGTATTATGTGTCCAAAACAATGCCTTAGTTCCTGGGTTATCACCTTATCCTTTTGCCCTTGCTGGTCAGCAGCTTTGTTCCTTGACCTTTGGTACCTTAGTCTTACTGAATATCCTGCATACACAAGGATGTTATCAAAAGAATATCTGCTCAGAACATTTATAAATATTTAAAAAATGTTTCCATGGTATATACTTGAACTTTTTAGGGGGGGGAAACTATTCTTGGTATATTTGAACAAATGATGCTCTCCTTCCTTTAGTGCTTCAGGAAGAAACTCTGATTTGAGGCATAATTTGCATGCTCAAGCCTTTAGCATTTACATTAGCAATCAGCATCCATTATTGTAAAACATCTAGGGATAACACATAATTGCTTTCTTCCTGTTCTAGGGAATAAACAAGCTTCAGGAACTTGTGAAGCATCATATCTACCCAAGAGGAGCGGTAAGGTGTTCCCATTCCCAGCTCTAGGGGCTCATTTCTTCCCATTTCCAAGCAATCAGGTCCAGGTCAAGACTCCTTGGGTATTGGTTGGATTCATGGTTTTCCTGAGGCATCTTCACCACTTAAGCTTGCTATAGGACAGGTGGTATGGGGAACTGCAAACCCTCAGCATGTTGCTGGACACCAACACCCAGCATCCTCAGCCAGCACAGTTAATGATCTGAGGTGGGAAATGTAGTTCATTGACATCTGGAGCCTACAGGTTCCCTGTTATAGTGAGCTAAAGCAATGACCATAAGACATCACAAGCATCAAAGGACTTGATTATTCACTACCCTAGGCACTTTTAAGGATGCATTCATTTAAAGAAGACTTTGATATGCACATTTTGAAATAGAAATACATTTAAAAGCAGGTGATTTTGGTCCATTCTGTGGCAGCTCTAGCATATCCATATGTTTTGCAAATGGTTTTTCTAGATAGAAGATCTGCATGTTTGCTTGGTATTATCCACCTAATTGTATGTGTGATTCTAGGAAATGCAAACATTTCCTTGGAGTGAAGTATAGCACCTGCCCTCTGAACTGGCTTTTCAATAAGAGACAATTTGGTAGTAGCAGTCATTTGAATATTTGTTCCTTTCTTTGGCATCTTTTAGCAAGGCATTTCATCTCTGTGTCTCTGGTCTGGGCTCTAAAATCATTGATCTACTTGCAAATATGTAAGCTTTTCCCTATCAAAAGTCCCCAGGCTGCACGTTGCATACAACAGAACCTAACAACCCAGGAACTTCCTTTCTGCCCAGACCTGAATCTCAGATTTTGGAAGACTGGAAGGAATCTAAATACTGTCAGATTCCAGTTCTAGTAGACACATTTTAGAAACCAAGGTAGAGAAACTAAGTTTAATTCACACCCCTATTTTTGTTGGGCAATTTGCTTTGTACTTCCTTCTTATCCTCCTAGTTTGTGAGTTGAAGCCAAGGGGTGTAACCCGCAGCCAATAAAAGATTTGAAGCAGGAGCCCTATGTCCAAAAGTTGCACTTTATCCACTGCTACACCCTGGTTTTGTGGATTAATTGAATTCAGTGGGTGCATAGCAGGCTTCATCAAGTTTTCCTCTTTTCCCTCAAGAGCCTTATGCCTCACACATGTTTGAAATACTTCACTACTCAGTTCAGAATACTACATTTCTTATAGCCCTCATCCTGTATCATAGGTAATTGGCATTCCCATAGTGCACATTCTGTACCGTAAGCTACATACAGGTAGTCCTGCCAGTAAGTAGTCCTGTAAGACATTGTTACAAAGCACCTAGTCCAAAAAGTTCCTGATTTTGCCTTCTGCCTTCATATTTTCCCCACTACAGATCAAAACCTGCACAGGTACCCCAAGATCCCCACACATATATTGCGCTTTTGGAGTTGGAAATGACCCCTAATGTAGCCAGTTTTTTGTTAATGGAGAAGGGCCATAAATCAATGGCAGGGTACACGTTCTGCACACAAAGATTCCCAGGTTCAATTCCTGACATGTGCAGGTGTGTCTGGGAGATGCCAGCCACTGCCACACTGCTAAGTCAGTGTAGACCAGGGGTCTCAAACTCGCGGCCCGTGGGATGCTATTTTGTGCCCCCCACTTGATACCAAAGTTTAGTGATAGTGCAGCCCGCGCGTTTTCCTCACACGCACCGGCGTGAGTCGTTGCCCTGGGCGCAGTGTCCCCTCGAAGCTGCGCGCCGGGCCAGGCGGGGCGTGGGGGAGGGGCCCTGCGGCCTTCAAGCGCCGGCCTCCGGGAGCCACGTGGATGAGCGGCCCACCACCACCGCCTGATGTGGCCCAGCCTCACCCAGACTCTACTTCCAGCGGCCCCCAGGGAAGTTGGGTTTGAGACCCCTGGTGTAGACAGTACTGGGCAAGATGGACCAATACTCTGACCCAGTATAAAAGAGTTCCTATGTGACTAATCAGGGAAAACAATCACTTGCTTATTTAACTTTGTTTTCTGCATACTATAGGACAGTTAAACACAGTTCAGTGTAATTTATAACTATTTCCCCATATTGATGCTGAATGCTTGATGCTGCCACTCAACTTTCCCTTTCAATGAGATCAAGCCTTATTTATGAAACATGCTTCCAGCAGGTATATTGCACCAGGCCTCTTAGTCCCCAGGAACAGCGCATGGGGTGATAACACAGTTTCTGGACCGTTGTGCTTTGTTCTGCGGCAGGAAAAGGGGGAGTCTGCATAATTGAATGTTCCATCTTTAAAACGGCAGCCATATAGAAAAGCAGCTGTCAGGGAGAGAACTGTGTTGATCTGTCCCTCCCACCCATCCTGCCATGCACCACTGAAAGTCCAAGAGCAGTCTTGCCGTCTCTTTTGCTGTTTGTGTGAATGAAGCCTTAGCTCAGTGTAGCCAACGTTTGCCACAGTGCAGTTAGCTCTCAAATGGGCAGGAATCTTTTAAAGCCGATGGCATTCATCGGACTCGAATTGCTCCTGAAAAGATGGAGCTGCATTTCCTGCAGGTGTCTCATAAATCTGGAAGTACTGATGTCATTGTAAAACAAACAGGCACACAACACAAAGGGGAAGATCCTGATTGATGTTTGGCCTGCTTCCGCTCAGCTCGTTCTCTGTCCCATCCATCCTTTCCATTCCATAGACATCCAGGTGCTATTATCTGGGTGCATCCTGCCAACAGCTGGGCTGCTATTAGACAGAGCTCTTTCTCTGGGTGTTCGATCAAGGACTTGATAAGAAGCCAAGCGGCTTGCTGAGATATAAGTTCAGGGAATAAAAGACCTACTCAGGGGGCAATTGCTGGATGTGGATGCTGTGCCACCCTGCACTTTCAGATTTGGTGGCATTTGGTGTTAGAAGCAATGGCAGAGAGTCTAGGGAAGAAACCCACAAAAGTTCCTGGGAAGATTAAAAGAGTGAGTAGAATTGGTTCTAAGGAAGTTGGGAAGTTGGTTTTAAGTTGGGAAGAGCCGGGATCTTCACTTCACAGTCATCTGAAAGGAAAGGTCTAGCAGCCTGTTGCTTGTAATACAAAGGTGGGTGTTTACCGGTAATTCATGACAGGCCAGCTTGGCACTGGAAATGCCAGACTACAATATTTACAGAATTTCTGGTAATCATGTTATCGCTCAAAGCTGAACCACATTAAATTTAGGCAACCTGGCTAATTTAAAAGTCCCTCAACCATTTGGAAGGTGTCCTTTGTCGCTTATTTTAAGACACATGTTCAAATGTCCTGATTCCAAAATATTCTAATAAGCAGGATACTTTGGGGGCATGCGTTGTATCCAGCAGGGCATTCCAGTGGTACAAGTGATGTTTCACTAGCCCAGGAGTGCAGAACTGCCAGCCTGGCCTGGCCTCCACCACCTCTTGGAGTTCTTCCATGAGGTGGGCTTAGCCTCCAAGCCCCCCTCCCAAGGAATCCCCTCAGAGGCATCCCCACTGCTGCCTCCAGGCTGGATGACCTACGCTTGAGCTGCTTGTGCTGGGGAGAGGGCCTGTTATTGTTCACATGAGTGAGTGTCATTGCTCCTCATGCATGGAAATACTGCAACTGTTTGCACTCTCTTCACCACCACTCTGCCCTTTGATGGGCTGTTTTACAAATGCTCTGTTATCAGATAATTTTATTAGCAGGAAGGATGCCTTGAACTGCATCTGTACCACATTTCAGAATCTGATGGAAAAAGATCAAGGCCCCTGTAGTTTCAAGCCAGCAGATCTATCCAAGGGAGCAAATGTGATCAAGAATGAGTAACAGTTCTCAACTGAGCAGAGTCTAGATCATGGGTCCTCAAACTATGCCCCTCGGGCTGGATCCGGCCCACCACGCCCACTGATCTGGCCCACCATAGCACATGTGGCGAGGTGCCGGCTTGCTCACAAGGAAATTGTTTTGGACTCGCTCGGAGAAAAGGATCTCCTTGCGAGCAAGCCGGCACTTTGCTGGGTGATCCTTTTCTCCGAGCGAGTCCAAAACGATCTCCTTGTGAGCAAGCCAGTCCCGAGGCACCGGCTTGCTCACAAGGAGATCGTTTTGGACTCGTTGGGAGATAAGGATCTCTGCGCACGCCTGCCCCTGCCTTTCTGCGTGCACACGCCCACCCCCAGGCCTGTGTCCCCTGCCCACACCACCTTGGCGGTCCACGCCCACCCCTGGCACCTTTCAACTGGCCCCCTATTCAAAAAGTTTGAGGACCCCTCAAACGTGGTCTAGATCATGAGGGGAAGCTACCAAAGAAGCAAAGCACACAGTCACTGGACAGTTTAGAAGGCATCCCTCTTCATTTTTGCCCCTGTCTTTCTCTCCTGAATGGGTTGCGTGAAGAAGCAAAGGGGGACATGGGAGGACCACTAATGGGAGGTGGCCACATCTGGGCATAGCCCAGTCAAGTTCCATAAATGATGCAGGACAAGAAAAGCCTTTCTTTCATGGGAAAGGAGCCCTGTCTCTCCATCAAGCCAAGCATCTTGGTTAGCAAATGAAAGTGGCTAACGAACAGAAAGGGCCGGTTCATGATTCAAGTTCCTGAATGTCTCAGTGCAACACACACTTTGTTTTCCAGGTGAAAGCTGAAAAACTGGTGACCATGCCACATATTCTCACTATGGCAAATCAGATGCTGACAGTCCGTATCAGCGAAGATGTGAGTTCAGCCAATTGAAATGAATGTAATGCTGGTGGGGAAAGCCAGGCAAATGCTTGCGACTTTTGACATCTGCACAGATTTATGTAAACATACTGGGTCTCTGTGCAGGGCTTCCTCCGGTAGTAAGGGGACATTTTGATGGTTTTTCTACCAAAGAAGCATTTAGGCCAAGTTCAGTTTATTGCCAACTCTGCCTGACAGGGCTCTCTTTCAGTGTTTTCTTCCTGCCACAAAGTGGGCTTTACTCTGAAGCAGACCCCGTTTCTTTTACCACAGGGAAAGCTTCAGCTTGGTGATGCCGCCGTTGCCTTAAGCACAATGGACATTGTGGCATCCAACGGTGTCATTCATCTGCTGGATGGGATCTTCATTCCTCCGTCTATAGTCCCCATTCTGCCAAACAGGTGCAGTGAGCTGCATTACAGAATCAAAGAGGTGAGTCAAAGCTGTCCAGCCTCTATCCTTCTCTGATGGGCCTATGCTCTGTGAAAGTCTCTGATGAGGGGAAAGTCTGGGCCTCTGCACGGTGCATGCTCCATCTTGCTCACGTGGACCCCCTGGGTAATCATTTCCTTGGCGAAACCTTTCTGCTGAGTCAGCTGTTTCCCCAGTGAGTTTCCTCTTTTGCCGGGAGACCAGGAGTTAGTCTTCTGGTGGAGTATGTGGCTTTATTTTTCCGTGTCATGCCATTGATATTTATGACTCAGAAAATAGCTTGGCTTTCTGGAGACCTTCCTATTGTGACTGCCGTGAGAATTGGGGCTTTTCCTGTTGACACAGCTCCCACCTATTGGCCTGAAGATGTTTCACCACCTCGCTCAGAACATCTGCTTCCTGTTGCTGAGATGGCGAGACGAACAGAGCTTGCAGACATGACCTGGTTGCTCTGAAGTTGCCGTAGCAGCTGCGCAAGCGGAGCCACCAGCCTTCGACTCGCATTTTATTGATTGATTCGGAGACAGGGTTGTCTAGAAAAGTCCTCCTCCAGTGTCGTAAATGATTGCCACAAGGGGTGTGAGCTTTCAGAGACATGTCCAGGCAACTCAGAATCTTTGTGAAATAGAAGGTCTGCTGAGCAGGAACGGGGCTTCTTCAGCCACCAGAGCTGCTGCTATTCCTATTACTGGCCCTGGAGCACAGGCCTGCTAGCAATGGGTGCATGGTAAGAGAAGCCCTGCTGGATCACACCAGGGCTTGTCTAGTCCAGCATTCTGCCCACAGGAAACCCACCAAAGAGACATGGGTGCAAGTGTGCCCTCCCACCCATGTTCCCCAGCAGCTGGCATACAGAGGCACACTGCCCCTGCTAGTGGGGGTAGCATGTAGCCATCAGCACTAGTAGCAACCCTACTTCCTCCCCACAGAGCCCCTATTTGCCCTGACCCCCAAAAAATGAATGCAGGAAAAGGTCTGCTTCATGCGGTAGCAGCTGCGTAAGTGGCAACACCGGGAGGTTCGCGCACGCTGGAATTCATGCTGGCTGGAAACTGCAAGACAGGAAACGTGAGCTAAAAGCAGTGAGAGGAAATCTGGGATGCAAGGACAGGAGTAGCATAAGGAGGATGGCTTGGAGGAGTCCGTCATGTCCTTCACCAGTCTTACAATGACAGGACAACTGAGCCAGGCATCACAGTGGCAGGAATTGCCTGCCACAGTGGCAGGAATTGCCAGTCTGTATCAGCAGCTGTTCTGCCAGGCTGCTGAAAAATCAGAGCAGGTTAAACCTTTAAGGCTAAAGCCGGCTGCAATCCACATGTAGGAAGGCTCAGTGCTTCTTCTCTGCCGCAGAGCATGGGGAGATTGTCAGTGTAGAAGCAGCTGTTTTCCCTCCAGTTGGGTTTTCCAGATGCATGTTTACTGTGTTGGGTGATGAAAAACCCTGTGGGTGATAGGGATGCCCAAATTTAGGTAAATTCTTTCCATCTGTGCTTTGTCAGGTGTCTTCTATTCTGTTCTCTCTTTCTTGGTGGAATCAGTATTATTGCCCTCAAATCTCAGTCAGCTTGCAAGAATTCTGCATAGCACTAATGTTTTAATCCACATTAGTGGGTGCACACACCAATGAGCACATTACTGCTCATCCACATCAACTCCTAATGCAAGGTAGCTCGATCTGCATGACTCCGAAAAAGTGGGTCCACTTCAGAGTCTGCAGGTCAGATTCACAGGTTTGTTTGAATCCATTGTGTATTTTTCCAGCCTCTCTGGTGGTGCTGAAGGAGAATGTATTTTGGAAATGATGAGTTTTCCAGGGTGGGTCACTGAAAGGGACAGGCAGATTGTCCATTGGCTGGTATGACTGTCTCCTTTGCTGTTAGGAGCAATATGGAAAGGAAATCATATGAACTTGTTACCCTGATTTGAAAGAATAGGTATCACTTAAAGGTCTAAGTGAATATTTATTCACTTAAAGGTTCACTTATGGTTTTAGCAGCATGTGCAGTATATTTCTGTGGTCCAGTGGCTGCAATGCAACTAAGAATCTGACTATACATCTGACACCATAGTAAATTTTGAACTCCTGAAATAAGGCTTCTTATTCTTGCTTTTGTATTGCAGGGATCTTGTGTTGACTGTGGGGCCCTTAATACCAGCATTTGCCCACCCGACAGCAAACCTGTGGTAAAGAATTTGTATTATTTATGGTGGTGATGGTGCTAGGAAAGACTGCAATTGGTAATGTATGATCCCTAATAGGATCAGCAGATACCAATATGAGAAATGAATAGTGTCAGATTCTGCTAAGTTCAGCCACTGAAATCAGCCTTGGAAATCCAAAATTTGTTCCAAATGAAAGGTAGAAGTTCAGTGCATACCTTCCAATAAATGAAGAAAAGAAGAAAATAAAAATCCAGATCCACCAACCTTATTAAGGGGCAGATCCAGAAACACTCTCATGCCTTTTTGATGTCAATTAGTGTCCATATTCTGGCATAATGGGATACAAATATCTCACTGGCTTGACAAAGTCCACCTTGACTGTAGCAGGCCAGAATGAGTCATGATTAATTGAAATCTGTTTGAAAAGACTTTTATTTGGCTGCCCTTGAAAGGGGTTTTGCTTGCTGATGTCTCAGATCTCAAAACTCTTCCCTTAACTCTCTTTAAGGAAGAATTTCCCCCTTAACAATGTTTCTATTAGTTTTCCTGTCAATTCATGGAATTTCAGATTGGCTATAGCAATTGGCATAGTGGCTGGGTTCTCACAACATGTTAACCCAACATGGAAACCCATGATTGGTGTGTCAGGTTGGTTGATGTTTGACTTTTAAACCATTCTGACAACCCAGTAGCTCAGTTAGACTGACCCATGATGAGTTGTCATATTATTTCGAGGCTCCGGCGAAGGGGGCGGCATAGAAGTGTGCTAAATAAATAAATAAATAAATTCATCCTGGACAGCACAACCCACTGAGGCTCAAGCCAAACCACTGGTGAGCTGCTTGGTGAGTGGCAAAACCCCTTGAAGAACTAAGGGGGTGAAACCTGTCAGATGTGTCAAAAGCCCAGAAAGAGCCCTGCTTGAGAAAAAGGACCACAGCCCCCCTTCGCAGCAAGATCCCGTGTTTTTGGTGGGGGGAACCTCGTGTCTTCTAAGGATTGCTATTATTTCAGGAACATGTAAAATCAGTAAGAATTTCCTGACCAGGGTGCATGGGACGGGGGACATAATTGCTTCCAGTGATACCCTCTAGTGTATGGGGGAGATGAGACGCTTGAAATGGAGTGACAGATATTTACTGGGCTGCCTGTTCCTGGTTTGTGCCAAAAAAACAGTCCTAGCTGATTGGTTCGAGTGCTGCTTTTTGGAAGAGGTTGTCCGGATCGCGCACACACACACACACACTCGCTTCTCAAAGCCAGATGCCAAAATAAAAGCACCAAAACATATTTTGAAGTCTTGGCTGCTTTGCTGCACTCTTGTTGAGTTGAGCTTGCATGATCAACTCAGAGTGAGATCAGCAGCATTCACTAAAAGCTGATGTCGGGGTTTTTGCCTCCTCACTTTCTGCATTGGGAAAGGGTGGCTACCTTGGGCTGGACTGGCTCCTAACCAAAGCAATTTGCTGGTGACCCAATTTCTGCTGCGTCTTCATTCTCGTTCATTGTTCTGCCTTTTCACAAGGCCAGCCACAGGAGGCTGTCCTAAAAAGCATGATCAGAGCAGGATGCTCAGAGAAGGTGCTTGTGTGGCTTTTCCTGACGGATATGCTATCAGCCCTGTTTCCCTTGGTTCCTCTGGGAACTTCCTCTGCTTGGGATGATCTGATGGGTGCATACAGGTCAGGGACGAAAAGCACTCTCTGTGTCCTCATCATCCATTTTATTTCCAAAGGAGGATGGGAGCTTTCCCGAAGACTGTACTTACATCCATGATTCATTAGGCCTGCACACCATAAAGAAGGGTTGCAGGAGAAGCTGCAACCAAACTGTTACGGTAAGAGGAGTGGCTCCCACATATTTCCCACAAAACAAAAAAGTCTTGTTTTTGAGGAGTTGATTACAGTGCCTGTGATACAATGGGAGAGCCCAAGATCACTTCTTCCTTTTGGCAATCCCTCTTGTCTGTAGAAGAAAGGAGTTCCAAACATAAACATGGATCCAACAGAGCAGACTTGGTTCTGCAGTATTAAAATGGCATAACTCATGAAACAATGTGCAAAGGTTAGTTTAAATGTAAGGTATTACAGTGTAGTTTCAGGTGATGTCCTTCATCTTTTTCAGACGCCTGGATGCTGCAAAGGGTTCTTTGGTCCCAACTGCATCCCATGCCCTGGTGGATTTAGCAACGCTTGCTATGGCAGAGGAGAGGTAAGTGGCAAAGAGTCTTCTGCACAGCTGGAGAACTGGAAGAGCTTTGTTTTTTAAATTAATTTTTTTGAAATAGATGCCATACTGATGACTCTAGCTACTTTTTACAATGCGGTGCTTGTCTGAGCCATGGCTTCCTGAATTTTGATCCAAGTGCTAAGAAATAATATCAGGGATTGTCACATGGAACTAATGTTACAATACATTCTGTTGAACTTTGCAAAGAGAAACACAAATCACCTTTGTTACTCTACTAATGGGCAGAGCAGAATGTCCCCAGCTGTGGTATTGAACATATAGAAGGAAGTCATGCATGCATCATTTCCAAAATGCTATGCCTGTAGGAATAACCTCACTGAAACAGAAGAATGAACTCTTAGTTTACTATTGCTGGGGGAGCTTTCTTCTACTCTAACATGTCCTTTTCCATTGGCTTTGTGTTGTAATGCAGGTGCACAGCTGGCATGTCATGTGGTTGCTTAGAAGTCATTAATTTAGAGCTGAACATTTATTTACTCAGTAGATTTATATCCCACTTTTTCTTTTTCAAAGAACTCAGTGCTCTCAGTCTTATCCCCACAACACCATCCCTGTGAGGTCAGTTGGGGTCAGGGTCTGTGACTGGCCCAAAGTCACCCAGTTGGCTCCATGGCTAAGTGGGATGAAGAGCCCAGATCACTTGAACCTCCATTGAGTTATAGGTATAATTAGCAAAGATCTACGTGAAAGTACAGTAGTACCTTGGCTCATGAACTTAATTCGTTCCAGGACTCTGGTCATGACCCAAGTTGGTCGTGAGCCAAGTTAAATTTCCCCATAATGTTCAATGTAAATAAGGTTAATCCGTTTTGTAACCATTGTTTAAATCAGAAAAATGTGAAGCAAAGTGACAACAACAAAGATTTTGGCCATCTCCCCGCCCCCTCCCCCAGCACGACTGAGATCATGCCTGTCATCCCTGCATGCACCTGTCATCCCGGTGCGCTGGGGGGTGGGGGGGGAGAGACAGGTATGATCACAGGCGCACTGGGGGAGGGAGAGATGGACAGAAACGGTGCGCTGGGGGTGGGGTGATGGCCTTGATCGCAGTTCCGTTTGTGCAGGGAAGGCGTGTGTGATCACAGGCGTGCTCCTGCAGGAAAGACAGGCAGAATCTCAGCCATCTCCCCCGCGGCTCTGCTTTGCTGCACCCATTTTTAGTGCAGCCGCGCTCCTCTGATCATGGATTGCAGTTGCTTTCGTGCAGGGAAGGTGTCCGTGATCAGAGGCGCGCGGCTGCACGAATGACAAACAGATTCTCAGCAATCTCCCCTGCAGCTCTGCTTTGCTGCACCCGTCTTTAGCGCAGCAGCACGCCTCCGATCACGGGCGCCTTCCCTGCACGAATGAAACTGCGATCGTGGCCATCTTCCCACCGGGGGGGGGGGGGGGGGGGGGAGTGGAGATGGCTGCGATCTTGGTCGCCACCCAAAGCAGTGTTCGTGACCCAAGTAAAAGTTTTTCAGTAATTTTTGTTCATGACCTGATTTGTTCGTGAGCCAAGGCATTCGTGAGCCGAGGTACCACTGTATGTAGCTGCAAAAATCATTTTGTATCAGGAAAAATCCAATAAGCTGTGTAAGTGTCACAAGGGGCATTTTTTTCTAGTCAAGCTCACTGGACTGGGAAAAGCCCCTGCAAGGATCCTTCTGCTACACCCTTTGGAGTTTGGTCTTGCAGCATGGCATTCCATCCACGTGTTGTGATTTGTCTTTCCTCCACAGTGCTCTGGTGGTATTAAAGGGAATGGCCAGTGCCACTGCTTCCCGGGCTTCAAAGGCATTGCCTGCCACATCTGCTCAGACCCGAACAAGCATGGGAAGAACTGTGATGAAGGTCTGTGCCTCTGAATCGGTAGGATGGCATCCAGAGGGGTGACCAACTCTCCATCTCCTCACAGTGATGGATTTTGTGGTTTTGCTTTTCACGCCAGTTTTATACCCTGATGAGATCAGCCAAAAATTGTGCCAAGTCCAATTTGGTAATCTTTAGGGTACCCCCACTTTGCTCCTTTCCCCACACACCTGACCATAGGACTCTGGATGCGCAGACACACTGACTTCAGCACCAGGTCGGACTTCTTGCTCCGCTGTTCCTTCCAGACCCACCCCTGCCTTGAAAAAGACCTACTTTTCATAACAACTTGCCTGATGAATAAACCTGGCACTGTCAAAACTTTGCACTTTTGTTGTGATCCTATGACTGACCTAATGCAGGTATTACACTAAAATAGATTTTGGATTTTGGAATTTTTCCTTACAGTCAACAAGGCTATTGTGTGTTTGTGTTATCATTGTGGTTTAGCCAAATGCTTTTTTTTCTTTTGCAGACTGTGGATGCATCCATGGAATTTGTGATAACAGACCAGGCAGCAGAGGTGTGTGCCAGCCACGGACATGTAAAGCCGGATACTCAGGGGAATTCTGTGACAAGAGCAGCCATAACTGCGGGCCGCCGGATGCCTCTCTGTACTGCCATGTGAATGCAGTCTGCAGCATCAACACGACTGCCAGGTAGTGCTCTTGACCTTGGGGTAGCACTTTCTGTGGACAGAAGTTGATCTGCGTTTGGACCCTAACCCAGTTCGAACTGTAGGATATATATCTCCTCTTTCCTTCCACCCACTAGGGAAAACTCTTTCCATCATTCATACCTTTACAGCTTCTCCTAAAAGGAGTTCGTAGAAGTCTCAGGGTGTAAACATGTCCTCTTCCTATTATTTTATCCTTACAACAACCTTGTGAGGTGGGTTAGGCTGAGAGCCAGTGAGTAGCCCAAAGTCTCCCAGTTAGCTTCATGAGGCCTAGAAGCTAGGACCTTCCAAGTCACCATATGGCACACTAGAACACACCAGCTTTCTGCACGGGCTCTAAAAACTGTCACCCTTTTCATCTCTCTTTGGAAAAGAACTTTTGCAAAGGCTGAAAAAGTCAGGAATGCAGTAGAAGAACCCATGAGAACAAGTTGGTTAAGGCTGAAATCTTCAGCTCACTTACCTGGGAGCATGTCCCTTTAATTCAATGGCGACATGGGCAAGAAAGTTGTTTCAGTTCAGATAAGGCTTTATCAAGGGGGGCATAGCATTTGTCTCTTAATGTTATTGAATCCTAGAGGTTTCCAAACATTATTGCTGGTGATATTTGCTCAAACTGAGTGACAAGGGGTTACCAGTAGCAAAAACTGCTTTGGGAAATAACAGTTCCCTTTGCTTATCTCCTAGGTGCATCTGCCTTGATGGGTATGAAGGGGATGGATTTTCCTGCAAGCCCATTGATATCTGCAGTGAGCCAGAATGGGCAGGATGTTCAGAAAACGTATGTGGGTAAAGCGTGTGTTCATGACTGGGCTATATTTGTGTGTGCATGCGCGCGCGCACAACATGCTACTTCCTGAGGACATTATCAGAGAAAGATGCTTTAGAATAAACCAATAGTGCGTGGAATTGAGGGTCAGTATAATTCTTGGCTTTCATCAAGACTGAGTCTTCCTTTTCATCAGCCTTGCACTCCATGAGGTAGTGTTAACCATGTTGCCAGCCTGAGATGGATCAAAATATGCATTTTGCATTGTATCACTTTGCCTGGCCTTTTCCCTTAACAAACAACTTGAGCAAAACACCGGCTGATTGGGAGCTACCAAAGAGAAAGAAAGAAAGAAAGAAAGAAAGAAAGAGAGAGAGAGAGAGAGAGAGAGAGAGAGAGAGAGAGAGAGAGAGAGAATTAGCATGGCTATGAACTTTTGGCCTTGAACTGGGGGCTCAGTAAGGCTGGCCTTTTCACGGAAGGCTTGCAAAATGCTATATCACCCATTTTCCATTATAAATGCTCCTTTTTACCCCTCATTACTGCTAAGGGTGGGAAATTCCCTTGAAACCATGATCTGGGAACACATTTTGTAGGATGCCTCTTATTTTCTGTGCCTTGTACCATCATGCGGAGGAAAGTTCGGGATACAAATTATGCCTGAATAGGGTACATAAACGTACATCAGGGGCCAGGCCTTCCTGTTCTCAACCTCTGCTCCTTGTTTTTTTTTTTTAAATTCCTGATCTTGATGGAGCAGCAAGATCTGAAGGGGGTTCTGCTCACATTCACCTGAATGTAAGTAAAGCTCCTTATGGAGTTGCGGTCTTGCTTGATCAGGGTTCATAATTGTCCAGGGGGTTCCTGAATGAGAACAGGAGACCCTTTCAGACCTCCTTGCTCACTGCAGGAGTGCTGGAGGCAAGGCTCACACCTGGGCCTGCTTTGAACCTATTTTATGTCCTCTGAGCTGGTGTTATGCCAGAATCGGGCAACTCTGCTTGCTTATTTTCTGCTCTTCTGATTATATTAGCTTCAGGAGAACAATCTGGTTCAGGGTCATGGTGCTGCGGGAGGGGGTTTAGACACCCCTTTTGCTCAGCACTGCAACACTTCAGCCCTAGCCCTCATTAGCAAAGGAAAAGTTAAAGTTGTACTTTTTAATTGTGGTCTAATTACTGCTAACTGCCTTGAGCACAATTTTGGAGGAGAAAATGACATATAAATCAAATAAATCCATTTAAGAATGCATTAAGTAGAAAACTGCATTTACCAGCAATTTGCACAGTTCTCCACTGACGTCAAAATTCCCTCCACTTCTTCTGGGATGTGATTCCGTCCTGACTTGCTTCTTACCAGGCCGTGTGCACCAGGACAGGCCCTGGGACAGCAACCTGCCAGTGCAACAAGGGTTGGACCGGCGATGGCAAGGCCTGTGTTGCCATTGACAACTGCGCGGCAGAGACCCGAGGAGGCTGCCACGCCAATGCTGACTGCAACTATATTGGGCCTGGACAGGTACGGAGAGCAGTCCCCCATCCTGCTGAAAAAGCTCTGTGGGAGCTGGCCGTGGGGCTCAGGTTCCAAGGGCCCCGGGGCCAGGCGCTCTCCGTGGACTCCCCCCAAGCTAGCCTGCCTTCTCGCCGCCATTACTGCCAGCTGGGCCGGCCCACTGTCCTCTTTGTTGTTGCTGCTGCTGCTCTCTCGCTTGCTTGTTTGCTTGGCAGGCAAGAGCTGGTGAGCTTGGCGGAGAGGCCTCTCCCGCTCCTCTCCGCCGCCATTGCCTGGGCCAGAGCAAGTGTGGGGCAGGGGAGTGAGGCAGCGGCAATGCTGAGGGGAAGAGCACACCCCAGGGGCCGGCCTACCCTCGGTGGCGGCCCTGGGCTCCTGCTGCTTCCCATGCTGCAGAGGCTTTCACATACGCGCCCCTGGCATGTTGCTGGTAGGATTGACTGCCACATGTTGCTGGTAGGATTGACTGCTGCAGGTACACAGCTGCTGCCTCCCCCCAAAATGCCGTGGCACAAGCTGTGCCAGCATAATAGTTTGCTTTTTCGAACTCTGTGTCAGGCTTCCCCAAACTAGTGCTTTTGAGACGTGTTGAGCTGCAAGTCACATCATTCCCAGTGGCCAATTCCAGCTGGGACTTATGGTACTTGCAGTCCAATACATCTGGAGGGTACGAGGTCAAGGGAAGGCTGCTCTGTGCAACTGAAAGTAATCAGAGTTGTTCTGGTGTCATTACATTACATTTACATCCCATCTTTATTTATTTATTTATTTATTTATTAAAACATTTTTATGCCGCCCCATTCGCCGAATCCTTGGGGCGGCTTACAACAAATAAGTTAAATAACATTTTAAAATATATACATTAAAATAAATTACAAATATACAATATAAAATAAGCCGCCCTGGCCAGAAAAATTCAATAATATTAACATTTAAAATGCTGCTTGAATAAAAAGGTCTTCACCTGGTGCCGTAAAACAAATAACGATGGCGCCAGGCGGACCTCTCTGGGGAGCACATTCCATAACTTAGGCGCCACTGCTGAGAAAGCCCTCCTCCGAGTACCCACCCTCCTAATTTTCTTCACTGAGGGCTCCCGGAGGAGGGCCTCTCCCGCTGATCTCAGGGGGCGGCTGGGCATATATAGATGTAAGCGCTCCTTCAGGTAACCAGGACCCAAGCCGTTTAGGGCTTTATAGGTCATCACCAACACCTTGAATTGGGCCCGGACTTCAATGGGGAGCCAGTGAAGCTGACAGAGAACTGTGAACATAACATCCAGTCCCCGTCAGCAACCTGGCAGCTCTATTTTGAACCAATTGAAGTATCCGGACCGTCTTCAAGGGTAGCCCCACGTAGAGCGCGTTACAGAAGTCAAGACGGGAAGTCACCAGTGCATGTGTCACTGTCGCAAGGCAGTCGTACTCCAGGTAGGGGCGCAGCTGATAAATCAGCCGAAGCTGGAGGAAAGCGCTCCTCACCGCTGCTGTTACTTGAGCTTCCAGTGAAAGCTCAGGGTCGAGGAGCACTCCCAAGCTGCAGACCTTGTCCCTAAGAGGGAGTGCAACCCCGTTCAGGACAAGGTTCAATTCACCCTCTCCGAAGCCCGATCCGCCAACCAACAGGACCTCCGTCTTGTCTGGATTGAGCTTCAGTTTATTGGCCCTCATCCAGCCCATTACCTCGGCCAGGCACCGGTTCAGTACAGCCACTGCCTCACCTGGATTGGTGGAAAACGAGAGGTAGAGCTGGGTATCATCAGCGTACTGATGGTTCCGCAGCCCACACCTCCTGATGACCTCTCCCAGCGGTTTCATGTAGATGTTGAACAGCAAAGGGGACAAAATGGACCCCTGCGGTACTCCATGGCATAGCTGCCATGGCACAGAGCCATAGTCCCCCAGCACCACCTTCTGGAATCGGCCGTTGAGATAGGAGCGGAACCACTGCAAAGCAGTGCCTCCGACCCCCAATCCCGCAAGCCTATCCAGAAGGATACCATGGTCGATGGTATCGAAAGCCGCTGAGAGGTCCAGGAGAACCAACAGGGACGCACTCCCCCTGTCCTTCTCCCTGCACAGGTCATCGTACAGGGCGACCAAGGCAGATTCAGTACCGTATCCGGGTCTAAAGCCGGACTGCAATGGGTCCAGATAATCAGTTTCATCCAAGAGTGCTTGGAGTTGTCCCACCACCACCCGCTCTAACACCTTGCCCAGAAACGGGATGTTGGCCACTGGTCTATAATTAGTGGCCATCTCTGGATCCAGTGACGCCTTCTTCAGGACCGGTCGGACTACCGCCTCCTTTAAAGGGGCAGGCACCTGACCCTCCCTCCAGGTTCCAATCCCGTGCTTGGAATCATTTATTAACCAAGACGGGCAAGGGTCCAAAAGGCAAGTGGTTGGACGTACTCGCCCAAGCACCTTGTCCACATCATTGGGCCGCAGTAACTGAAATTCATCCAATAAATCTGGACCAGACGGCAGCATTGGTGTCTCCTTTGAAACCTGAGGAAATCTTTCCTCATTGGACTCCAAGATGGCCCACACAATCCTCCTCCTCCTCTCCATTTTATCCTCACGACAAACCCATGAGGTAGGTTAGTCTGAGAGTCAGTGACTTCCCAAAGACTGAGCATCATGGCCAGGTCAGAACTAGAATGGGGACCAAATCTCCCAGGTCCCCATTCCAGCACTTTCATCACAACACCAACCTGGTTCATTTTAATGAAAATGAGGACCAGATCCTCATGTTTCTGCAGCCTATCCAGGCATGCATCTGCTCACCTATAGAGCTAAACAAGGAATGGAGACCTGAGTGTGCACCTAAGCTTCCTTGCACACCCAGCTTCTGATTAAACCTTTGCATGCTGGGTGTGAATGTCTGAGGACAGATCTGTAAGTGGGCTCAGCTGAACATGTTTACAGAGTTCCAGGATCAGAAATTGTGATCAGATGGGGGGCACACCCATGGGAGCTCTGTAAATGCATTCAGCTGAATGCACTTGCAGACCCTTCTTCAGGCCTTCATGTTCAGCATGTGAAAGTCTGGCAAGAAGCTGGAGGCAGGGCTCACATGCACACCCATGTCCCCATAACTACAGTCCAGCAGGTACATACCTGAATAGGGCTTGTGTATTTAATTGTGTCCAAGGGTGAGTAACTGCATGAAAATGAGCACTCCAGCCATGCTTTTGCCTTGTGAGATTCAGTGTTGCATGATCCAAGTATTCCTCTTAACAGATTTTCATCTGTTTCCAACTTTCAAGGAGAGGAGACGTGGGAAAGGCTATGAAAAGAGTCCTTTAAAATAAGACATTCGCATGGGACTTGTGGAAGGAATTTTAATATCAAGTAGTAACCATTGCTCCTACTGTTACTCCCTTCAGAGCAGCTGCGTGTGCAAGCAAGGCTACGATGGTGATGGCTACAGCTGCGACCCCATTGATCCTTGCTTGACTGACAACGGCGGTTGCCATGAATTGGTAAGAAACGGGAACTGCTTAGGAAAAGCTTCCTTGTAAAAACCTCATTATCTTTTAGTGCTAGGTACTGAATCGAAAACACTGGTCTGTGTTTCAAGAGAACTGCAGTAGTTCTGGGGAGCCAAGTAGACTGAGAGAGGCATTATTCCTTATTAAACGGGCACTCATTAATTTTGTCCCAGTTTTCCTTACGGCCAAACAAGTCTTTCAGGCTTGTGAAACACTGCAGGACTCCAAAAAGAAACCAGCACACAAAAACAGCAGTGAAACCTGGGTGAGTTCACAGTGGACTGCCTTTCCAGCCACTTTCAGTGTTCAGTATGTGTGTTATCCACCTCCATTCTCACTCATGTTGGTCCATGATGTTGATGAACTGCATGGGTATTTGCATCTTCATCTGTAAGGAGAATGCAGGTTTATGCAAAAGGAGAACCAGATTCTAAATCTCCTTTCACTTTTCATTCCCAAATAAATCCCCTGCCTCCAATTTTTGACTGGGGAAGAGTGGGGTTCATCATGCAAGTGTTTCAAAGTATATTGTTGTCACCTGACTGGGATGTCCTGCTTTCTCTGCCTCTTTGAATGCATAAGGTAATGGGCTCTGCTGTGCTTGTCGAACTGGATAAGAGGAGGACTGCTTACAAAGTTATGTTCCTGTGCTTATCTTTTGCTCTTTTGAAGCAGGGTGATGCCATATTGATTATGTACAGAGAAATCAGCTACTCCAGGACAGGTTCCTGGAAAATGGAAGATGGTTATTGTCATTAAAGCCCTACCCTTTGTTGCTGGAGACCAGGGCATAGGCCATTACTTAGCCATAACCATCCTTGAGCTGTGCCTAGTTTGCTAGATTATTATCCTGCTGAGGTTTGCTTTTGTTTGTCCAAAACCAACAGGCTGTATGCCAGACTCGTGGCCCTGGGGAGAAGGTTTGCCAGTGTCCTGAAGGCTACATGGGAGATGGAACTCTGTGTTATGGTGATGTTATCAAGGTAAAAAGGCACTCTGCTTTTCTATTGCGAGAGCTGATTTTATGAATGTCGCCTGGTGGTGGACCATGGCATGAAGCTTTTGCTCTGATACCTAGACATAGTCTTCCATGTACAAAAGAGCCCAGGTTCAGTCTCTGGCCTCTCCAGGTAGGTCTGAGATCCTGCTCGCTGCTTCCAGTTCGCACAGGGAATTTTGGACGAGATGCTTGAAATCAGCATCTTATTCTAGTGTTCCTGCATCGCACAGGAGTGCTAGAACACCCCAGCTCTCATATATCCTCTCCTAGCTTTGTTTTTCTGCTAATGAAAGAGCAAAATCTTACAGAAGATTTCCTGAGAAGCACTTTAGAAAGGGAAAGTTAGCATCCTGGCAAGAGCTTCCATGTCAAAGGACAGAACCCCAGCTGTGCTCCCTGTGCTCCTTGTCGCAGCATGCAATATGCTGATGCTGGGAAATTGACAGATTTGCTGCCTGCTTCTGATTCAGTGCTTGACATTGGGCCAAAAGAATGCTTTTTCTGCAGACTTCCATCTCTGACAAACTGATTTTTCTATTTTTTTAAGTGAAGGAAATTTGCACAAGTCACACAAGTTCCATAATTGGTGCACATTTACATGATTTGTGCACATTTCTGCAGTTTGCACACATCACAGTATTTTGCCTGTTCTGAGCAAACTGGCACCCAAAAAGCATGTGATCTACCACAATTGGTGTAAAATAGGCCAATGTGCAAAAATCAACACTGAAAATATATGTGGTCAGATTACAGTAGATCCATATGCTGTTCAGGTTCTGGTTTGCAAAGACTGGTTGATTTTACACACATTTCCTTAGTGTGTAAAATCACAAATCACAAGCTATCTTAGAGACAGATGTCTGCAAGTTGGTTCGGTTGTCCCATGAGTTGCCAGCTTGCTCGAGTTCACTTGAGTTGGTGCCATCTCCCGGCCAGTGAACTAGAATCAAGAAGATTCTTTTGGTTTTTTCACACTGCCCTAGGCCTCATCTGGAAATTTAGGAGTTGAGGTTTCATTTTCAGAGCTTTCTCCCAGAATGATGGTGCTTTGTGAATTAGACTAGTTAGCCTTGTGTGAAAACTGATCAGTTTGTAGTATAGAAGTGGCACTGTTGTGTCCAGGGCACAAGAATGGCACACCTTTCTCTGTCTCATCTATCTAACACATTGGCATTTCTGACTGTGTACAGCTGTGATATTAAGGAATCGGTCCAGATCATATTTATTATTATTATTATTATTATTATTTGTTTATTTATTTCTATACTGCTCAATAGTTAAGGCTATTAACAGTGTTGAAAAGCAAACATTTCAGAAGGTCAAGTTTACAGATAAATTGAAATGGAGCTGGCTTATAGAAATCTTCCATGCAAGGCATGCTGATTTCAGAAAGCCCCCTGGCAAAGAATGCTTCCTTTTACAGAATTCACTGTCCTGAGATGGTGCTGATAGCCACTACTATAAATGGATAAAAAACTCATGGACAGGTCTATCAACTGCAATTTGCTATGGCTGTTCAATGGAGCCTTCTCCTTCAGAGCAAGTTTACTTCTGAATACCAAAATTTGGGACCAAACAATTGCTGGACAGCTGTTGAGCCCAACTTGGCAATATATCTATTTCTTAAATACATCTTTTGCCGTTCCGCCAAATGTTGCTTGAAGTGGCAAGTGACAGTAAGATACAAACAGCAATGGAAATGAGAAATGCTGCAGGCAAAACAGCACTGATAAAATTTATAAACAAACCAAAGTCATTGAACAAATAGCATTGACAAATCTCTTTCTGCATAGAAATGTCTTTGTAGCCTGAGCACCTGGGTAGCCATGGCTGGAATCAGGTTGCTGGTGGGGCCCATTTGCAATCTTGATCCAACTGAGCAGCGACATGCAAATGCTGTCACTGCTCCCTTTTGGGCTGAGATGTCAAGGTCCACACCCTTCCTTTACCATTTTCTGTCTAAGTCCTCCTGCATGCTGCACTTCTTAAATGAATCAATCCATAACATCTTGTCTTCTCTTTTTGAAGGAATTAGCAAGGAACTACCACTTTTTAACCTTCTATGAATGGGTGAAGGTGAGACATTTTGCATTCAAAGTCATTGTTATTGCTTGCTTGCTTGCTCGTTGTTTCAGTACAAGGAAAATTATTGGAAATAGCCAAAAACCTGAAAATGAATGGGGCTGAGCACACAGTTCCACTGATGGAACCATTCCATTAAGAATTTTCGTGCAAAAGAAAGAAGCTGGCTGATTAGATAAGGCACTGTCAACATTCTCCTGTATTAATCTGCTCAGAAAAGTACGATCCATTGAGTTCAATGGGGCTGGCTCATAGGTTTCTCAAGAATTACAGCTTGTGCATAATAAAGACTGATGACTGGTGAATATAAGCAGGATGCTTATGTCTTCCTTAGTCTTCTGTTAAGTCTGCTTTCCTGATGGGTGATCAACAGGCTTCTGTATATTGTGGTTATGTAGCACCTTAGGCTGCAGTGTTGTTCTGTTCTGAGTGTGGAGTTGCAGAATGAAACTCCCTGCTGATGGCATTTGCCCCCCCCCCCCCCAGTCTGCTGTGTAGTTCATACTTTCAGTGCCATAAGAAGCTTCTGTGCCTTGGGGGCCTGCGCATTAACTGCACAGCGACATTAAAGGCGATTAACTCTTTGCTAGTAAGCTGTAATAGTTGGGTTCTCGGAGAAATCAGCCACTTTGGGACTGGATCACTGCATTGCTGGTGGCTGTGATGATGGTGAGATAAACCACGTATTCTGAGCTGGCAAAGATGGCTACCAATAATGCATTCTGCATTTTTCTTTCCTTGAACAAAAGAAATCCCTCTTCAGCTTCCCGCAGAAAGCCAATGTGACAGTCCTGGTACCATTAAAGACGGCCATCCAAAACCTGAGTGACGCTGAAAAAGATTTCTGGCTAGAACCTGACATGCTGCTAACTCTAGTCAGGTATCGTTGGTTTCTACTTCCTCCTCAGGATCTCTCTGTGCGTGCATGCACTCATGTATGTTAATTTTCTCCTAACATGTTGGAAAATGCCACAAACAGGGATGCTGATTTCAAATCTTTGACTGTTCCAAGGATTTTGGAACAGTTTTAATAGGATTTTCATACATTTCTCTGGTTCCAAAGGATCAAGGATCAGTGGAGGAGGTAAGGTTAAATCATCTCCTTGCTCATCCCAAGGAGTCCAGTTAATACTGCTACTGCTACAGTCAGACTTAATCAGATCTGGGCATGATGATTTGCCATGCTGTTTGCAGGGGGGTGGGGGTGCTTGTTGGCAAAAGCTCTGCAAGGTGAGCTTTTCTGGTTCTCTTTTACTAAGCTTGGGCTATGAGAAGGAGGCTTGTTGCCATGCCTGAAAGAGGTCTACCTTCAGAGTAATTGTGGATATATTCCTCTTTGTAAATCAAATCCCTTGTATGTTAATATCATGCATATACATACTCAGAGTCTCTTTATTGTGACCATCAGGTGAAGAAGGAACTAAGGGTTGCTTTCACACAAGCTGGGTTAAATGTTTTCCTGTTGGCAGATTATACTGAGCATCTGCAAAATATCTCAAGGAAACTTGGATTCTGCCCATGTAACATAGGAGTGGAGAAAGGCCTTGACCATTTTCTGTTGAACTATAAAATATTTACTATAGACAGTTGCTATCAGCCAAGAAGACCAAGCCCAAAAAATAGCTGTATTTGTGGTGTAGATGTCTTACTGGCCGGGACAACTACACCCTATTCGGAACAGCAAAGCAAAATATACTTTGCCTTGAAAGATCCAGTTAGTTCTGGATGCACTATGTAATTTGTATTGTTAATGAGCTGGGAATCCTGTCTTCTGAACTCTACTCTCTAGCTGTAGACAGTTTTTGCTGTAATACCTTTATTTTAATGTTTTAAACTTTAACGTATATTCCTTTATGGAATTGATGGTTACTTTTAGGAAGGGCATGATAGCTGATTGCCAACACAATAAACTCTCTTCCTTCTCCCAACTGATACTGCTGTTCTGCTGCTAATCATCATGAGGAAACAGTGATTCCCATCGAGATCTCTTGGAAGGGCACAGTTAAAGGCACCCCTCTCTCAGGATTCCAATCGGATATACTGTTTTCCCGCTGCTCACCGTGGTTTGCTTCCTCTCCACCACCCTACTGAAGGGCAACAAAAAGTGGACAGGGCGCCTTGGGCAGGCTGGCTGTGCAGAATGCATGCCCCTGTGTCACACGCACATGCGTGCCATCCGTACTGCAAGTTCATTGCAAGAAATAGGTTATTCAAGCAGGGAATACAGTGTGCAGCTGAGTTTATCACAGGGAAAGCCAGTCTAGTTTACCCTTAAGAGTATGATCTCTCACTGCCTGATGGAGAAGCAGATTCATTCATTGAGGAAATCATGAGAGAATTTGGGACTTCAGGGTCTGGATTAGAGGGAAAGAGATGATCTGTAATATAATTGGAAAAACATTTAAGAGGCTAAGCTTGTGTGCTAAAATAATCCATATAAGCAGCCAAGGCAATCCAGTCTCACTGAAATGTTTCTCCTGGCCAGTACCTGTGCAGGTAATAATGTTCTTATCTTATCACAGAGCACACATCCTCCAAGGTTCTTTCATGACTGAGCAACTCAAGGCATATGTTGGACAAGAACTGTCCACCCTCAACCCGCAGACCAGGTGGAGGATAAGTAACAGCAGTGGGGTGAGACCTTTTAAATTAATCATAATTAATCAATATCTTATTTGTTTTAACTTAAGTGAAGGATAACCTCCAAAATGGCACTCCATGTTTTACATATATTTATATAAGAAATATGTAGTCCACGATACTGTTAACCTAGAAAAGTATACTAGGAAGGAAAGAATGCAGCAAAGATCTAATATACACATGAATCCCTCTGATACGTGAAATGCCTTCCTCCGATTCAGGGCTGTGGCTCGGCAGCAGTCCTGATTGTCTTTCGCCCTTGCTATGCTGGCTAGGTTAGATGGTCAAAGCCATGAAGCCCATTGTTAGTTGGACCCCTCTTCCTTTCCAATGGCACACCTCAGTCCAGTTCCCACAATGAGATGGGAGCAACCACGTACCAGACAGACTCACACTGCAATAGGAAGACCTGCCCATCCTGGACTCATGCTCTTGAATAGCAGAATGCCCGGTTTCGAGGTTTGATACAGGCACCTGGAATCCCCCAACCCTGGTCGTCTATGGCCAAGAGTTGAGCCAAGCAAGCCGGTCTCCTCCAGTTTTTTTGGACTAGACATTTCATAAGCCTAAGTCGCAATTGCCTGTGGCAAGAGTTTCTGAGGATTGTAGGCTGCCCGTCCCTGGATTACAGATATGTTTTTGCTCTTTGTCTTAGTTATTGCTTGGTAACAAGAATAAGTGGACCTCTGCTATCAGAACTGGAAAATCAGCTAGGAAAAAGAAGAATTCTCTGCATTTCTGCAAGGATACTACCAAGCCCCACAATAATTGGATAAAACACTTGTCTAGCCAGAAAAACTGTCCTGACATTGAATAGGCATTTGTTTAATAGAGTTAAGGCAGTAGGGAGTCATGTGATGTCATCTGAGAAGTGCTTCTACTGAAACATTGTTGTGATTATCATGTTTCATTCTATTCATCTTTCAGGTTGTGACCATTCAGAATGCGAGCATTGTAGTCGGTGACATTCCTGCTATCAACAGCACAATTTATATCATTGATAAGGTACGTTCATGAGATTACCCTGGATGTCTTCATCTTTCTGGTTTGGTTAAGATTTGTGAGGATTGTGCAGAAATATTTCAGTATGATACTGAGCTGCAGAGAGGAACCTGTTTCTTTTTTAACGAAGACAATTCTTGGGTTTCAGGCTTCACTAAACCCTAGTGCTTAACCAAAAGATTTCCAATGACACAAACCAGGGTAACAGCCTGGCCTCACTTCCCTGTTTCCCCTGTGTTCAGGTTTTGCTACCAGCATCAGGCAATGTCCCGCCAACTCTGCCAGGTCTGCAGCAGCAACTTAATGCAACACCCTCCTTCAGCCAGTTCAAAGACCTGCTAGAGGTAAGTCCCTCAGCTGAATGGTATTTAAACATTGCTCTTCATATTTGGACCCATGCATTACTGTGTAACTCCACCTGGACTGAGGTCACTAGTAAGTGTATAGAGGTTTAGTAAATGACTAAAACTGCCTTTTGGAAGAGAATACAAAGCAGTTGAGATAGTGTATTCAAACAGATGCTAGGAACTAATAGCTAGAATTTGTTCATAAACCCATCACTTGTAGTCTTAGGAAACTAATATCTGCAAAATATGTGTGGATTCTTATTCATGGGAACAGTAGAACATTGTTAAGTGATAATTCCATTGACTTATACTGTGATGGCTGCAACGGTATAAAAGATGGATACCTTCCAGCCTGAATGAATTAGTCTTGAAACTTTGTTTCCAAATGTATAACTGGCAGACCTGTGTGTGTGTTTTTCTCCTGATTTTACTTTTGCTTATTGTGGTCAGTAAAAATTGCATATTTGCTTGCTCATTGTGTTACTCTGAAATTTCAGCAATACGAGTTGATTGGAGACATCGAATCAGCAAAAAAATACACTATTTTTGTACCAAGAAATAGTTCAGTCGAGAAATATTGCAAAGCATCTAATATTACACAACTGGTAAGATCTTTATCCTTGTTAAATATACGTATGTTTAATCTGCTATACTTGTTTACCTGGTAGGAAGTTCTGTTGGACTCAGTAGGACTTACCTTTGAATAGACATTTATAAGATTGTACTGCTGAGTCACAGGTTGGATTGGTGGATCAGATTTTAAAAATTCAATCTTTTGGAAGTCATGCTTTCCTTTCCACACTGCAAAGTCCCTGCATGGAAGGCATGCTGCATCAAATGAATTTTAAACTGGAGTTTTCTAGTGTATGTGTATACAGTTCTAGTATACAGTTCACTGTGGCTTCTTAGATCAGGTTGGCAATGAAAAATGCAAAGGAGAGGTCATCAGATATGACATTCTAGAATGTAGGATAGCTCTTTCCTCTATTTATATTTTTTAACAGGTAAGGCAGTTGCAACTTATGGGTAATATGCAATATGGGTAAAAGCATCTGCGCAAGTTACGGAACAGATTGCTGAAATTCTTCCAAGCTATTTTAATAGTGGGATCAGTTACTACCTCATTTGACTAATCTGATAGTTTGAGGAGGGCTCTGGTAATTTTCATCATGCTATCAATATCAGTATGGTCCAGTGGGTGGGGATGAAAGTGGGTTCAAATCCGTCCTTCAAGAGTTCTCAGTAGAGTGGATGGACAGTGTGCTGTTCTTCTGCCTATGTTCCACAACCTGTTGCGTGGGAATGATTACTTTTTGCCTGTGGTTGTTGTTGTGGTGAGAGGGATTTGGTTGAGGCTGCAACTCCTCCTACACTCTGTTTAAAAACAATTTAAGAACCTTTCTACATGAGACATTTATTGTCCACTCATGATCCTCATATTTCCATGCTCTTTAGTTGCTGTTGTGATCCTCCAGATTAATTTTGGGGGGGTTTCTTCTGAGCACATTCCTTTAAAAAATATTTAGAATAGGGAAAATGGGATATAATTTAGAATGGGAGAAAGGCTGCTTCTCCTTGTGAATTTGAGTCCCTTCCCCATAACTCCCCTCAACTACAGGTGACATAGCAGAAAAACAGGAAGGGGAAAACTGTTTTTGTAGAGCTTGTCTCTTGATTCTGTGACAAAACCAAGGCTAGATATAATGATTGATAGCCTCATGTAGAATGGCTCTCAAATTTAATAAAGATGCAATTGAACAAGCAAAGGAACTTAGTTACTGTGTTAGTTAAATGTATTTAGATGTAGGCTCGCTGTCAAACAAAATCAGTGCTTACCAAGGTGGTGTCTGCTATGTTCCTGCATCTCTGACTATCCTCTCATTCATTTTGTGACTTTTTATAGAAATGACCAAATGCTTTGTATCTGTTGGTCATTGCTTCCTAGGATAAGGACACAGTATTGTACCATGTTGTACCTGGAGATAAATTCTTCCCCGAAGACCTGAAAAATGGAGTTCACAGAAGCACAATGTTAGGATTTTCCTACTGGCTGATGTTTTATAAGGATACCAATCAGGTAAGGTTGAGTTTCAGGATAGGTCCCAAATCTGCACTGTGTACTTAAACAAGGAGGGGGTTGCTATGTTGGCAGCCTGCAGGAAAATCGCATGGGGTATGAATGACTATGTAGGAAGGATTTTTTCTCCTCTCTGAAGTTTTCTAATGCTGGCAGAATAACATGAGCACATCCTCCTTCTATGTCTTCCCTGACTGTTTCCGATAAGAACTACTGGTAGAGTTACTGTGCTTTTCTGCAACTAGTTCTAGCTTCTTACCATTCCTTCCTATTGCAGACCTACGTAAACAAAGTCCTTTTGGAAGGTCCAGTTGTTGAAACAAGAAATGGGATGTTGATTGGGGTTTCCCAAGTTCTACAAATCCAGAAAAATCGCTGCACTGCCAATATCACAACAGTTGAAAAGGTGAAGTGTTTGAGATGCCCCATTTCTTCTTTGGTTACTGTAGAATTAATTAGACATAGCTGTCATTTATACTTCTGAACATATTGGGTGTTTTAAAAAACCACAGGATAACTAGTTATTCCTATTAGACTTTTGTCTCTGAACATACTTAAGCCTGCACATGGGGTGTCTTCTAGAGCTGACAGTCATGCCATCAGGTTGATACTGCCTTTACTGAACCAAAAGAGCAATCAGGGCTCTTTACCCTTTGTATTCACAAGCAATATTTGCAGCCACTGGGCCAGTTCAGGGGAGGAGGAAAAAGAATACCCTTGTCTGATGTTTCTGAAGTCTCCAGTCTGGCCCATCATGTCCACTTTACATTTCTACTATATAAAATCAGGAACCAGGACCAGAAATCAAAAGCCCTGCATATCAGCCTACAGCAGTGATGGGCAGCTTGTGGCCCTCCTGGTGTTTTGGCCTACAATTCCCATCAGACCTAGTCAGCATAGCCAGGGGTGATGGATCATGGGAATTATAGGCCCAAACATCTAGTGAGCCTCAAGCTGCACACCCTGGCCTACAGCATACTGCCTGCCGCCCATTTCCTGTAAATTAGAAGCCAGGTGCCAAGTGCTGAAGAGAGTGGTCTGAATCCTTTGAAGTTGTAGTGATCTTGAATTCAGTAGAATGGAATTGCTTTTCAATGAAGGGGCAGTACAAAGAACCCCTCTGTGAGAGGCTGGGGGGGGGGGGATGATTTATTTTATTTGTATCCCAGTTTTTTCCCTCCAAGGAGGCGGAGGTGGGGACCTGGCCTTCCTCCTCTCTAATACTATCCTCACAGCCGCCCTGGGAGGTAGGTCAAGCGGAGAGTCAGTGACTGGCCCAAAGGCTCCCAGGGAGCTTTGTGGCCATCACACTGTGGTGCAGCACATGCTTTGCATGCAGAAGCTCAGCCCAGGCTTCTTCAGGTAAGGCGGGGAACACACCCTGCACGGCCACGGCCAGTCGCTTGGGCTAGATGGGCTGACAGTGCCAGGCTGCTTCCCATGCTACTCGTGCCAGGTGGGGACTCGAGCCCAGGTCTCCTGAGTCCCAGTCCAAAGCGCTGAATGTGACGCTGCCACACCTGCTCTGGTATACATTCCACTGGAGTGTGGTCTTCTAAACCCTTTGAGACCCTGCCTCATAAGTCCTTCCTTAACTGCTTAACTGGGAGATGACTCAATTTGTCAAAGACATCTGCCTGTACCTGAATCCTTACTCTAATCCAGATCAGTGCAATGCATAGAACAGAACTAAAGGGGAAAAAACCCAACCACATTCCTGGGAATTTTAATATTTGGTCATCTCCGGACAGTGGTTTCCATGAAGCGTTTTGTTAAGATCTTGCAAATATCACTGAATGACTAGGCTCTAGGCCTCCAAAATGTTTTATTTATCTAAAGTGTAGAGCAGGGGTCTCAAGCTCACGGCCCACGGGCCAATTGCGGCCCGCGGGACGATAGTTTGTGGCCTCCACTTGATATCAAAGTGTAGCGATAGTGCGGCCCGCGTGTTTTTCTCACACGCACTTGCGTGAGTCGTTGCCCTGGGCGCAATGTCCCCTCGAAGCTGCGCGCCGGGCCAGGCGGGGCGCGGGGGAGGGGCCCTGCGGCCTTCAAGCGCCGGCCTCCGGGAGCCTCGCGGATGAGCGGCCCCCCACCACCGCTTGATGCGGCCCAGCCTCGCCCAGACTCTACTTCCAGCGGCCCCCAGGGAAGTTGAGTTGGAGACCCCTGGTGTAGAGCATGCTAAGTTGCCAAAGCACTTCTGGTTTCTGACTAAGAATTGTGTAAAGCTCAAATTCTAGGGATCTATAGATTGCTGTAAGCATGGATGCCAAAGACAAGACTGAATCCAGTTAGAGTAAAGACCTTTGGTGGACTGCATGGAAGAATATTAACAAGGCGTGGGAGATTAATACAGGAAGGATAACAGGGGCCTGCAGACTGGAGCAGTTTCTTCTTTAAAAGCATTGTTAGTTGTGCTATTCAGCACAAACTCTGTCTTAGCAGTTTTGGGAAAATAGTGAGTAGCTGGTGTACGGTTATGATCTGCTGACCATACCACATTCCTGTATTTAACACTGAATATTTAACATTCTCTGAAACATGCATTGCTTTGATTCCACCCCCTACCCCGTATCCTAGGGAAGATGCATGAAGTGTGGAAGAAAGCTCAGGTGCCCAAAAGGATCAGTACTGGAGGTAAATCTTGTCTGCTTCCTCTTTCCAAGGTAATTGGAACCAGAACATATTGCTTCATTTTTCCAGTACTTGCTTTAAAAACTGCAGTACTATTTCACAAAGGAAAGAACTCCTCTCCCCACATCTTCAAGATCTAAAGTGCACAAAGGAGACACCTCATCAGAAAACTGTCTCCAAGCTTTAACAAGAAGCTACCTCTTGCCCTGACCTTCTGAAGCTCCGAGGTCCTTTGGCCTGATAGTGTGCTTATATAGAAGCTGCTCACAGGCTAAGAATAAGAATTGTTTCTGGATTACACCTGAATGTTGTCTGCTTGGAGTGGGAGCTTAGGATCTAATTGGGTATAATGCTTGTTTTTTTGTTTGTTTCTAACTGGCAGAAAACACCAGAGAAAGGGAGCAGTCGTCATTGCACATACAGGTCTGGAAAGCAGAGACTGGTTGGCTGCTATCTCACGTGCGTCAAAGTTTCCTTGGTAAGCAAGTGTCATGGGACTATAAACATGTGCAGCCTTGAGAAGAGAAGACTGAGAGAGGATATGATAGCACTCTACAATACCTCAAAGGCTGTCACAATGAGGAAGGACAAGATCTCGCTCATCCCAGACAGTAGGACATGTAACAATCAGTTCAAGTTGTGACAACCAAGGTTCAGGCTAGAAATCAGGAAAGGTTTCCTCACTGTCAAAGCAATATGACAGTGGAACCAGTTGCCTAGAGAGGTGGTGCACTCTCCCACATTCAGGATGAAACTGGACAGCCTTCTGAGTGGGATGGCATAACTTGGTGTCCTGCTCTAGCAGGGGGCTGGTCCCAATGTCCTTCTTGGCCCCCTCCAGCTCTACTATTCTATGATTCTGTTTGACATCCTGATAGGAAACCATTCTATTCCACTCCTTGTGTAAAGTTCAGTCTCATTTCATTGTGCCTGGTACAATGTGCTCCTTTCCTTTCATCAGAGTTGCGTGGTGAAGGAACAGGTACGTGGAGTCTATCCATTTAAACTGTGTAGAAACCAGGAGTCCCATTCCAAGCTACATTGTCCTCCATTGCAGATGGACTGGAAGGGTTCAGGGTCCACTCTATTTATTTATTTATCAGTTAGTGCCTCAGAAAACAAATATTTCTAGGCACCATTCACTTTAAAACATCAGCACCACCACACCAAAAATACAAATAAACTGAGTGAATGAGTAAACACAGCTCAAAATACAGAGCTCAAATGAACATTAAGTATAAGGGTTAAAACCATGCCACCGAGACTAAAATACTAAATCAAAATGAACAAAATTTCAAAACTAAATAAATAGCCTGGAAAATGGAAATCATAGCCTACTACCGAAACTATAGCAGCGTAGGCACCACGTGACCTGCCTAGGTAGTGCATTCCAGAGCCAGGGCCAGCAGCAGAGAAAAAGGCGCTCTTGCTTCCACCTTCATCCCTCGGCAGGTGCGTCTTCCCAGAATAAGACGCAAGGGCCCTCTGCAGGCCTTGGCAGAGGCAGTGCTCTGGAAACCAAGCAGGATGTTAGAGGCTCGCCCAGCTGCGGCAGTTGATTTCCGCCTCCTGCTGTTTGCATTTCTGTGCTACTGTTTTTATTTGTGCTTGCATTGTGTGGAATGAGGTCACTGCGGGTGAGAACCCGCCTGCACGCCTGTTCTGGACGAGCCCACTTGTTTGCGTAGGGGTGGTCTGTTCGGGCCAGTCATCGCAGGCCTGTGGAATTTTCACTGGGCCAGAGATTAAGGTTGTTTCTACATGAGGCATTTCTTGTGCACGCCTCATTCTCTACCCGCCATTATTTGTGGGATCTATGGATAATGTCGTGGCTTTCCAGTTTTGCTTGGTGTCTAATGAGCCCTTTCAACATAATTTTAAAGCAAGGGAAGGCAGCACTTAATCATGAAGGAGCATTCGTGTGTGTTTGTGCATTTGACCTATTTCACTATACTATATCTATAGGATAGGGACAGTAGAGTTATCGCTACTTAACAGCCTTGTGGAGAAGAGCTGCTAGTTCTCCAGAAACCCAGTGCCATGCCTTTTTCTTTGTATTGCTATTAGCGCTAGACACAGGAACTTGCCAACACACTCTTCCTCTCCCTCATTCTCATATGCTTGTACACACACACACACACACACACACACACATATATATATATACACATGTGCACACTCTTGGATGCTGATGTCCTGTTAGAGTAGCCAAACAATGTGATGCTATTTTGGTGGAACCATAATTGCATTGTATACAAGTAATCAGTCAAAATCATCAGGCCCTGCTGAAACTGTTTGAATGCAATTTTAAAAATTAATTGTAAAGCATGTGGCTGCTTTTGCATTGTCCTCATTTTGAGAGTCTAACTCCCATCTGTTCATCTCCCAAGGTCTCTCTCTGCTGCCCGGGTTACTATGGCCATATGTGCGAGATGTGCCCGGGGAAGCCGGGCAGCTGGTGTTCCGGCAATGGGGAGTGCCAGGATGGCACTGATGGCAGCGGGGAGTGCCGATGCCGAGAAGGCTTCCACGGCACGGCCTGTGAAATGTGCCAGCCTGGACGGTACAGCACCAACTGCTCCCTGGGTGAGTATTGCTGGAGGGGCAAGGTGCAGCTCTGTGCCACCCCGGGGGATGAAGGATGACTTAGAGCGGAAAATCGCCGGATGGGATCTTAGGAATTGCTCACATGCCTTGGCCCACAGGTGGCTTCTAGACTCCAATGTGAAAGTGCCCTTGGAAAGAGACGGTGCAAACAGAACTGTGCTGCCTTGGAATCGGTGGGAAAAGTCGCAAGGGCAGTGCGTGATGCAGCCTGCTACTCTCCCACCATTTCTCTTGCGCTGGGGGCCCCCCTGCATGTGCATCAGGAACTAGTCCTTCATACTGTCATTCTGGGCAGGAAATGAGCAGGAAAGCAAATTTCCAGAATGGGACAGCTCAGCAGGGCTTTCCTCTGAAAAGTCCATTTCCCTGCTCTGTCCTGGAAACCAGCTTTCTACTCATTTCCAATTGCTTTCCTTTGAACTGGCAGTGGTGGGTCATGCAAGTGCATGACGCTGCCCCATATCTTCACGTTAGCCCCCTTCACATTAGCCCTCTGTATTTCTCTACAGAATGCAATTGCCAGAATAAAGCAATCTGCAGCGATGGTCTGCTGGGGAACGGGAGCTGTGAATGTGCTGCCGGCTTTGAAGGGCCCTTCTGCGAGCAAGGTCAGTGAGCAGAGGAGCGGGTGCCCAGCACATGACTGCCCTTGCAGGCACGAAGCGTGCTCTTGCCAGATCTGATCGTTTAACGCACACACACACTTTTCCTCTGCAAGGAGAAAATCTTAAAAGGGGATGAGGCAAATTCTGGGAGACTGCCAGTGTAAGTTTTGTGGCAGCTGGATTGACAAAGCAGAGCAGGAGAGCCACAAGTGCTATGCAGGGGGCACAAGTTAAACATTTGCTGGGGCACTAGCCTCAGTGCTGAAGCAGTGGTGCAGCTAAGGCCAGGCTTCACTGCCTAGGGTCCCCCAGACAAGCATCCAGAGGGCCAGAAATGATGGGGAAAGCAGCAAACAAGTCCAGCATTGGCTCCTGGCTGGGCTGGATACTGGTCACTGCAGCATCTTTTCATATTTTGTTTCAACTACTAATTGCAGCTGGCTGGGCAGTTAATGGTTGCAGATGCTCATTTTATTATTTCTTCTCTAAGTATGCATTATCCTTTTCCACTGCAAAATGGTGGTTATAATTCCCAAGTCGGTAAGTGTGAGCATCAGTACAGCAGATTCAAACTTGGTTTTACTCTAGTAGCCTGGGTAAGTGCTTTAATATAAATTACCTTAACTGCAAAACAGCACGTGCTCAGAATAATTTTCTTTTCTTTTTTAAAGGGGAAATTATCAGGGTTGGTAGACAGTATTATTTCTCTCACTCTCTCTCGTATGTCAGGAATGCAAAAGCAGTTCTAAAGCAGGCGCTGAACTGAGATGGAGAAAGAGAGAGAGTGTGCGTCACAACTGACACACAGACAGCCAAAGAAAGCATCTCCCTGCCACTGCCCAGTAAGGCCATTGAAACCAGGCCCTGAAGTTCCTTAGCTGACTCCCCAGTCTGAGGTGCTGCCAGGCACATGGTCTCAGGTCTAAGATTAATCCAGGGTTCCTGGGGTATCCCAGAGCTACATCCTGTTCAGCCATCCAGAAGCCTCGGGAGTGCTCCAGCTTTAAGCTAAGTGCAGGTCTTTCTCCTTGGTCTCTCTTGTGGGATCTGTTTGTGTCTCCCTGTTCATGGCCACACAGGTATATTAGGAACACTCAGAAGACACTGGCTGAGTGAGCCCATTCGCCTCTGCTTATAGCTGGGTGTGCCGTGGGACTTTTCACGTTGTTTCCTCAACAGCACATCTCCCGCTTTGGTCAGCCTGATCCTCACATTGTAGAAGCCGCCTCTGGTGCAGTGCAGCAGGGCTGCTGTAAATCAGAGCGCAGTTTTGCTGCCCACTATGGATTGTGTTTACTGCCCATTTTAAAAATTATTGTTTGAGATTGGAAATTAGACAATTTGAGACATGATTATGGTCTTCTTGCTTTCTGAATGTTGGCAGGCTATGCCAAGTAGCCTTCTGCAACCAGCTTGCCTTCCAAATGCTTTGAGCTACAGTTCACAGCAGCAGCAGCCCTCAGGGCCAATGGTTAGGGATGCTTGCGGATGCAGCCCAAAGCATCTAGAGGGTGCCAAGTTGGGGAGAGCTGCCCTGTAGGCCTAGTGCTCCTTTCCATGAGGCATATAACTTGGTGCTTTATCAGGGCTGCTGCATCCCTTTTCGTTGCAGGAGGATTAGCATGTCCTTCACACAAGACTTGCTCCCTGGGGGTTTCCTCTCTTCCTTTTTTTATGTTCTTTTATGCAACTTGGAGTGGTGCTGTGCCATGGAGTAGGATTGTAAGAATACATGACCCCTGCGTAGCAAATAATGGCTGCATCTAGGAAAATATCAGACTTTCCTCGCTATGAAAAGAAGCTGCAAAAGGCCCTGGGGGGTGGTGAAAAGGCCCCGCATATGTGAGGATCATAAGCACACAATAAAATGCCCCCTATAGAGAAGCCCTTAGATTCACCTGGGTGAAATGTGGTGATTGACATAATGCTTAGACCCAGGTGCCTTTCTAATTGCTAGTTTGCAGAAGGCCAGACCTTGTCTGAGACTGACTTTTATTGCTTGATGAGAAAATGATGTTCCAACAACATGCTCTTTTGCAGAAATTAAAAAGGATCTCTGCAACGGCACTTGTCATGAGAAAGCCAAGTAAGTACAACCCTTCCAGCACAGAGCTTAACACGTATTTGACGCTGTATGTATATTTACCTTCAGCACATTAATGACACATACCTGGGCAAAAGGAATGGGGCAGCAGGCCAGATTACTTGGCTGCAAATTGTGCATCCTTAGGCTCATCAGTGCGATGGAGACCCAGTGATGCTGGAGAGCTAGGCAGGTTGAACTGCCAGGTTCTCCTCTTAATGCTTGGTATCACACTGAATTTATGGCTATGTTTGCTGATATATGTATCTTCTCAGCCCTTGCCTACTCATTTCAGTTGCATCAATGACACCACCACTTCCCAACCCACTTGCCTGTGTTCTGCTGGATATACTGGCAACGGAAGCCATTGTTCAGGTACTACTGACAAATGCAAGATTTATCATATATGGTAAAAGCACAGCTTCCACTTCCACTCACAAGAAGGTGGCAACACATGCCTGGGACTGGCTTTACATGTGTACGTTCATCCCTTAATAACTGCATTGGCAGTGTAAGGAACGAAGTTTCCTCTAAGAGACACAGAGTACTAAGCAGCAACAGTTTAATACGTTCTGGCCAGACCGGGCACTCACCCCGAAGGTAGTGCACTGGAGGAGCAGTTTGCACAGTCTTCTATTCCCTGCTTCTCGCGCAAAGTCCCTGCCTCTTTTCTCCCATTGGCTGGGGTACTAAGAGTTCACAATCTTCTCCGCCCGCCTTCATCATACTACTCCTTGGTATGTTTCCCCCTCCTGCTCGTACATCCCATGTTCATGTTAATAACCCTCTGAGTCATACTAGGAGGTACTATTAATATGCATTAGCTAATTACGCAGCCGTTCTTTGGATTCTAAGTTCAAAAGTTTAATGCCACATCTACCGGTTACATCTTGTAGTCTATTAGTTTGTGTTAGCACTGATTTCATTATTAATCACTAAGTGATCTATAGCCTTAACTGTTCTAGTCTGTCAGTCACAGTAATTTTCTACTTCTCACAGCAGTGACTTGTGTGTGTGAATGAGCATCTTAGATAAGACTTGGATGACAAAACTTTATAATCCTAAACCTCATTCTTTTCAACAAGTTCAATTCAGATCTCCAGCTGTGAGCCAACCCATGGAGAGAAATGATGCAGTTTTGTGTTTGATCACATCACATCCCAAGATGGGGAAAAACATAGCCTGGATTTGAGTGGCAGAAGTTTTGTAGAAAGTGGCACTTATATGATTTATCTTTGTGCCAAAGAGTACCATTTTAGGGCACAGAGTGATAACCACACAGAATATGGTTCTTAATGTTAAATAAAATGTTCTCCTTTCTGTTTCTTCAGAATCCTAGTGGGAAGGTTTTAAAGACACATGTCACATGAGTCTTCAAAAAAGCTCCCACAACAATAATTTCATACTGACACTTTCATGCAAATACATTTTGTTACCACTTAACATGACAGTAAAGAAAATACTATGTTCATTGCAGACTATACACTTCAAATAAAAACGCATAGGAAACCAAAGAATAAAAGATCAAAATGAAAGTAACGTTACAGCAAAATAACTCTGCTTGCTACCTCCCGCTTAACCATAATTATGATTTGTAATTATGCAAACAGCAGGTACTTGGAATACTTAGTGCCAAGCTAATCAAATTACTATGCCAGCTTGATGTATAACAGCTTAAAGAGATCCTCTTCAGTTATCATTCTCTTCAGAATCTGCAATAATTTCCAAGTAAACAAAACAGCTTCCTTTTAATCAGGCATCCTTGTTTTTCTGGCATAAGGTGCAACATCTCATAAAGCAGGTATTTCAAAGCAATCATCTGGAAGTTGATAAGATGCAGATTGTGAATTCTGCTTTTCAGCCGAGGAGAATTTTGTTAAGTATGAACTTGTGTGCAAAATATACATCTCATGTTCTAAAAATTATACATTTAAAATAGGGATATAATGTTTATTAAAACAAAATTGACAATGTAACAGACTGAAATGAATGAACCCTGGTAGGAAAATAAACCAAACTAAGGAAGCCAGAACCAAAAACGCTCTAATACTTACTCAGCTTTCTCTGTGCAGGTTCAGTTCCAGATGGCTGGGCCATATTTTTGCATCCATTTTGCACATGCTTACGCATTGAAAACAAAAAGATTTGATTGGACCCACTACAAAGAAAGACACAGAATGGCCATTGAAATGCAGCCGCTGATGCCAGATGGTCATAGAAAAGCACTGGAAGATTGTAGGGACCATCCTCAAATAAAAAAACTGGCAAAAGGAAAATATTAGTTGTTCTTAGGAACCAACTCCAGATCCAAAATAATAGTTTATACAGTGCTTTTGGGGAGCACTTCTATGATCAATCACACTGCAGTTTCTAGGGATCATCTCCAACCAGACAATCCTACTAGAACACAGTCAATGCAAGATGACTAGGGGGTTAATGTCTGGCCTTTAGTCACCATCTCAAAAATGCCTGGATTAGTGTCATTCTCAGTGTTTTAAAATCTAAGTATGTCCAGAATTGGAGCAGTAACATGTGAGTGCAGCCACTAGGTTTAGCGACAGCATGATTATCAGTAGGTCACCTAGTCATCTAAAATAATTGTGCTAAGATACTGATCTCCTATAAGTGGCCTTCCTTCCTTCCTTCCTTCCTTCCTTCCTTCCTTCCTTCCTTCCTTTCTTTTTTTCTTTCTTTCAAGCTGGAAAGGATTCTCTCCGTTTCCCTTCCCTCCCCTGCCTCTTTTTTGGACTCAAGCCAATGTGTCACAAAGGAGACTGCTTCAGAGTACCAGAACATCTGTATAATGTAGGTGCCAGGCAAGCCACTCTGGGAAGCTCATTCTGTAGGTGAGTGCCACAACAGAAAAGGCCCTGTTGTGTTCTATTAAGTTCTATTAAGTTTGTTCTTAAGGTTTGCCTTGAGGCAAGTACCTTAAGTCAGGTACTGTGGGAGGAGAAGATCTTCAGGTAACCTGGTCCAGAGCCATTTCTTAATGTACCTGTATCTGAACAGGGATAGTCTGATCTTAGTAATCTATGCTCTGGTAATCTGAAATTCATTCTTTGTGGGGCTGCTGAAGACTTTACAGAAACTGCAGCTTGTACAAATTGTACTGGCCAGATTAATAATTGAGACCAGAAGGTCTGAACATATAATATGAATTCTGGACCACTTGCACTGGCTGCCTGTACATTTCTAAGTCCAGTTCAGGGTTCTGGTTTTAACCTTTAAAGCCCTACACAGCTTGGGGCCACAATACCTGATAGAACGCTTCTCCTGACTTAAGTCTACCCAGACATTGTGATCGGTTTCTGGGGCCTTCCTCTGACTACTATCTCCAAGGGAAGCCTGGAAAGAGGCAACAAGGAGGAAGGCCTTATCAGTGGTGGCCCACTAATTATGGAATGATCTCCCCGCTGAGGTCTGCCTGGCACCAGCATTATCGTTATTTGTGTTTGGGTCAAGGTAAGGGTTGTCTGTTCCCAGGCATTTAATTATATCAGCAATTTTAATCAAGTCTAGTTTTACTGGAATTATTTATATACAGTATCCTTTGTACTGAAAATGTGACTTAGTGGTTAGAGTGCTAGACAGAGGATCTGGGAGTGCCAAATTCTAGTCCCTAGGCATCCACGGAGCTCAATGAGTGGTTCTGGGCCAGTCACAGACTTTCAGCCTAAGCTACCTCACAGGGTTGTTGTTGTGAGCATAAAATTGAGAGGAGGAGGATTATATAAGCTGCTCTGAGTTCCTTAAAAGGAACAAAAGTGGGATATAAATATAATAAATAAGTAAAATTGTACATTGTTTTACTGTATCAGTATTTTCAATTGTACTCATTTGTGATCTGCCAGAGAACAGCAGCTGTTGGATGGTACAGAAGTAAAATTAATGGTACTAGTAATGCCAGATCCTTGATTTGAGTTCCAACATGGACTGGCAGCCAATGCTGAGGAAGATGAATAGGCCTAATATGATCATGTTGGCTGACCCTTTTAGCACTTCGTTGTTGCTGAAGTTTCTGCACTGTTCTCAGAGGCAGGCCTACATATAATTCACTGCAATAATCCAACTGAATGTGGATAACTGTGCTTAGGCTTTGCCTGTGCACATAAGGATGCAGTTGGTATAGCAAGAATCAGCTGGTGAAAGGGACTCCGTGCCCCCAAGCCCCCTTGTTCCTCTAGGGGCAATGCTGGATCCAGGAGCACCCCCAGACTATGTTCCCGAAGCAGCCCCCTCTAGAACAGGCTGGATATCACTCATCTGGGCAGGGGAGCCGTCCACGAACAGCACTCCCGTCTTTCCTGATGGAGTCTCAGTTCATTGGCCCTCGTCTGGATTAACAGTGACCACCTCACCCAGTCTGATCAAAAGCAGGGACCTCAGTGCATGCCCCGGATTACCTCCTGCAGTGGATTCATATAGAGGGTAAACAACACGGGGGAGAAAACTGAGCCCTCTGGAACCCCACAAGCCCCAGGCAGGGCTCTGCAAGTCTTTGGTAATAAAGCCAGGTCAAGTTGACGCCATTTACTGTGACCTCGTGGCTCTGCCTACTCTTAGTCGCCCTGCTCTCTGCTCACCACCAGCCCCGATATGCACCACCCGTCATTCATGCTTCATTATATATCTGCACAGATATTCCCAGGGCATTTCATTAAGATAGTTCTACAAAAAGCTGTAGGAAAAACTCTAGGAGAACTATCTTTTCTTTCTTCATGCTGTTATATTCATTACACCTTTGCATAGTCCTCCTCTACTCCATTTTTATCCTCCCAACAGTCCCGTTAAGTAGGTTGGGTTGAGAGTGAGTGGCTGACCCAAAGTCACCCAGTGAACTTCATAGCTGAGTGGGGACTAGAAGTGGGATCTCTCAAACCACCACGCCAGCTTTCACCACAATCACAAAGGAAGGCAATAACTCCCTCCCCTCCCCCCATTTTGCCTTGTCTCTTTCTTCTTCAGAACTTTGACCTAACCAGTGAAGGTATCCCAAACTGCTTCTCCTGATGCATCACAGACACCTCTATCTTTTTCTGCCATTCCTCTCCAGTTCGTGTTAAACAAAGCCCTTAAGAGCAACTGGTTCTGCAGGCATGAGACTCTAATGGACTCCACCAGTTGCCCCCCTTGAATCAGCTTGCACAAGGCCAGGTCTTCATCCAAAGGGCAATACAAATCCCTGGAGATCAAGAGGCAGAAGCTGTCATTCTGCATTCATCTGCCTTGACCTCACATTTCAGAAGAAATGTTTACTCTTAAGATGATGTAACAGCTTTCGCTGATCTTGTGCACAACTGTATTTCACCAGCCTCCATTCATTCTTTGATTGTTACTCCTCTGAAATTCTTACCATTGTAGGCCTATCACCTGTCTCCAGTTGTAGGCTAACTACAATGAGATTGTGCATTAAAACACACATCTGCTGAGCACCTCTGCAATTTGATTAAGCAGGATTGAGCCATGTAAGCAAAAGATAGGCACGGAGTGCTAGGCACTTCTCCAGCCATGCAAGGAGTGGGATTTCCACCAATGCTTTACGTCCCACACCATTTCCAGGGTTCCCCAGTCTCGGGAGCAGATTTGCAGGGGGTGGGAAGGGGCATGCAGAGGGAACTGCATCCGGAAGGAAAGCCAGATTCTGTTAGCATGAGCTCTGTTCCCATTAGCGAAGGGATCCAAGCCATAGTCTTTGCCCTGTGCACAGCAGTTCAGGAAGCTCGTCTGCCACATGTATATGTGTCATCGTCACGGGCTATAACCTCATTTCATGTCCCTTTGCAACACAGAAACAGATCTTTGCACAGTGGCTAATGGTGGCTGCTCCAAACATGCCTACTGTGCTAAAGCTGGAGCTGGTAGAAGAACCTGCACCTGCAAGGAAGGCTATGCTGGAGATGGGACCCTTTGCCGGGGTGAGTGTCATGCTGTACGAAGCAGATGAACTAGTGAACTTTTGTTGTTTAGAAGGTCTTTTAACATGAATGCCCCAATAGGCAGATAGAAGACCTGAGGCGGGTTCCTTTAAAATGGAAATTAATATTCATGGCATGAGAAAAAGTTGGTGACCTGAATGGCTGCCCCTGCACCCGGAGCTAGTGCTTCATACATTTGAGTGTTTAGTGCATCCTGTCGTTCCTCCTAGCCAAGCGGCTGGCCTGGGTTGGGCAGGAGGTGATGGGACTGTGATTGGGAGGTAATGCTGAGGGTGATCTGCAGGGCCACCTGGGCAGCCTAGGGGGCTGGCCAGCAGGGCTTGTTCCAGTGTACATTCCCTAGCTCAGTGGGCTCCATGCAAATGTCCTGCAACGGTTCCATTTTTGAAGGGGAGACAGTGTTGATGGATGTCTCTTCTGTGGAGTTGTACTGCTCCTTTTCAGACCTGCACTGAATGTTCCTTGGAGACATTTTTGGCATACTGGGAGTTGAGGGGAGGGGAGACCCAAAGGGTTTTCTTGTTGCTCTGGGTCACTCTTGTTCGCTTATCCCATTTCCAGACCACTTCACAGCTGTTTTGGTCCCAGCCCCACCTGCTCATATCTCTTGGCATGTGGAGAGCTGTTTTGTAAGGCAAATGTATTTTTCAGTGAAAACACCCTGAAGAAACATTGTTTTGTGATGTCTTGGTGACTCTCACTTCTTCTTCTACATGCAGAAATTGATAGGTGCTTAGAAAATAATGGAGGATGCCACCAATATGCAGAGTGTGTTAAAACAGGCCCAGGTTTGGTAAGCAACCCTGTTTCTTATTCTCTTTTGGGACACTCTGTCAATACATACATTTTCTGGAGGGCAAGCAGTAGCACCCTTGTTATGTAAGATGGGATTATTAATATCTCCCAGTAGCCAAATCCACCTTTTGCCTTTTGTATGCCATATAAATGCAATCATTAAATTTTATTTCTCTTCGTATCTGACAATGAGGGCATATTTAGTTTCCACGAGCCATTTCTGCAAAAAAGGCCTTCCTGTACTCCAAGGCCTCTACTTCCGTACATGCTTTCTTCTATTTCTTTTCTTCAGTATAAAGGACTGGCTTTACATCAGGTCCTTTAAAAAAAAGTCTGTAAAAGATGTGGCTCAGTTTGTCCAAAAAATCGCTTGTAGAAATAATGACAAGAGTTTGAGGTCCTGCTAAATGTTTCAGAAGTAGCAACTGCGTCTTTCTGTGCACTTTTTCTTTCTTTCACTCTCCAAACTTCCTATCCTATGTGCACAGTTTTCTGTCTAGAATCTTTAGAAAGAAAAATGAAATATAAATAAATAAATGTGTATTAAAGAGAGTGAGAGCCAGTGCGAGATGGTGCCTAGCGTGCTGGACTGGGACTTGAGAGATGTGGGTCTCAGTCCTCATTCAGCCATGAAGTTCATGGGGTAACTTTGTGCCAGTCACTCACTCTTAGCCTAACATACCTGGGTCGGTTGCAGACCCCTGGACAGCCCCATGGACCCCATTTTTCCTAGCCCTCATCCTGATCTTAACCCTAACCTGGTCATTAGCTCTACCCAAAAAATTCTGGGAAAATGGATTCCCTTCCAGACATGAGGCAGCAAGTCAGTGCTTGCAGTGCTCATTCTTTCTACCTGATCCAAGCTGGATCCTGGCTCATGGACAACCCTGGAGATCCCAGCTTTTGTAACCCCGAATCTAACTCGATTAACCCCACCTTTAAATCACTGGGAAAATGCATCCCTTTCCAGAAAACGTGCAGAAAGTCAATGTCCAGGGCATTTCTGATGATGGATCATTCTTCCTACCAGACCCATGCAAAGGACTGTATGGATGCATCTTAACCTAGAGGACTAAGAGGCTCCAACTGCATCTGTGCAGATGCAAGTGGGAGGGTTTGCCGGGTCCTCTACCACACAGCGCCCACAGACGACACTACAGAGGTGTAGAGATACCTGTGCCATTCTGTTGCAAGGTGTAGTGAGTCAGGAGGCAAGCTGACCCCTCAGCAGGGACAGTTTCTAGCTTGACAATGGCTGCCTGGTGATAACTTTCAACATGCACCCTTCCTTACCCGAGTGTCACCTGTCTGGAGATGATGTGACCTAGGAAGCATTTCTGGAGAGGTGGGCTGGACCAGGTGACTTGTCTGGCACCTGTGGCAGCATTCGCCCATCCCTCTACCTGAAAGTTGCTAGGATCAGGAAAAACCCAACAGTTGCATAGTTTCATGCATCCAGAATCCATGTGCACCTTAAAACCCTTGCAGAAGGATGTTACCTGACCCTGTCCTCATTCCTTCTTCCCCGAAGTGTGCGCTTGGAGTCCAGCCAGTAATTGTAAAGCGAGGCAAGAGGTCCGGTGTTTGCCCAGCAGGAATGGCTGACAGGCTTAAGAGCTCGGCTTCACCAGCTCATTCACAGGATGATTAAAATGGCTGCAGCTGATGGCTCTCTTCCTCTCTGGAGAGACCCAGCTACGCATGGTGCCGCATGCACAGGTGTGCGCCCTCCCTTACCCACCGTGTTGCCCTCCCCTCTTTCTAACATCCAGTGGCTGAAATAGGCAGAGCAGGGCAGCAGCGGGTCTCTTCCATTCTTTTTATCGTTTTCAAGGCAGGACATCTCATGCCTGCCTTGCACGTGCGCTTGCGTTATTGGAAGTGAATGCAAACCATTGACTATGTCTCGTTTCATTATCTCACTCAGGTTGCTTGCAACTGTCTTCCCAAATATACGGGGAATGGCAAAGACTGCACGCCCATCAATCCTTGCATGGAGGTTTGTTAGCCCTAACCAGATGCTCCCGTCAAAGTATCAACTATCTGCATTAATCACCTTTCAGAAAGCACCACTAAATGTGGTGTAGAGTTGTGCTTGGTGGTTTGCTCTCTGTATGGTATTGTTTAATCATGGAACTGATTCAGCCAAATCTTTTATGGTGGACTTGCCCTTTCCTCACTCTATAGGTGGGTCCAACCACAGTGCCACTTAGAGGTTATGTAGCAGAAAGTACAGAATGGAGGGGAAGGCAAAACTTGTGCAAAGATTCAATCTTAATTCTGTAATGAATCTGGAAGTAAAAGTAGAGGGTTAAATAATTTCGCCTTGAAAGGACTGCTGAAGTGCTTATTTTTTATGAAGGGTTCTCCTCAATGCCTCTTGATTTTGTTTCTGTGCTAGACTAAAGTCACAGAATAGTTGCTCTGGGCAGAGTCCTGTCTAGCCTGGAGATATTTACATTTGGCTGGGCTTTCAGCTTGGAGATAGTGATTAGTGCATCTTTCTATAATGAAGCCCTGTCCCCAAGTCTCGAACATTTGTGCATCCAGGGTTTGTGCATCTTTCTGTTGGCAAGCCCGGTAGCCCCAGGTGAGAGGAGATGCTCAGCACATCTGCTGTCTCTGGGAAGAGGCTCCACAGGGCTTCCAGGAGGAGGCTGGTGGTGCCCATGTCCACGGGGCTGCTCATCTGCTCTGGATCTTACCTTGAACTCTTTTGGCAATAAGGTTCAGGACCATGGGTAGCTCTGCTCACTTCCTGCTTTCTCCTTCTGCAGAGTAAGTCCATTTTGGCTTACAGGAGAAGGCAGACTTTGAAGGGAAAGGGCTTTCCAAACTGTTGACATGCATGCTCAAAAACGGGGTGTGTGCATCACTAATCGGGGTGCACTTATGTTCAAGGGGAGGGGTGTTCATACGGGTTAGGGTTGCTCGTGTGCACAAGAAGTGGGCTTCATCCTCTAGGGTGTTTGGGGTAATGGCAGCTTTTGTGGGAAATTAGGAATGGGGAGAGGCTAAAAAAGCCTACTCCCCCAATCCCGTTTAGTTCTTGTGGTGGTTTCTTTTTCCTGTTGGAAGAATTGGTAACAAATCTCCTAGGTAATATGGAAATTGACTCTAAGATGACCATTTTCATTTCTCCCTTCAGAAGGAAAGCTTTGGTCAGGTACCCGGTGTTGGATTCAAAAAATTCAAACATATGTTTAGCCTGGAGCAGATGAAGGGGAGACATGTCAGTCAGCAACAGTTCGGAGGCGGGAAAGCGTGGCTTGCCCATGTGTGCCTTCCCTCTGTCCTGCTCCTGCCACCTCTGTATCTTGGCATCCCCACATGGCCATTCTGAATATGCCTCCCAGCCCTCCTGCCCCCTGCCACTTCTCCCACTGACCTCCCTGCTGCTGTCGGAAAAGCCAGCTTCTTTGTCTTCCCCTCGGGTAAAACCAAGGGACCAGAGGCAGTATCAAGGGGTGGCTGAAGCACTGTTCCCTCCATCTGAAGCCTCAGATCTTTGCGGAGCCATCTGCCCCATCCTCCTGCTGTCCATGGGCACTTGCTGGAATAAAGGCACAGGGCCCCCTGGATTTTCTGTGTGGGGTGCCCACACCTGCTTCATCTGCTGCAGCAGATTCAGCCTAGCTTGAGGACAGTGGCTCAGCAGCAGAAAAGGTGACCTTGTGAGCTGCTGGGCTCTTGCTGGCTGATAGTGTTGGAGCAGAGGCTGGACACCCATCTCACAGGGATGTTATAACTGCCCCTGCAGAGTGGCAGCAACCCTGGACAGGGGTTTGCGCAGCTGATACCTGGGATCCCTTCCAACTCTCTTTTCCCGATGGACACAATACTGCAGTTTGCTGGGTGACTCATGCTCTTGATTTTTCTTGCTAGAACAATGGAGGCTGCAGTCCACTAGCCATCTGCCTTAAATCTGCTCCTGGGAATCGGACCTGCTTGTGTTTGTGGGGCACTGGTGATGGTTTTACATGCTTGAGGACTGTCTGGCAGGTAAAAGACACTCTGTGGGGTTGCCAAATTTCATTTAGCTCAACCAATCCTATTGTCCGAGGGCAGCAATGTAAAAGCTAGGTCCTATGAATTCCCCAATTTGTGCCAGATCATATCCTAAATGAGATCTCATGCTTGTACTGTAGGCACGCCTTCTCTTCTGAAGAAGCAATCTGGGCTCCAAGAAGATATTGCAAGAGGAAGTGCAAAAGTTACAAAAAGTCCCATACTTTCAATACACTCGGCACTGTGATTTCTATTCTAGCCATATGTCTGTTGGACAGCAGTGCAGAAAAAAGTAAAGAAAAACAACTTCCTATACCACTATCTGGAATGTTCACTGTTAAAATACAGGCTCTGTCCAGAATAGTTCAAATGCTAGCAGTATGGTTACTATTCAAAGGCCCTTCTCTTCAGGACTTGCTTCTCTCCCTGAAACTTGTAGGGGCTGGTGGGGGTGGGGTCTTGCTTTGATCCTGAGGGCAAAGTCAGTCTGAGAAATTGCTGCACTTTGTTCCGACAAACTCTCCAGCCAATTGATTCACGCCAAAGACAGAATTTAAACCCAGAGCGTATAACTCAAGTCATGGAATGCAACATGCCTGGTTTTCTCTCCCTGTTGCAATTTTACAATGGGAAAAATTTTGCAAGCCATTCCCATGGCTAAAATTGCATTGTAAGAAGTGACTTTTTCATTTTTCTGTCCTTTTTCTGTTTGCAACTTAAGTTTCTTCAATGGAAACTTGCCACTTATGTTAGAGTTTTGCTGTGTGTTTTTTTTTTCAGGAGTTCATTGCAAATGAAGCTGCAGTACCATTCTTTCATTATATAGAGGTATGTACCTCTGTGCTGGCTGTTCTTCCAAGAAAAAGAGCCAGGCTGGATGAGATGCAGAGGCTCCTTTCCCCACTTCTATTCATACAAGGGAGCCTTTCTGATCCTTAGTGATTCCCTCCTGCGGCTGCATCCCTCAGACCACATCCTACATCCTCCCCAGAAAGTCCTCTAAGCCCTTGGCAGCTGCCCCAGGAGGGAGGAAAGGGACATTTCCCATGGTGTGTGCACAGCTCTGCTTGAGCTGCTTCGAATCCAGCAAGCAATGTTTTCTTTTTAAAGTAGAAGTCTAGTATTGTGGTGTTTGTTTTAATCTCTCTGGTTGTGTTTCTTTTCTGTAGAACCACGGCATCACTGAGATGATGGGAATGGGAACATACACGCTCTTTATCCCATATGTTAACCACCTACGGGATAGCACCACAGTAAGCAACACTTCTGAGATCACCTTTGAAAGCCTCGCTCTCCATGTCAGGCCATACAATGACCTTTGAGCTTCTCTGAGTTCTTTTGGAGCCTGCCTAATGCAAAAGCAAGAGTCCCTTATGAAGGCTTTAAAGCCATCCCTTCTGAACAGAGAGGGGAGTTCCTTCAACTGAAAAGGGGAGGGGGTCCACATTTGGTTCAGGATAGGAGTATTTTGTTCCAATTACACTGGAGCATGATTTAATCTGAATGAGCACTGTGTGTTTTGCTTTGGCTCAATCTGATTGGCTGATGGAAGTCATGAATGGAATGGAATGGGCTTCCACGGGACGTGGTTGAGGCCCCATCGGTGAGGGTGTTCAAAGATAGGCTGAACTTGCACTTGGTGGGCATGTAGTGAGCGGAGCCGGCTGGAGCCATGGGTCAGACTAGATGGCCCGGGAGACCCCTTCTGACTTGCTCTGTTTCTATGAATCCCAATGCTGCCTTTCCTCCATCACAAATATGTCACTTGAGGGGGTTTCTCAAGTGAGCAGTCTTTCAGGATTGCTCTAGCTGCATCCACATTCCTCGGCCTGCACTGAACAGAGGAGGGGGCTTGCCCAGATGACCTTCAAGCTCCCTTTCACATCATGTGTCTATGATTCTAGGGATCTCTACATTGTATTTGGCCCCCAAATTTTTCAGTCTCCTCTTCCTTGAATGAGAACTGGGTTTCAGCAACAGATGACTTCTCAGGTTAGGGCTCCAACACAGGGTGTGCTTAGTGGGTGTCATTGTTTTGGGAAGGGGCTGAACCTGTAGCTGATGCCGACAAACCTATTTTGTTTAGTTTTCAGAATGGCAAGGAGAGGGCTTCATCGCAGACTTGCTCCGCTACCATGTGGTCATCTGTCAGGCACTCCAGCTGGACGACTTGGACTCACAAGATTCTATTACAGCTTTGTCTGGACACAAAATAAGGGTTTCTGTGAAAGAAGTATGTGCTGCTGCTACGGTCTTCATTTCTGTCTTGTTCAGCCCTTTCTGCTTACTTGAGCAGTCCCATCTCTCTGCCTCAGAGACTTACCAGTTACCAAATCTTTCAAGCTATTACATGGAGGGAAAGTGGAGCAATTTAGCATTCTGCAGAGAGAGAACAATCTCTGTGGAGCAAGGAGAGTGTTTCTCTCATATGGCTGCAGTGATACCAGCCCTAGTCTTGATTCAGTAGCTTAACAACCATGCCATCATAACATATTGAAGAAACCCTGGGGAAAGGAGCATGTCTACTCCTTTAAAAGCACTGGGAAGATGTTTCCAAAGATGAAAATGGGTAGTAGCAGTGGTAAGGATCATCATTGCCATCGCCTTCATCATCAGTTAAAAAAGAAAGAAAATGTTCTTGAAACAGTAATATTGCTACTGTAGGTTGCTAAATTAGATTATTTCTGCTTTGCTAAAAGTGTCATGAATGCTCATGTGGGTCAATGGATTTACACCCATATCCCTTAATTTGCTAATGTTTTTTAAAAGCAAATATTTAAGAACTGCTCCAGATATGTGTGTGTGTGTGTGTGTGTTTCTTATAGTCAATGATGGGCATTAAGACTAGTACTGTATACTTCATACTACATACAAATATACAGTACTTGTTTTTGGGCTACCTGGATCATGCTCAAGGAGCTAGTTGTGGCCTTTTCCATGCACTGAGTGTAGTACAATGTCCTGCAAAACTTGTCCAGTCACAGACTATGACTCCTCTACTCTGAGAAGGCTTTGAGAGTTTGCACCTACTGTGGAGCCAAAGAGGATGCTTCAAAAGAGTGATTTGGAGCCTCAAGCACCACCTCTTTAGCCTCTTGGGCAAGTTACCTATCTTTTGGCCTCACCAGTCTTGCTGTGAAATGGGCATTTTTTGACTGGCCCTACCCACCATGGTGCCTATTTTGTGAATGGGCCTTTTCCCCCCAGGAAGCCATTTTTCAATGGCACTCATGATGTTTTCTCAACATCGCAGATGTGCCCATTGACCCCAAAGACTGGAGATCCCGTCTTGTAATCGCTTTTCTGTTACTGGTGTTGGATTGCTTATTTTCCCATGGCAAAGAAACTCACAAACGAAAATGGTTTGCACAAAACATGTAATGTTGGGCTGCTAAAAAGGTGTGTCTCACTGGCATTGTCCATTCTTTCTCAGGACACTGTCTATTTAAATGACGAAGCAAAGATCATTCGAAGTATTCCTGCATCAAATGGTGTCGTACATTTCATTGACAAGATATTAATCCCATATGACCTGAAGCATCACGGCATTCCATCCAGTTTATCAGTGGTATGTTTACCATAAGAAAGCTCACAGCAATTATATTCAGCTCTGATGTTTTTTTACATTGTTAGCCACCAATTGTCCTGGCTGAAAATACAGTGTTAGGTTATAGACTTCATCTCACTTGGTTGCACATATTAGTAGTGTGTGCACGTGTGTGTGCGTGCTCACTTCCAGAGAAGAAGAGGGGCACCAAGTTTAAGAAAAGATGAGACAGGAGAGCTCAAAACCTAATATTTTGTTCCAGTGAGTTCCATTAATAATGAACATACATTATAAGATATTGTAAGTTTGTCCTTACTGTGAAATCTTGGGATATCAGTGCATATAAAGCATTCTTCTGGCTGGCTATGCATTTGGACTGTACTCTTAGTGACAGAGAAACCTTGTTTCTAATGACCTTTTATAACTGGTTGCTTTCCAGCAAAACATCACCGAGGTTGCAGAGGCTTACGGCTACAAAATTTACAGCAGGCTTCTAAAGGTAAATTTTCAGGTGCAGTGCTTCAAACACCCCCCCCCCATATATGTCTATCTGTTTGATTTTCTGATTCAGTTCAGGATTTATTTCAGAACTTGAGTTTGAATTTTGAATTTGAACCTTGTATTTGAACCCTTAGTAGAATTTGAACCTTGTTTACACAAAGGGGTGAGGTCATCTTAATGCTCTCACAGCCTAGGTACAAAGATGTTTGTTCCCAGTGTTCTCTCTATGGCATTCCAAAACACTATGGTGGTTTCCTAGTTTTGTGGAGGTTTCACAGCTGGCCCAGCTCCTCTAGCAATTCTTTGAAACCCCTGGCATATTTACTAAAGGTGGGCAGAAAGGTAGATCTGGAGCTATTGGTAGATGTCCGGGTGATTTGCCATAGATTGGGAAACATTTCTAGTTCCCAGTTCTCTGACCATAGCCAAAACATACAGGCTCCTTCGTCCTCAACTTTCTAGCAATTAAAAACAGACTTGAGTAGGAGCAGATCATATATCCAAATAGGTATCCGTTTGAAGGTGGTGTCTACATGCATGCAATTTAAATACTGAAAGCACTGCAAGGTTTTCAATCCATCGCATTGTAGAGCTGAGCATTTTATCCTTCCAAATTGATAATAGGTGTCAAAGTTTGCAGAGAATCCATTTACTCTGAGAGTCTGTTCCTTTCCATGAATCAGGTAAATAACTTTAAAAAGCATGTACATCAGTGTATAAGAAAGACTGATCCACTACAAAATTCATCTGTGTAATAATTCCACCACTGCCAAAAAGGAAGTGACTACCAGGCAATGCCTAAACATATGTTCAAAAGAAGCATTAGTGGTTTCACACTGCCAGGAATTAACTGAATTTGGCAATTCCTTATTAAAGAGAAGTTCTGGCATTCAGTAGACTTGAAACAAGTTTATGCTGATTAAGACACTGCCTAAGATCCATAGATGCAAAAGTAGACACCAAGGCTGTGAAACACTGGTTCACCATTTTGTGGTGGTGGCCACAGCAGTTTCTTAAATTCCTAAGTATGTCCATGGGTCCAAAAGGTTGAGGACCCCATCCCAAGCTGCTATTTTGGGAGACTCCAGGATTCTAGTAAAAAAAAGTTCCCATAAGCGTGAATGCAGCATCCTTCTGGTCATATCCACACTCTGGAAGTATCATGTATCATGAAATCAGATCAGAATCTCCTTTTATAGGTACCCTTCTCCCCCAAATCTGCAACATACCTAGGAAATTGTTCTGTGTACTGCTGGCAAAGTAATGAGATGAACTTGGGAATGAATTTTTGACTATTTGCCTTTGATGTTCATAAATGGGACTTTGCTTATGGAAAGGGAAAGGTTATTTATTTATTTAGAGTTTTTGTATGCCGTCCCATCGCTTATAGCCTCGGGATGGCTCACATAAATAAATAGACATGAATAAACATGATAACAAAGTTTCTCTGTTATCCTTATTCTTTGCTTATGCAGATTATATTTCTAGACATTAAAAAATGGTGGCGGCAGCAAGGACCCTCACATTCAGTATCCTGCTGTCAAGCTTCATCATTGCTACAGTGAATGAATGCTTCCTGATCAACAGGGAAGAATGGAATGAAATTATGCAATGTGTGTGCATAATTTTCTTCACACACACCTTTGCTCTTAAGTGTTTGCAAAATGCAACTTTTGCTGTTCGTTGTTTCTCCTTAAATTGCTGTGCCATTTTACAGCCAGTAGCTCACAATTCAAACCCCACAAAAATATAAATGGCAGCAACAAAACAAATTCCAACAGAATGCAACCAATGTGCCCTGTCAGCTCCTAAGCAATCCAGCCGGTAGCCCAGCAAAAGCCTTTCTCAAGAGACTGAATGAAATCTGTATCACCTGAAATACTTAGCAGATCTCAGAACTTGGGGAATGGGGTGAGGGCTAAGGCTACCCTGTTAAATATTCGAATGGGTAAGTACTGTGGGACTTATTTCAGAGTAGATGTGGGTGGGCTTGTGATGCAGGTTCCTTGCCTTTTAGGGAGATTGCCTGTGCCTGAAGGCTGTTTTTTGTAAGTGATTGAAGACTGAAACGGCATGTCACATGCCACTACAGCATTATACTGTGGCTGTGTCTCTTCATATACATTGTTCTCTGTGCAGGAGGCAGGACTTCTTAGTGTGGTTAACAACACCTTGCACCAACCCTTCACCATGTTGTGGCCTACAGATGCAGCATTTAATTCCCTTCCTTTGGATATGCAAAAATGGCTGTATCATAAAGACCATCGGAGCAAGCTGGCTGCATATCTGAAAGGGCACATAATCAGAGAAAAGAAGGTGAGTGGAGCAGCAGAGAACACAAGTGCTCTAAAGTCTTTCCAGCATGGCCTTGTGGAGATCCATGCCATGGGAAACGTGCTTCCCTGGTGAAAAACGTGCCAGATGGAAGTGCTCGCACATTTTGGTGTTGGCATGACCAGTATCTTTTCAATATAAACCAGGCTACACACTGTATTTGATTTAATGGGTCAGTTAATCAACAAAGAGATATTAATGCCCTGGGTAGAACCAATTCATCAGTTGATTAATTGGTAACGTTAATCTCTAATCGCTGTGGGATAGATGAGGGAAATAAAAGTTATAGAGTGTTACTGCAATCCAGAAAGTGAAATGGGAAAATGTTGCAATGCCTGGTGTGCATCAGTTTGCAAAGTGGCCTTCCCTTCCACCAATGGGCAGTCTGCTCTGTTGCTCTCTGCTCAAGCCATTGATGCAGCACTACTGAAACAGTAGTCTATGCTGTCGCAACAGGCTTCCCTGGGAGCCCCATCGCTCCAGCATTGGCTACTGTACACTGGCACTCCATGGGCATTAGCAGAGTGCCTACGGAATATTAGCTTATTTTTGAGTAAACCTCTCTTGCTGTTCCTTTCATGTCTCAGAAAGGGAGTTATATTAAAGCTAAAGAAATACGTTGTTTTAATCAACTGGTAAAAAGATAGCAGATCAATAGTATTTGTAAAAGGCAGTTCCAGTGCAAACTGCTTGGGCAATTTCTACCCAGGACCATTAATATCCTGCACCTCTTTTCAGTTTTGCCATAGAATTAAGGTCTGAGCACTACACAAAGAGCAAGGGCCCTAAACACAGGGCCTAGAGACTCCTCCATTAGCACCCATCAATGTGGTACCCAAATTGTAGTGCCAAGTTTATTATTTTTTCTTTTTTTAATAAGCATGAATGGTTTTGTGTGAAATTCATGCAGCTTTCTAGCAGTTATGTACAGATGACTGCAAAAGCTAGTTAGATACCAAGGCATCCATTTGGAGGGAGTGCCTATATGCCACCCATTCAAAAGCTGAAAGTGTTCTAAGGTTCTCATTCCATTGCATTATAGGAATTTAGCTTTTATTCTTTCAAAGTTTTATTGTCAGTCGTCGCCTGTCAAAAGGGCATAGAAAATCCATTATGCTGACCATTTTTTAATTTCCAAGAAGTAGGTAAATAGTGGAAAGTCGTGTGGACATCAATGAATACTAAAGACTGTTCCAGGACCAGTATAATAGCCTCCCCACAAAAAGAAGCAACTACTGGATATTGTCAAAATATTTTTGAAAGATAAATTAGCTGTATTCCACTGCCAGGAATTTAGACAATCCTTTCTTAAGTGACGTTGTTTGTGTCTAATAGACATAAAGCAAGCTTCTGTCAAATAAGGCACAGCAAGTAGATTCCAAAGTGGTGGTCCCCTCATGAGGAATTTTGTGGTGGAAACCACAGCAGTTTCTCAGATTCTTCCAACTATGTATGTTGTATGTGTATAATAATATTGGAGACGCCTGCAGTTTTCTTTCTTGTTTTTCCACTGCATAATCTCTAGGTGGCAATGTGGCATAGCAAATGTGATGTTTTTTTCCTTTTTCACTTCTGTAAATTAAACCACATTTTCATGCACACACAAAAAATACTCCCCAACCGTGGTTTTTAAAAATGGAAGTGAAACTGGAGGCTTGCAGCTTCAACTAGAGGATCAGAACAGTCTTGAGTGGCTGAGCACACGAAAAATGCCTCATGTATTTCTGAATTCCTGAAGTCTGCGTTAGTTCATATTTGCACCGAAAGCAGGATGGCAGGCCTACTTCCCACACCAAAAGGATCCCACAGAGGAGGAAAGCGGAAACCAACCAACCTCCTTGCCCGCTTGGCCTCTCCTGAGCAAACCCCTCTGTGCTCAGCTTACTTTCAGAGGCAGAGCTGTGCAGGGCGAGGCTTGGACTGCACATAGCCAAGGAGCATGTAGGTACAAGCAAAGAACGGGTGAGGTTTCACTCCCTTCCCTTCTGTGCCCCTTTTTGTGTGTCAGGACATTAAACAAGCAAAGGAGGCCGATGTTTATAGTTGACTTGTTTCTATCCGCCTTTCCTCAAGAAGCCCCTGGCTTGAGGGGCACCCAGGTGTCCCACACATCTACGTTGGCCTAAATCTAAAGCTCACCTCATTGCAGCTTCCCCTTGTGTATCTCTAGCTGCTGGCTTCCCAGCTGACAGAGACTAAGGCACTGAGGACTTTCCATGGATCTACCATCTCATTCAGCTGCGGAAAAACAAGTGCTGTAAGTAAGCGTTGCTCAAAACCTAATGTGCATGGGGTGACTGATTGTATGTTATTGCCCTGGTGAAGTGGGTGGGCCAAAGGGGTTGAATGAAGGTCTGTTCAGTTTTTAAAGTTCCCTCTCTCCTCCCGCAAGCTGCTTTCCGACCTACATGCAGGTTTTGGTGAGAAACTTTCCCACCTACATGCAGAGGTCGAATTTTGAGTAGCAAAAACATTAGGAAGGGAAAGGATCAACCACATCCTTTCCCCCTGTTATTCTTCTACTCCCAATGGCAATCTTCTAGGCTGCTTTTAGAGAGTTAGAAGAATAGGCTCAGCTGCATGTGACTTGTAGCAAAAGCCAATATGACCCATAACTGGGCCTTAAGCAACAAAAACACACACACCCCACTTCAGTCTTGCAGTAGCATCAGCGCAACCACAGATTTCAAATTGCTTGTGTGGAATTACAGTAACTGTCGGGACCTCCATAAATATTGCATATTTTATATCCATTTCCCAGCGATGTTGAAGAAATCCACAACAGAATTAGATGACTTTGCATTTCTGATGCTCCCACCCACAGACTGGGCACCCAAATTAGCTTTTTCCAAGTCTCACGGATTCCATGGATATTTTTTTTCTTTCCTGGAATTGTACACAAATTTAGCCATGTACACATACAATGAAGAAAAAACAATGATCAAAAACACATATTTCCCTTATTGATTATTGTCACAAGGGGGATTTTTGTTTGTTTTTTTTAACTTTGAGGAAGATTTGCACCAATTCACATGAACTAAGGCATCAATGTAGATTAGCATTACTTCACCGACTCTCATCCTAGTCTACCTCACAAAGCTTTTGTGAGTATCAAATGAAGTGAAGGCAGATAATTTGAGCCACCCTGAGTTCTGTATAGAAGGAAACAAGTGGAGATATAATGTAATAAACACAATGATTTATCTTCTAGTTTCTAGTGCAATTCTTCTGCTTTGTTGCCACATAGGGGGACATCTTAGTGGACAATGGCAATGCACAGATCGTACAGAGATATATGAAATTTGATGTAGGTATCGCTTACGGTATTGATCATCTGCTAGAACCTTCAGATTTGGGATCCCGCTGTGATGAGTTTCGTTCTGTTGAGTCCTCGGTGAGTGGTTGGCTTGCTTCCCTGTAATATAGTTATTTGTTGAATTCTATAACCCTGCCCTTTTGAGAGGCCAGTCTCAAGAGATTCCTACAAAGCCACACTATTTAAAGCTCTGTAAGTTGAATATTTTGTATATCTTTGTAAGGAAAAATTGGGAAAATCTACCCCTTGATTTAGAATGTAATAGTACTGAAATTTCTCAACAGACTGAAACTAAAAGAGCCGAAATAATGTTTGGGGTTTCTCCCAAGAAAGTTAATGGTTTTATAATACACTAATGCCATAAAATAGTAAATAGTAAGATCATTGTGGGTGTCAAGCAACCTGGCCTGCTATCTGCAGGATGGACTGCTAGAAGGCAACAAGCCACCTGTAAAACCATGGCTTGTACTATGGGGTTTTGGACCTGTGATGGCATGTTGGGTCATCTGAGTCCAGGAGTCCAGGATAGCTTGTTCTAGGGGCTGCTGCACCCATCATACGTTGTCATGTCATTCAAATCCAGGTGACCAAATCCGGGTGGTCCTGGGGAGCCACTGGCAAGCCACTTGGCAAGGCTGGCAAAAAGCCTTAGCTGCTCTTGCCAAGCCTGCTTGGACTACTGCCAGGGACAGCTGCTTTGCAAGGATCTAAGCGGCTTGGGCGGTTGGCACTGACTGGGTGTCTCCCATCGTGAGACTCCCATCAAGCCCCTTTTACTTCTTATGGCTGCTTTGTCCCATTGAGCCCCCCATCCTGGAGACTGAGACTGCCCGCTTTACAGTTTGCGTCAGCCAGTGAATGTGGTGTACGTGCTGCACTGGAGGGGCTGCCTGCGGTTCGCAAAGTGATTTTAGATGTTGTGCATGTGTGTCCACTATGTGAGCAAATAACTTTTTCTGCTTATGTATATGCACATGTCCCTGTTGAAAACCCTGATTAGCGCTGTCAAGATCCCATTCCAAAAGAAAGCCCAATCTTTGACCTCTTTCAAGGCTCTGTGCTCCACTTTGCCCAAGCATGACGAGTCTTCAGAAACTGTGGAAAGGGTCAGGCCCAGCTAAAAATAAGAAGAGGGTCTCTGTGTGAAAGAAGCATTCTGCGAGCCACTCCAATTTATTTATTTAAAGCTTTTCTATACTGTCCAACCATAAAACAGATTAAAATAAAGCATAGCATCCAATGCATCCAATAAATAAAACCCACATTAAAACCTAATCCACCTTAAAATAATGGGTGAATAAAAAGATTTTAGCCTGGCACCAAAAGGAATACAGAGTCGGTGCCAGACAAACCTCTCTGTGGAGCACATTCATAGCCGGGGTGCCACCACCAAGAAGGAGGGTAGCCACCCTCCTAATCTCCTTCAAGGAAGGCTTAAGGTCCACACCAGATCTTAAGGGGCAGGAAGGCACATCGGGAAGGAGACACTCCTTCAGGTAACCAGGTCCTAAGGCTCGCCTGTGGTTTGAGTTAATCCATGATGGGTTTTGTAATCTATATTCAGACAACAAGACAACCCATTGTGGTTCAAGTGAACCCTACTATAAGCTAAATATAAGCCATCCTAGCAAAAGCATGTTTGGTTGATCTGACACACAAGCCCATGGTGGCTCAGCTCAGTGTGCAGAACCCAGCAAGGCAAGCTCATTTAATCGAATTCCCGTGGCACCAGACAGTAACATCTTATGACTTATTTCTCCTTCGGTCTTCCCCATGTGTCATTCTCAGGATTCTCTGTGTGGTCTCTGTGGCTCTGAGCCCCATTGCCCTCCAGGAACAACTGAATTGGTAAGTTTGGTCGACAGTTCCCACGTAGATCTTTATTGTTTGCTTGGGGTTAAAAATGATATATCTCATCTGTTAAAAACCCATTAAGGTGATAAGCAGCAATTTAGAGCAATGCAACCTGAGCACAATCAGATTAAGTGCTATAAAATTTAGAAGGCTAAATTTAAGAATAAGTGTCTTCATAATTTTCCTAAAAGCCAGGGTGCCAAGTTTTAGCATACCTTCCCATTCACATGTAAATGTGTGTGTGTGTGTGTGTGTGTGTGTACGCATGTGCTGACCATGATCTAAAATGATCAGCATTTGGGCCTAGAGCTGTCATACCACAAGGAAGATTGACTTGTGCACATCTACCAGGGAGAAATTCACAATAGGCCCTAAATAAGTGATATGAAGAGACTCTGATCCCAGCATTTGCCCAACTGGATATAGGACCAGAGTTGTAGGGATGTTTCTTCACAGATTAGGAATGGTTGCTTACCTTGCCACCACAAAAACAAAAGCAAAGATGAGGGGCTGAAGGCAGGCAAGTCTTTGGTCCCATTAAGCCCAGCATGGTGTGGTAAGCAGAGCAAAACTAGACTGGGCTTTCCTTAAACCCTCCAAATCAATAAAGTGCAGTGGTAGAACTTAACTCAGATGAAGTAGAGAATATCTAAAGATGAACTTTCCTGTGGAAAATTGAATTGGGAGCTAAGTTAAGTTGACCTTTTATGATTGGAGCTCTGGGAGTTCCCATCCTTCACTACCATTAATGCCAGGAATATGGTGCTTGTTGGCATGGCATTTATCTCTTCTGGTCTCTGATTGGCTAATCCAAACAGGAGCCTCTGTCTTGGCTATGTGCAAAAGGAACTAAGTAAGGGAAATACACTAACATATATTTGGAATGTTCATACTGCTTTGCAAAATGAAGTCAATCCACATCTAGTATTTATTGCAGAACAAAGACAGCTGCAGTATTCTGCTGAGTGAAAACATGCTGAATCATTAGGCTTTTCTACATGAAGCATTTATAGTACACTAGTCATTTTCTATTCAGAGTAGTTTGTGGATTCTTTTGATGAAGACATAACCCTCCAATTACACTTCCATAGCTAAATAGCACTTGCAGAGAATTTTTTAAAGCAGGGAAAATGTGGCATCTAATTCTGAATGTGAAACAAACCACTTTTTCACTTGGCTACTGCGGCTTTTCTGCTATATCACAGTGCCACCTGGAGGTTATGTAGCAAAAAGGCATGAAAAGAATTGTTCTTGTGCTTGAATCTCAATTCTGTGATGAAACTGAAGGGGATACAACCTGTTAACAGTCTCATGTGCAAAAGCTCATTGTGCTCCAACATCCCAGTCCTCTGCTTGATTTATGTTGGGTTCATCTAAAGCACAGGTGCAAAAATCTCAAATATAAAAATAAACTAGCATCACTTTATTAAGAAGTAGTCCAGTCAAGACAACCAGTGTATATGGACGTATACAAGCTGAATGCAAAGGAACTGCACCAAAGCTTTTATAGTATTTCATCTCAATTTAATACTTTTATCGTTAGCCTCCTTCTAATCCCTTAGGCTCCTCTTACTAGTCTAGCAATCTTATATCTACATGACCAAATACACATAGGGAAGTCAAAGTTCGTTCTCAACACTTTCATACCTCGGGTGTTATGTTCTTGCCAACATCTTCCCAATTCGCAGCTGAGTTGCTATCTAAATTAACCTTTTAATCCTACATGCTTCTACATTATCTATTTCTATGTAACTGCTTTTTGTCAAAGCTGAGAAACTAAGAGGAGAATTTATAATCTTTCTCTAACATACACTTCTGTCAAGCCAACTCCTGTTGCTCTTTTGGGACACAGGTAACTTTTCCAGAGAGCAGTGCATGCTGGCTGAGGGCATGGCGACAGTGCAAGAAACTAGGCATGTCCTTTTCCTCACCAGCCCTCTGGGCTGTTATGCTATTGTAAATTTCTCCTAGTGAACGTGACTGTGGTCTTTCCTCCTTTGTATTTCAGACTCCATTGGGTGCCAAATAAAGCATGGACCAGAATTTGATTCTCTTTAATCGATATATCTAATGTGATTATAGACTGTCCTTAAGGGTGGCCAGCAATTATCTGGTTCATCCTGTTGAGCGACTAACGAAATCTGAGTAGAAGTGTGGGCAGGAAAAGGGGACCAGGCTTTATTCTGAGGCACTGAATGCATGCTTTTGCATTTGAACACGGGTGTGGGGCATATATCAAAGTCATATGGCAGGTGGGCCTACAGAAAAGGATGTTACTCCAGCCATCTAGAAGTACTGTCCACTGATAAGGTTTTCTATTTATTACATTTATATCCTGACACCTGTGATTTATCCACACAACAGCCCAGAGATGTAGGTAACATTGGTTAGGCTGGGAGTGAGGAGTGGGCACAGGGCCACCCAGTGAACTGCAAGGCCCAATGGACCCAGATCTTCTAATAATAATTAGACAACCCTCACACTATCCCCCAGCCTAGATGAATTTCACGAAGGATCCATGGATGACAAGCCTGCCTCAGCCATTCCTTCTTGCCTAGAAGGTGATCTCATCTGTCTGTGACTCTTTTGGCTGCAAGCCATGTGCCTGGAGCTCAGGGGAAGGGAAAAGAGCAAGTCAGAGAGGGGAATGAGAGGGGGAACATGGCAGGTCAGGGAAGGGAGTAGTACCCTTCTGCCCGCCCACCTCTTCTCCCCTGCAAATCTAATTCCTTTTGCAGCAACAAGGAGCTTCCAGCGTGTCTTGCAGTGTTCTAAACCAAAAGATAAAAGTGGTGTCTTGCTTTTCCTACAGGGGGAAAGCCAGAGTTGTACACCTTCCACAGGGTCGTATTTCAACAGTGGGTGGAGTTACCACAGAAGGAAGCCTTATTGGTGGCAAACTTCATCCAGGGCGAACAGAATGCGCCTTCGCACGAAAACTTCACTGAGATATTGCAAGAGAACATGCTTTGAAACCAAATGGATCCCCCAGTGCTGTGCAAACCACTATGGAAAAGATTGCCTGGGTAAGAGTGTTTCTGTCATGCCTCCATACACAATATTTTGTTTTGCTCTTTTTTGACCTGGCAGTGGTGTTTGTGGCCATTGTAGCCAATAAGAACACCATAAGAACAAGCATTTGTCATAGTTTTGATTTTTATATAAAAAGCAAGCAAATGTATACTGTGCTACTAAGCTCTTCTGAGGTTTATAAGTCCAAGGACCTGCCCTAAATTGATTTTTTCTGCTTCTTGGTATTTAAAAAGAAAAGGAAAAGCTTTAAAAAAAAAATTAGGGCACCTTAGGAATGCATGCAGTCGGATAACATTAATTGTTTTTCATTATTTGTCGTTATTTGTTTTTCGGCGCCAGGCCAAGACCTTTTTATTTAAACATTATTTTAATTAATTGTTAATTTATTTATTGGTTTTATTTATTGCCTGGATTCGTCCAATTTTTATATTTTTGTATTGTTATTTATTTGTTGGAAGCCTTCCCGAGGCTTATGAGAATGGAGCGGCATACAAGTTTCCCAAATAAATAAGTAAATAAATAAAAATGTCTTGGTTCTGCCTTTTCAGTATGTCCCGGGGGGCTGGAGGCACCATGCAGCAATCACGGTACCTGCGACGATGGGCATCCAGGCTCGGGAAGATGCAACTGCAGCGCGGCTTACATTGGGACAGCCTGCGAGCACTGCAGCCCAGGCCGCTACGGGCCAGACTGCAAAGGTACAGCCATGCTTTCCAGAACAAAATGCCATGAGCACCTTGTTTGTACTCTTAACGTGACCACTGAGTCTGCTGTTGTTTCTATCCTAATTGACACTTACTTTGTGCCCTCATTATCCGACTACAGCTTTATGCATTTCTTCCTCGATCAAATGTTATTGTGAGCCGCCCCGAGGCTTCGGCGAATGGGGCGGCATAGAAGTTCCTAAACAAATAAATGTTCATGCACATTTAAAAATGTGCAAATGGCTTTCCTTACTGTAATATTTGTATGGTGCACTGGTGGCGTTCTTTCCCCTCCTTTTGTACACATGCTGAAATGTTCCTGTCTGGATGCAGGCTTTCATATTTAGTTGTGGGGGAAAGTGCTCTTCTTTCATTCAGGATTTTCACAATATCTTTAGTAATAGGTATAATAACTGAGTAATGAGTACTTCAAATGGCTTTTTAAGTACAATGTCTCATCAAGCTTGGATGGCAGTCAGCCTCAGCCTGCACACAGTTCTCTGGGTGCCAAAATTGCTCTTGAAAAGTAGTTGGTATCTTCCCATCTAGCCCAAGGCAACAGCGGTCTCATTGTTCTCATTGCAGAGTGCAATTGTTCAGAGAATGGGATATGCAATGAAGGACTGCTTGGAGACGGCTTCTGCTTCTGTGCGGCAGGATGGACGGGCGAGAACTGTGAAGTTGAATTAGGTAAAGCCAATCATGGCTAAATCCCAGAGTAGCATTCAGTGTCTCAACAGACTTTCTGGGAAAAGAAACCCCATGTTTCATAGCACCCTGCTTTAAAAAGCCACACGTGATCCTGCTTTTTGTACTGCTCTCATCCCTCTGTAGTCTGTATTGAAGCCTGACATTTTTTTGTAGTAATTCGGAAATTTTGAATTCTGTAGAAACACTGTCGAGGCGAAAGACATGAGTGTGCAGAACCTCCTAGGCAAAGGCAGTGCTAGTGTGCTTCCCTATTTTGAACTGTTTGCTTTTAGAACATTCTTTGCTTTTCCCAAAAGGAGGAACTGAATTAGGTGCCAGGTTCTGAATTGTACGCAAGTCATTGTATTCCATTCCCATGGACATGGGGGCTCTGAATCTGAACACGGAGGAGTCCCCATGGGGCACAGAATCCTGTAACTCACCTGGCAATATGGAGATGAGGAGACCGCTTCAATTTGATCTAGCCCTTCCACAGCTTAGTTAAGGAACGCGATGTCCCAGATCAGAGAAGTCAAGGGTGCTTTACGAGCAGTGATGGATTAAAGGACTAAACAGATGCAGAGATTCTCAAATAATTATGACAGTTCTGGAATGTGAGACTGAGTGACAAGATAATGAAATGCTGACACCAGTCTGACTTGTAATAAACAGATGCTGAGATTTGGCAGGACTGCAAATGTTCCTAAGTACCCTCTTGCTTTCCTCTGCCTCCTTCACATTCCCTGGCATTTTTCTGCACAAAAATTCTGGTTTCCTCCTCCTCTCACTAGTGGCCTTGTCCCTATTTTATCTGCATTATAGAAAATCACTCAAGTAAGTGAACCCGAAAGTCCAACTGCATGCCATTTTAAATGCATGGTGGCATTTCACTTTTTAAAAACAATAATAAAAGAGGTAGCATCGCTGGCTAGAGAGAAAGAACTGGAACTAGAACTGGGGCGTGAGAGTGAAAATAAAATCTCTCCTCTGTACTGTGGTCCTGGTAACTGTTGCCCCCTAGAAGCTTCTTTTCATTCCATAAGGGACGTTGCTCTTGGCGCACAAAACATTTTCTCCTTGCAGGGCAAATAGCAGCTTCTAAGGAAGGGATATTTGTTGGGATTGTGGTGAGTGGTGAAAGGAGATAAATTTCCTTCCTGCATGCCATCATTTTGACCCTGAAGAGACTCCCTCCCCTAATTTTGTTTTCAAAATATTAATATGTTCAATGCAGCATTTGATGTAAGTTATAATTTGGTCCTAAGATGGGGTGGGCCATTTGTGACCAGGTTATTGGCCTATAGCTTCATCATCCCTTTCCATTGGCTAAGCTGGCTGTAGCTGATGCAAACTGCAGTCCAAAACATTTGGAAAGCCATGAGGAGCTGATTACTGGCTTGTTCTCTGTCTAGCCGCACTGCCTCAGTGTTCCCCAGCCTGCCACCGGAACGCTGTCTGCCGAGCCAACAACACCTGCGAATGCAACTTAAATTATGAGGGAGATGGAAGGACCTGCACAGGTATGCACGGGGGTTGGGGGAAGGCTCTGTGTTCATTCACTAGGCCTTTTGTCACATGGGGCTAGTTTTGACGAGAAATTGGTACTAAGATTGTACCAACAGATCAGTGGGTGTGATCAGATCCTCATGCACTATATACGTGTGTTTCCTCGTGTGCCTCAGTCCCGTGTCGTCAGGCAGACACCCTGTGGTAGAGGTGTCTGCTGAATTATGGTGTTATCCCACGAGGCACCGTCCAGCTATGTTCTAACAAGCCAAGGTTGGCCTATTTGTCCCAGCTTCCCCCCAAGGGATGCTGGGAGGGAAATTAGGTCAACTGCTATAAATCTGCTAGAGGTTTTGGTTTGCTTTCTTCTTTTTAATATGCTAACAGATGCAGAAGTAGGATGGAACAACATTAAGGTGGGAAAAACGAGACATGAAATTAATGGATTTGTGTATCCATCAGTTCTTGCTTACACGGCCCACTCCAATAAGAGTAACTCCAGGTTTATTACTTTGGATTTGTACTCCAAACCCACCCCCACCTCAGGTTACGTAGCTTGAAAAGAAAAACATACATTCTCAGGTTATTTGTTGTTACAATTATTATCATTTCATTGCATTGCCTTTATACCCTGCCCTTGATTTGTTTTGACCAAATGTGGAATCCTGACAATGGGCTAGTTGGTCCTAAGCATGGAATTGGAAGTGTTTTGCCCACCTGAGACTCCTGAAGATGCTGGGAAGGAGCTGCCCCATTTGCTCACCTAAACTACCTCTGCATAGAGTTCTCCCCGAATCACCTCTCTCAGATTCTAGACCATATCATGAGATTTAGCTAGAGTAGATGGGCCTTCCAGAGCAGAACGGAACATGCTAAAATCAGTTAGTGTTACAGAGATATATTTCTGGGATTTCCCAAGCTGGATGAGAGGGGATTACTGCTCTTTTTTCTCTCTCTGCCTCTAAATTTACCAAAAGTAAATTTAAGAAACGTAAACCTCTTCCCCAGAAGGTGTCCCAGTTACAAACTCTGCAAATGGAACAGTGTAACAGTGCTATTGGACAAATATTGGAAGGAAGGAAAAGCAGTATTTTCACTGGGCACGGTGTTTTCTGTCTCTGTCCCAGCCGCCATCTCGTTCTGTGTGCTTGGCCCAGAACTGCCTCCAGTGTTCCAAACTCTGTAACTTCAGCTGGGGTGGAAGCAAAAGAGCGGTGGGATCTCAGAACAACTGCAGAAAAGAACTACCAGAATTTGCTCATCCCTCTGTCTGAAGCAGCCCAAGCAGGACTGTGGGGACTCCTCCCCACATGGTGGGTGCAGATTTGGAAGTGACAGTTAACGCAGTCCCCTTTCTGCCGCAGTGATTGACCTGTGTGGAAACGACAACGGTGGCTGCAGCTATCACGCCAACTGCACACAGGTTGGGACGGATGTTTTCTGTAGCTGCTTCCCAGACTATGAGGGAGATGGCTCCGTCTGCCTCCCCATAGACCGGTGTGCAGATGGAAGGAACGGAGACTGCAGCGAGCACGCCACTTGCATCTACACCGGCCCCGTAAGTGCAGCCCCACACTGGGAAAGTTCCCTGCTGCTCGGCACCACGGCGGCAGCAGCGTTCGGGTACAGGCAGAGGATGGCAGCTGCAGAAACGCCAGTGTTTCTTCACAGTGTCATGTAGGTGTGCGGTTTCCATTCAGAGAGCCCTCTGCATGGCGGCCCTTTGTGGGAGCTTTGCGAGAGATGCGTGATCTCCCCCGGTTATGATGCGCCGATGCTGCTGCATCTGGCAAGACCATGCCTTGGGCAAGAGAGGCAGCAGCCTCATGCTCTGGCACTGCATGGAGCGAGGGGTCCTCCCCAAGAAGCGGCACTGAACAGCTGGGGAGGGAATCGGAGCGGGGACCCTGTATTTGCCTGTTAGAAATCCCTTGAGTCATTATTGGAAGGAATCAGCTTACAAAATCATAGAATCATAGAAGGGTTGTGCTGGAAGGGGCCATGCAGGCCATCAAATCCAGCCCCCTGCTGTTGCAGGACACCACGTTTCACCACCCCACTCAGGTGGCTGTCCAGTTTCTTTTTGAATGTCTCTCGTGTGGGAGAGCCCACTGCCTCTCTAGCCAGCTGGTTGCACTGTCATATTGCTCTGACAGTGAGGAAGCTTTTCCTGATATCTAGCCTGACTCTGGGTTGTCGCAGCTTGCATTGATTATTCCATTTCCTGCACTCTGTATCAGCAAGAAGAGATCTTGACCTTCCTCTTTGTGACAGCCTTTGAGGTACTTACAGAGGGATAACGGCTTGGGACCAGGATACCTAAAGGAACGCCTTTTTCCCTATTTGCCCTCCCGCCCCCTGAGGTCGGCAACAGAAGCCCTCCTCCGGGAACCCTCTGTGAAAGATGTTAGGAGACAGAGTACCTGGAGGAGGGCCTTCTCTGTGGTGGCACCCCGTCTATGGAATGCGCTCCCCGGAGAGGTCCGTCTGGCGCCATCATTATATGTTTTTTGGTGCCAGGTTAAGACCTTTTTATTTAATCAATATTTTAATAAGTTTTAATATTGAATTTTATTATTGTATTTTACTAATTGCAGCCAGAATGCGTCGTCAATTTATTTATGCTGTTAGCGGTCCAGAGACGTTAGTAATTGGACGGCATACAAATTTAATAAATAAATAAATATCACCCCGCCCCCCGGTCTTCTCTTCTCAAGGCTGAACATGCCCAGTTCTCGGAGTCTCTCCTCACAAGGCAGCGTTTCCAAACGCTGGATGATTTTTGCTGCCCTCCTCTGGACCTTTGGCAGTGTTTACTTTTGAAGAAGGGACAGGGAGCGCATGCATGCATTACATGGATCCCTTCAAGGACTCAAACCCAGAATAGTTCTCATTTGGAGACCCTAGAACTCACGGGTGTTGAGAGCCTCATGTTTGTGCATGTGCGTTTGTTTGCGTACATATGCGCACAACATTGCTCCTTAAATCTGGGCAAGTGACTGAGTTCAAGGCACAATACCGGAATTAAAGCCCCTCTCTCTTTTTCACCATGTCAAGGGGTAAAACAGCCTCCTCAGTCAGGCGCCCCCAGACGTGTTGCAATGCTATCTGCATAATTTGTGGCAGCATCTCCCGTGATGGCTAGGAATTAGGAGAGCTGCAGTCCAGTACACCTGGAGGACCCTGACTTTTGGGGAAGGCTGATTGAAAGAGACTAAGGGCGCAAACCTATTCAAACATAGACAGAAGAATTTGTCTGTATTGCTGAACCAGCGTGTTTGGCGGGGGGATCCTGGGAGTTTTTGATGTCTAAACTCGCACAGCATTGTATTCTTTTATGGCATGATTCTTCTGGCTTGGTGTTAAATCATTTCCGCACTCAGTGATACTTTCCCTCTGTATCTTTTGGTTGAAGGGAGCAGCGCTTCCCCTGCTTGGCCATAAGGCTGCCATGATTCGTGTGTTCATTTGCTTTGCAGAATTCTCGGCGGTGCGAGTGCAAAGTGGGTTATGTGGGAAACGGAATCCAGTGCTTGGAGGAAGCCGTCCCACCCACAGACCGGTGCTTGGAGGACAACGGGCAGTGCCACCCTGACGCGGTCTGTACTGACCTGCATTTCCATGGTACGCGTGCTGGGTCCTGCTAGGTAGCCTTGAACGATTCCATGGGACAGGCCTGGGCCTTCTTCCGTCGGACTCTGTCCTGCATGACCTGTGGCACTGAGGGTGGGAAGGTCCCAGTGTTGGACAGGAGGCCGTCAAACCTTCCTCTTGCATTACTAGAGATGTTCCGTATACGCCAGCAGAGACAAGCTCAAGCCAGATTTCCTTTCTTTGCATTCATTAGTGGTTCTCCTGCTACAGAAGCTTTCCTCTGCACAAAATTTGCTGATCACCCTTTTTTGCCAGCTGACAGAGTTGCTCATCTTCTCCCTCCCAATGGAATGGTGACAGCCTGCCTGGGAAACATGAGTGGGAGGGTGCTAAATAGTGCTTGTCTCCTGCCTGAGGCTTTCCATTGGCCATCTGTTGACTAGTGTCACTATACAGCTTCCGTATAGCCTGAAGTGTCTGATCCTGCCCCATCTTGGAAGTTAAGCATGGTTGGGCCTGGTTGAAATCTGGAGGTGTGACTTGAGTGTTGTGACTTGCCCAGAGAGTTTCAGCTATGGGCAGTATAGAAATCGAACGTAATGTGGTGGTGGTGGTGGTGGTGATGGTGGTGGTGGTGATGTGATGATGATAATGTGGGAAATGTTTGTTGGGCTAGATGGGCCAGTGCTCCAGTGGGCGTGGCTTGTGTTTGGTGGGTACATCTGAACCACTGTGGCAAAGTGTGGGATTGGCGGGACTTGGGTGATTTGGCTTGTCGTGCCTACCCAAGCTCATGTGAAGACCACTGAGAGCCGGTCATTGATTCACAGCTCAGCCAACCTGAAGAGGTTGTTGAGAGGATAAAATGGAGAGGAACAGGGCCATATAAGCCACCTTGGCTTCCTTGTAAGAGGAGAAAAGAGTGGGATATAAATGTAATAATAATTAAAAGTTATCTTTATCAATTAGATAAGATATTTTTAGACTGTTATACTATCCTCTAGACTAGAGGATATCAGACTTGGGGCATCCTTCATAATGAAACTGGATTCAGCCTCTGGCACCTATAGCCCACCCAACAATCCCCCAGTCCGCTTCATTTCCACAGTCACTTCTATCTCTGACACAGTATTTCACAGTTCACAGTTGGTCTGATTTTGAAGTCCTCACAGGGGGAATAAATATTGCCGGTCCAGGAAATGCCGGCAACTGTGTCCAGTGTGCGTGTATTTCGGAAGGCAGGACGTGTTTGCATGAAATTGGGAGAGGGAAGTGTTACCTCAAAGCTCCGAGCTGTTTTCCTCAGAAACGGGTCCACAGTGATGAGGGCTGACTTGGCTCTTTTGTGACACTCACCCATTCCTTCAAGTGAAATGATGCTTAAACGGGCCTAATGTTGCTCTCGGCTCTCCAGACAAAACCGCTGGCGTCTTCCACCTACAGTCTCCCGGGGGAAAGTACAGCTTTACTTATCAAGAGGCCGAAGCCGGTTGTGCAGCTGAGGGAGCTACCATGGCCACCCTTCAGCAGCTCTCTGCTGCGCAGCAGGTAACAGCACAGCCGGTGCCTCCTCCCGTGCCCTTGTCCGTTTTGTTTTGCAGCTGGCTCAGGAGGGCGCCCATCTTCCACCAATCCTTCTGTGCATCTTTGGCCTTTGCAAGAAAAACAAGGCTTGACATCCATCTCCTTTCCCTCAAGTGTTCCTGCTGGGTGATGCTCCAACCCTAACGGGGCGGGTGCCTCACTCTGGGGAGAACTATTTAGAACAGGTTTCAGGATGTGGCCATGGAGTGGATTGTGGCCTATGCTTTTCACATATAGACTGTGAAAGCGAGGAAGTTTGGGGAGGGGGATGACTCCTGGTAGCCCTATATAAGACTATGCCTGGCATGGAGAAAGCAGAGAGAGAGTTTTCTCCCTCTCCCATAACACTGGAGCCAGGCTCCTCTCATGAAACTCAATGGTGGGGAATTCAAGTCTGGCAAAAGGAAGCACTTCATTCCATGAGTTTTTCTTCCTCTGGATTTAGGGATGGCCCGCCACTCATTTTGTTGGCCACTGTCAGGATACAATGCAGGGGCAGGGATCTGAGCCTTTGCCCTGATACTGCATGGCTTTTCCTATGAACAAGCCTGCATGCGATAGACGTGCCGAGATCGCGGCAGTGGGCGTCTGAGCAGCGATGTGTCGATGCCCTGCAAACAAGATGAAAGATTGCCACCTCCAGGCCAGAGAGGGCATAGCAGTCTGAGGGGCCTCAGTGAGAAGAGGAAACGAAGCACCACGGGAGAGCCTGCTCAGAAATAAAATAAGATGCACATCGAGACACAGAAGGTTAATGGAAGCCTTTCTTGCTTGCTTCCCTGCTTGCCCAGATGGGTCTCCACCTGTGCATAGTCGGCTGGCTTTACAACAGATCGGCAGGTTACCCCACGGTGTACCCAAGCAAGAAGTGTGGTGCCCATCATGTTGGGATTGTGGATTATGGCTATCGAATGAACGCCAGCGAGAAGTGGGATGCCTACTGCTACCGAGCGCAAGGTGAGAGCATCACAATGAGTTAACAGGGTGGCTCTATAACAAGTTGAACCTGAAAGCCCAGTCTCAGTCAGACGGGAATATTATGTTTAGCAGCCGGCCCAGGCCGAATCGGGGGCGACGCTGAGTCACGCCGATGCAGTTCTGTTCCAGTACGCCTTCCAAGCCCATAAAACCCACAGGCACATCTAGATTTCACCCCCGTGGACAAATGCTGCCAAGGCCCTCCTGTCTTTTCCATTGCAGATGTCCAGTGTTACTGTGGCGACGGATTTCTTGGAGACGGCTACATGTGCGTGGGGAGTGTGTTGGCAGTGCTGGCCCAGCATGCAAACCTCTCTGTCTACTATTCTGTAAGTCCCTGGGCATGGCCCTGCTTCCTTGATGCTGGTCTTGAGGCAAGGAGGAGGACTGGCGGGAGACTGGTGCCCTGCCAGGCGCATCCTGGCGGATGACGAGTGAAATGGAAGAGCTGGAAGGGGCCCTTCTCTGGCCAGCAGTTCTGACAAGCCGGACTGGGGAACTGCGTTTGTTCCTCCCCAGTGAAGCCAGTCTGTTGCTTCCAGATTCTTGCTGGATTTTTGGGTTAACGCACAGGAGCTGCACAAGTGCCTGCTGCCTCCTGCCAGCTGGGCCAAGGCCGACCTCATCTCCTTCTCCTGCCAGGAAGGGCTTCCACAGGATGCCTTCTCCGTGCTGTGGCAGACATGGGGATGCGTGGCATGGCCTCTCTTGCTGTGGCCCTCTGCCATTGCTTTGCACGCTGGGACAGTGTCCCAGCATGCAAAGCGGGCTCCAGAGGCAGCTCTTTTCTGTCGTTTCTGAGGAGCCACTGCAGCCAGGGTGAGCCGTGCCCGGGACAGTTCCCTCTAGAGGAGATTGAGCAGCGCGTGGCTTGCATGCTTCTTCCTGCCGCCTGGAGGATGCTGCAGCTGGAGGGGGAGGACAAATCACACGCGGAGGGGTCTCTGCGCAAGAACGTGGCGCAGAGTGCAAGTTGCCCCTCCCCGCCTGCTTGGCAGCCTGTCCCTGGGGAAGAGGCAGTGCCACCTGATCCCCTCTGCTGGGACTGGGAGCCACCGGGTGTGTCTCTGTGTGCTGGCCTTGTTCAGGGCTGGAGGAGGCAGCCCTGGGTGGCACTGCCTGCATCTACTTCGTGTGCCCTCCTAAGCCCTGGCTGGGGCTTGGGGAGGCTGCGTGGGGAGACTTGCTGCTGATTGGCTGTGCTGATGGGCCCCATCCCCACTCCAGCAGGCAGCAGGGGGTGGGGAGTGATAGCAGACAGCAGTGGGGCTGCCATCTCCCCCATTCCCCCTGCTCCCCACTGGTGCTGAGGCTTTCATGGCTGTGGGGTGCAGGGGAATCCCTGGCCCTCTCAGCATCTCCTGGGATATCTGTGGGAGGACTGGGGCCAAGATGGGAAGCTAGAACCAGAACGGCCACGTGCCCACTCATTGGTCAGGCACACCGTGGTGCAAGCAAGTCACACGGCAGAGCTTGCTGGGCTGTGTGTCTTGTGGTCTCGTCCAAAGCTGCTCATGGACACCCACATTTCAACAAAGCACAATCTGGCCTAAGATTATGTGTGAACCAGGCCACCGGGAGGGAATGTTGTCAACAGAAGAACAATGTCAGCCCTGTGGAGGAAGAGGGGAGCAGAAATGCCACTCCTTCCTTGCTGGACTTGGGCTGGCAGGGCTTTGAGTTTCTTGGAGGCTCAGAACAGCAGGGAAGGTGGCCAGCCCAGGATGCTTCCTCTGACAGACTCCGTTTCATTTGGACACTGCCATACCGTTCCTCATGGAGTTCCTTTCTGGCTTTCAGATGATACTGGATTATGCAAATGCCACCCAAGAAGGACTAGATTTCTTTAATTTCCTCTCCAGAGACACCAGCTACAAAACTCTTTTTGCACCCCTGAATTCTGGCTTTGGGGACAATACGGTAAGAAGCAGAGAATGCGCATTGAATTATAGTATATCTGCATGACAGCCATAAACCATCTTGATCTTGAATGAATAAATAAATAAATGCACAGTTCACTGTATATAACCAACTTTCTTTGCTGTGTAGAACCAGAAATCATCAAACATGAATTGGAGCTAAACAGTTGCTTCTAAGAACACACTATAGAGAAGAATTTCATTCTCTTAAGATGACTGAATTTCCGAGAATGGAGTGAATTGATATGTATTTTCTGTAAGGTGTAGTTTTGTAGGGGTGCCAGAGATATGTAGCAGTTTCACCAAATTATTGATGATATTCTTTGGGGAACACCAGGGCAATTAAACATAAATTGCATATGTCTGTTGTGTTGATGTAGAGTTCCAAAGTGGGTTTCAGTTTTAGGGTACGCGTCCTTCTATTCCATGCCCAAGCAAAGTTTGTGACATCAGCTGAGCAGCATATAAACATCAGCGATAGCTTCGGCACAGAACCACTTTGAAGAATGTCACCAAAAGTATAATTGGTTGAGTTCCAAATGGTTTTCTGAGGTTTCAATACAGTCGTTTACGTCAAAATAGGTTTCTGCATTTAAAAAATATGTGATCCAGTGGTGAAAGGTATTTTCACGATGGCGTTGAAAGGATTTTTTGGGGAAAGTTTCAGAATGTGATTCCTTCTGATGTGCAGGGAAGGCAGCGCGAGAGAGGCAGGAGGAGGATGCAGTGGGCGGGAGGAAGGAGACACAGGGCGGCATCTGGTGCTGCTGCCGTGCCGTGCCGCACACTCCAGCACAAGTGCCCCAAGGACTGCACTTCGTGCGGCAGTCCCTGGACTCAGCGGAGGAGCGTGTTTCCAGAATGAGAGGGGCTTGCAGAGCTGGCAAGCCCCATTCCGAAAGTGAGCATTTCCTCTTGTTCAGGAATGGCTCACTTCCTGGAGGGCAAGCAGCAGGTCCTTCCGGCACACAGGCAGCCCCAGACACTGCTGCTAGCTTTGTCCTAGTGCAGAAGGACTTGTAAGCCACTTTATGCCGCTGGATGGGCTTCCCATGGACAGAAAGCAACACGCTAAATCTGAGGAGATGCAGAATATAAGGCAGGCCTTGCATCATCTTCCATCCACTCCGCTACTGAATCCTGGGCTGTCAAGTTTCCTTTCTCTGTTCTTTGTCAGGCTTGCCCTTGCATTAGCAACAACCTGTGGTGATACTCATACAGAGCAGGCCATTTTCCCCTATAGGAACAGCGGCAACTTTATCCAGCCCTTTAAGCTTCCATGTGGCCTGCTGGCTGCTGCTCCCTGCGTCTGCGGGCATATTACTGACACCCGTGCTGTGGGCGGGTGTGATGCCCCTACGTGGTCCAGCAGCACTTGAGCTTTTCCGTCCCGGACCCCTGCCCTGATCTAGTTGTCTTTCCGGGGGGCACCTTGTTGCCCATCAGATGTTTGACTGCAGCTCTCATCAGCCCAGCTAGCAGAGCCCAAAGTGAAGGTGGATGGGAAGTGCAGTCTGCCGACATCTACCTGGAGGGCCACAAAGTGTCCACAAGATGTGGAAGGATCAGTGTTGCGGTGCAGAGGGCTGACGTGAACGCAGTGTTGCAGCTGGCTATGGTTTGTCTCCCCGCTTTCTCATCAGCAAGGTAATTCTCTCTGGAACTGATAGTTTGTTTGTTTGTTTGTTTGTTTGTTTTGGCAGTCTTTAACGCTGAATAACCTGAAGCTTCACGTGTCTGTGAGTGATGTGCTCCTCCTGAGCACCAATCTCACAGCTGGCACAATCATCCCTTCCCAAGCAGGATACAACCTTTCCATTGCTGATTCTGTCAACAGCTCCCGACTCCCTGTGAGTATCTGCACATAACTGGGCAGGAGCAGATTTATCTTGATGCTTTTGGCTGTCCACGAAAACCTCTTTGGATGATGTACTTCATTGCACTCTTCCAACTGGATTTCTTAATTCAGGTTTCTTTGCTTTTTCCTGCACCAGGATTCTAAGATGATCAATAATACACTGATAGTTGAACTGGATATTCTGGCCTCCAATGGGATCATTCATGCTATTGAGAGTCCTTTGATGGCACCGCTCCACCACGGCCAGTTTGATCAGGTCAGTTGCTGGTCTACTTTCTCTCAGGAGTGTCCTGCTCTGAAAGAATCCACTTTGTTTTACTAGTTAAGCTTTGAACTCAGTGCCATGCAAGAAGTGCTGATCTTTGCTAATCAGCTATTCAGATCTTATGGCTTTCAGTAAATGCTGCCAGTCCAGACCTTTAAAGCACCCTGAGCTGCAGCTAGAGAAGGAGGAATGAAATGTTACCTGTACAACAGGACCTTCCCGCCCCCTTGCCCCCATGCCAGCCCCCTGCCCGCACCCTATTCAGGAGCATCAGAAGATGCTTCCAAAGGGATGGTGCATGGGAACCGCAGGGGGACCGGGCAGCTGACGGAACTGCAGGGGTGAGAGCAGAAGCGCCTTTCCACCAGCACCCTGCACCTTGGATCCGCGCCTCCATGAGCAAAACCAGAGTGATGGCAATGCAGCCTTCCTGCTCTTCTGCCCAAGACCTCTTCCTGCACTTTTGACCTATCCTTGTGAACGTTTAAGAGGCAGCATGATTTTAACAGGAAAAAAAGGTTGGAGAGTCGAGAATATTTTCCCATGACTGATGCTGCGTCCTGGTCATCTCCTGATCTTTTCTGCAGCTTTAGGGCAGGGGCTGAATACAAAGAGAACCTGGGACAGAACCGCCCTGCCCTGCCCCCACTCAGCAGCAGAATCTTTGCTTTGGGATGCAGAAGTGGGGCAGGGGGAAATGTGTCGCGATGCAGTTTTAAGGGTTTATTGAGAAATGGTGGGGGGGGGGGACACTGGAACCACAAATCAAAAATCTATTGACAGCAGTGCTTGTTTTGTACTTGCGATCCCTTTTGGTCTCAGACAGTGTTAATGTTGTGAGAATAAAAATGTTTGATTGTGGTTTTTCAAATAAAACACCAAAGGAAAGTAGACTTCTTCCAACACCACTCCTTTGCTTTAGTTTGGGATGCTTTACTATTCCATTTTACACTGGAACTTAGCTTGGAGTAGAAATAATTCCCCAAATGATTTTTGTTAAATATATTTGGATGGATCCAGATCAGAGCCAGTTAAATGCTTTTAGATTAGCTCTCTGATCTAATGTTTTAATTTGTGGCAAAAATACAAGAAAGTTGCTTTTTGCAGATTGTGCATCCTGTAACATCACCGGCTGTTGCAACCATCAGTGCGGGTGCAGTTGTCGCCACGCTGCTGCTGCTTGCTGCTGTTGCCGGAGGGTCCTACTGCTACCTCAAAAGGAACAACCAAAGATTCCAGTTTCGATATTTTAAGGTATTTCCATTATATGTTGACAAGGAAAGGTTTCTGGAAAGCATCGACTCATTTCATTATTATTCGCAACCCCTCTGAGCATTTTCCTGCTTTGGGATAGGTTGCAAAGATGGGCTGGAAACCTGCCCATGTGATTGCACCCATGGATGTGACAGACTACTGCTCCCATCAGCCCCAGCCTGCATGACTATTGCCATGCTGGTCGGAATGATGCTGCCCAGTGTGTGATTGGCAGATGCGGGCAGGGTCTGTCATTTATGTCCACTCTTGATTGGTTAATCTGCTCTGCCATTTGATGGGCAAAGGCAAGCTGAATCTTTATTTGCCTGTAGGCAGAGCTGGAGGAAGAAGAATCTTCTCCCTGGGAGGAAAGGAGCCCGCACTCAGTGTCCATCCCTAATCCCATTTACGGAGCAGATACTTCACTGTATGAGCCATTTGAGGTAAGACAGGTAAACTTCAGCAGTTGTTCAGGTATTTGTGCAAAGTGGAGCTCAGTTCCACTGAAATTTAGGAAACCAGGGATTTTTCAATTTTGACTAGACAGGAAAGAGATAATAGGGTCACAACTAGTTAACTTATATTCATTACTACATATTTATCCCAACTTTTTGCTCTTGCCAGGAACCCAAACCAAGTTACATGCCTCTCTCCTCTTTATCCTCACAACAGTCCTGTAAGGTAGGCTAGGCTGAGAGGAATTCTGACGATAGTTTAAGCTCAGAGCGACTCTCTAGCAGGGGGCAGCAGTGAGGTTCTGCGGCAGCACCAGGGCTCCCTCTTCTGGCCAGAGACCTGCCCTGGTGGTTGCAGGATCGGGCCCAGAGTCAATCGCAGCCACCTGGGATGTTACGAGCACCACCTGGAAGCTCTGACAGAAAAGCTGTATAAGGACAGGCTCTTTCCTTCAGATGCTGCCTCAGCAACAAGTGTGTTGGGTGTCTCTGTGCCTTCTGGAAACTGCATGTCCCCTTGTTCCTGCCTCTGCTTCTGGACCCTGCCTGGCTTCCCAGTCTTCTCCTGTTCCACCTTCCACTCCGTTCCAAGGTGCCTGCTTCTCCTTGGCTTGTCTCTCTGCTTTTGACTTTGGCTGCTCTTCAACATCCAGACTAACTGACCTTGTCCTTCTGTTACCGGCCCCTGCCTCTGAACTTCTGGACTGCAATGTGGAATGGGCCCTCGGAAGTGTACTGGTTGCTGGGCCCTGGTGCCCTGGCCTGATACCCCGGAGGCTGACAGCAGCTCTGCCTGCCTAACCATCGTCTGTCATTCAGCTTGTATCCTGGTGGGCACTTTAGCAGCTGTCATCTGCTGACTGGGGCTAGAACCCCGATCTCCCAAGTCCCAGTCCAACACTCTAAACACTGTCAGTCTCTTTTAATGCTGCATTTTGTTAATGTTTCTTCTTTGACTCCAGTCCATTTATCAACTGTGTCAACTTTCAGGTGAAGATAGAAGTTGAAAAGACATCTCCCCGCAATGACTCAGAATTACAGCCATTCTCAGTTAACTAATTGAGGCACAGAATGACTGATTTCTTCCTTGAACTCAGAATTGACACCTTGAGTTCAAAATTCATATACTATGAAATGTTCAGGAGCGTTTTGTAGTATAAGGGGTTTTAAAAAATATTTTTAAAGGGGAGGAGTAACAACTGCCAACACCTTTACATGTAACGAATCATTATCAAACAGTGCTGAAAACATGTTTTTTCCCCGTTCCTTGATGTCCTTAACTAAAAACACAATAGACAGTGCTTCTGTAATGATACTTTTCCACCAAAGTGGACCGGCAGCAGTTTCTTGGCATGAACCATTTTACAGTCTTGGACTAAAGTTCTACGCGTAAAATGGTTTCGTTAGCACCCACAAACAGAAGGCTTTTGGGATCGCTGGTTTGTATTGCAGCTCCACACAGGTGTAAAAGGTTTTTTGTGTGTTAAAGCGGGTGGTGTGTGTGCAGCACCTACATGTCAGCATTGCATAGTCCACCTCTGCACAATTAGTACTAGGGGTTAAACCCAATGCTGTGTGATCCCTGGGACTTCTCTGTGCTCCGCTCCCACAGATGAGGGTCCTCCAGCTCTCTGGAGCGTCTGGGGGTGCTGCATGCAGGGGCTGTGGGAATCCATTCCACTGACAGGTGACCAGCGTTGAAGCCAACTCACTGAAACAACCGGCTTGCCTGTGCTACACTGTGATGGTTGAACTCCAGCTTGTTCTTGATGGCTAACTCATTAACTGGCCTTTTGTATGTTTGTACCATGGTTTCAGGACCCTCTTTGTGAAGAAGATTTTTCAGATACTCATGGAATCCTTGGGCATTGAAGCAGATCTCTCTATATATTGCAATATAAACAGGAAAGCTTCTTCAAGAAGTCCTACTGCCCAGAAGGAACAGAATGTGGACTTGATGGTTGTGGATCTCTAAGATGTCTTGCCTGGCTGTGCAGTGGGGACAAATTAGCAAGGGACTTTTGGATTAATTATAAAAGCTTGACAATACCTCAGTTCCATTCCTCTTCTTAAAATCATGGGCAGGGAATGGGGAGCCAAAGAGCCCTTTGCACTAGCATGACCATGGGAACCTGGCCAATGTTCTGCTCCGAATACATGGTATGCTGTGTTGGACGTCCTTTAAGGGTGCTCTGACCTTCAGGAATGGCTTTTATGGTTGGAGCTGCACTGTGAAAGGAAACGCATGTTGCATGCACAGGTTCCTTTGTACCCCGCCCTTAAAAGTTCACGTTTATACTTAGGGAATATCATGACTCATGAATGTGTTTTGTCAGTGGATACAGTAAGGAATCTTCAGTGGAATATTAGCTTGAAGACGGACAGTTGGATTTTACCCAAACTGCATTGTTGAGCCTTCTGATGAGATTTTAAACAGTGTTACTCAAACGTTTGAAATAATACTACCTTTAAACCATAGGTGGATCATGCTTTATAATTCTGCAGAATTCTTTGTACTATTTTGAGAACTGCAGATGTTTGTAAAACATAAAGAACAAGGCAAGTTCACCAGGCTTAATTAAGCTTCTAGTTATTCTGAACCAGACGGTAAGTATGCATGATTCAACAGGCTACTAATCAGTATGGCTCCTTAACAATGATAACTGTTTTATTTTATAATTAAGTGATCAATTAATTGCAATCTTTTCCCCACTCCCAATAACAAAAGACTACAAGAGATTAATGTTAAGTGGAAAGCATTATTCCATAGTGAAAAACTTTATTTTTGTAAAAATAGTAAAAGGTGTTCTACAGAAGCAACATTGTATGCTTTCAGTGACATGGAACACAAACTCTGCATGATGTGTTTATTTAATAGCCCATAATAGTTCAAGCACTAACAGTTCAAACAGAGACAGAATGTGTCTGTGAGGCCAACACAGCTAGGATAAGAACAGACTTGTTTGGGTGTTAATTGCTAAGTTCTGCTAAATTCTGATCAAATTATTATTCCAGTTCTCCGAAACCTTCACCTTCCAAGCCCTCTGTGCTGCCTTGAGCAGCCTACTTGTAAAGGGGGGGGGGGGGGTAATACTGTATGTGCACCTAATAATATAAAACCTTATGTGACACAAGAGAACTGTTCAGATTAGTTCAGAGTGTAGATCTGTGCAGGTTAAAGGAAGTTTCCCACTGTAGTCCAACAACACCTATGCTGTAGAAGACAACAAATAGAATGGATACTGCCTAGCACATGGGTGGCAATCTGGTGCTTCCAGTAGTTTTGGACTATGACTTCCAGCATCCATTGCCATTGGCTGATACCTGACTTGTAGTCCTAAACATCTGGAGGACTGGTGCTAATGAGCATCTCAATAATTTCAAGCTGAAAACACAATTGCAATTTAATTAATATAAGTATCTGAGCAAAACTGACTGTTTTAACCCCAGCTGCTGCCTTTATGGGTTTTTTTGGCCAATTTAACTATTCATCTGATGTTTGAAATCCAGGCTGAAACTGGCTTTACACATCTGGGATGAATATAATGTGCAAGTAGTCTGTGTAACAGAAACCTGACACATTTACAGCTGGTGCCTGTTGAAGAGATCTAGGTGTTCTGTTCACCTACATCAACAACATCAAGTCCTGTGTCTTCTAGGTGCACTTAGAATTTCTGGATTGATAAATCCAAGGGACAGTTTTAGAGAAAAACCAACATATTCTTTAGTTTTAATGAAAAGTCAGCTCTATTCTCTTACTGTAGAGTTAAAACTTATGGACAACCAGCCACAGGCTTCCTCACTCCGTATTTTTCTTATAAAGTAAATATAGTGGTGAGGTGGGGCAGTCGCTCAACACTGTTCTTGCCCACAGTTTGTCCTCAGCAAAAGCACGCCATCCATGGGTAACAACCTATTTGATCCTAACCAGGCTCTGGGACGAATCTAAACTTGGAATGGAAAAAACTGCCTCCAGCAGCTTTTAGATAAAAAGTCGCTAGCACAGGAAGAATTAAGCAGATCCTGCTACCAAGGTACCATGGCAGATGCAGGTTTAGGAATGCGTTGTTGCAAAGGGCCTGGGCAGGTGCTGAGAAGTAATCGTGTTGTGCGAGTGCCTTGCACAACGCCATTCGCTAACCTCATAGCGGCTGTTAGGCGACGGCTGTACGGCCCACAATCACCACAGGTACTCCATTCATGGTTTTGGCTCCACACCTTTGTAGGTGTGTGCACCCTCTGTCCATGGAGGGAAAGTTCTGGATACATAACTGGATTTAAAAATGATAGTGATGCACCTCCTGTAAATGGGCCAGCATAAGAAACTGGTTCTAGGGAGCGGAGCATCTTTAGAGATGGTTACCAAGCAATGTCATAGGGCAATTTTCTTACAAGAATGATATCACTTCTCTGCAGGAAAGCTACTTCCAAAACTCATTGGTTAGGTTCATGACATGCTGTGGGGTTTTTAACCATCGATCGTCTGCTGTCATCTGAACCCCTTTTTGGTGTTTTAGCATGGTAGGTCTGGTCTTTAGGAACAATGGTCTGTTCCATGTTTTCTCCGCACCACCATGGCTTTTCAGGTCATCCAAACCTGGAATACCCAAGCTATCATGGTATAAAGTCTGGTCCCAGAGAGCTGCTTGTCAAGAGTAGCCAAGCAGAGTGCCGTAACTTTGCGTGGCTGGCTGTCATCCCTGCTTTGCTTTGCTTGCCTCCTGCCCTAAAGATCATCTTTTGGGCAGAAGCAGGCAATCAGCTGGGTGACACTGTAGAAAGCAGTAGTGCCACTCTATAAATTCTTCAAACTTATCTACCTTTCTTGCCCCCACCTGCCAGAAGAATCCCCAACCTGGTGCCTACATTGTGACTTTTAGGTTGGAGACACCTTTCTCACAAGCGGGAGCAAGAAAGCCACCTCCACCCCCAGCTGATTCTTGCCTCTCTTACTGCTGTCTTAGGGTGATAGCAGGAGAATCAGTTGAGGAGTGCTGCTCCTTTCTGCAGTGCTGCCCAGCTGATTTCCACCCATTTTGCCTAAGGGTGGCTCAGGTCCCCCTGCATTCCTGCTGCAGTGGTACCCTTTGAAGCAGGAGGTGAGCATGCTGGGTAAGGGTGTGAAGAGCTGGCCAGGATCCAGCTCTTCCGGCCTTGGCGGACTTCCTTCCAGGGCTCAGCCTGCCCAGAAAGCAAGCGGAGCTGAAATCAAGTCTGCGAATGCTTAGGTGCATCAGTGCACCACTTCTTTGTGCGAGATACGCAAAGCCCTCAAGTCACGTGTGTGGAGGCGGACCTCCACTTGCGTGGCAGGAGCATGGGCGGTGCGCACAAGCTGAGCTTTTGGACTTGCTTTCTTCTGGATGCCAAATGCTCGGTGTGGGGCACATTGGACAAAGAGAAAGCAAGAGTACAGGGAGCTGAGGGTGAATCTGGTGGATTCCCCCCCACCCCACCAAATGGATTCCTCACATTGCTGGTGCCTCACTCCCCTGTTGTGCTTGACAGCAGAGGCAGCTGAACTCGGCCTGCAATCGTGGCTGGCAACGAGAGCCCCATTCCTCCTCCTGTCGTATTGAAGAAAAGCACCGCAGACCTTGGCCACCACACCGGTCTGCTTGTGCGGTGCTTGAACCCGGCCACTGTGCCTGACCAGCACTTGCTGTCTCTTTTAAACTTGGCTCCAGCCTTCCAGTGCATGTGTAGCTCTGGTGAAATAGGCACCCGTGCTTGCGTGAACCGTGCTTTTCTGCAAAGTGATCGCCCAAGGCCCAAGTCTTCCTGCTTGACGAGGACCTCAGAAGCGTCCAATGAGAAGGGGAAGGACAAGTGAGTGATGAGCAAGCAGATCAGACGTTGCTGACAACAGCCTTAGCCCTGTATGGACTGCAAGTGCCCTGCAAGGGGGATACTATTCATAACAGAAACAGCAGCAAACTTTAAGTCATCATGTATGTACACCCTTAGGATTGCGGAAAAGATGCCTAAATCTCAGGTGGTGAGCTACTTCAGAAACGAGGTGCTGTGTCAGTTGGGCTTAATTTTACCTGCCAGAACAAACATTCAATTAAAGTTCAGTGTTTCTGACTAATAAGTGGAACTCTAGACTAATTCTCTTATTCTACCACAACAGCAACAACAAACAATACAGTACACAAGAGATGGTTTCTTAGTTTGAAATATGCCACTGATTATACAGTGACCCTATCAATAATCTTAAACTACAGTCACAGCAAATTCTATGATCTGGCAGTAAGGCTTTTTTTTTTTAATTATTTTTGGGCACGATATTAACAAGTTCAAACTTGCTTCAACTTATTTACCCTGCCCAGCTAGAGCCATTGTTCAACTTTGAACAATATTGCAATTCATGAGAAAAAGCTTCTTGATAAGATTTTTAATTTGTTGAAGCAGTTCTGTTTAGTCATCATTTACTTTCTAGTCATCCCTTCAATAAAAATGCATTTGAAACCCTTACAGAATGCCATTGGTGTGAAAACTTTAACAAGTGTATATGCTGGGAGAGGTTTTTAAATCTTCCTAAAGGCAGCCCAGCTAGAGTTTGGTAACTCTTCAAGGGAAGGGAATTCTATATTGACTGAACACAAGTCAACAATTCTAGGCGTTCTTTTTGTTTGAACCAAGTATAAATATAGTATCTAGCAAGTACCCTTAGGACATTATAGAAAGAATTACCGAAGTTTGGTTAGGCCTAAGATGCAACACTTTTATAATAAGAATGTTCATCTTGACATGGACTTAGAAGTCGTAAGAAACCAGTTAAAACACTGGTTAATGCAGTCTTGATGAGTCACCATTACTTGGAGGCTGCTGTTTGCGTACTAGCTGAAGCCTTTGCATGGTCTACTATTGTTTTTATTAGTTTCAAGTCCAAGCCTGCAACTAATAAAAGGAAACTCAACCAGAGCACAGCTGTAGCCTGGTCAAGGGTTCCACTGCACACTCGGCTAATCTCTTTCTTTCCTACAAACAAGATCGAGAGATGGACTGTGTCCTGCATTAACATACCAGGTTAAAAAGTAACATTTATTTTTTCTTACATACTAAAAATAAGATGAATATGGCAATGCATCTTAAGAAATTTCAACTGAAGTGACATATCTCCCATTCCATATATTTCTAAAAGTACTTTTTATTACTGTAAATTGACCATAGCAATGCATAAACGTGCACATCACATGATAAATTTTGTGTCAAGTGATGGCTTGCATTTGCAAATAAGCCAGTACAAGGCTAACAACACATCAAATGGTATTTTTCAATGAAGTCAGTCCAAACATTCTGCAATCAGAATGAGAATCAGCCCACCTTGCAATAAAAATGCATTTTGTTTAGTTAGAAAAGTCACTAAGATCTGAGAGGTATCCATAGAGTGAGAAACTCAGCATATACCATACAAGAACCAAGTTAGCTGAAAATAAGATTGTATGTAAAACTGATCTTCTAATTCAAACATATTGCTATTTTCTCTTTATTGCACCACACGACTTCTTCAAAAGTACAGAAGTCAGCATCTTCAGCTTTATAATCTAAGTGTTTTTCAAGCCCATTGTGGGTTGATTGCAAAACAGGTGCTATTACTTTTCCAAAAATTCTAGTTATCATAGCAAAGCTGATCCCAGTGGCCAGGTATAGCTCTGGAGGCATTCCTACTAAACAGCAAACAATAGTAGGTTAGATCCAGAGGGATACCATTTTCAGACCTGGACTTCCCCATTTTCTGCTTGTCCGCACTCCCCTCAAACTGATTTGGAAGGCAAGTGGGGGCAGCTATTATCACAGCTAAGATACATCTAAAAGCTACAGTCCCTGTACCAATACGGCCAAAAAGGACTGTGTAGCATATATGAATTCTGAAAATATAATTTCACTTATACTAAGTTTCCCACTAGCCTGAACTCTACATTTGAACATCTGACATACTTTAGCAGGACAAAACATAAGGCTCACTAAATAATGAGAAAGGACATTTGAATTGAGCCTTGATTATTCCTTACCAGTGAAACATTTCAAAGACCTAATTTTTGTGACTTTTTCATCCATTCATTCATCTCAGATAACTTCCATTAGGATGTGCTGGGAAGCAGAGTATGGCATTAGCCACATAGTAACAAAGTTGTAATCCGTTGCTTGACAGCTCAGCCATTCATACACAACCATCAGGTCACAGCTAGTCTTCAGCATATGCATCCAGATACCTTTCACCGGATATGCACCATTTCCTCTAAGAATGGAGTCTTCATGCAACCAGTACAGAGCTGATCCATCCAGAGGGGAGCTTCATGTTGTAGAGGAGTTCGACGAGGGTAAAAGGTGAAATGCACATCATAGTTCAGTAGGCAACTGATGGATGCCATATAGATATCAGAGAAGCGAATCAGTCTTCGAGAAAAGTAGGTTGGATTGTGGAAGGTTCGGAAGATGCTTCCAAACTGAGGGTTAAACAGGTTCTTTGTAAAGGCCCTAAAAGGAGACAATTTGGTATTACGGATGGATAAACAAAACCGTAGGTGAAGCAGAAGATAATTGCCATTTGTGTTACCCCATGCAAAACTCCTGTGTCTTGGAGCATAAACTTGTCAATTTAAAAGAGTACAAGCACATTTTTAAAGCAGTCTGAATGTGTCCAATACCCTTTAAGTTCTTTGGAGGAGGAGTATGACCAAAGAGCTGATGAGTCTGACAATGTTTAGTAGGTGCATCAACCTCAAAGAAGCTACCTGTTCCTTCCAACACTACCCAGAAGTAACAACGCAAACGCTGATAAATTTAAAGAGGAAGGATCCCATATGAGGAACAAGGGCCTTTGTGTAACATAGAAGAGTTTTGCCAGTCACAATCAATTCCAAATTAAGTGTTGGTATTAGCGTGTTATTTAACAAAGACTCAAATTTGGATTTGTATTATTATATGTAACAAGCAGCAAATCATAATCAAGACAGGCCAAGAATTACCTAATTTCTTGTCGCTCTTTCATCCATTCTAGGAGCACCTGCTTAGATTCTGCATCCTGATACATCTAAAATGTAAAAAGCAAACAAAGAAGCCCCCCCCCCCCCCCATGATTAGATTTGGAACAGTACTGCAAGGATCAATATTCTGTCAGGATAACCTCAAGCTCTGATACTTGTTTAAATCAGGTGCAGTTTCAAAGCTGTGTTAATTCTCAGAGAAGTAATTATGAACAAGAAACTGTGGCCAGGATGCTCACAGAGCTGTGGCTGATGGAAAGTATAATCACGATGGTGTCAGGTGACACACGTGCCTCCACCTTTCCTATTCACAAACCTACCCTGTGGTCATCTAGCGTATTTTACCTGCATCCTTTCCAAAAGTCCTGTAAGAGCCTGCTGCCAAGTCAAAGAATGCATGTATTGTTCTGTATTAATAATGCGGACTTCTGTTTCTAATTCTGGAACGATGGCTCCTGTCCTCCAACCATGACGAAGCATGAGATCCTAAGTGACAGGATGGGAAAGACAAAGTCGCTTAATTTCATAAGACACTGTGATGTAGAAGCAGCCTTACACACCCCCCCCCACACACTTTTTTTACATACTGACACAGATCAACTTGCTTATCCAATTGGTAAAACTTCTCTCGCCTGCTCACCTGGGGCAATCCCAGTGCCTGTTTGTGAGCCTTCTTCAATGTAATTGGAATTCTGAAGAGAAGGGTGGCAATTTTTTAAAAGTCATGGCCGGAATTAAAATGTAATCATTTTATCCTCCAGGTAAAGAACACACAAGGGACTTTCTTAATAACATGAGAGAAAGACAACTATCCAATGTAAAAAGTGAGATGCCTTCATTTCACTCTCTTTTCCCTTGTCATTTTCATTTTCCAAAGGTTCAATAATATAACAATAAACCTTTATATTACTTTAAAAGTTTGCTAGTCCTTGAGGACTAGTAGAAGTGGGGAATGAGGTAACAGGAGTGGGGAGTCATCTTGGGTGAACAGAATGTACTACAAAAATATTGGACTGTTGTGTTTTATTGTACCAATTGAAACAGAAGTCTGTTAATAAAGAAAAGATAGTGAGATAAGTTCATTAAAAAGAAGTTTGTGGATAAGAGAGTATTCAGTTACAAATAAAAGGTCATATCCATGTATGACATTTCAAGCAGCCAGTAACCCAAATTGATCCAGACTGTTTCCTGTTTCTCTTTTGAACTTCAAATGGATGGTCTGACCTACTGAAGCCATGTATACCAAGGCGGCTCTGTCTCAAAATAAAAAATACAATATATTGTCATTTTTAGCATTGTTTTCATCATACATTTTGGACGATACTGGACTGCTATCTTTTGCCTCTTTTTTTACTTATCATAAATGTAAATCACATATCTTATTCCCCCACCCTGAAAAAAAATCACAAGTGAACATATAGCCATCAATGTTTATGTAATTCTTAACCAAGTCTACAAACTATCCTAGTTTTCATTATAAATGCCTATCATCCAGTGTCCAATTGTTTTTTAAAAATAATAACTATAGAGCTTTTGCATTATTGGTAATGTTCATATCATATTGCTTTATGTTAGAAAATAAATGGCGACAAGTTTTTTTCTTTCTTTGCACAAGTGAACAAGCCTCTTAAACACTGAGGTAATGTACCCTTTTAAATTAATCCATTAATTTAAAGAAGTAGTGCTGGCTTACACCGGTGGGAAGCTATTAAAAGATGGATCAGTGGAAATTCATTTTTATACAACAAATCTAAAATCTCCCCATATGTTAATTACAAGAAAAAGTTATAATATCCATAACTGTTGGTATATGTACTGCAAAAATATACCCTAACATTGGCAGTGCCTGTTGGAAATGTGAAGGAACAGAGTTAGACTTCCTTCACACATGGTGAACTTGGATTTTTTCTTTTTTTTATCTTCATCTGCTGCAAGGAATATATAACTCTGAGAACAATTTCTTAGTTTATAACTTTACCTAGTATTCCTTTCAAAAGAGTTACTTCCCTATCTGACATTTCCATTTTTTACATCTTTGAACAAAAAGCTATAGATATTTCAAGTTATTTAAGATGCAGAGACATTCTTACTTCCCTTTTACTTACTAGATCATAGTTATCTATTTTCCATTTATCAGATCAGCAACTGTCCATATCTTAAACCTAAACCAATCTGATGTATCACTAAATAGTTCAAATTTATTATTATTATATCAAAAAGATCTCAGCAAAGAGATTTTTACAGACACCACACTCTTATGTTTATTCCAAATCTGCAAGTCTGCTCATGTAGCAGAACTGGGATTCCGGAAATCATTAATTTCCTTAAAATTCTTCTGGTAAGGAAAATATTCTTTCACTTGTTCCAAAACGCAAGCAAGTGATTTTTCTATATTATTTAACCACTGGACAATAATTTTTAATCCTAAAGTTGTATAATGCCAAGAATCTGGAAAATTCAAGCCAACTTTATAAATAGACTTTTGCAAAGCTGCTGCAGAGATTCTTGGAAAGGTGCTCAAATCACCAGGCCATGGTAAAAACATCTGAACTTTTGCAATAAATTTGACGGTAGTCTTGATTTAAATTAGAATAGGGTAAAAGGAAATCAGCTCTTTAATGGAGTATTTTCACACTGAATATTGCAAGAACAAAGCCATAACACTAGGTGGTTTCCCGAAAATGTTTGCTCTAATATGCATTATGGTTAACAGGGAGAAAACATGGACATTAAGTGGTGCTGAGACACAGAGAAACAGAATTTTGTATGGGACTGCTGTACTTACTGCAAGGTCACTGTACAAATGGTCACCAAAGTAAAGGACTTTGGACCCACGCCAACCTGTAAGCCGTAGAAAATCAAAAAGATTGCCCTGAAATGTGAGAAGAACAAAATAATGTGAGAATAAGCCAAACATCAGATTTCTTTTTGCAAGAAAAAATACAGCACGTCTAGTTTTTAAAAGGTCAAAAAAAGTTTCTCTGCACTTTGATATTTCTACAGAGCTAAGGAAACAAAGGAAACATATTTGTTCATAATAAGCTGCTTATTTTTAAAATTTCCATGTCCAGAGGCTTAAATAGTTCTCACGGGAACTTTGTCAAATTAGAGAGAATTGGAACTTTTGAAAGCCAGATTTATAATCCTGCCATGTATATACACATTCACATCTTACATATAATAACTACTGTTGGATTTATCCCAGACTCAGAATGGGTAGTTCTTATCTCATTCACCTTCACTATAACCTTGTAAGAGAGGCCACTGCTATTCCCACACTATGACTGAAGAACTGCAACAGTAGTGATTTGGGCTGCTCTCTAATTTTAATCCTGATACTTTAGACCTGATACCTAGATGTTACCCAGGATTCCCATAATGAGTCTGAAGTGTTCGTATCAAGGTACAGATGCCTCCCAAAGAAGACGTGGATAGCTCCTATAAACCCCCTCCCCTGGTCTTACTTTTCTGTATGTTTTGACTGGCCAGATCTGTCCTCAGATATGCTAACAGTATAAACATAGGCTCCTGGTTATCCCTTACTTAGTAGTAAGGATGGGATCCCATTAAACTTTGCTTTGTGTTTTCTAATGAATCATAAAAAGACCAGAACTAGAGTTCTATTATCATTGGCATAACTCCAAACTCAACACATACTCAACCCTAAGCAAATGGATACTTCTCTATTTTGCAGTTTAATACAGTTTTAAAAGTGTATTCATGCAGGAAAGGTCCTACAACTCCCATCATTTCTCATTCAGGTGAATGCTGGGAATTGTTGGACTTTTCCTGTCTAAACATCCATAAGATTGCACCCCAGAACACTCTTCTACACCACTGACATGTCTGGTAAGAATAGAAAAAATATGCCTGTTTCAATGGAAATGATGTTAAATACATCATCTTTCTTATGATGCCAACAATACAGTGCTTGGGCTGAAACTGGGAAGATTTTAACATTTCAACTTCCGACTCAAAGCCATGCCATAAACAGTTAGAAGCAACCAAAGTGGGGGACTGCAGGCACACACAATTCCTCACTGGGAATCTTCTGCTCGAGTTGCACACACACGCTACGAATTCACAAATTCTTTCCTTAGTTTCAGTCCCACAGCATTCCATTAACAAGCCCTGGAGGCACTCATTTAGATTTTGCCCGTTTCATCTCTTGGATGACGTTAGAGCCGTTGGGCTGGATCCAGCATGTTTCCTGTGGACAGAAGGACTCCTTCCAACCAGGACTCCTTCCAACCAGAATGCTCCCACTGGCAGAACTGTATGTAGGGGGTATTGCATTCTGTGTGAAACTCCATTCAAGGGTGATCCGATGGACAGGAAGACAATCTAGATTCAACCCGCTGTTCAGGTAGCATGGAATTACTATGCTGAGATTCATAGCAATGATTCAGCAATGAAATGCAGTGGTATGCTTCAAGGTTACAATTCTCAGGAGCAGTGCTCTATCTCAGAGCCAGCTCTGAAGTCTACAGAGCTCAGCTGTGAATCAGGTAAAATGGATTACTAAAATGTTCACAAATTTCCTCCACCGAGCAGGCAATGCATCCCCATGGTATGTTACCCCAAGATTTGCTGCCATGATGTGTGATCTGTGTCACATTTTAATTGCACTGGAAGAGTGCACATGAGAAATAGGGGATTGGGGCCTTCTGCCAGAACAACTGACCCAGCATAAATCTGGATCCAACCCAAGTGGTTTTACCTGTTTGTAAATCTTCCCCTTTTCCAATTTATTTATTTTGTCCCAATGAAGTGAACCTTCTTCATCCATTTTTCGGAAAGGTCTACAAAAAGACAAACTCAGTGAATCTTCATTAAAAAAAAAAAAAGCAAAACAAAACTTAAGAAGCATTTTATGTTAATGAGCTTAGATCAGAACGGAGTGCCAACAAAATAAACATCAGGTTGAAAATATCCCACAGTGATCATCATATTATGTAATCTATTCCAAAGTTTGTTATTAAAGCATCAAGAGCAGGAAATCGCCCTGTTTATTTCTAATGGTTTATTGGCTGCCAGGGTGCAGTCTGGCTTTTGTTTGTTTGTTTTGGTTAGATAAAACAGGTAATGTGCTTCTTTCTGTTCTGAAGATATGAAGGGCTCAACTCACATAAGCATACCAACAAAAGGCACACATACAGCAGGCAAGATACCTGGTTTTAAAGCACTTTCCCCCTCCTTTTTGCATTTTTGTAGGCTTAACTTCAAAGGCTGGCATTACACTGAGTATTTCATTCCAAGCCTACGCACTAGGTTAGGAATTAACCTAATGTCTGCACAGAGTTTGAAGGACAAATAATTTTAGCTGGTCAAATTCTGTTAATAAAAATGTGACATCTGAAAAGTTAAGTCTACCAATCTTAATGTAGCCTGCGCTTACTTCTACATGAACATATGCAGAATTACAGCAAACCTCTTTCAACAAGAGGACTGAATTCCAGTAGTGGGTGGAATCAAAATACCAACTTATTTTTAACTGAAAGCGATTACTGCCAGTAAGCCTTAGGGGAGAATTCAGTCTTTCAATATGGGGAAAAGACTGTATAAAGACTGGGAAACCAGGAGAATATCAGGGAAGGGAGTGGGACCAGGAGAAGAGGCAAGGTTATCAGGAGAAACCCAGAGGACTGGGTTTGCCCACAGACCTGCAGTTCAACGCACTGCAGTGAGGCCCAGTATGCATTGAGTTCCTCTCCAGTCAGAGCATCTGGACTTATATAACATTATGAGGTGCCAGATTTGCATTTTGGCCCTAGCCCGCTTTAGCAACAACTAACTGCACAGGGTAAAACATGCATTGCCATTTGGTAATAGCTCTTATGTTCAAATGTCGATATAATCTAAGAAGTACAATGCGATAAAAAAACATACTTGCGCCGATCAGTGAAGAAATTAGGTTTATCTGCTTGCACAATGACCATATCAAAAAGATCCCGCCAGTTCTTGCCAACCATGTACTTCATTCCTTTATCACTATACACAAACAGGAAAAATATGGAAATATTTACTATAAATTCCTGTTGGTGAGAAATGCAATAACCTTAACCTTCAGGTTATCTTTCCCCAGAGGTCAGGAGGCAGGGCCAGCTGCAGAAGGGCCTCTACAACCCCCTCGTGCTATTCGGCAGCATCTGCATTTGACAAATAAACAGACAAAATAAACAAACCCTAACCCTCAGCTGTACTCAAAACCTAAAAACGCTCATGCAGAAAATCAGTGTGCATCTGCGTACAGGGATGCTATTTGCCCTGTTAAGGCAAGATAGGAAGAAGAAGGATACCCTGGGTGGCAGCGGGGACCACCTACCTCTGCATGTGTGGCCTAGCCAGAAGGAAACACTTGCCATAAGAAGCAGTTTTGTTTGTTGGGCTTAACTAGTCCAAGGTAGGGAGAGATGCCTCTTGCCTTTTTCAAGAACAAGAATGTATAGCAAGTGTCATTTTCCTATTTTCTTTGAGAAATGCAGAAGGACACTGCTACCATTTTGAATCCAGTGCACCATACTTGACAGAAAGGTTTCATTTTGCTCCCAAGAAAGTCAAGGAGTTTGTGCAGAGATTTTAAAACAATTTCTATCCTCTTTCTAAGTGCACAACAGGAGGAACTGATGTCAGCCTGCACCAAACTCAAACTGCTGGATCTTCTAAATGGTTTCGTGGCCCTTTATATGAATTTCTAGAAGCACTCGATAGTTATACCGTTGCAGAGAGATCTGCAAGCTTGCAGGCAACAATGGAAGCTCCATGATGCTTCCGGGTACAACAAGGCACAAAGAAAGCGAAGCCAGTTGCTGTCGCGAATGCTACATGTATCAACTTTTTAATCACTGAACCAGAAAACACATAGCAAGCAAATGCGTGTTTCTAGTTCTACGGGCTATATAAGTACACAGGAAAAAGTCTAGCTCCACACCAATTTTGGCTACCTTTGGTAACCAATGAAAGTTTATGGCTTTTCATTAACATGGGGCAGAAGCAGAACAGAGGAGCAGAGGGTTCCCATCCCCCAGACTCATACTTAGCTTGAGATGCTCTGGAAAGCATAATGCTTTCTTCCCAAGGTCAAGGAGCAGCCAGCACCTTTCACTAAGCTCAGGGGAAGGCTGGGGTCTCATCCCTGACATTGTGCTGGGCTCCAGAAGCACCAGGAAGGCAGAGTGTCTTTCAGGACTTCTGAGTCCGCTTGACACAACAGCCCGCCATGGCTGCATTTAGCTGCGGGGGGCGCTCTGCTGTGCTGGGCACCCACGGACTCCATTTTTGCTTGGTGCCGGGCATGCTGAGGCCAGAAAGGAATCTGCCCTGAAGCAGAACAGCGATTGCTTTTCAAGTACATTCTTGCAGTTCTGATAAGCAGACTTCAGCAGCAGACCAAACAATGTGGCCCTTCCAGTTACATAGCAGGATACAATTATGGCGACAGTGACCCACGCGTTGGTAACTTCCCGATTAGATTTCTGCAACGCACTCTACGTGGGGCTGCCCTTGAAGACGGTCCGGATACTTCAGTTGGTGCAGAACAGAGCTGCCAGGCTGCTGACGGGGACTGGGCGTTGTTCTCATATAACCCCAGTTCTCCGTCAGCTCCACTGGCTCCCGACTGAAGTTCGGGCCCAATTCAAGGTGTTGGTTATGACCTATAAAGCCCTCAACGGCTTGGGTCCTGGGTATCTAAAGGAACGCTTGCTCCCATATATGCCCTCCCGCCCCTTGAGATCGGCAACAGATGCCCTTCTCCGGGAACCCTCCGTGAATGATATTCGGAGGGTGAGTACACAGAGGAGGGCCTTCTCTGCGGTGGCGCCCCACCTATGGAATGCGCTCCCCAGAGAGGTCTGCCTGGCGCCGTCGTTATTTGTTTTTCGGCGCCATGCTAAGACCTTTTTATTTAAAACTTATTTTAAGTGTTAATTTATTGGTTATTTATAGGATTTTAAATCTTTTAAGCCGAGATGCACCGGGTTTTAATATTTTTATTGTATAATTTTGTTCTTGTTGTGAGCCGCCCCGAGGCTTTGCTGCGATGGGGGGCAGCATAAAAATGTTTTAAATAAATAATTAACAAAACACACTAATAAAGATGCTTACCCAAGAAAGATGTTATAACGATCAACAGTCTTCCACAGACAGTTACTATCTTTGCATTCATTAATACTTGAGCTTAATCATTTGTCGAGCTGCAAGTACAGAGAGGATACTCACACAAAGCTGAAGGGACTGTTTGTGATGAGGAACAGCTTTTTGTTGTGGCTAACCAGACGATTTAGGACAGCATAAGTTTCATCACCATGAAGGATATATTTTTCTGCAAGAAAACAAATGAAGCTTAAGGAAGCATGTACAGCATCACAATGGAAAAGGGCAACATGCACATAAGCTCTAGACTAACAGTGCAAAACAATTAGTTCAAAGCACAGGTGGGAAGCCACATCCCAAAAGGCCTCACCAACCACCCATCTCCTGGGTGCCACTGGCTGCAGCAGAAATGCTTGACATGCACCCGCCCCTCATTGGGCCAACAGGATTTTCATAATTTTGATGCGGCTTTTTCATAATTAACTGCAGCCTTTGGAGCAATTATGAGAGGCTGTGCCTGGGACAGCAATATACATAGCAATTAGTCTGGAAAGATGGCCTTGGCTAGAGCCAGTGAGAGGCTTGTTTCAAATCCAATCACTGTGCTGGGGAGGGCACCCTTGTGTGTGAATGGAGGATGCGTGAGGCTCTGCCCCTGCCCACTTTTACCACGCAGCCCATGGGAGAAGAGGCATCCCCACACTGATCTAAAGTTATTCGGCGAGGCTTCAGCAAATGGGGCGGCACAGAAGTTTACTAAATAAATAAATAAATAAATTGTAAATAAATAAATAAATAAAAAATATTAGAGGCCAGGTGAGATTCATTACAATTCAAAAAGCAAATTGAGACCTTAACTGACCCATGTCTTTTTCAATCCATTTGTACATCATTCCTTTCACATGGACATCTTTAATGGCATCCTAAAACAGGAAAGAGGAGTTACGTATCAGTCTTAAACCTGGTACTGTGTCTTCATATGGCACCACCTCTGCACCCAAAAACCCCTCAAGAGCCTGACACACTATGCACGAAGTGTGTGATCAGGTCTTGCTTCTGCGCTGTGCCTTCTTCTCGAGGCAAGCTCCTCGACTCAGTTCAGAATGTCTGAAAGCAAGCAGGGGGCACAGAGACTGAGCTCTTTCCATAATATCAGAAAAGACATACACATATACAAAGGTATATATTTAGAAATTTCTAGGGCAAGCCCCATGAATAATACTTGGCTTGAGTTCTAAAGCTGTACGAACGATGCTCTGCTCGTGCAACTTGGCTTTCCTGTGGTCCCTCTCCCATTTCGGTGTGTGAGGTGACCCTCTGGGAATTGGTGAAAGAGGTGGTGCCAAGAAAACAGGAAGGAGAAACTGGAAGGCACCTCGCCTGTGGAGAGCTGCCCTATGTTTGCGCGAGGCTTCGGTGCACACAGGCTACAGTTGTTTACTCATCTGGCATCCTTGCAACAACAACACGGCATGGGTTATGCCAGGGTAAGCGGTGATATTTACCAAGATCAATTAGTAAGTGAGATATCTGCATATCAAGGACAGACCTCTGGGTTACTGCCTGTGAAGGTGCAGATACAAAGAGCTGGACAGGGATATATAAAACCTGTGCGAGATAAAGCATAAAAGCTGCCCGGCAGGAACAGAAAAAAGCCCTGCCTAGTCCTGGCATCTGTTCCCACAGTGGCCAACAAGATACTTATGAGAAACCTGCATGGGCAACAGCCAGGGTCTCCTGCTATCATTTCCCAGTGACCAATATTCAGAAACAATGAATTTGATTTTGATCTTTGACCTTGGAGAAAGCATATATCTATCATGACTACTAACCATTGATAGCTTTATCCTCTACAATTGGGTTAATCTCGTTTCAAACTTAGTAGCCACCAGCAGACCTGGCAAAAGTGAATTCCACAGTTTAACTAACATTGAGTGAAGAAGTAAATTCTTTTGTCAGTTTTTACTCTCCTACCATTCAGCTCCATTATTAAAACATTAAAAATGTTTTAATAAATAAAATAATAAATAAATAATTGAATTACTATGGGTTCTAGTACTATGTATGAGGAAGAACAATATTTCTCTGTCAACTTTCTCCACACCATGGAAAATTTTATAAGTCTGTATCATGTCAACAATAATGTACCTTTTTTAAAAAAAATTAAAAGACCCAAACATTTGTAACTTTTCCAGGTTGGGCAGTTGCTCCAGGTCCCTGATCATGTTGGTTATTCCTCTCTCACCTTTTCCAGCTCAGCTATTTAATTCTGTATTTGCAATGTGGCAACCAAAACTGAATAGAATAGTGTAGTCATAACTCAGATTTTATAGAAAGTCATTATGAAATTTGTAGTTTCAAATCCCCCAAATTTTGACCTTTTGGCATGAACACAGTGCGTGCAATTTTCCTCCTTTCCATTAAAATGTTTGAAGATTCTTACAAGCACGATGTATGTTTTCAGGTGCTAACAGTTACCCACCAACCACTTGGACTGATACCAAACCATTGTACTGCTTCTCTTTGTGGTGGTGGCAGGAGAAACTGTTCTTCAAATTCAAAGCGCACTGTCTGAAACCAACCTCCACAGTATCCATAACGTGAAAATGAGGAACTGTACTGGAAACACATATTTTCAAGCGTGTGTAGTAGATACCATTTGAGCCTTCTCTTCTACTTTGCTGCAAGATGTTTTATGAGAAACAAATAGCTGGGTAGGTAATACAAGAGATACACAAGATCCAGGGTCTGGTGATGAAGCGGGAACATGCAGAAGCTTTGTTTTATCAGCCTACAAATCATCTCACATCAGTGACAGGCAAGGACATCCTTTATGCCCTCATTCAGTACAACTTGCCCTATAAGCTTCCATTACGAACAAAGAGTTCTCCAGAGGTACAACAGATTCTGCAAAGAAACTCCTGTCAAATGTGGTTCCTGCAAGCACTACTATCATGCAGCTGTTCAAACACAAATATATAACCCACTAAAAGAATAGTACAGAATAATAAGAAACAGAAAATGGGTTCGAGATTTTTTGCATGAGTAATGAAAAATTGTGGATAAGACAAACCTTACCGCAGGACACAGACAGAAGGTTCAACGTGATCATATGCTCTTATTTCCTAAAACAATTATACTCACACTTATATCCTTGTAAAGATGAACTTGGTCATATTCAATATTGCATGTCATGAAATAGTCGGTAACTGATGAAAGCAGAGTCATTTCAGGAAGGGAGAAGATGTCCATAAACTGTTTAATGGATGGGCCCTGTCCGAAAAAAATGGATGTTTCAATATACCAACAAATATATGTAGAATCTTGATGGGAAGTTTCCTGCCCCAAAATAATAGCACAAAATACTACTAATCTGGTATAAACTTTGAATCAACCGCTGCATTGTTAGTCCCCTAAGTAAGAATTAAAATGCGATGCTTGTAAAGCAGTCTGAAATTCAGCTATGCAGGCATGAGGTCTTTTTACAGAGTGATCCTGTAACAGTGTCTAGACAGCCATACAATTTTTTCAGATTCACCAATCTGAGGCTAGAAAGGAACAATGAACTCAGATCCTCTTCCCCACCTGAAGCCGGCATGGAAAGAACCATGCCAGCTGTTTCTCCAAGGTTAGAACAACGACCTCAGAGAAGGCGCTTAAGGGGTGGTGGGGAGAGGAGGAGACTGAGACACAACATATCACAGCAGCACCTCAGTCTCCTCCCTCACCTCTGAAGGGGTCAATTTACATAATAGGAGGAGCTTCATCTTTGCATTCTTCCTGCCCTCTTTAGGATGCTCATAATCCTTTGAGTTTGGTGGGCTACAGGCATCCTCGTTGGACTGTACCCTTAAAGACTAATATGCAAACCAAATACTTGGATTCTATTGAGATTTGTTTAAAAAAAAACTGGCAAAAGTTTCACAAACCCCCCCTCTTCATGATACCATGTCTTTGGTTTTCTTAAAAATATATTTATTTAAAATTATTTTCAGGCACCTTAAGTGATTGACAGAATGAAAGTCTTCATCTGTCAATACTTGGTTTAGGTTACTGTTGTGGTTTTAATATTTTCCTGTTGCATTTGATTTTGTTTCTGAGCTGACTTTGGTTAACTTGCAAATTTCAAAAGGTGGGATTATAAAATAGTTAAAATAGAAAATTAAACTTCTGCAAGGCATCTTTCATATAGACAATACTTATTCAAATAATTTACCAAATTCTAAACAGACATGGTTTGAAAATACACAACATTTTAACTGGGGAAAATGCATCTTTATAAAACAATTAACTATACAGACTTGTTTTCTGATATTAACTTGTTTTCTGATATTTAAAGGCATTTCGCTTACATTAAATTATACTCCACACATAAGATTCAAGATGTAATTTCAGAAATTATATTCAAGTGTATATAGCTTAGGCTGTGTGCGTGCGCTCTTTCCTTCCCTTCCCTTCCCTTCCCCTCTCCCCTCCACACACACATTAATGATTAACTTTGTTAAAATAGATTAGCCATAGGAAGGCTAGTGGACAGATTACATTCACCATCATCAGTACAGTACTGGAGCAGAGACTTGATTTGTAAATAGCTCACACATTTGTCAGCATTACAAAACCTTGACAAAATGAAAGAGTATATACACAATCACATCTTTCTCAGATGCTGTTAGGCATGGAAAGAACTTACTTTACTCCTCTGGGAAACTACAGCTGGATGAATAGTTATTCAGCTTTTGGTCTGTGTGGGAACCAATGAGATCTGCTAATAAAAGTACATCTTGGGAAACACTTAGTATTGGTGAAGAATTTGTAAGCACAAATTCTGGTATGGCACAAAATTGAAGCAGTGCAATTCAGATTTCACTAAAATCATTTGTTAGTGTTCTTTGGCATTTTGATTTAGTTCTATTAAAACAAGCTGAATTAAATTAAAACAAATCCAATTGTTTGTATGGAGAATCCATCTGTCAAAAGTTGTTACAAATCCAATTAGTAATAGTAATTGCTTGTTACTAAACAAATTCTGGCCAATACAAAAAGGTTTCTGGCTATTAGTATTACAAATAAGGAAACTGCCCTGGTGTAGTCAAATTCTTGGGATGATGAAATGATTCAAGGCAGCTAAAACTTCAAAGGAAAATAGGGGGGAAATAGAGTGACTGGGAAGTAAACCATTCCTTACTGTTTACTTTTAAGTAAATTTAGACAAAAAGAAAGGCTTGGGGTTGGAGCTGGCTGGAGCATCCTTGGCACTGTAGGCCTTTTTCTATCTAAATATGCAAAGAATTACATCCTTAAATGTATAGAATTTAGAGAAAAATGAGTCTATATAAACTGCTTAGAAAAAGAATGAATTGCAAGAAAAGTTAGGAGTGGTTTAAAAAAACTGTAGGAAGCTACCATCACCAGCCAAGCCTGGCCTGCAAATGAGGTCAGATGTAACAGTCCGCAACAGCTGAAAATGATTGAAATATATTTTTCTTTCATCTGAGTAAAGGAACAATCTGTTTTGACATGAATTATGGCAAGCAATGTTTTTATTAACAGAAGGCAGATAGTTTGTCATGAGGGCAGGCAACCGGTTCTTCACTGGTTCGAGTGAAACAGGTAAATGGTAAGTGACAATAAACAGTGAAGGCACATTCAACTGAACACATCTCTCAGTTATAATTGCATAATCCAATTATTTCTGAACAGACAGCTGGAAAGGATTGATTTGTACTGTTACATGTACTTAATCTTATCTGTCTAGGCAGAGTTCAATATTAGCAGCTTAAAACTAAGACAACAAAATGCAGAGCTAAATTAGAGCTCCCCAAGGAGCAATTGCTCTAATAGACAGCTGCAAAAACTCTTTCTGGGCAGGCAAAGGTGATTCTATTGCTACCTTGAACTTTTATGTTCATCTGTGATGTTCTCATTCTTGGAATTCTGATATTTGTTTTTTTTAAGTGTTACAGGGCTTCCTTGAGCTTTCAACAACAACAAAACATCCAGGAAACTATAATGCACATATTCTTACAGATGAATGTGATTATTTATCAGGGTGTTATTTCCAAAATAAAATGTTTGCTTCTGAAGCTTCCTAACCTAAAAAATGCACAATGTCCTTGAATTTGACACTATTTTGGCAAGTGAAAAGAGGAAGGATTGGGGTATGTAGAGTGGGACACATGTAGTTCAATATAAAACTATTTAAACACAGTAAATCAGCAATTTTATTTGTACTTCTCAAAAGGTTCAGTCTGTGTCAAATCTCATTTTAATCAAATAATATTTATTTTATAACAAACTGAACTTTCAGGTTGTATAATGATAAAATATTTATGCAGCTAGAGAGCTTAGCTATAAAAATACTCTTGCAATACCCTTGCAGTTCTGTAATCTCTCTGTGTGTACAAAACACACAGACTCCATCTCAAACCTTGGCAGGTTAGAAAGCTATTTATAAAGTAGAGGTTCAATGAAACTATGAAGGCATTTTGATGATATTGGGCACTATCCAAGCTCAGGGTCACTGACCAAGTGATCATAAGCATCTACAAGAGGCTCAAGGACATCAGATTCATGTGTGACAAACAGCAGCAAGCTAAAAAGCAACTCACTAGACTGACTTCACATTTTTTAAAGAAAAGGTAAGCATGTGATGAATAGTACTAAGCAGGACACAGGAATCTGAAATCTTTAAGATGCATCTGCTACAAGGAGAGTAACTTAAAGAATATTTGGTTCTTAGTAAGTACCAATTTGGAACCAGTACTGAATTGTTATTAAAGAAACAGAAATTAAGCATGCATATGTAAGAAAGCCAAGTAAGATTGCCTCTGATGTTAAAGACACCCCAAGATATTTTGCTGCATGAGGCAAAGGACAAAGATGATCCCCCATCTTTGTTCCAGATACAGAGGCCACCAGGACTGACAGATGAGCCACGTTTCAAAACTGGTGCTAGCAGCCTCCACCATACGCACAGTGAGACAGAGGGTGCAGGACAAGGGCTGCAAGGTACATAGTGCTCTGTTCTCCAACAGAAGGGAATGACCAAGGGCTTGGCTGGAATCCCAAGCATCTGCCACCAGCACCAGCTGCTCATTCTGCCCAATGGCAGGGCTGGCCTTGACTGCTTAGGAGTATCGCCAGTGCAACAAAGCTCATTAGGTCCTTCCTGGAGCTCTGGCCTTGTCAACTGCTCCACTCATACAGAATCATGGAATAGTAGAGCTGGAAGGGGCCAGGAAGCCATCAGGCCCAGCCCTCTGCTCAGTGCAGGACACCAGGTTAACCCATCCATCCCAGATGGTTGTGCAGGTGCAATACTCAAACATTCTGGCCAGAAGCATCAGAACAGAAAAACTTCCTCGGTGTGCCATGCTCCATATGTTTTACTGACAATCAGCTCCAGATAGCTTGGCCAGTAGTCAAGGATGATGGGGGTTACAGTCCAAAGTAGATGGAAGCTACCACATTGGGGAAGGCTGAAATACAATACAGCATGTAAACAAGGTACAGGTATTATTTGCTTCTTCCCAATATTTAGTGCATCAAAAGATCTGGGGAAGGAAAAAATATTGCAGAGAGAAGCAGAGAAGGCTGTGATAACCTTTGTTCTCTCTTCTCTTCCATTTTAACAATGTACATTGAAATTAAAATCAAAATGTAGAGACTGATACTTAATCTGTGTAATATAATACTAATGATTTTGCCTCATTTAGATTAATTACAAGTGACATCCATCTTCTTTGCAGCAGGATAAAGAAGAATAATGATTCTGGGTTCCTTTCCTCAGTGTTGATAAAATATCTAAATATATTACTATAAGAAATATCTAGGAAATATTCTTTTGCTGGCAGGGAATGTATTAGTTTAGGAGAAAACATTCTTCAAGACAACTGGGGAAAATGCATAGTTCAAAGCTGTTGTTTTTTCAACCAATATGACTTAGCAGTGCATACATTTGATGCACTGAAAAGAACTATCTAAAGGCTAAAGTTCCCGTCTTTCCATTATTACATCCCTTGGACAGTGTTCATGGCACCAGCATTGTACAGGAGACTGAGTGTTTTATTTGGATGTGGCAGCACCATGTTTTAATTTGGAATGTCCTCTTGCAAATAAATCATTCTCATTTTTATAAATCACAGAGGACTGTTATGATGGAGATTAAGTTATGTTTAACCAGAGGGGAAAAGAGAAAACGGAAAAAGTTTTCCTGGAAGACTGCTCTTTTGAGATTTCACCAAGGACTACTCCCATATCCTCCTAGCAAGACCTTTTTTTTTTAATGACAGTAATGTTCACTTGATATTGAATTCTGTATAAATCATTTACTGCATGAACTCATAGCCTCCAGTCACAGGTTAAGTTATACTGGTGAAGATGGATATAAACTGAAAGGAAAAGAGCACCCAGGAATAATTTGCACAAGCTTACATGAAATTATCAAAAGTTTAATGACACACAACTCAAAGGCCGCTCTTACCTTCTCAGGCTTAGTGAAAGCAAGGAAATAAAAAGTGGTGCTATGCCAAAAGCATGACTGCATTACAGAGGATGTCACAAACAACAACAGAAGAAATGCTCTATGAATGGCAGCAGCTGTACTTGAAGGAGACAGTGGCTTACGTATCTCTACAGAAAGATCAGTCTCAGTGTTTCAGTCCCATGGGTGCTTCCAGACAAGGCTTTATGGCTCCATTACTGTGCCCCATTCACAGAGGTTTACAGAGGGGCCAGACATCAATGACCCTCTTTGCACATAATCCATAACCCATCACTCTTGAGCAGAGGAGAGCAGCTGTACTTCCACTTTGACTCCAACCCAGTAATTAACCTAACAACGAACCAGCCATGGGTCAACCACTGTTTTGCTTAGCCCTCAAACAGCCCAGTAGTTTAGGTTTGCACAGCATCCTCAACAACCTATGAAGGGACTGATCATGAGTTGTTGACTAGAAGAGGTGGCACCATAACCCATTGATTTTATACTGATGTGCAAGCCAGTTCAACTTGCAACCCTCCCATTTTGCTACTATTTCTTTTCTTTTACTGCAAATAATCTGTTTAAAAAAGAGAAGACACAGTAGCTGCACAGTCCCTTTCATTCACGGCACTAAGAGCCACCCATCTGGAAGTATGTAAAGAGCTCTTCAGACATTTTCTGATTTCATGTATGCATGACAGTCACAGAGCCCTTGATGCCTGCTGCCATCACAGGACGTTACATTTTGCTGAAGTCAGTAGGCATTCCATTAGAGTTCTCTGGCCTTCCAAAATTGTTTTAAAAAGACTAATTGTTTATATTTGGATATACAGAGAGCCACTCAGAAAGGCTATCTAGCTGTCATCTTTCTCAGTTCTCAGGTTTCCCTTCTCTTTTCAGAATCCTAGAGCTTGGAAAGGTTTTAGAATGTGGTTAGGTGGGAAGAGCAAACACAGTATGTTCTCAACGTGATTGTCCTCTTCTATTTAATGCACTTTAGGCACATTATCTTCTACTACCTTCTCCTACAGACAAGCAGAAGCATCTGTTTAAGAGAGAGATGTTCTAGGATGAGATTCTGGCATTTCACAATCCGGTATAGATTAGAACGGATGAAGTAACAATCTCCTTCACTTGTGTTTCTTCATTTTGGTGGAAGGATCTTAAAAGTCTAACCCAGGGAGGGCTATTCCTTTCTACCAAATGATTGTTAGAGGATCCAGCAAAGAATGTATTATAGTAGGCAGAAAGTATTGTGAAATGTTCTTCAGACATATTTCCCTATTCTATGTTTGTAAGATAGTCAATTAGCCCTTTTTGCCTACCTTCCAGAAGTTTCTTATAGGTCAGATCTGGCCAATGATAGAATTTTATCTGGTATTTAAAAAGATGGTGACAAACTTGCATATAGCTTCATTTTGAAAGAAAAGAAAACTGGTACAAGATAAATAGTCTCCATAATCATCATCATGTCTTCTGCAAATTTGTAACATGCTCAGAGCCACCCAGACACTTTATTATATACACTCATGTGGGGCTCAGATTGTACAGCAAAATAGACTTGTGGCTTGAGCAGCATGGTCTCCCCATGGATGCAGGAGGTGACCACTCCTGACTAAGAAATGATCTTATACGTAATATGGAAATTAGGAGATTTGTTCTTCAGAATCATCCAGTCAGCTAACAAAATTATCCAGTCCCTGTCTGATAAGTTTGTCTCAACCTCCAAAAGAAAAAGTATGTTTGAACTGGCAAGAGCTGGGTTTTTTTCAGATTTGGAAGAAATTGATGACATTTTCAGTAAACCCTTATATATTAAATTTCTTGGCTGCTAAGATAGGACAATATTCTGTTTTATTAAAAGTTCAACAAGGGTGCTTACTGTACCTTGCCATAAAAATCACTCATCTGGTACAATGGGATATGCTGGGTTCCACCATACATCTCTATAACCTCTTCATCAGGCACTGGTTTCAGGCCTCTATAAATAAGGCACAAGAAAATGCAATATATAAAACTTAATTGAATTAGCAACAAAACAAAACAAAAAAGAATGGAGTGAGAGTTCTTTATGGCACTGAAAAATCAAACCAACTGAGCTTCACCTCTAATGCAGTATGACTTTTTGTCCTCTGAATCATTAAAACAGATTAAACTTTTCATTTTTAAATTGGTAACCAGCTGTGTTCACTGCACTGAGAATAATGTCTAAGAGGTGATTGTTCTGTGAAACTTTTAAAAAGAATTATATAATGGCTTTGCACTATTGTTGTTCAGAAGGGATTGTGTAAGTACAGAGATATGAAGCAATTTAATCACAGTGTCCATAAAGTTCAAGGTAGTATTATGTTTAAATTTATGGTCATTCTGCATTGCTCCACTGACCTAAGCTCCTTCTATTAGTCAACCAACTCCATACCTTTCTAACTAGCTTTCAAATATTATCCAGTGGAAAAAAAATACAAGAGAGCTTCAAGTACTACAATTTTCAAGTGGAAATCTTTCATTAAATCCTATTCGAATTGACACAGATAAGCACAAGGTATTTGGAGCAAAAAGAAATATGAATGCTGAAAATCCAGAGATGTTATATACAGCAGAGGCCAGGAACAAAACAGAAGTTGTTAAATCTAGAGGTGCCTCCAAAACAATAAGTTTATAGGATAAGAGAAATTAAAGTTCCCCTTTGCTGAGCCAATATTCTTCATATTGCATTTTAAGAAGTTATGCCACTAGACTGGACTGGTACGCAGCTGAAACAGCTGGTAAATTAATAGGATACTACATAGTTGCAGCAGAAGAATGTGAACATGCTGGGATCACAGGTATAGTAATAGAACCTGCTTTTCCAGAACAGTTCAGAGATTGCATACATAGTGCCAACTAACCTCCACTGTCCATTTTCTGTCCAGTTCATTATTACTACATGCATTACAGTTCCCTGAGGCACTAGGGTTATTATTTAAATATAATGCTACTAATGTTCAGAAATTAAAAGCCATTTGATGCAACATAACAGGAAGCTTACATAATCTTGGAAACTATTTACAAAAATGAACAACTTATACAAACAAATAATCAACATTCACTTTGAAGACTCTCTTCAAACATTATGTTCTGAACTTTGGACAAGAGTTTTAATTGACTGCTGGTAGATTTTGTTTTCATTCTCAAAAAGGATGTTTTCAAACAACTCCAGTTACAAATACGGTAGCTATGCATATCTATCAGAGCAGTCCGGCAGCTTCTTTTTTAAATTCTGTTCTGGAAATTATGACAAAACATCTTAACCTTTTTGAGGAACACTGTCCATGTTTCAAACACTCAAGCTCTCTTTAATTTCTCTCTCTTTAGTTCAGCAAGACACAGTACAAACAGATTTGCATTCCTACACTTAGCCATTAGAAGCTGCATAAAAGCAACAGTCTAAAAGGCAACAGATCCAGAACAAAAAGGGACCATATTTTATCTGTTTATTTTTTAAAAGCTAAGATCGAACTCACTGGTATGCAGTACCCAACTGCACATAGTGGAAAGCATCAATTTTCATCAGAAGGCTCTGAAATATAAGCAGACATTTATGATAAATACTTCATATATTTACTCAGATTGAAGATCCTAATAATAAAAAGAATACAGACCTGGACTAAATTAAACCTCACATTGGAATACATTTTAAAATTACATTTAAAGACTATGAGTCACAAGTTGTGCTCACCTGAACAAAATTGTAACTAATCCCCTACCCCCCCCCCACCCCCCGTACTTGCAAAGCACTCCGAAAGAAAACCCCTAACAGTACAGCAATAGATTTGCACTGCTGGTCAGCTACTTCTGGCAAGGTGGGAAAAAATAAGGTGGATTTATAAGTATGGCAGAGTAATTTAAAGCATTCTTTGGCTTATTTGGGAAAAATCCTCTTCCTAATCACGTAATTTACCATCTCCAAGCCTGAATTATTGCCCAATTTCCTCACCGTAAGTCAGAGATAGCTTGATGGCACATAACAGCAGCAGCAATTCAGAGGGTTTTTTTTTTTCATTTCTCCCAATAACTGTGTCACATTGCTCTGAATTCTAGTTGTGCCATATTTAGGAAACATGCCATAGGTAGATAGCAGAGTACATGAATTGCATGTAGAAGATCCCACGTAGAAAGTCAAAGTGATGTCTGAAACCCCATGGACCTCCTCCCACGAGTCAGATCAATAGATAGGAAGATGCATACACCAAATCAGACTATGTTTCCCCTTTCTATGTAAAATTACTGCTATTAGCAGGATCTCAAATTTGCTGCATTTGTATCTCTGCCAAATATTACTCAAAAACTCATCTCAAAGTCCCACATCTACCACTGATATTTCCCACTGAATCATCCATTGAGCTCACTCTTATAATATTCCCACCACTTATTACAGCATCCTTGTTTATATTGCTTCTTTCCCTCTCCCTTGTAAATACTAGTTTACCTCACACAGACAAATGTACCTCTTTCTTTCATCTTCTGGCAACCACTACACAGTGCACAGTAAATACTGTCTGTTAATTCAGAAAAGGCCAAGTCATGACCAACCAACCATTTCAATGACTCTGCTGCAAATATTCACTGTTAAGCATTAACTCCTTTCTAGATTGCCTATTGGATTTGAGGAGAAAAAACTCCAAATGGTAAGTAAATGCTATGTAAAATTAGCATTTTCTTCTCCAGGACTGAAAGATCCGGTTCTCATGATGAAACAACCACCAATTAACCATTGGTTTGAGGGAATGAGATGTATGCTAAGTAGCTGTGATGTCTGAACTGAGAACTCTGGCTCATTGAGGGAAAGACAATCCATGGTTTACTCATGGATTATCATTCTGGGTTGTTTCTCCCTCAACAATGCAGAACTCCAGGTTCAGACAGCACAGAGAACATTTCAGGAATGGTGCATTGCCGGCTTATGTAGCACATCAGAAGTAGGTGAGTAGTTGGAAGCCTGCATGTTTGCTCACTCCTGAATAACACTTGGTTAACAAAGTGTGGGTAGTTTTATTGTGTGAATCAGGCAATATGTTCAGAATTCCTATGACCTTTCTTCCTCTAGAAATAGCAATAAGTTATGAAACATTAACTGGCAAATAAATAGACATATAACATACAATCCAGCTCCATAAATATGGTGAAAGAACTCATTAAATTAACAAAGACTGAATTTGTATAGTTTACCTTGTGCACATCGTAGTGAAGGCCTCTTATGGCAAATCCAGGAATGTATTCGTATTTCCTGAGTCCCTCTGGGTACTGCAAACCGTTCCAGTAAAAAGTGTCAATGTGCTAATTGCTGGTACATGCTATATTAACTTATTCAAAAATCCCTGAAAACTAAGCAAACTGGAGTGGTGGTGTAAAACACTGGATAGCATGGTAGCCTTGGAGTGTGAGAAATCATAAAACTCACTACAGGCTCCCTCAACATAGTCTACCCCACAGGGAGAAAAAGCTACTCTGATTTCCTCCTTGTAGAGTTATAATTAAACAAATATAATACACAGTATTCTAGCAGCTGAATATGGCGATTCTATCATGAATGCATGTGTACATGCAACACTGTTCATACAAGGCAGAAGTATAATATTGCTCACGGTGGACCTAATCATACTGAACTTAGGTTCAAAACACTAGGAAAAGTTATTTGGAAGACTCATGTGATTTAGTTGTTACAATGACCTGATTTCCATTACCACTGAAAACCACCATGACTTATTAGCCACAGTGGGCTGAGGCAGGCGTAGGTAACTGACTGCTGGTCAAAACTCCTGCTGCCACGTCTTCTCATATTAGTCAAACTTGCCTTGTTAGGATGCTTTGCAAACCTCCACATGACCCTTCAATAGGCCATCAGTCCTGGGGGTTTGTGACCCACCTCAGCAAGCCACCCTTGGCAGGTTTGGGATGATACAAAAGAAAATATTCTCAAATACAGAGAATACTTATGCAAATCAGGTAGCATGTGATTGGCAGGCACTTTTTAACCACTCTGTCATTTAGTTCACTTTCATAACCCGCATGAAATTAATGATGAAACTATCATTTTGTGTTATCTACGAACCAGAGTATTATCATGCAAAGGGATGATAGCTCTGTTCAGCTCCTGACTTGCTGAACCTTCTATAAATATCAAGACCTCGGTATCATTTTGATAGTACATAGGCCTGATCTTCTAAAATCAAGTATTGTATTCAATAACCAGGAAATGAAAACCATAAAATTAAAATAGGTAGATTACCTTATACTGTTCAATTAGTATGTCTCTGGCAGTGTTGAATATCAAAGAATGCAATAAGCTTGAGTACTGTGCTAATGTATAATCATAATCAAAGCCATAGATCTCTACATCTCCCAAGCTAATCTCATTATTTGCGTAGATGGCTGCTGGGTTCAGAAGATTGCAGACCCCTGGTGGAAGGAGATCTGGAGCAAAGCAACAAGAACAACAACAAAAAATCACAATCATTTTTTTTGCTTTTGATCTTATGCATGTGGAGTGGGGTTCCTGCTAATTTGCAATCCCTCCTTATTCATTTTTCCCTTCAATAGAAGCTTTATGAAAGGGAAAGAGAATATTATTAGATAATTATTTTGAAACTGAAGCAAAATGTGCAATTATGCTTGATTAATCTTTAACATAACACCAGCATTTCAATTTCTATTGTCAAAGAGAATAACTGGAGCAGTTATTCCCAAGTTTGCTCCTATTGGAAGGAGAGTGCCCTGAGCAGAGGTCCAAACAGGGATTGCAGCAGCTCGCACAGTCAGGCATGAAGCTTTCACTATTTCCCTGTTTTCCTGCAATCCTTTGTGTCCTCCATCCCAAAAAAGCTGCTCCTGGATGGTTGGGAAACTTTTTGGAACAGTGCTGGAAAGAGCAGGGAAAGGTGAAAAAAAAAATCTCATCTTGTCTTTGAGCGGAAAAGGCCCTTCAGCTTGTGGAAGCCTAATTAGGATCTAAGCCAGGGTGGTCCAACGTTTCATACCTTGGGGGCCACATAAGAATTTTGACGTGGAACCTGGGGGCTGCACAATGAGTTACATTTGTATATCACAAAGCGTTTGCAATATATTTATTTAATACACACAATTAATATAGCTAATTAATGATTAGATGAGGGAGAAAACTGATATGAGGTCTCGGAGTTGGCTTTTCTCTGACCACAGTCCAAGCACAATGTCTACTTCTCTGGGGTGGCCAATGCCTTTCTTCCCTGTTTCTCCTGCTCAGAAACCCTCCCATGTGACCCCCCAGCCCCTCCTTCCTTCTTGGAACTGGCACACTTAACCTCTTGTGCTTGAGCTGACAAACTCTCCCCAGCGTGCCCTGCCCAGTCCCACTTTTGTACTTATCAGTGCAAGCTCTTGCAAGGCCACCAGCCCGACCTGCTCTCTTCTTGACCTCAGCAAAAGAGTGGGACGGACCGGCAGCCTCAGGGGAGATTGCTATAATCATGCCTGTGACATTGCTGGAATCCAGATTGGGGGGGGGGGGGTTCTGAGGAGCAAGAGGGCAGCAGAACAGGGCCTGGGTGGCTGTTTGAAGACATAGCCCATGCAGAAGATACAATGCCTGACTCAGCCATCCACATTCCCAGCAGCAAACAGCACAAATGTCACTGCTGGGAAGAATGCTGTTTCACTCATATGAATCATCACTGATAAATGATGGCTGCAAAGGGTATGCTGGATTGAATATTACGATTTCCATATAGCTCCATTGTTGCCAGGGAGTCTAGAAAGCTCCACAGGGTGAGGTTTTCAAATGCCTGAACTAGCCCCAAGACAGAGAAACAACACTGGGAAACATAATGCTCCATAGGCAGCGCCTTCAGGACAAACTTAGCTGAAGTTATTTATTAGATAGGAATCAGACTGAGGTTTGATGTCTTAACATGAATATTGAGCTCTTGATATGAAAACTGTATGTATATACAGCTCTGACTACAAAATCATCTGCAAAAATTGTCTTACCACAGGCTTAGAATGCCGCTTTATTCTCTGTGGCATGAAATGGCTACCAAAGGGCATTTTGCTGGAAGAACAGCAAAGCTATTGATTGAACTGTTTGAGAAATAGGATCCTTTTACCTCTTAGTGGAATTCATACATATTGCACTACACTAAGATTGGATACAGTAAAAACTGTAGGGTTTTTTTTTAACAGGAAGAACTACAGAATCTCTGCATAATGAAAACTTTGACAACACAATGACAATTGAACTTCAAACTAGTTTAGCTTTAGTGGAGACTGCCATGTTTATACCCTCTGCAGACTTGTTTTTCCAGAATAAGACGTAGAATACCTGTCCTAATTTGAAGGAAGGAATATCCTGATTTACAGCAGACTTAAACTGCAAACAGAATGTAAGAAATATGTTAGCTGATTTCAGATTCCTCATGTATATAGTGAAGTGTTGTTTAAACAATGAACGCAGCAAAAAAAAAGTTCTCTCCCTCCTTCCCTCCCTCCCTGCAAGTACTTTACTGCCAGCTCTCCAAACTGTGTGTCTTTTTTGATCTAGACAGCCAATCATAGATGTGTCACTGAGAAAATATGTTGCATTTAGAAAGCTAAGAAGTCAGAATTATTCAAGGAGTTGAATATTTATTTAGCAGCTTCAGTTCCCACTGCCTCTAAGAGTAAGCAAGCCTATACTCAGAACACCCCCCCCCCATATATTTCCACAAAACATATTAATGTAGCATTTTCCCTATAAAATGTTGTAAAAGCAACACACCCTAAGTAACACTGGCTATTGAAGAGAGCTATTTAGCGTATTGCAGAATCTTCACTTTCTGAGTCCCTTTTCTTTGAAAAAACTTTTTTAGTAACACTACTTCAGCTTTCAACATTGAGCCAATTAGCTTCAGAAGAGGTTAGTACTGAAATGGAAACACCAGACAAGTAACTCCCCAAATACATTGCTAAGCATTTGCAGTCAATTGTTAAGGCACGGGGCATTTCATATCAGCTTTTTTAAAACCAAAAGTTTGTTTTTCTTTGCTTTTCATTTCATCAGACATTATCAAAGGAACTTGATTGTGTCCAGAAGCATACATTTTAAACAATATTTGCATTTATAAAGGGACCTCTGCATTAGCTCACGGCTGCTATACAGAAATCACTCACCATTTATTATTATCATCATCCATATTTCTGTCACGGAACGGAATGATGCTGGCCTACATATTAACTATTCTTTAAAAAAAATAGCAGAATATATTTCAAAACTTCTAGCCTATGAAAGCTGTGGGTAGCAGTAAAGTTGCATGGTATTCCTGAAGGATACTTTTTGTTATTTATTTATTTAAAATATTTATATGCCGTCCTGTCGCAAAGGCCTCAGGACGGCTTACATACATCTTACATCTTCTTATGTACTTACATCTTCTGGCATCTGAAAGACTAACATGAAAGACTAACACTGCAATCCTATGCATGTTTATATAGACATTTCTCTGCTCAGTGTGTTTTGGGCTGCAGCCTAATTTCAATGTTAATGAATTTAAGGCACCAGAATGCATGTTTTTGCCACATGGCATTTTTCTCTTTCCCATGAATTGACTTAAGCAATCTATAGAGCCACATGTCTTCTAGGGCAAATATTTCCATTTATAAATGAAAGCTTACCGTCAAGGCATGTTCCTAACATTTACTTAAGGCCTGCCAGTAACTAATCTTGTTCCTAAGTCATGTACAGACTCTCAGGGACAAACAGATAAAACATTCACATTATTTACTGAATTCTAGTTTAATATTTTTATTAAATTTATAACCAAACTTATAGTTCTATTAGAAACTGGACTCTAGATACCCAAACAATACAATCACAATATTAGAAAATCATCCTGGCATCCTTAGAAAGAAAACAGTAGCAACTCATTCAACACATACCTCAAGGGTTTGCTTGCTTGTTTTTAACGTCAGTCTTGATCACTATTCTAAAGCCTTCATTAGGACAGGCAAGTCTGGTAGGCACTAACATTTATGGCATAGCAGCAGCTACCCTATATTATGTCACACACTAGTCTTACTACAAATAGAGGAGAATTGATTTGTTGGTGATCTGGTTCCATGCAATGGTTCAATAATTCAAAGAAACCCAAGAGAAAGGCAGTCAGCCAGTAGAGCTCAGAACCATGACTGCCACTTATTGATCAAACTTGACACCCAGAAATGAGGCTAAGCTTACAGCAGGGAATTGGGAAATGCAGAAAGGCACTCATCAGAAGGACTTCTTTAACAGTGAGGAGAATACTACAAAGCATGCAAAAGCAGGACCTTCATCTTCTCAATGGATTCCCAAAAGGAAATGACCTTATGACTGGCTCTTAACCACATCCTTTGTTTCTCAAATGAAACAAACAACGAAATCAACGTAATCAAAGTACTGGCTTCAGTTTAAGAAGCTTGGTCTTTGCACAGTTCTCGCCACTGGTCCTTCATCTAGGGCTTAAAGGAGGAGAGTAAAGGCTATCGATGTTTAAATATAGTATGTGTTGCTAACTTGGCACTATTTAGAAGAATTTCACAAGAAGGACATCTGAGAACAGCCAATCACTTACAACAATCTGTCTTACTTTCAAACACAGAGGAACTCAGAGCAGATTTGCATCCGACAACCAGTGCACACAAAGAGTTCTTGTGGGAGAAGCAGGCCTTCAGATATCCCTTTTATGGTTTTACAGTTTGCTGTCAATACATACTCCCTGCAACTAACACCAGTCAATAATCAGGTTACCGCATTCTGTGCTCTGCACAACATAAAAGTTCAAGGGCTCATCCTGAGCAACCTAACAAAGAGTGCATCTTAGAAATGCAATCTAGAAATTATAAAGCTTATATAACAGTTATCAAGAAAAAATGTCCCAGCAGTTCTGCAACTTGGAAACCAACTAAAGCAGGTAAAACGCACTCATGGGTACAAGTGCCATTTGCACCCTGTTCCTAAAGGATTGTTGATAAAAAAAAAATAGACTATCATGTTACCTGAACCCAACAGCACTAACAGGCCATGGCTTTGTTAACCACCAACTACCCATGCAGAGAACCTATGGTTTGTTGCTAGCACCAAGCTGTGAGTTGCTCACCATGGTTTGTTGTCTCAGCAGGGCTCAGACAAGACATTTAAGTATGAGTTATCATGATGCATGAATCCAGCTGCTGCCAATAACTAATTCTGAGTGGAAGCATTTCAGCCTTTCAGAAAGGGGAATATCGTACAAAAACTAGGAACTCCCGAACAATTGGGGGAAAGGGATGGGGACCAGGGAAGGATTCATGGCCATAGTGGGATCCGAGAAGGGCCAGACTAACTCATGGGTCAAGATGTTTGCACCCCTGTTCTATGTTCCTATCACCGGTTTTTCTAGAACAGTATGGCCAGTGCCTATTTCTAAATACCTCTAATGTAGCTATATGTCAGCAACTATAATTTTAGGGCACTCCTAATTAAAGAGGCAGCAATGAAGTTAATACCAAGAAAAGTAAAACATTTCATGGAGTCAGATTTGTTATCAAACAAGAGTTCTTTCAAATAACCACATAATGTATAAAACACAACTCTTTTGTAAGATGGTCTTTATATTTACATTTTTTGTAAATATATTTACATTTATATTTACTTTTTTTTGTAAAAACCCAAGTTTTTTGTGTTTCCAGCAAAACTTAAATGGAAACACTTTCAGTACCCTATAACTTAAGACAGCCAAAAGTTGCTGAACTGACATGCTTGATTAGGTAAATAACAATGTAAGGTCTAATTACAGCACAGTGCCATATATGTCTGCTCAGAAGGAAATCTTATCAACTACAATGGGCTTTACTCCCAGGGAAGTGGGGATAGGATTCTAGCCTCCATGTTGCATCAATCTCTTTCTTGGAAATTATATCAATATATTTGTATTTACAGTCTTTGTAAATTTTTGAGACATGACTATTCAATAGCATACACACAGTTTACAAATAAACAGAAAACAAGGAACTGACAACACACTAATTTTAGAAATTTTGTTTCTTGGGGCAGTCAACTGAGAGGTCTAACACTCAACTTTAATTCATTATGCTATTTATTTTATGACAGATAAAGCATGCTATGAGGTATATTTTAAAAATGGAGGATTTTTCCATGAAAACATATGGTAGAGGCAAATTTAACACTCTAACTGCTCAATATTAGATTCAAGGAATCCATCTTACAATGTCTATTGTCTAAACCTTGCTGCCTGTTACATTCCAGCATGTTACTTTTACTTGGCAAAGGCCAAGTAATTAGTGTGATCATTGCTTAGCAAAGTGAAGGTTTTTTGCAGTAAAGCACTGAATCACTTAAGTAGTGTATTGCCTAGGTTGCAGTTGGGGCCAATGGGAACCTTACACAGGCATACCCCATTTTATTATGTTTCACTTGATTGTGCTTTGCAGATTTGTTTACCAATTGAAGGTTTGCAGCAACCCTGTGTCAAACAAGTCAATTGGTACCATATTTCCAACAGCACTTGTTCACTTTGTGTCTCTGTGTCACATTTTGGTAATTCTCCCAATATTTCAGACTTTTTCATTATTACTATACTTGTTATTGTGATCTGTGATGTTATTGTAATTGTTCTGGAATGCCACAAATCACACCCATATAAGGTGGAGAACTTATTTGATAAATGCTGTGTGTGTTCTTGGCACTCCACCAACTGGCTATTCCCTCTTTTTGCTCCCTCTCATCAGGTCTCCTTATTCTCTGAAACACAGCAATATTGAAATTTCACCAATTAATAACCCACAATGGCCTATAAGTGCTCAAGTGAAAGAAAGTGGCATGTCTCTCATTTCAAAGCGAAGTGAAGCTTTGTGAGGAAGCCATGTTGAAAGTCAAGATAGACCCAAAGCTAGTTCTCTTGTGCCAAAAAGTTAGCCAAGTTCTGAATGCAAAGGAAAAATTCTTGAGAAAATTAAAAGTGCTACTCCAGTGAACACATGCACAGTAAGAAAGCAAAACAGCCTAATTGCTGATACAGTGAACAATTCTGTGATCTGGCTAGAAGATCAAACCAACCACAACATTCCCTTAAGCCAAAGCCTAATCCAGAGCAAGGTCCTAACTGTCTTCAATTCTATGAAGGCTGAGAAAGGTGAGGATGCTGCAGAAGAGAAGTCTGAAGCTAGCAGACGCTGGTTTATGAAAAGAAACCATCTCTATTGTGGAAGGGGACGCAGCAAGAGCTGAAGCAGAAACTGCAGCAGGTTATCCAGAAGACCTAGATAAGATAATCAATGAAGGTGGCTACACTGAACCACAGATTATCAGTGTAGAGGAAATAGCCTTATATTGGAAGATGTTATCTAGAACTTTTATAGTTAGAGAGAAATTGATGCCAGGCTTCAAAGGACAGGCTGACTCTCTTGTTGGGGAATAATGTAGCTGGTGAGTTTAAGTTGAAGCCAATTCTCATTTAGCATTCTGAAAATCCTAGGGCCCTTAAGTTTTATGCTAATTCTATTTGGTCTGCACTCTATAAATGGAGCAATAAAGCCTGGATGAAAACACGTCTGCTGACAACATGGTTTACTGAATATTTTAAGCCCACCATTGTGACCTAACGCTCAGAAAAAAAGAGATTTCTTTCCCAGTATTACTGCTCATTGACAATGCACCTGGTCACCCAAATGCTGAGAGATTACAATGAGATTAATTTTGTTTTCATGCCTGGTAACACAACATCTGTTCAACATCTCAGGTCATTGACTGAGGAGTAATTTCAAGTTTCAAGTCTTATTGTTTAAGAAATACATTTTGTAAGGCTATAGCTGTCATAGTGGTTTCTCTGATGGATCTGGGCAAAGTAAATCGAAAACCTTCTAGAAAGGATTCACCATTCTAGATGCCATTAAGAACACTCATGATTCATGGGAAGAGGTCAAAATATTGACAATAACAGGAGTTTGTAAGAAGCTGATTCCAACTCTCATGGATGACTTTGAGGGGTTCAGTGAAGGAAGTAACTGTAAAAATAGCAAGAGAACTAGAATTAGAAGTGAAGCCCGAAGATGTGACTGAATTGCTGCAATCTCTTGATAAATCTTTAATGGATAAGGAGTTGCTTCTTATGGATGAGCAAAGAAAGTGATTTCTTGAGAAAGAATCTACTCCTGGTAATGATGCTGTGAAGCCAGTTGAAATGACAAGGAATTTGAATATTACATAAAGTTAGTTGATAAAGCAATGGCAGGGTTTGAAGCTACCAACTTTGAAAGCCTTACTGTGGTTAAATGCTATCAAACAGCATTGCATGCTACAGAGCAATTTTTTGTGAAAGGAACAGTCAGTCAAAGCAGCAAACTTCACGATCATCTTAATTTAAGAAATTGCCACAGCCAAACCCAACCTTCAGCAACCACCACCTTGATCAGGCAGCAGCCATCAACACCAAGGCAGGACCCTCCATCAACAAAAAGATTATGACTCGCTGAAGGCTGAGATGATGGCTAGCATTTTTGAGCAATAAAGTATTTTTAATTAAAGTATGCACTTGTTTAGACATAATGCTATTGTACACATAATAGGCTACAGTATAGCGTAAATATAACTTTTACATGCACTGGGAAACAACAACAAAATTGTGTGACTCGTTTTATTACAATGTTTGCTTTATCGCAGTGGTCTGCAACAGAACCTGCAATATCTTTTAAGTATGTCTGTAAGTGAATTCATAGAAAACGTCAAGTCAGGACCACGTCGGGATTCAACACACTCAGCCTGGGAACCCAAACGTCTTTCACTGAACTCAATGGACCTTACCTCCGACTAGACACAGCTAGGGGATTTCACCACTGGCTGCAACCCCCGAGCCCCGTGGCATGTTTAAATCTCGTTTGCTCCACCATATCAAATGAACTTCTGATCAAGACTGGGTGTGAGGCCATGCACCTCTCCCGTAACTGGCAGCAGGCGCTGAACTGGCCGCCAGCCCCGCTCCCCCCGCCATGGACCACCGGGGACCGGGACCTGACCGGGACCCAGGAATGAGGTAAGAAAGATGCGGGGTCCTGGGGCAGGAAAGCCTTTTATTCCATGAGCATCTTATTCTTCTCTTCCAAGCAGCCGCACCAGACACCGGCCAAGCACCCCACTTTCCCATGCGAAGTTTGGGGTTGGTTTTGTTTTTACCGTAAACCAGCTTCTTCATCTCGTGGTATCTGGCCCAGAGGTAGGTCTTCGTGTCTACCCCCTCGATGGGGCTGGGCAGCTGGCTGCCCGCGGGAGCTGCCGCGGCCGCCGCGTGGCTAAGGGGCCCGGCTCTCTTGCCTCTGCCGCCGAGAGAGGAGAGCGGCGGCTGCGAGTGCCCCGCGGACTGGTGCTGATGGGCCCTTTGCTGGCCGCAGCCCACGCGCCCTTCTCCGCCGTCGCTGCCTTTGGAGCAGCAGCCGCCGTGACTGGAAATAGCGGCCACCAGCTGGAGGCCGGCGACCGCGCCGCCTTTCCACATGCCGCCGCCGCCGCCCGCAGCCTTGAGCCCGACGACCGCCATGGCCTCAGCAGGCGGCGGGAGTCTCTCCGCGGCCGCGGCTCACTAGACCATCCCCGCAGGGAAAGCCGCCGACGCTCCAGCCACGGCACGGACCGAGCTCGCATTGACTCCGATAGCCGCCAGCTCCCGCACGAACCGCCGGCCAATAAAGGCGCCACCAAGCCGACCAATCACCAGCGCCCCAGCTCAGCTGGCCGCCCTATGCAAGCAGGCGGCCAGCTTCTGAAAGGACGCGCTGTCGCGTGGTGACCTGGGATTTGGAGTTTTACTGTGTCGTCTACCTGTGGACTCCATCTCACTTCTCGAATGGCGAGAACTACCACTCCCAAGAAACCTTTCGTCTGCCTCGCTGGAGGGTATTTAAATATTGACTGCGGTGTTATTTTTCTGCTCAAAGCTTTGAGCCCCGATGGTTTTGCCTGTCAGTTCATGTTAGGGGGTTGGGAGTTATTTGTCGGCTGTTTGTCCTTCTTTAGGAGGAGTTGTTGTTTCCATCTGTCTCAATGAAAAGGTTTTAGTGGAGAAGTCCGTTCAAGTCATAGGAGCTTTCAAATTAACATATAGGAATGAGCAAAGGAAACGAGGAACTCCACGTAGACGTGTTCGCTCGGAAGTAAGATCCGCTGTTTTCATCAGGGATTATTGCTAAAAGTGGACATTGACTTACATGGGCATTTGCTGGGCAGGACCGACTGCTCGCTATAAGTGAGCATAGGGTTCCTCAGCATAATGATTAGTAAAGTATAATGTATTTTGTATCACGAGAGTGCCAAAGTGTCAAATGCAATTGCTAGTAAAGCCTGTATAGGACATATTTTCTATAGCAGCTTACAGATTCGGGCAAGGTAAATATGGCTACTTGAAACCTCAGGACATCTAAGAGGACACGCTAAAAAGAATGGTCATTGGAATGTGTTGATTTCAATGACTAGAGCAATCAGTAATCGCATTTGAAATAACCTGAGGGGTAATGCACAGCATCTTATTAAGAGCATTACTGGACAGTCTCTGTCCTCAGGTTTATAACCGAGAAAGACTTCAGACACAAAGAAAGAAATTGGAAAGTGGAAAGCATGATGATGATGTTTAATTCAGATGAAGAATATACATATTCTGGCACCAATCGTACGCAATGTGTATTGCATCTTTGCTTTTTTGGGCTGTCACTCTTTTGTTTTCACCCGTAATTTCCCCTGAGCTCAAATTCAGCATGTTGACATTATATCACACCTATCGCCGCAGCACTACACTAACGCGGTTGTATTAATTCCAGGACTTTTAAATTTCGCAGGCAGGTTACAAACTTCAAAATCCCGTAAGCAGCAAAGCTATAAATATTAGCCAGGAGCAATAACCATCTGATCGCAACGAGTTTTACTTCCGAGGAGCTATGCTTTGGATTGTGCTGTTAGTCTGCAAGACCATCCCTCTTTCTAGGGTAGGCCCTCCCACTAAACTCGGTGAGGCTTCGAAGCTGTGCACTCGCTTCCTTGAGCTCCGGAAGCACCACCAACATTCCTATACTTCGCGGACCGCAGACACCTCCCCCCACATTCCACCAAATCCCGACCGGAGCCGCGGCCACGCCCCCACCACACTAGCCAGTCAGAACCAGCGATTTTCCTGACGCGCTTAAATCAGGTGCGGGAGGAGGGCTTCTTCCGCCTCCCCTTGCTCGGCCACGGTCCTCGCGCCTAGGGACATGGTGAGGGCATTTTTCCCGAGCACGCGCGCTAGATACCCTTCCAGCTTGCCTCCCTGATTGGCTGGCTTCGGCTATGCCGAGGCAAAGAGGAAGGAGGGGGCTGCGTGGCCGTTGTGGTTGAGCATGCGCACTTCTGCGTGGGGAGCGCGGCGTGTCCTACGACCTTCGGCGTGCTTGTTAGCTTTCGAGCAGGTGGCGGAGGCAGCACCTCCTGTTCTTGCTGCATCAGCCTCTTGCCTGGAGAACGAGGGGCCTTCTAGACTTGTGAGCCTCTAGCTCGGGAGTAGTAGATCTCGTGACAGTACTTAAAAACCTAAAGTCGTTCCTGCAAGGCTAGAGGCTGCCCACGCCTGGCCCAAAGGACAAAACGGAGGAAGGAAGACACCCCCCACTATGGAAGAAGGTCTGAAGGGCTGGAACCGCAACTGAAAAGACGCTTCTCCCTGTGGGCAGACCACAGTATTTCAGATGAGGCGGTTGCATAGAGCAGGGCTTCTGGAAAAAATCTCGATAAATAGGTAAACTCGTAGAGCTGAAAATGGTCTTTCGAGTAGTTGGCATGCAGACATTTGGTACTTCTTTGAAGTGGCTGGACCCTTTTTAGAGATGGCTCCATTTAAAAAGTGCTTTTCGGACTAATTCATTGCCAAAGGCGATGGGGTGTTTGTGTGCTCTGGTTCTGTAGGTCGCTTTGTGCCCTTATGTCCATCAGAGCTGTTGGATAGTATAATTCATATCCATCTAATGTTATATATTACGTAAATCCATGTCCCAAGTTTGGGCCATGGGTTCAGGTAGCCCCGTGTTATCCTCATGAATGGGCTGTGGCTTTCCACTGCTTTTCTAGACCACCCTTCAGATGTCTGGGACTGAGGCTAGGGCACTCTGCATGCAAACCACACTTAACCTGCGCTATAACCCCTGCGCATGGAATGTTATGGAGACAGATGGCCATTAACAGCTGAAGAACATTTGTTGTTACTGCTCAGTTGAACAGATTATGCTCAATATTCTTATGTAACCTGTGTTTGTATTTGTGAATCTAACAAGTGTGAGGCTTACATTTGATGCTGTATGCCCTTTCTTATTTAGTCCTCCTCTTTCTTGTTAATGCCACAGATTTTTCTTAAAAATCTGAATACTGTAAAATAGCCTTCTCTCCAGCCTTGTTTCTTCCAGACACATTTGGATTGCAACAACCAGAATTCTCAGACAGTGGCCCTGCTGGATGGGAATTCTGGGAGCTGTGGTCCAAATGCCTCTGCAGGTCACCAGGTTGAGGAAGGCTGCTGTCGAATGTACACGATACTGATTAATACCTGCATTACTCACACCCAAGCAGCTGTGATAAGGCTGATTCCCAAGACAGACAGAAAGCAGGTGTGCTATACTTGCTCAGTTGATGACCACTGGGGTTACTTGCATTTCAAACTCATACATACAGTGGTGCCTCAGCTCACGAATGCCTCAGCTCACGACCAAATCGGGTCACGAACAGAAAATTCAGAAAAATTTTGCCTCAGGTTGTGAACTCCACATCTGGTGATGATCACGATCACGCCTGTCTGTAGCCGTGATTACGGACACGCTTGTGCAGGAAAGATGGGCACGATTGTGGTCGTGCTGGGGAGGGGGGGGAGATGGTTGCAATTTTTGTTTTTTGTCACTTTGTTTCAATTTTTTGTGATTTAAAAAAATGGTTACAGAACAGATTAACCTTATTTACATTGAACCTTATGGGGAAATTTGACTTGGCTCACAACCAATTTGGGTTGCGACCAGAGTTGTGGAATGGATTTAGTTCATGAGCCAAGGTACCACTGTACTTAAATCACATTTAATACTAAATGTTTTCCAGAAATGCATGTGTTTACATATACACTTGCCAGAAATGCATACTTCTAACTTGTAAGAAGTAATTTGTTGATTTCCATAATAGGGAGCAAAGGATAGAAAACAAGAGAATTTTGAGTCAAGGTTTCTTATTGTGTCACATGGGGAGGCTGTTGGACGGAGTCTTTTCTCAATTGCATGGGGCAACCATGTAGCTTGAGTCTTCAAAAAAGATTCAAGCTACATGGTATTCATTATTCATTTCAGTATTTTAGAAATTGATGTTAGATTGATTTTTATGCATTCCATCATTTTAATATTGCAGTTCTCTGCATACTGATTTGGACATTTATTTTCAAATTATTTTCACTTTGCTTTAGAGAAATTTATTAATGAATAAACACGCATGGGATCAGGAATAGCATAACAGCATGAGGTTTAATTTGCACTTTGTGTTTTGAGCCTTTGTATGGTACAAAGCATAGTCGTGTACAAGATACAGTGATGAAGTCCAAGTATTTTCACTGGCTACACTTAATACAGGTTGGCTAGCCAATCTTATCCATTTTGCATGTTTTCCAGGATCAGACCCACTCCTTTGTAGAGATTCTAAAGTTTTGCAGAAAATGCTTCGCAAGCATAATATACGGAAAATATTGCAAATGGTACCTGGAAAGCAGCGCTTTGGTATATACAGATTTCTCCCTTTTTTCTTCATCCTTGGAGGTTGTATGGAATGGTTTATGATAAAAGGTCGAATTGGCAAAGAGACTTTTTGTAAGTATTGTCAGAAAATGTTGAGCCCTGTCTTTCAGGTCGCAGATTTCATTGCATGGTCATTGCAAAAAAAAAAAAAAAATCCAGTATCACTGATGTTTTCCACTTGTACAACATATTATTGTTTCTAAAATAGCCTAAACGAATGCTTTAAGATTTTACTTGCTGTTCAGGTTGAGCTGCTATTATTAAACTGAGAAAGTTTAATAAGATCTTAAACAGGTAAGGGATAACCATCTTAAATCTGTTGTTCAGTAAGGGCTCAAGCCTAGGCAAATTTACATAGGAAAAAAGACCTACAGTTCCCAACATGCCCCAGCTAGTAGTAGAATTATCTCTTGAAGAATGCATGGTCAGTGGTATCAAAGGCCACAGAATACTGTAATAGGATACAATTGCCCTTAGTGATCTTCAGACAGATGTTTGATGATGATCACAAACTGCAGTTTCAGGGCAATGACAAAAGATTCAGGACCGATTAAGGAAGCACTCTGACACAGTACAAAGGTAAACTGTGGAATTCACTTTCACAGGGTATAGAGGTGGCCACCAATCTGAATAGCTTTAAGAGAGACAAATTTATTGAGAAGGCTGTTAGTCTTCAATATCTGTTAGTCTTGATGGCTATATACTACCTCCATTATCTGAGCCAGTATGCCTGTATATACCAGTTGTGGGGAAAGATGAGCAGTAAGGTGCTACTGCACTCTTATTGGTGTGCTTCCTATGTGCAGCAGGTTGAAAATAATGTAGAACTGGATGGATTTTTGGTCTGGGCAAGCATGGCTCTTGCATTGAAATCTAAACGGTAATCATAAAAGCTGATGACATGCAAATCGTGAAAGTGTATGGGCACCTTTAAGATTTTGGAAACATCTGGTCATCCCCAACTTTTGGGAACTTTACAAAGGGAGTCATGGTTGGCTACAGAATCTACATTCAAGGATTTTTGAGCAAGGATGAGCCATCAAATTTTTAATGCCATGTGCAATCCTGTTTATTGTGTACAAATTATCAGTTGCAGTCAGGAAAGAGGGCCAGGATTTTCTTACTCAGGTTTCACTGGCATTGATAAAGGTAGGTACAATTCTCAGGTGATTGGCCTCCTGAATCCAAACATACCTTCTGCATCAGCGAAAGAGACTGAAACAAATCCAGAAAGCCGCAAACACAAGTGATAGGCCTTAGGCTGAGGAGAATCTAATCAGTCTGTGAAATGGATGACAGGCCTTGTCACTCTCCTTTAGGAGAACCTAGCTTCCAAGCGATCATTCACCCACTGCTATAAGACATTCTACTAAATATCATCTGTGTTGCATTTTATCCACTTCCGCATGAAGCAGCCCATTTGGTTAATCTTGAAACTTGAACCATCTATAACTCTTCCTTAGACAGTTATTACCTACAAGATGTAGTTAAAGGAAGCTTATCCACAATATCCTCAGAAATAATCACAAATGTTTTCCAGATGATGTTTACCGTAGAAAGCGTTCTGAGAGGCAGTACAATCAAAACTTGGAAAGAAGATGAATTTCACCTCAAAGAGTTTGAATGAAACGAGTTCTGAATCTCTAAATCCTTCTGATAGAGCACGGATGAGTCTAGTCCCATGGAATGTATTTTTGCTACTTAATTAAGAGGTAAAAAATGTTACCTTGGTGTAAGCAGAACTATCCAAAAACTAAATAAGGTGGTTATTTACTGTATTTCACAAACAGTAATTCTTTATCAGGAGTTTGTTCATTTTTTAATAAACTCTTAGCACAAACATAGTGTGTCCTACTTCTGTTATTAAATTTAAGGGAGTACATATTCCATGAGTTCGGGCTGGTTTAGCTAGAAGTATGAAAGAAGCAAGGTGGGGAGCATGTGACTCTGATGTCACTACAGCTCATTCTCATAATGGAAAATAATTGCCTCAGAAAATACTACAGGATTAAATGAAAATTCAGATACAGTTAACAAAAGGTACAGGGCAAATATGGAAAGATGTATAAGATACAGATTTACCGTGTGATCAACTGCAGCCCTCCATTTCACAGAGACATGCATAGGACTGTATATCAAAATTATTTGCAGAACACAGCCTGAATAGGTTGTAATATCGCATTGTGTAAAGAAGGAAAAAAAGACCTGCAGTAGTGTTTTCTGCTTCACAAGAAAATATCCATGTAGATTACCAAGAGTCCCTTTGTCATTTACAATAGCAAACTATTATAAAAGGCTCTTGTACTGTCTTTCTTGCTTTCCATATATGACAAATACTGCCCAAGTATTTAACAGTTCATTTACTCAAATTTGTATATGTCTAAGACAGACACCAGTTAAATGAGGGTACAGTCCTATGAGCATGCCTGTAACTCTGAACTTGAAGGATGATGGGCATACTGTGCAGAACAGGAGGAGTACACAGGTGAAGGTTGCCTCCACGTCCTTTCTACTCTGCAAAGTGGCGAGCTGATTTTGGCTGCTGCATCTTGAGAAGGGCACAGACACATCAGGATATGTTGCATCTTAGCAGTACTGGCCTTCTGTTTCCCTTAAGTGTCCATTAAACTACTATTCAGTGCCTTTGAAGAAACAGCTGGCACATTTCTGTGTTGGCTGCAAGGTGCAAGGAGGGGGATCTGAGCTTGACTTCTCAGGTCCAAGGTTGAGCAATTTTCCAAGCTAGGAATCTAACCCTATGGCTTTCTAGATGGTGCTGAGGGCCACAGCACCGCTTTTCCCCATGCTGAAGGAGAGCTGGGGAAGTACATGTGTGCAGCACAAGGTCCCAGGTTCAGTCTCTATTCAGGGAGGTCAGAAATTCTAATAAGCTGCTGCTTGACAATAGACAAAACAGAACTTCTTACATTCCTTCCCATTATTAGCAAGTACATTTTCCATCCAGCCCATTTTTCCAGTTGTTCTAAACAGGTACCTGCTCAAAGCAGGAAGTACTTAAAACTGTTAGTCTTTAAGGACATGAACTCTTTATTGGAAATTTCCATTTAATTTTTAGCCAGGCCAGGCCTTTAGAATTTAGGAGCTACTAACTCCTGAATCCTGGCATAGATGTCACTCTGCCAAAGAGGAAAACGATTTCCATGGTGTCATAAAGTGTTGTGTCTTATGCTAGCTCAGATCTAGAATCCCTTATGTGCTGTGCACCAGCAGGAAAAAAAGGGAGGCATGCATCTTTTTATAAATGATTGTATCAGAATTAGGTGTCACACAGACTGTATTTGAGGGAATTCAAGATAGGTGAACTCCAGAAGGAAGTTCCTCCCACCCAGAGGAGACCAATTAGAATGTGCCACGAGGCATGTTGTAAAATCTTCCAGTACTGGGCTAAGGCTTTGCCAAAGACATGAGAAAAGTGATAGATCTGGTATAAGAAAGTTGTTGCTTTATCATATAAATATTAGGTCAGTCTGGACATCACAATAAACCACTGTTTATTGTGACAGGAACAAGTGTGTGCAAGCTTTGGAATTTCCTTCCTTACCAGGGCTGCTGTAAGTAGATTGGAAACTTTTAATTTTTTTTTGGTAAAAGCAGCTTGTTTGTGTGAATCAAACAAAATCTGGTTAACTTCAGATATGGTTTTGAAAGCAAAGGTATGAAGCTGGACTGATTGCCTAACCCACATATACTATTAACCACAGTTTATGGTTTGGATATAATGCTAAATTGGTTAATTAAAAATGGAAGTGAAAGTTCATCAGGGTACACCAGAGAAAAGTGGGTGGGAAAAGCTTAAAACATGAAGCTTGCTGTAATTTGTTCCTGTCACAGTAAGCCATGCAACAGCTTACAAAACATACTGAGGTTTACAGTGAAGCTACCTAAAACTTAAAATAAGACATCTCAATTGTACAATCAAACCTGGTTAATCCAAATTTCAAACTATTTTTATTCAAATTTAAAAAGCCTCAGAAAGACAAACTTGATAGTACATGCACATTGACTAGTTATCACTTATCTCATTGGAGTATACAACCAGAAGTAAAAATGAGGCATGGATTAACCAGGTCCAAAATTATATATGGTGAAAAGTTAGAAACATCAACTCGAATTATTACACACATTTGCTCTTTGCAAAGAGTGGGGAATAAGGAATGAGATGAATTGCTAATCACTTTCAAACTGGTTTACTGTAATAGAGATATTTTTTTCCACTTACTCAAGCCAGCCATTTCCCATACTTTTATTTGAATATCCAAAGTCCTTTTATTCTAATACAGTATGTGGCTGTGGAAAACAAATGATGGGTTCAAATGGCCACAAATAAGACATGGTTTGTTCTCCAGTTCAACAACGTAAAGAGTTAGAAAACAGTTCAGTCAGCTGGTTGTGCAATACTGGATTGTAGCCATCAAAACTTAAATCCTACATGTTATTGAAATGCCCCCAGTACACAGAGACATGATTTTGGAATAAATTAATTTAAAATAATTAGGGCCAGCCTAATGGTCTAGGAGGAGTGCTCTGCACTGCCAGAGAAAAGGCCTCATTTACAGTTCTAATTGTTTACCCCTGGTCTATTAGGAGCAATGAAGCTGCCTTCGGCATAAATGTCTGGGAAAGTCAATGCTGCAGATTATTCAACACTGATCCTTCTGAATTACACAGCATCCAAAGGGTGTCTCATCCTGTTCTTAATATTTTCTTAAAAAATAAATAAAAATAAATAAATTCCAGGTTCTTTGGTGTAGTTTGCAATACCTAAAAAAAGTGATTGTATTAGTAAAGTCTATGGCGGTTCTAAGTACTAAAGAACTAGGACTTGCTTTCTGCTTCTTTTGACGGTTGTTGTAAACTGCAATATCTGAGGTAATTTCAAACACACTGGCCACGATCCAGAAGAGCACCCATGCACTCAGTTCAGCAGCTCCCAGCACAAAGCTGGTTTGGTGTCAGGAGCTGCTGCCCAGTCAATTAAAAACAATAATCATGAGTGCATGCACAGACCTGTGGGTAGCAGCACTTCTATGTCTCTTACCACATTTTTAAATATTGCAAAGGGCCAAAACTAAGGATGTGTGTACCACAGTTTATAGAAAGTTAAGGACATAAAACATCTCCCCTCTGTAATGTTAATCAAGGTGGCTTTTCTTCTTTTTACATTAGTACCTCATTTGAACAGCTGAATCTTAAAGTGTTTGGTTCCACAAGCTACTTGCTGCCATCATTTTATCACTAAAATAGATCCAGAATTATCAACTACATTACTGTTTCTGGATTTAAAAATAACCCAGGTAATGAGGTTTGACCAGATAAACTAAACATTTGAACACTAGAAATTGCTTTCCTGATAAACTGCTTAATCTCTGAAGCCAACATGCCAACAATTCATTACATTCTTTTGTAATCAAGGAAGACTTTTAACAAATCTGTTTCCTTACTTACTCCTATTTAAACAAGTTTTATCTTGCTGGTTTGGGCAAACTTCTCTAAATAATTTCTCTGAATCCACATTTTTTTAACTGCACTGCATTTGTAAGCATTTCAACATTAATTCCAATACAGTGCTTGTTTTTTTCTAAAATTATATCCAACTTTTTACAACAAGGTTGATGCCAATGTTTGCCCTAGAGTAGACCCATTGAAATGAATGTGTCTTATCCATGATTAGCTTAAGTCCCATTTGTTTCCTATGCTAGGTAGGATAAACACTGGAATCAACCGGTATGTTTCATTTGTAACCACCAGATACTTTCCTGAATAGAGGAAGGTATCTTATGACACTCTGAAATCTTTCTTAGTTTGTAGACAACAAACCAGACAACTAAATACGTGAAAAAATCACTTCATGGGGTGGGGGAGGTGAAGTTTGCTCAAAATAAATGAACAAAAAGTTTAATTGGCCGCACGTAGGGCTTTTTACTTGCCTGAAGGAGTGAACTGGATTGTAACTGCTTTTACCAGACTTTAAAAGTGTGATCCACAGCAAATTATTTGGAAGTAAGTTATATTAACATTTAGGTTACTTACTTTCTAAATAAATATATTGCAGGATCAGGGCACAAGTTCCCTTCTACTAATAACCATGTGTGTTAAGCATTGCTGTACAGCTTATGCATGTTAAAATTCTCAATAGCTGGACTACAATGCTTTTAATCAAAGTAACAATTTTTTAAAAAATAAAGCATACAAATGTAAAGGCCAAACTATTAATAAACATTTTATGATGTTAAATGCAGAAAGGTGCCTTCTGCACACCCTGTTACTTACCTTCCAAGATCACAGTTCTGCAATTTGCAGCAGCAACTTAAAAATATACAGAGAATAACATGTCCATTTTTCTTCAGTTTATAATAATGTCAAAGAATCCTAAATATAGGTCTTGGCACTTTTAAAACCCCATTTACAAAATAAAATAAAAATAAATGCTCCGTTATTAATTCAATGTATCTTGTCAAAAACTGCATCATGATAACAACAAAGTAGAAAGGAATATTTGCACCCTTTCATATTTATTCTTCCTCAAGTATCTCCCTAAGACAAACCCCTGTGGTGATGAACACAAGTCTCCGTTCTAGAGAAATAAAGCAGAGAATGCACTCTCTCATTAGATCAAGCTCTACTGGCAGTACACGCAAGCCTTCAGAGCTGCAGAGCTCCTTGACTCATCAACATTAATCAGGCTTGGAACTTGTACATGCCAAGAGAAGTTAAGCTAACTGAAAGTACTCTCCTATTCTTTTATCTTAAGTTCTGCATCCCTCTTAAGGATGTAAGACTGATTCCATCCACTCCCTACCTTAGCAGCTTCATTTAAAGAAGCTTTTAGACCAACCTTCCCCTGTCTGTTCCCCTCAAGTTGTTTTGGATTACATCTCCGAGCATTCCTGAACATCTGCCACGCTGGCTGTGGTTGATGGGAGATGGAGTCCAATGCATCCAAAGGGCACTAGGTTGCGGTGGGCTACTTTAAGCTCATGTGACGTATCTACTAGAAGTCACTACCACACAAGCACGTGGATGCTAATGCTGCTCAGCTGTAAACTAGGAGTAATTTCACATTTCTCTTAGCTAATCTGTAAACACACTTGCTGCTTAAAAAAAGATGGCATCAGAATCTCAGTGTGAAGAAAAAGGATGTAAGCTTGTTTTGCATTTATAACCAAGTACGAGATCATCTTCCAAGTCAAAGAACTATATGCATGTCTGTATATTTAAGAAAATTCAACGTAATATAACAAAAAGTGAAATATGCTTATTAAAAGTGTCCTTATATAAAAAACAATCTTGCAATGTACAGTAAGATGCAATAAAAACTGTTTTCCCCCCTTCACCAATAACTAAAACAGCTATTGTTCCACGAAAATTTTATATGTTGGTATCAAAAGAAGATTAAACATTTTCTATGTTGTATGCTTGACGGATATTGAGAGTATCTCTCAGCATCAAGTCTCGAAGGCGCCATAATGCATCTGCCATTGTGGTATGGGCCCCTTTACTTTTCAACCAGTGTGTAGGAAGACGGCTCTCTTGTTCTTTTGAAAGATGGACATCACGTCTTCGTGCTGAAATAGTAGTAAGACATGCAGTTACATAGTGCTTTGGTTAAATTAAATGCTTTAATTTCTATAGAACTTGCCAATATGACCGAAATACACTTTTGCTTCACAAATAAAATCTTGATTCAATTATGTCAGTGATGGAGTGCAGTCTCCATTCTCCATGAAAAATGGAAGTGTTCTTATGTATGTCTCTTCTCTCAGCATAATGGAGGGCACTCCTCATTGTGAGCTGACACATGTTCCTGGTCAAGTCAAGCTTCTTGGTTCCAAAACAAAATAGGGATATGAGTTCTTTTTAGCAGGAACTTGATTGGTGGATTCAACAAAACAGATTAAGCAAAGGGATCAGAATGGAAGAGCCCAATCAAATCATAACAGACATCAGTCTGCTGGAGGGCTCATTTGGAGATGATACAGGTGACTTGGTTGGTCTTAGAAGCACAGAGGGGCATCAACAGGTTGGAAGTCTGGGCAGTGAAACTGCTGTTGGGAGATTTTCTGCACATAATCTTTAGAAAAAATGTTCTAGTCCATGCAGACATTATCTCAGCAAAGTCTGTTAAGCACCAAGGGGTGATAAAATGCAGGTCACTTAACAAGGAAGTGGCAGAGATGTTCAGTTGGGTGAAATGGCATTTGCTGTCAATCAGAGCAGATTCACAGTGGGTTAACTCAGCAGGACGTCAATCCAGAAGTCGGAATGAAGGTGACACCCTCAGAAATCTAACCAGGTGATGACGGTTTTTGAAGTTTCAGTGCAGCTCTGGAATTGGCTTGGGCAGGAAGTCTTTCTATTAGTACTATTTAGAGGGATGCCTTTGATTCTTCCTCCACCACATAGATGGCCCACATGAAATTTAACTAGATGTTTATGACATTCAGGGTAGCAATATTTGAATATTCTGTCAGTCATGGTGGCTCTGTTGTAGTAATGTGCACTGCAACATTACAATCGCTCACTCTCAAAATTGCTGTCTCGGTACTATCACTTCCACTAGGTGGGTTTGGGAGTTTCAGGTTCTGTCTTTTGAGCCTCGGTTATGTGAGGCTGTATGGTTTTTTAGGGAAAATCTTTGGGATGTAAGATTATGTATGTAACAGTAATAATTTCTTAAGTTTGCAACAGGTTGTTTACAGTTATTGTGACTACCCAAGTCTCTTCCTGGCATACCCTTAGAACGGTGCATGATCTCACAACCAGTAGCTTCTCATGTCTCAATCTCAATTCTTGTTTTCTACGCTATTTAGCAGCCCCAACATTGTTCAGTCCCCACATTTTAAAAGGGCTGCTGCTTCAGCTAACCTGACATCTTACAGTCCCCACTATAAACTGTCCTGAGAGTCACTGATGAAATAGGAACAGAATAGAAATTTTTTAAATAAACAAACAAACTTGAAGCTGGTAATAGCCAAGACCTGTTCTCCTCTACACCCCCAAGTTATCACCTACATTGAGCTGTGGTCCCTACAGGTTCCAGGTTGAATAGGCAACCTGTACTTAGGAGATACTGTTTAACCCTTGCGTATTCCATGCTCAGCAGGGACAATTGACAATTGGAGTGGGCTCTGCATATTCAAAATGAGAGCCACACTTGCCTTGCATATGCCCCAGGCTCACTGTGGATTAAACAACCAGAGTGGGCTGTTGTGTTGTGTAAACAGCCCCATAATGAAGCAGTGGCAAAGTGAGTAGGTCTGAAAAACAGGCTTTCTGCTAAATGTAAGTAGTCTTACCTGAAAGGGTATGGTCCCACTTGCTAATACTATTTGAATCAGCACTAAGACCTTCAATGTATTTTAGATATGCCTCTGAGTGAAGAAGCCTCTGCGTCTTTGGTGGAGGGGATACAAACATAGGAGTTGTAGGCTGCTGCATGACCTGCTGAGCTGCTGGGTTCTGGCCAGGATAGGGAGGTGGTGCTTGTTGGCCTGGAGGACCAAGGATACTCATCTAAAATAGTAAAGGATAATATCAGGAGGGCATTTTGATATCTTATACAACAAAGACTGGCTGAAATTAGACACTGAATATTCAATTTCTGACTATGTTTCACAGAAATAGTACAAACAACTGGTAAGTGGATATGCCTAACTGGGGATCCAGATCTTTCAAGGATCCAGAAATTTGTCATCCTCATCTGCGCAGATTACAAAGAATGGTGTGGAGCCAAGCCTAGACATCTGCAGTCAGGAAGATGAAACAAGGCATTGTCCATTCACTCCATCTTTCTTTTGATGTGTTTCTTGTAAAAATATAATTTTTCCCTGTGAATAGATATTTCAGTTCTAGCTTGTTTGTGTCTTCCTCCCAAGCCGTTTGAATTCCAAGACACTATCTTCAATGTTTTTCCCATTTTTCCTTTTTGGTCTCCATATGTGACTAAATAAACACTCCAACAAAAACTTTGTCCAAAGTATTGCTGTTCTTCCTCTTTCTCTCTCCGTAGCATTTGTCCTGCTCAGCATTTCTGACCATTCATTTGGCAGTGTCTCCCAAACAACAGCTTAGACGCAACTTCTAGATAACCTAATTCCTATATCATTAAATCTCATACTAGATCAGAGGGGATGTCAGAAATACAGTGTATTCACTAATATTCTAGCAAATAGATTTTTCAAAAAACAAACCTCTAAAACTTAATTTATAGGATTTTCTATTTTTTTAATCTAAAGCACTCACCTGCTGTCCAAATGGACTTCCTGGTGCTGGTGCTCCTACCATGGAGGAAACATTTTGACCCATAACACCTGTATTTTAAAATGTAAACAAAATTAGAATCTTATTTTAGACCAATAACAAAAAATCCATTTTGCCTCTGATAAAAGTCTAATACCAAGAAGTTCCTGTGCAATCTGAAACTCTCAATTATTTAAATGAAGTATGGTTCTATATGTTCTCAAAGAGCATTATTTCACGTAATAAAGATGCTACATATTGCCTGTCTGTCAGTTTTGCTGACATTTTTAGTTCTGGTAGATATTAATCCATCTTGTAATAATCACATTTCTACAGGCTGTGAAAATAATCTGTAAATGTCACACTACAATAAAAAATGCTCTTTCTTTGAAATCATTGGAAATTATGCAAAAGTCCTTCTTCCCGGGCCCGATACCATCCATTTCTTCACTTTTATCACATTTTATTTATTTTTTTCATGAGAATTCCTGTTTTAAAGCTTTCCTTTTAGTACCAAGTATGTAATCAATAAAGCTTCTCCATCTGAGAAGACATAAAGGATTTCTTTAAAATACACAAACCAGGCAAAGATAGCAAACATCTATGAACACATTATTGTTCAAATTCAGCAGCACAGTACAGCATAAAGAAACTATGTCACTATCTATGCTTTGAAACTCATGCCCTGCTGTAAATGCTCAAATTCTGGATTCATGTTTAGAAGATAGGATGCAGTCATATATCCTAAGGGCGCAATCCTATGGTAATACCCATAGGCCTCTGAACTCAGAGGCTTAGGGGCAGCCAATCCTGGGAGAAGCAGCAGAGGTGATCTTCACCTTCCTGTCTTCCCAGCCTGCATTTCATGCTAGGCGGGCTTTTTTGCTTATCTAGCTGCAGTGTATCAGAGGAGAAGGGAAGAAGGATGGAGCAGCTGTAGGATTTCTTGTATCTTAGCCTTTCTAGTCTCCTGTCTTCCCTGCAAAAATGCCCCCTTTTACTCCTCTCCAAGACTGCTTTCCAGACAAGAGCACCCTGCATGGTTCTTTCCATGCTGGCTGTGAGGGGGTGGTGAATGGGGGGAGGTGGAAGTCCAATTCCCAGCTTCAAGGCTGGAGACCTTTCAGCCTCATATCTGAGAAGCCAAAACTATCCTATGGCCTCTGATATACACTCCAGAGGTCATAGGATTGTTCCCTAGCAGGCTTTAAAAAAGATTTTACAAACAGTATGCAGATTTAGTCTGAATTTAGGAAAATTCAGTTCTTCAATGTGTACTTTGAAATAACACAGGGAAACTCTATTCCTTTCTGCCCACAGCTGAACTTATCCAACACATTCAGAAAAGAAGTAGTTTAGGTGAAAGGAAAACTAGCAGCAGCAAAAAGAAATTTAAAAGAGGGCTGATAATTGAAGTTTTTGCAACAGTCTATGCCTCTGTTTGAAGAAAAAAAAAAGAATTTGTGACAAAAAAGAAAGTGAAACAATCCACCACTCATGGTTAATGTCTTGTCCACTGGGGTGGATAAACACTTATTCACATCACAAGAGAAAGATTTAATTTTAAGTATATATCAAGCCTGGAAGCTAACTGAAAATTGCATCTCCATGTTGAAAGGCAAGTCTGAAAGAACATTCAATTATCTCAGGTGCTGATATTGTGGCTGAAGTTTTAGTCTAGTCTGAATAAAATAATGTATTGATCTCATCCTTTGACCTTGTGTTCAGATGTATGTTTTTAAATGAACTGCTATTAACCCTATGTAATCAAACTGTGCATATCTGAACTAATGGTGTGTAAAAAAGAAAGGAATGAAGCACATACTGGTTCAATTATTAATATATGTCTACTGCACTGTGTTGCTTTTAGAAGTTCAATTTGCAGAAGTAACATGGCTTTCTACATATTCACCTGGACTGGAAAGTATTTGTCTTCAATCTTACATATCACTTGTAAAGCCAGGCCATTTATACATTTTTAACTGGTGTTTATCTATTTTGTGGTCAATGCCTTTGCCGCTGGAGTGGTCACACAAGTTGATTTATCAACATCCATAATATGCCAGTATGTTCTGTAAATATACTTCATATATTTCTCAATATATTTTGTGCATTAACATAGCTAGACATACCTGAGACATTAAGCAGGAGTTCAGCTATAAATGCACAAGGTGCAAACCTTTCTCATAGCAGTTGGTTAAATGAGGCGAGAACAGAAAGTTGAGATAATGAGTGAATGAGGTTGTCATTCTTACCCGGTAGTGGGATGCCTGGCATGCCTGGTGGAAGTTGATGGGGTGGAGGCACCCCAGGGTGAAGTGGCGGCATGCTGCCCATGCTAACAATGCCATCAACTGGGCCCTGTAAAGGTGGCAGCACCGGTGGATAGCCACCTAGCATGCCTTGAAGGACACAACAAATTTCAAACATGCATCAATGACATGCAAAATGATCCAAATAATAATGACATGCACTACCCACATACAAGCAGTACTTCAGAACTGCCACACAGTACTACAATTAGTACCTTGCAAAGACGAACAATGTTACAATACCAAATATTGCATTTGGAACAGATTAGTATTAAGCCTATTTGCATATTCTTCTGGAGGAAACAAACTGAATACTTGGCATCATTAAATGGTTATTACTGCAAGCAAATGCAACCAGTTCTGTCAGTCACTCATATGAGTTTATCCGATGTTGGTACATGCACATTCCAGGTTTTGGGAACAGCACTGTAGCCTAGCAGAATTTGAAAAACAAAGGCCAAGCACTCAGTTTGTTTGTTTATTTTACTTCCAATGTAACCTCTTCCAGAAGTGGAAAATCAGTTCAACAATATTGTATAAATTGGGCAGTTCTGCCTTACATCTCAAGTCAAGAGACTGTAAAAAGTATTTTTAAAAGAATTTTTTTTCTTTCATGCCTGATGACACAGAAGCAACTTCATAATGTTTTCATGAATGAAAATGGGTTGCAAATCATACACTGCCACATAGCTTTTCAGAGTTACCAGAACTGTAACTTACTATTAAAAGCCATGACTGAAAAGCTATGTTTTGCACAGTACATTCCTTTGTCTTCATTCAACACTTACTCATTTTCATACTAAAGTAACTAAACAAGAAATTATGCATTGTATTGGGTGAGGGAAGAGTGATTACGGAGGGAGGGTATGTCAGAAAAGAGGAGGGGCTGGGGTGGTAGAGAGGTGGGAAAGTGTCCCAAATGGAATAACAGAGGTGGTTTCTATCTCCCATAAATATCTGCCCAGCTGCACTGATCGTCAACCTAGGCCCCTCTGGTTGCTCTACATCCTCCAGACAGCCAGCTGGCAACAACTCTCTGGAATACCCCACCCCAAAAACAAAACATATTTTATTCACATGTTATTCAACTCAGCATTCCTTGATTAATAATTCCAGTTGTTAAGCTCTTTATTATTTCTTACACAATTGTACTTCTTTTAGCTATAATGTATACTGATCTTGTAGTTTTATTGCTGTACACACTCGGATATTTTACACATGACAGCTGATATAGAAATGCTATAAATACATAGATATTTAAAATGACATTGACAGTCGCAAGGGACGTTGGAGAACATCTGCTCCCATACAGCAGATCCCTGCAGTATCCCTGATGAATGGTGACAAGCCTCTGCAAGCAGGGAAGAGAACCCATCCCTTCCTAGGGTAGCTGTTCTACTCCCCAATGACTTTCATCATTAGGAAGTTTCAGCTAATGTTTAGCCATGACCTATGTTTAGCCACAGGTTCTGGTCCTGCCCAGGTAAAATTTGCTTCACTATCTGCACAACAGCCTTTCATATATTTGAAAATCACTTTAATGTTTCTCCCTTAATTATCTCTTCTCCACTCTAAACATATTCTGAAAGTAACCTAACGGAAATAATAGAAATGTAATAGGGAATATTAGGGAGCATGAAGGGAAGGGCTGAAAGGAGAACATGACCTGGTTCATGGCAGGAATAATGAATATTCTCCCCCCTGCCTTTGGCAGGGAGAAGAATGAGAGTGTCCTGAAGGAAGAACTGGGAGATACAGTCGGAGGAGTGAAAAGGAATGGGGACTGGTGGAAAGCTTTACCTGAGCATAAGAGGATCATTGTCCTACAAAATTGGTTTTGGGGTGTGGGTGTAGGAAGTGGATTCTTGGGTTTTGCACAAAACTATAGAGTTAACAGGGGTCCTAAGATAAATATTGGGGTGATTATTTTTTGAACTGCTTTGAGGATAATTTTAGTTGACCAAATGATATGATCATCACAACTCTCACTTGAATACCTGCATGACTGCTTCATTTCAAACCTTCATCGATCACTTCTGGAAACTATTTTTATATATTTCATCCTTTTTACTGAAGGAAAACAAATCTAGGACTACAAGAGGTATTTTGTGAACCTGCTTGAAGACTAGTTAAAATACATCTACCTAAACTAGCAGACCAATCCTCTCCTCAGCAGTGTGAATGCTGCTGCCAGGGACAACACCTCCTCTTTGGGCAACGGGGCACGTTCCTCAAGCACTGCCAGTGAGAATCATAGCAGAAATCTGGGCTCTGAATGAACAATACATCTGATTTTTGAAAAATTTTACTACCCAATATGAACACAAGACATATAACAATAACAAAAATGAACTCCTTCAAAAAGAAAGACTCCTTCCTATTTAAGCTGCCATATAATGCAAATTTCATGGACTAGATTCTCAGCAGTCCTGACAAGCTCTCACTGCTTTACTTGAAAAGAAATTCTGGACATTTAAAAAAGGACCAGCTAGTTTAAAAAGCATCAGTTTGAGAATTTTCACAATTTTGTGTTGAGACATTAAGAAATAATACTGCCTGCCATTTAATACCCAATGAATCTAATGACTATTCTCTGTGTGTATGTATGTAAAACATTTCGTACGCTTGAAATGTACATCACAAAACATTCTATCACTGATCTTTAAAGAAATCCTGTCAGGGAAGATAACACTGTTTTCTCATATACGGACTAGGGCTGAGAGAGCACGATTTGCCCAAGTCCACCCTCTAAATTTATGGCTAAAGGAAGATTTGAATTTGGGATATCATAACCAACACAGTTCACTTTTACTTTCAGCAAAAATACTTCTCCGATTCTCAGCACTCGTATTTAGTAAACAGCTGAATATACCATGCAGATCAGTCACGTTTCATCAAATTTAAAGCTGATGGGTTAGATCCTAAGGCATCCTCCCATTTATGGAGGCAGCTTGGATACACAGATGCTACAAAGAGCATTGGGGGTGCCATGCTGTGCAAACACGGACGCACACTGAAGGTGGAGCCAGGACCTAGCAGTGACCCCTTTCAGGAGCAGAATGCAACTCTCAGATGCAGCACAACATTTTTCTGTTGCATTAACATGACACCATACACTTTGGAAATGATTGATCCCGGAGGATTATACTAGTTGCTGGCTTTGTTTCAAAGGTACAGCAATACCAGACAAGGAAAAAATTGTGTAAGAGTTTTTGCCACTTCTGTATCCTAACAGTATGTGATGAAAACCCCCCAAAGAATGTAAGATTTACATTTTAGATAAGTCGGTAAAAGGTCAAGGTCCAAAATGGCCCCCTCCCAAAATAGAGTGCACTCCAGAGTGCATTCAGAAAGTTTTTACAGTATAGAAAACAATTAGAAAGGCAGAAAATCAACAGTAAGGATAAACTGTGATATCCAATGCAATACTACTGTGGATGTAAATTATGTTGCACTGGCATAAAAAGCTCAAGTACAACAGCAATACTGTTTCTGGGGAAACCTGTTGCTGATGTTAGCGGCAGTGGCACAGTGGATCTTGCCCAGAGTAAATTAATTGACAGAAGCACATTTTTACCCTTGAATGAAGACGTTCTACATAGTAAAGAGGTGATCTGAAAGAACATTTTAGGGCGCAACCCTATTGCATTGCTCATAAGCCCCTGAACTCAGAAGCTTATGGCCACGCTATGCACAGCAGGAGGCGAGGGGAAGGGAATCTTGGCCTCCCCACCCTCCTACACTGCAAGCTTCACTAGGTGGCCTTTCTGCTTGCCTAGCAAGAACTTTTTGGAAGAGGAGGGAAGGAAGCTAGAGAGGCTTTGGTTTCCTTTTCTCTCCAACTCCTGAAACACCCCTTTGCCTCCCTCCCTTGGGTCATTTTCCCAACCTCAGGGAGCAGCTGGTATGGTTCTTTTCACGCCAGCTGTGAGAGGGTGAGGAAGAAGTACATATGCAGCTGGATTCCCACTTCAGATGTGGGAATCCCTAATATCCAATGGTCCCTCTGACACTGTCTAGGGGCCACAGGATCGCTTCCTTCATAAGTCCATTTGAATGAGAACATGACTAGCTAAGCAGCAATATGCACTAAGAAAAATAGCATGAAATGGTAGAGTGGACTTGTTTTACTGAAAAAGCAATTTAATGTAAACCAATACATGCCAAAGTGGTACATTCTGAACAAGCAATATCAAAGCATCAAAACACTTTGCAAGTGTTGCAATGTATTGGTGCACAACAGCTCAGAAAACACTTATTCAGGTTGTGATTAATATAAATTTACACTAAAGATTGAGAAAATACAGGGACATCCTAATCTGCAAATACCTTCAGTGAAGAATATCAAGTATATATCTGTTCTGAGGTGATTCCTTTTGAAATGCTATACTTTACAGGAATGGCTTGTAATGTGCTATAATGGCAATGCTGTTTGGCATGCATAAACCCAAAGTCTCCTTGGGCTAGAAGAACCAGTTACAAAATTCTGGACACAACTACCAAGATTCCTAATCAATTTAACAGTTAATAAATTCAGTTTTCCTAACACTCTAAGTTTTCCCTCAAATCAAGGGGCAATATTGGAATTTTTTACAGTCCCAATATGGCACCGATAGCATGAGAGGATATTTGCTATGACTGACTGTCAATTCTGTTGATATGCCATATAAGAAAATCTATACAATGTCTGGTGGCACCTTGCACACTAATTTTATTACAGCATAAACATTTGTGGTCTAGAAGCTACTTCATCAAATACATGATCATTCACTCTTCCCAAAGTAGGCTGATTCTGCAGCATTCAAAGGAAACATAAATAGAGTTAACAGATACGATAACATACAAATCAGGAGCAGGTCTGCAGACTAGGAAAGGAGCTGGCACAGGCTGGGTCAGGATAGAGTGCATGCTGATGATTAAGGGAAGTTAACTCTACCGGTGAGGGCAAAATCTGTGCTCCAAATCAGAACGTTTTAAAGTTAAGGTTTTAAGAAGAAAAGTTTAAGAGACTGGTTATTTTTTCCTTCCATAAGAGTAAAATGACCCAAGAATAGTGTTCAGAGTTATGAAGGAGTTTGGTAAAGTGGATGAAGGGAAAAATGGTCATAGCCCCTGTTTGTTTTTACCTGCAACAGGTGTCAACTGCGGATTGAGCATCCCCATTGGTGTTGGTGGCGGCACCACCCCCATAAGTGCCCCGACAGGAGTGCCTGCCCGGGGGGAGGAGTTCTGCTGCTGTTGCTGTGCTGCTCGCTCTCTCTCCTGCTGCTCAGCAACCTTAGCTGCCCGCTCTGCAAAAGCATTTTAGATTTTCAGTTCTGTTTTTCAAACCAGAATTGTAAAAAATATTCTCTGATAATTGAAAAAGGACCAGTGAAACATTGGCACAAATTTAGGATTATGTGGAGAAAAAAGAACCCAGGCAATTTTTCGTCACACAGAAGATTATTTTGATTTTATTTGGCTGCCAACCAAAAGTGTTTAAAGAATCTATGATTTCAAAAAGTCCTCAAAGGATTTAGAGAAAGGATGGGCTCGGATTCTGAAAACCATGAACTAATGAAAGCTTGCAGAAAATGAGCTTCCTGTCCCTTCCTCCTTCCTGCAGTACCTGGCCTCCTCCAAAATCATCTCCTGAAGGTCAGATGACTGACCTGAACAGGAAGAGATGGGAAATTCATTTTCTGCAAACTTTCATCAGTTCATGGTTTTCAGAATCCAAGCCATGGAGCTTATGGCTTGTTAACTTTTCTTCGTTCGCACAACCAGTGTTGCCAACAGAATAGCAGCAAATCTTCTCTGAATCAATATGTGAATGAGGATGTTCCCTATCCTTCCTGTCCACTACCCTTATAGTAGGAACACAAGACGGTCTAGTGTAAATATTATCGAGCACCACAGCTGTAAGCCATAGTCCTTTAGCTCTAAATTCATTCTACACAAGTGAGTGTAGCGCTCTGGAGTAAGTATGCTAAACAGCCTTTTTCAACAGTTTTGCTCTGATCCCAAACAAACATGATAGCAATAAACATATATGTAGTGCTGGGGCTGAATATGGTACAGGTAATCAAAAGGTACTAGAAATTCATTATTTGCCTATGCTAAAACTGCAAACATTGACACAGTAGGGGAGACCACTAAAAAACAAGCTATCTGTGCATTTTTTTCTCTCATGTACATAGGTTATCTGAGTTTGATGAAATCCCAACGATTTGGCAGAAAAAATATTTTGGTCCTTCAGCAGTTTTATTTTTAGATTTTAGTCATAACATACTAGATGTCAGATTGTTGGTAACTTAATTAACAAGTGTCTAAACAAGTGCCTTTCTGTTACCATGAGAATTAAATGTTTGCTAAACAGAACAAAATCTGATCAGATGGCAATTGTTACCCCGTAGGTGTTTTGATTTTGCCATTGCTCATCCTAAATGCCTGCGGAAAACTACTGAACAATTGTAACACCTACTTCTATTGTTTCCCTGATAAACAATTAAAAAATTACTACAAAATAATGAGGCAGCTTTATACAATATGCCCTATTGGAAAACTTGTTTTCCAGGAAAGCATTTCTAGTTCAGGTAACTCAGTTGTCAAAAGGAGTGTTTCTATATAATTGACAAACAGGAAAACTCTGTTTTCTACCTTTGCATTTGTTTTGATTTGGGATAGGAATGGAAGCCATATCCTATCCAATCAAAATGAATACCCAGCTATGAAACTTTAGTAGAAATAAATCATTCCAGAATAAGAAATAATCTAGATTATAAATTTAAGTATACATGAAAGTCTCCTATGCATGTACAGATTTGGGTATACAATTATGATTTATGTCAGAACACAAAATCCTTCTGAAAGGAGATCAGAAGGCAAGAAAATGGTCTATCTTCTCTTTTTTCTATGAAAAAGAAGCAATCTGGAAGATTAGAATTTTGTATAGATTTAAAGGAAAACACCACACTGAACTATTATCATATTCTCACTGGATAAACATTTCTTTTCGCACGTTAATTCTTGAATTAGGACTATAACCAGGAAAGTAACAGCTAATGTTTCAGCAATAATTTTGTCCTAAAAGGTTTGTGATAGATGTTAGCAGACAAGAGAACAAAAACTTGCAATATTAACAGAGCAATCCAATATCAGTGAGCAGACACAGAATCTTAGCTGTAGAATTTTATGGTTAAATTCAGAAAACCCAATCCCAAACTTGACTGAGAAAGGAATCTTCCTTTGAGACTTAATTTCTTATAGTAATAAACTCTTTCTTGGCTATATTTACTATTCTGTTTTAGCAGTGAACTTTGACAGGCATCACTTTTAGCTGCACCTCATTTTTACATAATGTTCTCCCAATACTGAATTTTCAGTGATAGGGGTATCAAAATCCAGGGTTACCAGTTACTTAAAACACTTATTGATGCATAAATGCTACAGGATTATATATAAATTTTCTATAAAAGCCATTTAGAAAGGAAAGAAAATGCCATCTAATTTTAATGCACCTTTACAAAACATCATATATTACGTTGTTTTGCCTACCATGTCCACCCCACAACCTCATCTGGAAAGGAAAATCTGCTCTGGGCAAAAACAGCAGATGAAGTATCAGCCTGAGAGCATAGAGTTCAAGTCAGACTCGGTTATTCTTTGAGTAACACCACTGAAATCAATGGGACTTAATCATTAATAAGCTAACTCCCAATTAGTTCAATGGATCTACTCCAGTAACTGGAAAACTGCAATCAAATTTGAAAGAGGACATAGTGGAAATATTTTAATGACCAATTATGTATTACAATATATAGTGTATTTCCAAGGAAAATAAACGGTCCATAATCAAATTGGATATGGGTATGATTTAAAAGGCAAGATATGGGCAGGAACCATCATTTCTGCTTTGAAATACAGTAGGACCCCCTATCCTTGGGGGGTAGGTTTCAAGCCCCCAGTGGATGCCTGAAAACACATACAGTAGCAAATACTGTATACTGTACATTTGGCCCACTACTGTCATTTGGGTTAGGGATACAGGATCCCCACAAAAATGGAGAAACTGCAACTATCTCTAGAGTCATGAAAATGAGGCTGGCTAGTACTGAGACAAAGAGCATGGCGTTCCCAAACAGAGTTTGTAGTCTGCAGTTCTTCCGTTCACTGATACTAATGAATACTCAAGTCCACTAAAGTTAAAACCACAAAAGTCAAGGTTTGACTGTATTTAATTATTTTGGACTGCAATCAATTGTGATTAAGTGAAACCACAGTAACTGAAACAGTGGATACAGGAGTTTTACTGTATTTCAAAGATGTATTTCTTAATTTTACAAAAGAGCAGCAGTCTGGGAAAGGGAACTAACAGCACAATCCCATGGCTGCTATACAGTGTCTAGATGGCCATAGGATTTCTCAGATTCTGCCCCCTTTGGAGCTGTGGAAAGAACCACACTGCCTACTTCTCCAAGAAAATAACAGCGTCCTCAGAGAAGGGCTTTTGAGGGCATATCCTAACATTTCTAGGTTGTGCCTCAGCTTCCTTCGTTCCTGCTCTGAAGCTCTGCACTTCAGATAGCTGAAACAGGCTGTTGAAGTGCTTTGCAGAGTATGAGGCGAGCGGAGGTGATCTTTGCCTCTCTGCTCCCCTTGCCCTCCATAGGATGCCCGTAATTCTCCGACTTTGGAACATTACAGGCATCCTCATAGGATTGCGCCCTAAATGAACTGTCTACTATTCCAGAATGAAAAGAAAGTGTATAGTAAGCCCGTAGTTTAAAACACTCAAGCAGACAAGCACAAGAGAAAGCATGGGACTTCCAAACACAGAGTTCTATCTGCATATCAAATCTACTTTGATATTATTATCATCTTCAGATCTTAGCATTTATTCTTTAATGCTGCAATAAATAAAATATTTATTTCAACATAGAGATTTAGGAGAAATAGTCTAGCATACAGCATCAACAGCTTTTAATTAAAATGTATTTGTGCTCAAATGAAAGAGATCAATTATTAAATATAAACTGTATTGCTGTGCTGATCAAAAATCAAAATTATAAGGTAATAAAAGCAAATCGGTGACTGTTCAAGTAGCCAAATGTAATAGTCCAAGACTAAACACACAACACAGTGTTCCAGAAATCAATTATTAATTAAAGATAATGCTGAAATTCATCAACTTGCAGTTCACCATTTAAATAGGCATACTACTTTGCAAAAATGTTATTTGTACCGACTAGTTAATTGTAGAAACTACTGTCATTAGACATCTTGGGCATATTTAATGGAAAGGTAAGGTATTAACATAATTAAATAAATAAAATGAATAAAAATGAGCACGAGCCATGTATTTTTCTTTTCTTTTTTCATCTTTCTGTGCCTTGCACTGTTTCCTTTTTGCAATACACTGACAATGCATTAATGGCTGCATTAATAATGATGAACTCATTCCTTTCTATGTATTCAAGAAACCTGTTATTGAAATTTGAGCTGGTTATTTCAAATCAATATGCGAACTCCAGATGTTACCTTTTTGTAGCTTCTGGCTAGGTTCACTATCTCTCTGCCACTTCTTTCCAGTTTTGCTTCTCTTCAACAGTTAATTTTGGTCTTATTTTCACCTCATTCCTTCCAAAACCCCCCTACTTCGACAACCTTCCTGCTTAAAACCTACTTGTTTCCTTTGGCTTACTTCCACCTCAGGTCTTTGCCTCCTCTTTTTAAGACCCTATGTCTAAGTTTGAAGCTGCCCTGTCCCTCTGTGACAGTAGATCATTTCAGCCAATTGGTACCAGCAGATTCACCACTGCCACCAGCAATGTGCGTCACACATTACAAGACAGAATCCATGACAGGATTATCACTTAAAGGTGCTACCCACAGCTTGGTGCGCTCCAGGTGTGTTTGACTCCAACTCTCAAAACTGGTCGTGCTGTCTGGGAAGTATGGGAGTTGCTGTCTAATACATCAGGATGGTGCCACATTAGGGAAAACTGACTCAAAGCTTTGGAGATGAAAATAGGACTTGCCTGTTCTTAAAGGACACTGCATCTTTTCTGAAAAGAAAAGGCAATACGTTTTTCACACCATTTACACTTTTAATGTACCTTCATACTCTGCTTTCTTGGTTGCTTCCAAGTTTCTCCACTCTGTTCCAACAAGTCTACTGAGCTCTCCAAAGGAATAATCTGGGTGCTGAGCTTTAATAACAGCTCTCATCTCACTGCTAAATAGGATGTAGCCACTCATATTGATCTTCCGTTTTGACCCTTCCTTCTTTACACTGCCCTTGGCAGATTTGGGAGTAGACTAGGAAGAAAAACACTTGCGTCATATATCCACATAAAAGTAATAAGCAAAGAATAGTGAGTTCCTTCCTCAATTTCTGAGCTTTCCTTCTGTACAGCCATAGCTGTAGGTGCCTAATGATCTTGGATAGTTAAAATCGCATATACCTGGGGTTGGCAACAAAGACACCTAGCTGACATAGTTAAGGGCTGGATACTGGTTCCCAGGATTTATAGATTCTTTGCATGGTTCAAATGTATGAGATATCAGTTAAAATTATTCCAATCACACCTTGAGGACTTCCTAGAAATAGCAGCAAACATGCAAAATAAGTTATGCAAGTAAGGGCTTTTATTTGCATGCCTCACAGTACTGCCCCTGTGCTAAGGACAATCCCCAGCTTCGTCAACTTTAAATGATAATGTGTGGTTCAATACTGGCTACAGCCATGCAAATGAGTAAAGTCGGAGAACTGAATGCATGTGATCTCTTGTACACACATATGGAATCTGAAATTACATGGGCTACAAAAAGATTTCCAAGTCTAAAACAGCTGAACAATTTCGAAAGGCAAGGTTACTGTACCTGGAGTTCCATACAGCTCACTATAGCCAAAAGCACTTGTCATACAAGGAGGAAGAGTAAATATAGTTACCTGAGGTGGCGTATATGGCATTATATCCAGTTCATTAGAGAGTGGTGTCTGAAGCTGAGGAATCGTTGGTGCTTCTGTCACTTCACCTTCCTCTTCCCCAATCTCTTCAATCTCTTCATCACCTCCCTCCATCTCAGCAAATTTTGCTTCTAGCTGCTGAATCTTTTTTTCCAAAAGTGGAGATGGCTCCTTCTGAGGAACAATGGGTTTCCTAAAAATACAAATGTCAAAACAATAAAACTCCTTTCTGCACAACAGTCTTCCCAAATTCTGTTTGTTTGTTTATTTGGAGTGCTTGTATGCCACCCCATTCACATAAGCCTTGGGGTGGCTTCCAACAAATAACAATATACAAAAATATACAGAATTGGAAACATCCCGGAGTTAGAGAAAAGCAATAAATAATTTAACAGTCAATTAAAATAACATTTAAATAAAAAGGTCTTGGCCTGGCACTGAAAAGCAAATAATGAAGGCACCAGGCGGACCTCTCTGGGGAGCGCATTCCACAGATGGGGCGCCACCGCAGAGAAGGCCCTCCTCCGGGTACTCACCCACCTAATTTCCTTCACGGAGGGTTCCCGGAGAAGGGCCTCTGCCGCCGAAATTAGAGGGTGGGAGGGCAAGTATGGACAGAGGCGCTCCTTCAGGTACCCAGGTTCCAAGCTGTTTAGGGTTTTATAGGTAAGCACCAGCACCCTGAATTGGGCCCAGACTTCACTGGGGAGCCAGTGAAGCTGACGAAGGACCGGGGTTATATATACTGGGGTTTTCGGTTTTGTGTGTTTTTCTTTTACAGCAAATGTTGTAAAAACTGGTAATGGTGTTTCAAGTGAGCAGGGGCAGGGGAAAAATTAGAAAATGTAAAATCCTTTTCTTGTTTAATACTTTAGTTCTGGAACTGCATCAGAATAATTGCCAGAAAGGTAGTTCCATTTATCTGTTGCATCAAAATACAATAAAGAGGTTTGTGACATGTTAAAGTTTAACATATTTTTCATAAGCATTCATGGACTACAGTTCTCTTTGTTACAGGCATGAAGTGTTACCCTGAGTTTATATGTATACACTGTAGTCTATGAAAACTTATATCATCACCATCATAAATCTGTTAATCTTTTAGGTGCCACAATACTCTTGTTCATTTTTGCACCTAAATACTTATTTTGAAGATGTCTATAGCATAGCCACAGACCACACAGAACGGCGTTAGTAGTTCTAAGATGTCTGCCTATGCTAATCATAATAAGCAGCAGAATTAAGTTACCTAAAGCTAAGACAGACATAAGTTCTTACACAAAAGTGGCTTCCCGTTATGCAGTTCTTGCCACTTGCAGATTCCCCTAAACAGGAATCTTAGTTACCAAAACTTAACAATTCTTTTCCAGTAATCATCTTACTAGGAATTAAAAATAAGGGGCTATATTCCTCTTTACCATTGCCTACATAAAATATAAAACTTGTGGATCAGCATGTGCATTTTGCTGATATGTATTAAGTCCCAAGCATTTTAACTTAAAGGATGTCTGACACAGATAATTTAGAAATACCTCTGTCTGAGCCTCTGGAAAGTTCCTGCCTAATCTTGGAAGAAAAGTGGGATTGGGCCTGATTGAAATCTGGATGGGTAGCTTAAAAATGTTGTGCACAACCCAGACAGCTTCTGCTACAGGCAGTACAGAAACATAATGTTGTCACTGTTGTCATTGTCCTCCTCCTTCTCCAAAAACATATACTGTCATGGAGGGACTAATGCCCAGGCTTGTTATGAGACAGTCAGTTTTGACAGAGCTTGCATGTAACAGCAGCAAATAATGGCTTAACCTACAATTACAGTTAGCCAGTTGTGAGCGGTTTCTGCTTTGCATAATCGACCTCAGACTGGCCCAATTGTAAGTTCCTGTGTGATGTGCAAACCCAGAGGCTATGGACTGTTTGTGGTTCAAACTACTCAGAAGCAGTACTTCAGTTAACTTTGGGTTAAACAGAAGCAGGTCATGTATGATTAACTAACACACACTTTGCTGCTTTTATAAGCAAACACGGCCTGTATCTACAGAATGATTTTGGCAACTGTTCTATACCCTGTGCACAGAAGGTAACTTTGCTATTTTTCATGTTCAGAAATATGTATCTGGTGACTCTTTTGGGTTCTTAATAAATCCCACAAAATTAGGGTTCTAGGGAAGATAAAACATTTCAGTTAATTTTACTAAAGGGGCTTGTCTTTTCTTTTTAAATCAAATGAGCATGCTCATTATTGTGATCTTTGATTTTAAAAAAAAACCTACCTGAAATAATAAATTTCATCATCTACTACTTTTGCAGAAAGAGAAAATCTTTTCAGTCCCTTAAATTTCTTCATCTGTTTGTCACTTTCATTATAACGGCTTTCACAAAGAAGAACATCATTTTCAGAAATCTCAGTAGGCCTACAGGAGAGGAAGTCTTTGAAAGACAACACAGCACACTTTCCTGCAAAAGAGAAGAGTATGTCACACCATTTTCATCACTGACAGCTCTAACATGACATTTTCCAACAATCTTGTGGATTTTAAAACACTAAAAGGTTCACAGAAAATTACAGACTTGTCACAAGAGCCTACAGTGGCACATAAGACTCAACCCACTCTAGTCATGTATGTTCAATGTGACTAGTGGTTCATGAAGGGAACCGGAATCACTCATGCAATGTCCAGCAACAGATACATCCAGTAAGTTCAAGGGATACTAAATTAGCACCCTGATACAGATACTAATTTGCATCAGCTGCATGCATTTGTCCTATTCAGTTTGTTCTTGGATTGTTTCTTTGGTTTGTTGGAGAAAAGACAAACCAGAGTTCCTGGTGCACTTGGTAAGCTGCTCTTGCTGGAAACAGGAGCAAGTGGACAGCATGTATCAGCACTCCGCCTTGTTTATGACAATTTTATTAAAAAGTAGCAGGTTGTTGTGACATGTGAAGTAAAACATTCGTAGAGCAATTGCTCTATGACAAAAGCTACACACTTGATGTTGGAAGAAAAGCATCTTGTAGCAAGCACTTAGGTTTGTTACTCATGTCTTTCAAATTCCAGTCATATACCCCAACCACTGATGTCAAACATATCAAAAGTATTAAAACATCAAAAATGTCACAATATATTTTAAATGTGCAGTTCAAAACACAGAAATCGGCAAATGTGCTCAATGTTCAGTTACCCAGAATACATGTCATGGGACAAGTCTCTTCCAGGTTACTCAAAAATACTTCCTTCTTGTAGAACATTTTAGTTGGTTCATGTTCAGTTTCCTCCGGATGTATAAAGATTGGGCCAAAAAAATAAGCAGCTCCATCTCTCACCCACATTTTTTCTATCCTGAAAAACACAGACAAGTCATTGCTGCAAAGTATCCCAAGACAAGCTTTGTCCAAATTTTAACAGTCGCCCCTGCCCTGACTTCACTCCATTATAGTTTTATGAATCTTTGCTTCTGTACACATAGGTCTTGAGACAGATTTAAGGTATGCAACTGTACTTATACAGCTACACCCATAAAGTATACCTGCCAACTCGTGGTCGGACTAAGCCATGTGATTTTATGAAGACGCAGTCCCCAACCTTCAGCCACATGTCATTGTAACAAAGCTGTTCATAGTAGTGACAACCAGGTTCTCCATTTGACATTTCTACTGGAACATCCTCTTTGTCCTATAAACAACAACAACAACAACACCACAGCTTTCAGAACTGGGGAAAGTTATGCAACTAATATTAAAGAAAATGGTATATCTGGAGTTTACTCAGCCCTGTCCTGAGGCACACGCATGAACTCTGATGTCCACACAGAGCTCCAGTGCATGCAAATACTTCCTCATTTACTTCTGGGTGGGAGAGACTTTAGTACTCTAATCCCTCTGTGCACAGAAGTGCTCCTGCAAGTGAAATTAATGAGATAACCCCAGTATAGAGGAAATCCACGTTAAAATGATGTCCACATTTGAACAGAGAGAAGCAGCAAATATCAATTTCTTAGTTGATAAGCAGTTTTTGAAACAAACAGATCTGTTAAAGCATGAACACAAAGCCCTGACAATTTTATTTTAATGGACAATGCTTTCTTATGTACCTTTTCAAGGATAAGGATATTGTCTCCCACTTTGTTTTCCTCAGATGTTTCAGTATGTTTATCTTCATCAGTTTTGTCTGTATTAGCAAACACTGATGCAACACGAACCACGGGTAAGGGTACTTCTCGAGGGACGAATCGTACAGAACTAATTGGCATGGTCCACAATTTAATCTTCTTAAAGGACTTTGTTTTTGCAGAATAGCGTGATTCACAAACGTAGACATCTTCATCTCTGAAGTTTTCTGGACATAGCTTAAAATACTCCTGGAAAGAGTTTGGATGGTAGTTAAAGAAGCACCAAAACCTCCCAGTCTTTGGCATTTGCTGAGTGAGCTGGTTTGCATGACTCAAGGGTGGGTTGTTATCTACCCTTCTGCATACTGATCATGTGCTGGCTGATTTTTCTAATCACCTTTGCCAAGTGCAGGTTGTCGTAACATCCAAATCCAGCAAGCAAGGGTGGCTGGGGCGGTTAACAAAACCCTTAGAGCATACCGTCGGCTGTTAACCACTCCATACATCCAACTCTCTCTGGGTTCAGATGCCATGACAATGCACGCCTGGCATATCCAGAATCCAATAACTAGAAATCATTCTCTTTTTTGGGAGAGGTCTTGCTTCATTTCCAAATAGATAAGCATTTCAACGAGTTCACCATTATAGGAAATGCTGGGAGAAATGTAGCAAAGCACAAAATAAACAATATTGCAACAAATACTAATTGCTTAGTAGCTCTTTCACCCAGATCCCTTTAGATGCAGCATAAAATCAGTATCACTGTAATATTCTAATAACTTTCTCTCACCTTTACAAACATGACCACACATTTCCCTAGGATTTTGCTCACAGGAATTTTGTTGTAATAATCACTTTTAAACACTTCCTTCTCCAAAAATTTCCGTGTAGCAAGATGGAATGTTTCATTTGGTCGATAAAACCAACAGCCATATAACCACTTTTCCCCTAAAAACAAGAGGCAATTTAGTGTGTCTACTTTATTACTGTATGATACAAAACAATGATAATTCAGTATAAACTAATCTTAAGATTTCTCGCCAGTCAAAAAATCTACAGTTATTCTGCAGCTTTGGTATCTGAAGCTTTAAATGGAAGCAGCACATAGCCACTGAGAAAGAAATTTTGTTTAAGACACAGAAAATACTGATGCAGTTGGAGGAAAACTGAGGCAAATGGCTCTGCACATGCCACCAAAGAAAAAACATTACTCTTGAGAAACAAAAGTAAGTTCAGAGTAGATATGGGGGAAGGGGATAGGAAGAGAAATCTGTTGTCATTAATGATGCTACAGGGAAGAGGCAACAGGTGTCCATGCCATTAGTACAACTCCATTCGACATACCGTATATACCAGCGTATAAGACGACCCTTGAAACCAGAAACAGTGAGGCAAAGGTGGGGGGTCGTCTTATACACCAGGTGTAAATTTTCTCATCATATTCTATTCAATGTTAAAAAAAGAATACATAATAAAGACAATTGTATTTACAAGCTCGTTTTTATTAATAATCATTAAAAAAAACTTCTTACTGGTACCGGAGGAGCTTGTCCTGCGTTGCATCACGTTGTGAGCCTTGTGCACAGCCACAGACCCGGTCCTGCATCTGGCGCCCGCCCCGCCCTCGCTGGGGGGACGGCACACCGTTCTGGGCCGGCCGCGGCAGCGGCGGCTGGGAAGAGGAGCGTTCCCTGTGCAGCTGTCTGTGCAGAGACACAGCGTTGCCCATGTGGGCCTCCTCCCTCTCTCAGCCCCCCATGCCCAGCCCCCCCATGCCCATCCACAGCACTGGCATTGGCCATCCTCCCCGACCGACCCCAGACAGACAGCCAGCCAGCCAGCGAGCGAGCCAGCCAGCCAATCATCACCCTCCAAATTGATTAGCTAGAATAAGGTAACTTGACATCAGGAGAGTCTAGTTTCTGGCTAACAAATACCCGTATATACTGGTGTATAAGAGCCCCTTGAAACGGAAAATAGCAAAGCAAAAACTGGGGGTTGTCTTATACGCCCGACATATGACAAACACCAGAAAAACAGCCCAAAATATCAACCTCATCTTGTACGCGAGTTGCCTGATACGCCGGTATATACGGTAACAAGCACAACAGGAAAGAGGATGCATATGTTTCTATCATGTGACCCCTGACCCCCTGATTTAGAAGGGTGGCTTTGGGGAAGTTGGGCATTAGCATGATGTGACTCTGGCTCTGGCTCAGCTATGACTCTGCTTATGTCCCACCCTCTGCTGATCAGCTCCCTTGCACTGGTTGCCTTGGGACTACAGGCAGGCAGGCAGGCAGGCAGACTTGAATGGAGATTTCTCCCCAACCCAGTCCAAGGAAATAGAAGGTGATGGGCTAGCTCAAATGCTTTCCTTGGCTGAATGATTTCCAAAATTTATCAGTTTATGAGGAAAAATTCACAGTAGTGCTTGACATCTAAAGAAACACTTATGTTAACAATAGAGTGTAGGACACATAGCCAACTACACACCCATTATAAATTACTACAGGGATCTTTCTTACCAGCTGAATCTTCCCACAGTCGTTCAATGCAGACGATGTGAGGTTGCAAATTGGCTTCTGCAGGTTCAACGTACACATAATCTCCAACATGATACATGCTGTTTTTAAAGCTACAATCTTGGCTATATGTTCTGTGTAGGTTAGACAGTCCTGCTCCTCCAGAAGAATCTTCACTCTTTTCAGCTTCTTATTCAACACAAAAGAAAGCATTGGGAATGATATATATTCAGTAGAAAGACCCAAGCCGAACACTTTATACACTAAGGGCCTTTCTGTGCAGGATAGCCATCTTCTCCTAGAGCTTTACTGGTACTAGCCATGTCAGGTAGTATAAGCCATTCCCATGTGATGGAAGGGAGAAAGGCACCAGGAAATAAGAGGGGAACAGCTTTTGTATCTACTTCTAGAAACCATGTGTAAGGGGTGAATATACCACCCCCAAAGCTTGTGAGGGGGCAGGCAGGGAGAAAAAGCAGAAGAAAAGCACTTTACACTTGACAGCGCATTCAAAATGGTGGGAGTCTAGTGAGAGACATCCCTTGCAGTGACTACAATTAGCTGTAGCACAATCGCCACATCTGCAATACCTTTACTGGGAACAAGAACTGGTTTTTCAGAGCGTAAGCTTAAAGGTTTAGTAAACAATAATTCCTTCCAATGGTTGAGCAGTTCAATGAAGGCTGTGACTGACCACAATACTGAAGCCTTTAAAACCCTCTGCAAGGCATATCACATGCATTTCTGTTATGAGGATTATCACTCTAGCATTATTTCCATTTCAATATTTGACCAGTGCTCTCAGAGGACCCTACCTGTTGAGTATGCAAGCATGGAATTGTTCAAAAGCAATTTCACATCGAGTCGTACATATATAGAAAGTGTGTAAGTCAGAGAGAAGCCTTTAAAGCTGGCTGTGCCCTGAAATGAAGGCTTCTAAATAATCAATCCCCACTGCAAGTTGAAGTGGGACAGTCCCACAAAAACTGTAATGGGTGTTCTATGAACTTTTCAACAGCCTCTTAGGTCTGGTTCGGACATGATTCCAGTAGCTAAGTCTTAGATGCAGTGGGATAAATGAGAGCTGAACTCGCATGTTCTCTCCATCCACACACATAAAGCCTTCAGCAGGAATTAGATCATCTGCTGCAAAAGGAGAAAGGAGTTTATAGCTTATTATTCAACTCACACTGAACTCTCTGTGTGTGATGAGAATAGCATACAAGTCCAGTCCGCATGTAAATTGGTCTCTGGATTCAGGTTCAGTATTTGGCTATGATCGTGCCCATTTATATTTGCTCTCCATGAATAGTGATGTCACAAGTACCTTTCATTAGCTCCACAAAATGTTGACCAACAGAAAATTCTCCAAGAATCAATTCCCTGCTAAATTTGTTGTCTATTATCCATTAGCAGTCTCATTTATCGTTTATCCTCTGTATTCTCCTTTGTATATGCAATTATGTGGTAAATCTAATGAGGTACGAGCAGGAGCCTAATTTAGGAGGACTTGGTCTTAGAGGACATCTAGTTTAGTAACATGGAGAAGTTGTCCTGTGGTAAACAGACAACCAATTACAATGCCCACTCCTACTTTGTGAAACTAGTTGGAGAAGCAAATTTATCTACAACTAGCTTCAGGAGGCTCAAAATAGCCTTAACTCTGGCATCATTCAATAACAAAATAATAAATTTCTCTACTAGCTCCTAGTTTAATAATATGCTGTGAAGACGGCACATAAATAAAGATTGGACATTTTCATTTGCGATAAGATTTATATTTTGTTATGTTGTTGCTCAAAATGATTGTGTTTGCATTCTGGCTTAGGTGAAGGCAATCAAAAGAGTTGAATGGCAAAAGTGGTCTTTTCAAAAGCTCGGTGTCATAGAACCATACAAATTAGTTGCTGTTAGTTTTCACAGAGGTCATCCTCTTAAGGAAGACTGATAATTTTGGATTGAAAGCCACCCTAATCTCAACTTCTGAGTGACTATGGGCCAAAAGAAAAGCAACAATGTACACTGTTTCAAGTATGTGTGGTTACCTCTCTTCTCCTCTTCTCTTTTGAGTTTGTCCTCCTCCATTTCCTTTGGAAGCTTTTCTTTCTTTTCTTTCTCTACATCATTATGAAGATGTTTAGTAGTGTAGCTGAGGGCTGGTGATAATAGGATCTCACCATTCTTGCAGAGTTCATCACGGATTTTGATAAAGAACTGTTGAAGTTCTACTGCATCCTCATAAATCTCTGAATCCGTTCTTTTTGGGAAAAAACAGCCACATAAAAGGACAAGAGACACAAGGCACAGTCGTTTAAGTATGAACACGAAAAATGCACATCTGAAATTTCATTGTTTACAGCTGATACTTTTGTCTTGATCCTGATTCAGATGACACAAGAAATTTAGATTTAATAACCTCAACCTCTCCTTGGGAAGATAAACATGGCTTAATCAACCTAAGATTGTGGCATCTGAATGGAGTAAAGCATTGCTAAGCCAGTTCAAAATATGCTCTCATATACAGTTGTAATTTTTTCATGTTTTATATTTTGCTAGAACAAATGGTGCTGTCAAGTGATTAATAGTTTTAGATAATTATATGGGTGTTAACTGTTTAAAAGCTGCAGGTAGAATTTTCTTCAGTTTAAACATGTGTATACCTGCACCCTATAGCATTTTTGCATTTCCATTTCGCCAGATGAATTATGTGAAAAAGTGAAAGATAACACATGAAATAATAGTCTTATAATTCCCGGTTTCAAAGCACTCTGACTGTGGAAATGGGCATCAGCACTTCTTTCCCCTTGTAGCTGTGGCAGAAAAAACTGTGCTGGCTGCTTCTCCAAGGTTGGAGCACAACCTCAGAGAGAGGTACAATGTGGCATTTCACTGGATGGAGACTGAAAAGAACAGGACACAAGGTATTCCAAGCCCTCTCTAGTTTCCTTCTGTTCCCTTCTGGAATGCTCTAGCTCAGTAGGCAAAAAACCTGTCCAGAGAAAATGCAGGATGGCAGGACAGAGGGGTGAAGGTTGCTTCCATCACCTCTCCTGCTCTGCACAGGATGCGTCAAGGGCTTATGCACACTGAGGGTGCAACACATAAGATGACACTCTAAAGCTATCACCTGTTGCCAAAAAAGGAAAGGACACTTTTGATATAGTATTCTGTATCAAGTTTGGAAATATGAAATATTCCTTATAATTTGGACAGTTTGAATGCCTTTTAAAAATAAACATGCTTAAGATACATCAGTAGTGAAGAAGAATCAGAAGTAAATTATTTTACTCCAAGCACTGCTTGTAATATATATATAATCTTTACTATTAGGAGGAAAGCTCTTTTTTCCTTTGTGCATGAAAAAAACTATTTATTTTAGCAGTTCTTACAGAAAAAAAGGCAACTTGTTAACTTTTGGGGTCCTTTTGAATCCCAAACCAAGAGTTCTCATGCACTCTACACAGGGCTGCCCTTGAAGGCAGTTCAGAAGCTTCAGCATGTTCAACATGCAGCAGCCAAATTAATGACAGGGACCAGATGGTCAGATCATGGAACACCCATGCAGGTCCACTTGCATTGGCTGCCTGTATGCTTCTGAGCCCAATTCCAAGGTGCTGGTTCTGACCTATAATGCCCTAGAGGCTTGGGACCACCATATCTGACCAGAAGCCTCTTCTGACTGCAGTCTGCTCAAACACTACTATCAACCTCTGGGTCCTGCCTCCCATCAGCACCCCCCAGCGAGGCTCAATTGGTGGCAACAAGGAGAAGAGCCATTTCAGTGGTGGCTCACCAGTAATGGAATGATCTTTCCACTGTGGTCCTGCCAGTGCCAATTTGAGTACCCTTTTAGCACCAGGTAAAGGCTGCCCACTATCACAGGGCATTTAGCAGTTTTGGGGAGCTCTGCCAGTTGCTTAGACAGGTTGTCTGGTTAATTTATATAGGCTATTGTAATGTTTGTGTGTATTTTAATCTCATTTTAAATTTTGTAAGATAACCTTTTTATCATATTTAAAGTTAGTATGTTTATGTGGTGTAAACCAGCCAGAGAGCTGGTTTGATATAGATTGGATGATATAGAAAATAAATAACTAAATACTATTATAAATTAAAAATTCATTTAACAATGCTTAGTTCTTGAAAGCAGCTGGCTTGACCTCTACAGCTCTGATCATGGAAAGATGCAGTATCATTAGCTCAGTGACTGGCAATGAAAATTACCAGACCAGAGGTTGATTTACTTACCGGTTCATTCGCCTTGCCCGTTCCAGCACTTCAAACATATGCTCTTGGAACAGGTCCAACCTTCTGTAGCGGTTAGTTTCTACATTCTTTCGTATGATATCAAAAGTCAGAGGTGGTTTGTTTGGGAAATTGGGATCAACAGCAGGAATTTCAGCTAATGAGTCACTATAGCACCTGCCCTCATCATCCTGATGACTCATGACAGAGACAAAAAGATTATGTATAAGTTCTTGGATCAGGAGTGTTACGTTTGGGACATGAGAATCTTCATCTCCTTCTATGTCTCTCCTAGTCTCTAGTAAAACTTTATGTAGCACCAGGGCATCTTTGTAAATCAAGGATTCTGGTTCATTGTAAGTGCAGGCATTATTGAACATCATCACAAAATCTTCAACCATGGCATCAATGTCCTGGTATTTGTTGGCCATCATATGACTTCTAATCTTCTCCATATCAACAGGCTTCTTAATAGTCAAATAGTAGTCAGGGAGCTCTGAACGCGATGGAAGTCGCAGGAAAATAGCACTGAGCCTTCTTCCTCGCTTATCTGTGTAGTTCTTTACTGCTTCATATACCTCATTAAGCTTCTGTTGCATTGGAGTCATGTATTTTGATTTTTTAGGGGAGATGCCAGTTTTTCTACCTAAACAGACAAAAATGAGAACTAGATTCCAAAAGGTCAACCTTTTGCAGTATGTGAATCAAGTAACTCAATTATTAATAAGAGTACATCAAAGCTACACACAGGGAGATACAGCACTGGAGATGTACAATATTATGAGGCTGTTCAAATCATAACTCATCTTCATGATGTATGTGCAGCGTATTCCTCATGTTAAAATCAAAAGGCATACTCCATCATTCTTGCACTATGCTTATCATCACTGTTATTGCAATTTTATGTTCAGCAATACCCACCAGATGTAGCGTTTTCAGTTCTCTCTTCGAAATAAAATCTCTCCCTTCAAATAAAAGCTACAACAAACCTGTTATAACAGGAAAGTGATCAGTGAAGCAAGAAAGCTAGCAAAAATGGTAAAAGACAGCATTGGAACAATCATGCATAAGGGACTGGGGGATGGCATCGTACAGACACAGCTTCTCTAGGTAGGCTGGCCTCACTTGGTAAGAGCCCTTGTGTGCATGCACGCTCTCTCTCGCACTCTCCACCTCCCTCCACACACACCCGCAAGACCTGGGTATTTCTACAACATCTTTTGTTCAAGCCTCACAGAGCCCTCTATCAAGGCCAGAAGCAAGCAACTAGGATGGGGGGGGGGGGGGGAGCATGCAATGACACAAATCTATACATGTTTAGACAGAAAAATGTGCTACAACTCACAGCGTTATGGAGTTGTAGAACTTTTTTCTCTTTATACATGCAAATGATCGCACCTTAAGTTGCAAGGCAAGAATTTTGGGAAATGGATCTTCTTAAGAACATGAGGCAGTACAGTTTTTAATACAGCAATAGTTTAGCACACTGCTTTAAAACTTACCCTGTTTAAATGAGATTGTTTGGCTCTTGGTGTTCTGAAAGATGTCTTTGATCACTCAGCACACATACTTTAACACACACTTGTACATGACTTTCACAAATTATACTTTAAAACTAAACTAGTGTTTTGGTAGATCCAGTTTGCAGTTCAGAAGCAGATTTACACACATTTTATATTGCATCTGTAACTATTTTATATTGCAATAAAATCTCCTTACTTAATTTCAGTTTAGGAGAAGCAACCTCGTCATCTTCAAGCAGAGGTCCCAGCTCTTTCCTCTTTTCTTTAAGAATCTTCTCCAAGATATGAGCATCATTGTATACCTGTTCATCATCAAATGTATTTTTTAAAAAAATCATCATTATCAACAGCAGCAGCAGTGGGAGACTATGTTGGTTTTACTTTTATTCTACTTGAGATTCAAAAGGTTTCAGTAACATTGTAACCTGATCCAGAGCTCACAGCTGGCTTTGGGCTGCCACAGTTACAGCAATGAGAAGGAAAGCTTAATATATGCACCAAGATGTGGCAGAAGAGCCATCCATTAGGGACTCAGTAAGTGCACTGGAATTCCTGATTAGTAATCAACCTTTGGATCAGGCTTATGAGTCTAAGAATTATGGTCAAGCGACTGGCAGCTTGCAGACTCGCTTGGTGTACCCTTCCCCCTGCCATACAAAGTATCCCTCTCTTTCTTCCTCTTCTTTTGAATGTATGGACATGTCCATGGAATAACCATACAGTTACATGCAAAGTAATGAGAGATTAATCCTGCCATACTTAAATACAAATGCCTTCTCTTAAGTGAATTAATGATCTGGCTAGTACATATAGCTGGTAAATCAAGGGTTAACTAACTCATGACATACTGGGGTGCACAGATCCTGCATCCAAATGAAATTGTCAAAGTAACAGCATTGCTCATACTCTTACTGAAAAAATACATCAAAGTTTCTTCAATAAAATGCTAGGACTGACAGCTATACACATCTAGGTTTAACTTTTCTACAGATGTACCTGTGAGCCTTCTTCATTATAATGTCTTGCATTTCGAAACATTAATCTCATATCTTCAATCATAGCCTCCTCTGCAGAGTACTTGTCACTACGTATGTTGTGCTCTATTATTTTTAAATCCATTGGCTCCAAGATGATTTTGTAATAATCTGGGTAATCCTTTTTGGATGGTTTCACCATGAATAGTTCACAGAGTCTTCGACCAGTTCCAGGTTCTCGTGCCTCAAGGACAACATTGTATAAAATTTTCATTCGCTGTTTCTTTATGTTCTTTTTGCTGTTCGATTTGAAGAGGGAAAATTACTGTTTCAGTGTGAATATATGCAACCTAAATAGCGACGTTGCCAAATACCATACTTGCCTATACCAAAGGACAAGAAAAAGGACAAACTAGGCATTGATTTAAGAACAACCACTACTCAAAAAACAAAAACAAAAAACAGTTTAAAAGCATATATTTTTAGTCATACAGACAATTTTTAAAGCATCAACTACATTCAAGAATTGTAGAGGAAAGAGATAGCATCCTAAGTGTATTACAATCTAATGTTACAAACTGAACTTTGTAGTGATAGGTGAATGAGCTAGTAGAAAACTCTGATGAGATGGGGAACAAAAACCTGTAATACCACGATTTTTAAAAAATCCCGATTCCTCTATTAAAGTCATAACTCAATCATTTTCCATATATCACTGTATGCAAAATATCAGATTTGATGAATAAACAAAACCTAACACAAGTTCTGGTGGTAAATAATTTGTTATTAAAGTCATTTTTTCTCTCTCTCGCTATACTCATTTCTCTTAAGAAATGGACAGAATTGGTTCTGGGCTGAGCTTCTGCAGACATGACAAGTACCTATTAAATGATTCTTTGAAATTGCATCTACAATCTACATCTTAAGTACAGTTTGTAACTGGGGACAAAGAAAGCAAAAGTGAGAAGCATTTTTTCCAGTTTGGTGTTTTTCTACTTTTTTTTTTTTTTTTGAAAATGGAAGCAGCAACTTTAGAATTGAAAAGTTTTTTTCTTCCTTGTGGTATACCAAGATCTGGGATGAATTGTTAGGGAAACTGGATAGGCTAGTTTTATGTTTTTATGAGGGGGCAAGCAGAGAAGTAATATTAAAAGAGTAGAGCTAAAAGTGAGCCCACTCAATTTCTTGTCCAAAGGCCTATAAAATCTTGGAGCAGAAATTTATGAAAGTCTAGTCTGCCACATTCTTACTGCTTTTCCATAAAAAGAGGAGACTGATAAGTGCAGTGACATTAAAATCTTCTGAAGACTGACTCCGGACCACTGCAGAGAGCAGGCCCAGGTCTCAAGTTACAGTCTCCTCAGATAGATTCTTCTGATTCAAATGAGGAGGAGGCAGCGGAGGACAAATGACTTGCAGACAAAGAAGCTGACAGATTAAGAAATGTCCAATGTTTCCATTGCCCATCCCTCCAGCAGAGGAAGCCAACCTGATGGAGGAGTTAGAAACTTTCTGAGAAGGAGGGAAGGATGGGATGTTCCAGTTTGGATTCAGTCCTTCAAAAGGGCAGATGCTACTCAAAGAGAACATCTCAAAGGGATTGTTACTTTGATTTATGCTATTTGTAACCTGCAGAATTCAAAAAAGGACCGTGTTTCTAAGGTTTCATCTAAGTCTTCTGGAGAGGGAAAATTGGGGAGAGACCTATTCATGAAAACTATCAGTTTCAGCAGGTTCTGATGTTCCAAATTATTTTAAACTATTCAGTCACCTAAAACAAAGGAAATAGTTTCATCATGGTGTAGGTAAGCAGATAGGATTTAGGTGGAATTGTCTGTCACAAGCTACATCTTATTCTACAAGCAACAAAGGCTCACAATATTCACACAGATACATTCTACAAAGAAATCATGAACCAAAATATGCAATGGACTTCCATTCTCAAAATTAAAGTCTTCAGTTCTCAAAATTAAAAAGTTGCCATTTGTGTATTAGGAAGCAAGGAGGTCCCATGAAAAAACCCTGCACCTATGAGAAAGACCTATGAATTGTGTGCATTAAAGAAAGATGATACATTTATCTCTCTGTGTGTCCATAGCCCAAGGAAGGTTGCTTTCATAATCACAATTCTTGGGGAGCCCTGCCCATTGCAGTATGCAATTTGAGTTTCTTGGCAATTTGAGCCACTTCAAGAGTGGCTGAAGCTCATGCTAACCCACTGCCCTCTCAGAGTTCAATGCATCATGCAAAGCTGTCAACAGGTGCTTCTACAGACTCCACTATCATGCAGTGATACATGTACAATTTAAAAGGTATCCCTGCAGTTACACTTCTTGGCCATGGAATCTGTGGAAAGGACGACTTGCTCCACTCACCATCCCAACCAGGTTAAACATGTTGCCCATCAAGAAATACTGCTCTTAAAACGGTGGCATTGCAAAACACATGCTAGATGTTTGTTCACCCAAGTTACACAGTCCCTGCTGAGAAGAGTGTGCTTTAAAAATACTGATGCAAATCTGATGTAAATAACTGATTGTTAACGGTTGTGTAACACTTTAAGATTTTTCCAGTTGATTTTGAAATTACAGCTGTTTTTTTAAAAACTGATAAAGAAAACATATGCTTATGCCCTTGCATCTTGATAATGTTAAAGAAAAATTACAACTTTAAAACTTATTTTTAGTATCAGATGGACTTACTAACTTTAAGAAGTGAGTGCAAGTGTGAATGAATTCTGTGAGGTTTATTGCCAAGTATACAGCACTGCAGCCTTATTTATCTGTATGGGATAGTACTATTTAAAGTTAAAATAGTAAACCACAGATAAAATATATGTGATATCTGGTACGGCATGTAAAAGTTCACAGCATCTCAACAACTGGATGAGATTATAGATATTTCTGCCCATGGGAGATTTACATAATGGATTTAAATACTGATAGCTGATTTTTTTTTGCTTAGAGTAAGTGATCATTACAGATTATTATTAGCATCAAGACAGATACAGCAGTATGCAAGTGCATACCTTTTTCTTTTTGAACTTCCAGCATCAGATGTGGCAGAAGAGATCATACTGTCACCGTCTTCAATATCGTCTCTTCCAGCTAGCTCCTTCTTCTTTGCCTGAAAGAGAACAAATCCCTGGAGTCAAATACACTCTACTAAATGTCCCCAGAATGCATGAATATTAAACAGCTGCACAGATCAGGTTCACTCTGAAAGGCACAAATACAGCAGAAGCATCCATTAGTAGTAAGCTACAACTGCAATATTTTGAGACATTCAATTTACTTGCGTAACAGGGAATCTTAAATACCAGAGATGAAATACATAAACAATCAGATCTGTTCTAAAATAGCAATCATTTGAAACCTTACATCTAACCCCCCATTAAGCATGCCTTATTAACTTCCAGCTAATGTACAAATGAAATACAAATTAACTACATCTTTAAAGAGAACATACAATTTCTTCTTCTTCGGAAGACTGATCTCAGAACAACAGTATAAAAAACCAAATTAGCTTACTATGATTATGTCCTCATCCAGAATATGATTTTCTGAAGTTCATTCCCAGCACAAGAACTCTGATCTGTGTAGCATGTGGGATAATGCCTAAACATAGCACTGTTGCATTTACTGAGAATAATTAATATCACAAGGCAGCAGTGTGCCAATGCAGATATAAATGCACCAAACACTACTTCCTACAAAAATAAGCTCAGAACCACAGCTACTGAATGTAAAGTTTTACCTGCATAACCTGCTGCATTTTCAATACTCTCTTATAAATGGCTGAATTTGGAACATTATAGCGTTTTGCATTTTCAAACATTAGGTTCAGGTCACATTCCAAATGGTCGAGTGTTTCATATTCATGGTTCTTCAGTTTTGTTCTGCAGAAGAGAATCTCTTTTCATTGCTGCAACAATCAGTTACTTTCTATAAAGCAGAATTTACTACTAAATAGTTCCCTGCAAAGGAGGGCAACCTCCTACCTCAACTCCCTAACTCACACTTGAGAAGAAAGAAAAGAAAATGTGCACAAAACGGGGCAGATCCAGACCTAGACACACACAAGTGGACTGGCAGAAGTGCATGGACTGGTTCGTATGATCAAAATAAAATCATTACTTAAATCAAGGCATATGAATAATCCTGTAACAGCCTATGAATTACTGCGGGGAGGGGGTGTTTCATCTTCTAATAAGTCATGCTGCCCAAGTTTGGATCATGTGAAAAGTTGTGGTGGCTTATTCTGAATATGCAAACCAGGCTGATTTCTCTTCTCCCGGCTCCCCTCAGCAACTCCTCGATCCCTCTGAAAATGTTACACAGAGGGTTGGGAACTATTCTGGAAGGGATGAGTTGTAGTGCAGGATGGAAGAGGGAGATCCAAGAAAAACAGGCTGAGAGATACTTCTCAATGGATACTGAGACTTTCCCAAATTAATTCTAATATTTCCCAATACATGTACATTTTTATCTGACACTAACAGGTTTGAAACACAAGTCTTTACAAAGAAAAGAGCATTTAATTTTTAAATACATGGATGCTAGTGCTTCACTTGAAAACAGTTGCCAAATCTTTATTGTGATAAAGTATGATATAAACCCCATTAGTAAAACAATCCACTACTTGATTTATTTTTCTGGAAGTGTTTTGGTTATCAAATATCTGTAATGTAAATGAGACTAGTAATGGAAGAAGGTAATGGTCATGCAGTTACTTTGGAGAAAGGAAGTAATAACCTATCTTTATCTGGATGATGTTTACCATGCTACATTTAAAAAAAAAAGTCTAACAATGTGTGTATACACACAAACCAACATAAACAAAGTATGAAATCTATCAAATATCATCACATCAGAAAAGCTAACTAATGGCTTAAGACAAGTTCAAAACTGTTTAAAATGTGAGAGCATACTATCTTTACCTAATTTGCTGCAATGAAATAGGCATTTTGATTTGCTGATAATAATCTGGATATTTTTTCTTTGAGGGCAAATGGAAAAAGGGTTCTGATATGAGTTGACCCTGGTTGTTCCGGCAATTTCTAACTATATCATAAAGCTGATAGAGAGGATTGGATGCATCCATAAAAGAAGTAATGCTTTCTGCTTCTGACTCCCCTTCTTCATAACGGGCAGCAGCTAGAAACAAGGGAACAACAATTATATCATGTTCACTTTTTTGTGTTTGCAACAGTAAAGGTCATGATACTGGAACATCCAAAAGACAATGTTAATACGTCTTAACACCTGACTGATTTCATAGCTTTAAAAGAGGGTGATTTTTTTTACAAGCGTTCTAGATGTTATTGGTTGTCTTGTCACAGGCCAGCCAAAAAAGTTTTAGCTGCACTTGGCCATGTGGATCAGATAAAGTTATTAATTCACCTTCTACAGATGGCCCTGTACCTTAAGGAACAAATACAGACAAACCCAGGCCATGCAGAAACTACTTTAAGCCTACTTATGTGGGAGCTTCAGGCCTATAGCAAGTTAGAAAACACCATGAAATAAACTTAACACAGTTTGTACAGTATTTTCGGGGTTTATCTGTATTGGTTCAAGGCCTGCTGGGAATGTAAAGCCCCTTGGACGTAAAGGCTAATATGCAGAAAAAATAAACAGAACTGATCAGAAATTTAAGAATCATAAGATTACATTGAAGTTACATATTTTTTATACTACAACTCAAAATTGATTTGGTTATTGAATGAAAATAAGTATACCCAAGAGCACTTAAGGAGTACTGGAATGTTACAACAAAGGAATTGTTCAAATACCGGAAGAAAACACTCCACGTTAATTGATAAATCTCCCACATGAAATGCATGCAGCAGCTATTTGGAGGAAGTGGCCACTGATCTTTCACTGCTTCCTTGTGTGCACACACACAGACATAATATACCTGGACAGAACAGACTAAAAGGTGAGGCATCCCCAAGTTTGCTCCAAATGGATCATTTGGCAGTGTCTTTGACTAGCCCAAAGCACTAAAACAAGATTCTGGCTGACTCTACTTCTATGTAGTTGTTGTGTTACATAGACCTCAATGAATATTGTATCACCATAGATATAGTCTAAGGGACCACAGGATTTTTTGGATTTGCAGGGCTAAGGTAGGAAACAGAACTCCACCCTTGAAACTGAAGAGCTGTAGTCTACTCCCCTTCTCAGCTTGTAGCTAATGTGGAAATGGCCACATTTGTTATTTATCCAAGATCATAAAAGCAACCTTGCCGGAGGGGCAAATGGGGTACTGAAATGAAATGGAGTACAGGGGGAGACCACAGCCACCAGGATGCTTCCCTCCCTTTCAGAAGTATTGCAGCTAGATAGCAAAACTAGACAGTCAGGAGCAGGGGGATGGAGATGGGGTGTGCTACTTCTTTTGCCCTGCAAGGACTATTTTATCTATTTATCTATTTATTTGAACTTTCACCTGGCTTTTATGTTTAAATGTTTGCTACCCTATTTTGACCTCAGAAAAGAGTTAAGTTAGGAATTCAATTAATGAACAATTTCTTTGCAGTTTTAGCAATAATCCTAATTCCTACCAGCCAGAACAGCATCTTCATCACTTTCAGATCCATATTGCAATGCCATGGTTATTGCTGATAAGCGATCTCCTTGGACAGCTCTTTTGTTGCTGTAAAATTGAGAGAAAACAGCTCATCAATGAAAAATCCTTTGAGAACAGGAAAAAAAGAATCCTTATTTAAAATATTGTTTGTATAAACAAGGTTTTTCTGCTGGGCTTTATTTCTCTAGCTCAGGGGTCTTCAAACTTTTTCACCGGGAGCCAGTTGAAAGGTGCCGGTGCTGGGAGCAGACTGGAAAGGTGGTGCTGCTGGTGCGGGGTGGGGGTGGCGCATGCGGGCACATGCGCTGAGGCAGAGCGGAGCGCACAGCGAGGCAAGGCGGGGGTGGGCATGTGCCACGAGGCAGGCACATGAGGCAGCAGCTTGCACACTTAGGGAGATCATTTTCTCCAAGCAAGCAAACCACTGCCTTCCTATGCACTGGGCGAAGTGGGTGGCAGCGGGCGTGCACGTGGGTGCACGCGTGGCAGGTCCAAATGGGCATGGTGGGCCGAATCTGGCCCCCGGGGTTGTAGTTTGAGGACCCATGCTCTAACTAGTTCAAGAGGAAAATATTTTGCCTCCCCAGAAGAGGAGCTTCACAGTTCAAAAAGTGGCCAAGCTTGTGGCAGAAGCCATAAGCTTTATGACCAAAATCCAACAACAGGTAGGAAAAATAAAGGAGAAACACAGTGTCTCAGTGGCGGCATCAGGTAATGTAAATGCTTGCGTGAAGTCCAAAAAGTGAAGAGGGAAGAACAACCATGGAACACAAAGTTGGGGGACCAACAACCTAATTACCTGCTCAGGCATGGTTTGTCATGTCATCCAAACCTGGCTGGCAAGACTTGCTTAAGAGGGAAACAGCCTTCAAATGACCCATGGTCTGGGTCATTTGAGAGTTGCTTCTACTCCAACAAGTCATGCTGTGTAGATGATATGGCAAACCATGCCCAGTGGGTAATTAAGTTAATGGAGCCTGGTGCACACTGCTATACACTACCAATGTAAGCAAGCCACTGTGGTGTATTTAAGCAATGGGAGAATGTGCAAACTGGGCCAATGAGATTGTGTTTTCTTCCTCTGCTATGAAATGGTGTGGAGATCCCTTTAAAGTAGCTTCTTTAACCTTGAGGAAAAAATGGGCATTTACAGTGCACTTGGAAAGGATGGAAACGGTGCTATTTAGGTATGATGAGGACTCTGATGCAGACCTTAACTGACAGATGGAAACCCTGTGCTGTTGGTTGGAAGACTGAAGAGCCACATTCTTTGCTGCCATGTGGGAACTTTTCAGATTGAGCAGGGAACTGTCCTCTGATACCACTGCACTACTCTGGTACTTGCCCACTCTTGTTGCAGGGGAATGAGAGACCAGCTCACAACAAGGGAAGACATGACAGAGGTATAAACAAATATGCATGGTGTGGAGAATGTGAGAGGAAGACATTCTACTAAAACCTGGGGTTATCCAATAAAGTTGATTGGTGGGAGATTCAGGAAATATATATATATATATTTTTTAAGAAATTTTATTAAGGTTAAAAAAAAGGAAATATTTTTTTAAAAGCACTTCTCCGCCTAATGCATGGTTAAACTATGGAATTCACTTCCATGGGATGTAGCGATAGCCACCAATTTCTACAGCTTTTAAAAAGAGGAAACTAGACTAATTCATGGCGGTCAACAAGTGCTGCCTTGAGTATCAGAGGCAGTATGCAGTATGCCTACACACGCCAGTGGTGGGAGAACTTGGACATGAGGGAGCTGTTACACTCACATCCTGCCATGGGATCCCCTGCTCAGTTAGCTGGCCACAGTGTGAACAGAATGCTAGACGAGATGCAACCTGAGTCTGATCCAGCAGGGCTCCCTGTATGTTTTTGCAAGGGGCACCACTCATGGTCAGAGTGCTGGACAGGAACTTGGGAGCTCGAGGTTATAACTCAGAACTAACATGAAGCTCAGTAGGTGGCTTTAAGCCACTCTCAGCCTAACCTATCTCCCAGGACTGTTGTGAGGATAAAATGGAGAGGGGGACTGTGTAACCCACAAGATGAAAAAGGTGGGATATAAATATCATCCTCGTCCTTATCCTCATCGTCATCTCCCTTGAACTTTTTTCAGCGAGAAAGGGGGGGGTGTTAGATCTTCAGCCAGACAAGAAAGAAATTGGAAGAGCTTCCCCTAAGGAGGTTAAGTATCAAATAACATGATCCCTGCAGACTGAACTAGTAGGAAGATATAAACCCCTTCTGGCAGACCCCTCTGCATCAAAAGTTAAAAGAAACAATGCTTTTTTTCAAGCATTACTCAAGCAGTTAATATTAGTTTTATATTTCATTTACTTGTCTGAAAACTAAATAAAATAAGCAAACTAAATGAAATAAAGTTCAACAAAAGGTTCTTGAACCAGTTAAGGGAAACTGTTGTGGGGGTGAAAGGAGGGTTATCTCCAGTTCCTTCTTAAATTCCAGAAAGATCTCAATTGGAAATTTAAACCTTAGGTTACTCTATGCCTAATGCATGGAGAAGGCAGGGCAGGGCTTAACATGCAACACAGCACAAGAAGACATTTTGGTAAAAAGTGGTCCTGAATACTTAGAAATCGATAGGGAATGGTATGGCATGCACCTGAATCATAAGCATATGCATGCAGCTTTGCTTCATGTATTAGGACTACAACTGCACATGGGAAAAATAATACTTTATATCAGCAGTCCCCAAACTTTTGCAGTCATGGAACCTTTCCAAAGACTATTTTTTTTCCTGCAGAACCCTAACTCTATTCCTGGTTTTTACTAAGCATCATGAACCCACAATCTACTTCTTTCTTTCATCTGCTGCTACTACCTGAGTGCTTTGCATAATGTAGTAGGTTTGGAAATAAAGAAAACAAAAACATTTTAAATGTAACAAATGAATAAAGTGAGTATATGGTGATATCCCAAATGAATTCTTTCAATTATTCCCAACACTATGCAGCAGAGTCCCAGGAACCAGATGATGTGATGCATTTCCTTGTTTGCTCCTTGGCCGCCAACTGACAATTGAATAGCTGACCTTGTGTGGTTTGATTTTAAAATCCATTTTAAATTGGATTTTTGAGATTTTTCATGGAACCCCTATGAGGCTTTTGCAGAACCTTAGGGTTCTGTGGAAAACAGTTTGGGAACTCTTGCCTTCTATAATCAAACAGAATTATCTTGGGGAGAAGTAAACTCTTGCCAGAAAGGCATAGACTCGTTTTTGAATGCATTTCTGATGGCTCAGAAAACAGTAGTGGTCTCCTAATAACACTGGTGTAAGAAGGAATGATCCTTCCCTTTTGGGTTGATTAACAGGAATCTTTATCTTCAAAGAATATGCCCCCCAAAAGAAATGCTTGAGCAATTGTCACATGTGACAGCATAAACATTTCCCCCTTGAAAAAAGCAGCATCTATGTATGAAGGCTATCGTACAAATATAATCCTGCCCTTTGCTCAGTTAGGTTAAACCACAGGTGGGAAACTTCTAACCTTCCAGTAGGTTTCCCCAACAGTTCCCATTATCTTGAATGACTGATCATGCTAATTCTGGGTGATGAGAGTTGTAGGCTCAGTAAACAATAGTTTTCTTGACACCCCGACACTCCTTTCCTTTACACTCTAAATATTTCCATGTAAAATAACTATGCTAAGTCATTCAGTTTCAGGAAAAAAAAATAGAAAGAGCACTATAATATTGCCAACATCCAACACGTTCATTCTGTTTTAAAATGGATGTTTTATGTTTTTCATATGCGAACAGGGCTGCCAGATTCAGATGCAGAGAGTAAAGAACAGACGCACCCCTAGGATGAAAATGAATTGACTAAATGACATCCAGAGATTAAGCACTCACCGATAATATTTATTAGCAGAATTTCTCTCATCGACAACACTGCCTTTACCCTGTGAGGAAGGACCTGTCAGCTTGGAAGCAGGCAAATTTGGAGTCCTTTATGAAGCGTGAACAAGCCACAGAAAGTGAGAAAGAGAAATCCACCAGAGAGCCAAGACAATATACAGTTAGGATGCAGCTCTTTTACAGAATAGGTTTTGAAAAGTAAGTTAAAAGGGGCTCTGCCATTCCACTGTACTGAAAACCAGTTTGCCAAATGTTACCAGTTGTACATCACGACCAGAGTAATGTATTATAATGACAGCACCAACATTTAATCTAAAATGCTTCTTCACATATGCTCTGGGGTAAATCCTACTGATTTCACACTCGGTGAGGTGTGCAACAGCAAAGATGTCTACAACTCTGTTATTTAAACTGGAAAGGACTACACACTCAGGTGTAATCTGTCAAATAAATGCATGCTAGCCTGCATTAGGAATGTTTTTGACTGTGTTGTTAGAAGCCAAAAAAGCAGTTAAAAGCCATATCAGCATCACTTTTCAAGCAAATTGTGTAGCAAAGAAGTAACAAAAGCAGGCTATTTCACAGTTCAAAAACAAATCCTACTGAACTAGTTAAAGTCAAGATTTTAAGCATGGAAATCCATTAAATAAGCAGGCACAGGAAAGAAAACTATACAAGGAAAATGGGGGTTTTTCACATAATTTTAGCTGTCACCAAACAATCATCAGGTAGTAACATACTGTTAATTAAAAGGGATGTTAAACTACAGCTTGTATTTCTTCCTGGAACCATTTTATGCGTACATAGTTACATGAATGTTTGAGCCTTCATAAACTCACTTAAATTTCAGAGAAAAGATTCTAAAAATTCTAAAATTCCATACAGGAAATAAATAAAAAGATAAAACCTTCCATAATTGAAGTAAAGAGTGCCAGGTTTTTTGCATCCAGCCTTGGCTGAATATGGTTTTCTCAGTTATTCTGGCCATGGCAGCATGCCACATCAACCCACCCCGGCAACAATCCATGGTGGGTTGGCTGTTCTCTGAACAGCCTATGGTATACCTAAGAGATAAGAAGGCTCACCCGACTCACCCATCCTTCTCCTTCCATCCCCTTTAATCCTCCCATGAACATCTCTGGGTGGCACCACAACAGGACCAGCTTGTCTTCTTCCTCCCTGCCATGACCATATTGTTTGTTGGACTTCGCAATCTGTGCTTCTAACAGCCATTGATAAGCCCTTCAAAGTGCTCCAGCAACACTCGGAGGAATTGGCTGAGCATTTTTATTTAAAAAAATGTACACTCAATATGTACAGCTAGGTTCATTATTAATTTATCCTCACCTGTGCAACTGTGGAAGTTCACAAAAATCAGGGGCTATTTCTTATGCTCCACTTGCAGTAAGCTCATCTTTTTCCCCCCAACAGTGCTCAGGGTGATACAGGTTTTACACCCACACCCCCAGCAACTCTAGCTGCTTAGAAAAGTGTATCCACCTACCCCCTTTTTCTGGGGAAAAGTTTTGATAGCCAGGTGGGACAAATGACTTTATATGCCCCAGTACAAAAAAAAAAAAAAAAAAAAAGGTGGGGGGACACTTTTCCCCAGAAAAAAGGGGACAGAATGCACTTTCCCGAGCAGCTACCATCTCAGGAATAAAGGGGTATTACCCTGAACACTGTCAGGGGAAAAAGAGAACACCTTGCTGCAAATAGGACTGTAAACCATATCATCCACTTTTCACAACTACAGATCAATCATGCTTCTGCCGTCTTGTCTTCAGACAGCTATGAAGAGAAATCAAAGGGGTAAAACACCCTATTTGGAGCCTCGTTGGGGCAACAACCAGGACTGGTACTTCTTATACCTTGGAATCAAGTTAGTCCCCAAGAAATTGCCCCAGTCACGACTCACATTTCCACTTTTGCACAAGTATAGCAAAGCCCTGCTAACATGCTGCTTAGGCATTCTAAAGGGGCTGTCGAAATGCGATCATTAAAGCAAGCTGTAAAGCTGGACTTTCCAATCTCAGGGGAAAAAAGAGTAAATGGGAAAAAAGCCACAGTGAGCCAAAAACAGGTTCCAATCATGGTGGGAGGGCAGCAAGTCAGTGTCAGCTGCCCCAAAGTGCTTTATAGAGTGCATGTGGGGCATCTGACACTGACAGTGCTTAGGCATCCTTGGCAAGAGCAACAAAAGGTGTGTAGCAACCCATGATAAAATTGTGACATGTGAACCCAGTCACTGCTTTTGTGTCAATTAGCCAACATCACCTGAAATTACACCTCTATCTTGTGAAAATGAGGCCACAAATACATCTGCTGTAATATACTATTCCATAGGATTTTTGTGATTGAGGGTAATGAAGTTTCTAAGACTAGCTGAACTGACCTAATGTCAAAGAGAGAGAGTTAAGTTAAACTGGGTTTAGGTGGCACAGGCCTAAACTCCAATGCTCCTAGAAAGGGCAGGGCCAACATTACGTGTTTAGGCCAGAGTTCTCCAACCTGGTACACTCAAAATACGAATGCAACTCCCATATTTCCTAATTCAACACATCCGGAGTGCACCAGGTTGGGAAAGCCTGGCCTTAGTAACATTGAAGCCTATGAGAAAAGGAGTATGAATGCTCTCAATGTTGCATGATCCCCAGCGACGGTCTTCTGACCGAATTGTAAGAAGCTATGTCCTCCACTACTGTAAGTGATTAAGGGATGACAGCTACCATGCCTGTTTCCCAAATTCCCAAGCAAAATCTCTCCAATGGATCAGGCTGCTGGAAAAACGTGTACTCTCTAGTACAGATAAAGAAACTGGCTGTTGCACTTCGGGAATTCAACTGCCTCTCCACGACTCAGTGCCAAAAATATAACAATTATTTACAGTATATAAACAGTTAACATAAGCTACTATTTCTCAGTATTTTTTAAATAAGCAAACATATCAGGAATTTTTTATACTTTGGCTTACAATACCTGACTCGGAGACTTGATTTAGTCAATTCTGAACGCTCAATTTCTGCCTTTTTCATATTAAATATTTTTTTAATTGCATTTGCATCCTGTTAATGCAAATAAAATAATGAATTGAAAATGCATTTGATTATTTTTTAAAAGCTAAAGCTGAAGTAATCAGTATTATTTTGCAAATACACATTTAGCAAAATCATTAATATATAAAGAGAAGAAAACGCATAATATCATGCTATAGCAAATACAGAGCAAAACCTAATATAGTTACAGAAATTGTTCCACAGTATTATAAATATGAACTCTTTCCGCATAAATTGATTCTCATTAGTGTTCCCTTTTTGAACCTACACACAATGTTACTTAAAGACATTATGGCAATGTCCCATTATATGAAATAATGATGATGCCATTAATAAATTGATCATTTCTAAATCAAGCAACCAACTGATGTAGATTATTCAAATACACATACAGGTACAGTTTGACCAATGATATATGGAATTTAGAATAACTGGGCATCTAGGGTGGCTGTAGCCCCACTATCTGTTTTAACTGCTCCAATGTTAAAACTTTCCATCTGTGTCTTGTTTAACGTTCTGTGGGAGCCACGGAAAGAATCTAAGAACAAATGCTGGGTTAGGATAGGCTAGAGATATCCTTCCACAGCTGGAGTTCCCATAGCAGGCATGGCACCTTGGAGGCTCGATTCTGTCTGTGGAATGCTCTGGGCAGACATATGAAGTATGACCAAATATATAAAGCAGTGAACCATCCAATCCAAGTGAATCAAAAGCATGTTAACTGAGCTCTCAAATTAATTTCAAGAGAAGGTAACAGCAATTTCTCCAGTAACCTCAGGAATGGTGGCTAAATATGAAGATACATAAAAATTATCATCTCTGCCAGTAAAGGCAATTTATAAATCTCATGAACTACAAGGACAACAAGGTTGCAATGAAGATACTATTTTTATAGTTATTATTTACTCCAGGCCATTAATACTTAATGTAAAAGTCATAATGAACTTATTTAAATAAAGAAAAAAACTTTTAACTAACCTTGAATACTTGAGATCCAGGTTCATTGTATGTTTTGGCATTTTTAACTAAGAGATCAATATCCTTAGCCATTGCATGAATACTTTTATAATAGCCATTCTATAAGCAAAACAGATAAAATAAAAACTGAATGTTTGTTCTCATAGGTGTGTATTAATTTTTGTAGCAAACTTTTATGCTCAAGCATAAAGACTGTGAATAACACAAATCTAATCATAAACTTAAGTGTAATGCATGAAGTTAAAGTCTCATGATATAAATTAAAAGGATAAACTGAGAAAAATTGTGCAAAATATTTATACAAAACTCAACTTCACAGAACATTTGGGAAAAAGGGGGAAATTACTACAGATTTCCAAATGTACTGTCTATAAGAATACTATAACATAATAGTAGAAAACTGTTGATCTGTAGGCCAAATTTGGCCAACAGATGGGTCCCAAGCAGCCCACTTCTCAATTATTCCCTGTCATTAAAAAGGATAAAAGGAGCTCTTCTGCCTTAGCTCCACCACCATGTGACTGGAGGACAGACCACTGGGAATGCCCAACCTGAGCCACTTGTATTGCCTGGACATTCACTCTCACCCTTTCCATCCCAAACATGGAGTATGCTATTACGGGCTTTCCGTCTGAGCCACTTAGGATTTCAAATACTGGTATCAAGAGACACCACCATAAGTTCTTGTAAGTAAATTCCAAATGAATATATATTTTCAGTCAATGAAGACTCAATCCACACATTTAGACTCCATCTCACATCTTTAAATGCAGTCTGCCATTTCTCCATTAGCAAAGCAACATGAGTGGGAGAAAAAAAATGAAGCAACAAGGAGGGAGACACGGTTGAGTGACTGAAACAGCAAACAGGACCATTCCTCACTGCAGTGTTTTGTTGGAGGTCCAAGCTTGTGATAGTTCTAGGTTGCATTGGAACAAGAAATTGTAGGTTAAACTTAGCTATCCTAATTAGCACGCCAGAATTAAACCAGTTTCCGAGGAAGTCCAGATGCCATGGAACACAATGATTTAAATGAAACCTGACAGAAATGCCAAAGCCAGCACACCTTGGGGAAGGAAAACAGAGAGAAGCACACAGGCACAAGTCTCACTCTCAACTGAAATAAGCCACAGTTCATTTAGCCCAGACTGCTAAGTCTATAGCTACCCATCTCCAACAATAACCACCCCAGATACAGATCAACAATTTCAAACAAATCTACACAAGCATGTGTAAAGGGACATGCTGCAGTGCTACCATTCATGTAAACAGACATTGGCCACTTGATAAGCACGGGATTGTTTTGGTCACATCTCCATCAATATTTAGTTTTTAAATCACTAAAGCAGTTTTAAACAGACTGTATTCAAGATCCATAGATATATTCAAGTTGTATTCAAAGTGATATTCCCCCAAATCTTATACACCACCTGTATCCGCTGGGCAATAGTCTTCAGATCTATGGGCTCTTTAATTATTGCATAATAGTCAGGATATTGCTGAAAGACAAAGATAACATGTCCAAGTGAATCCATCTGAAATAAGTGTAATGATGTGTTATTAACTTTCCTATTACTGGTTGCAAAAGAAGTTTTCCAACTAAGGCTGCTTCCTAAAGACATTTACTAAAAAGCATACCCAGCTGAACTTAGTGGAAAGTACTTTGGGGAAACAAGATGTCCACTGTAAAAGAGCCTTGTTCTTGAACATAGAGTAGGCACACAATGGCTGGATTCACACACTACAACAACCCACTTCCAAAGTTGAGTATGTCTGTGCTTGAAGGAGATGGCTACCCTTCGTATGTAGTAAGTCATAGTGGGTTGCTATGTCACGCATGTTAGGACTGCATCACGCAGGATGGCTTGCTTGTATACAACCAATCATTCTGCTAACCCAGACACCTTCTGTAGGAGTTGTACTCACAATGGGTCACTCATAATGGGTTGCTGTCCTCTCTGAACCCTGATATCTAACCACACTGTAGATACAGGAAAGCAGTGAGCAGGTCGCTTGGCAAGCGCAGCAAAAACATTCCTTGGCACACTTGCCTGGGCCACCATCAGTGACTGCCTCACTTAATGCCAAAGTGACATGGCTAAGCAACTAACCATGCAAATGCTCCTCATAACGATCATGAGCATTTTTGTACATGTTGTTACATTTTCCCCTTCCCCTCCTTTTAACCTGGAGATTGATTTTCACAATCTCTGAGGTAACCGCCAGAGACACACCCTCTGAAGTGCACAAGCGGCACACTGGATGGCTGCTACTGGATCTACTACTTTTTAAGTACAAGACATTTTCATTAATATGGAGGGGTTATGTGAGGGTTAAACTACCCTCACATAACCGAGAACAGACCGTTCCAGGGCAGAATGCCTGCCACCCTGGTTCACATGGCATAATAACCCACAGTCAGGGTCTGAACATTCAGGATGTCACCTGTGAATGTTTTGGCTTATGTATGGGTTCTCTGCATGGGTTGATAGTGATTAACACATGATGATTTGTTAGCAAGGATGGATTTACAGAACAGAACACTTCACACTCAACTCTGAATATGGGTTGTTGTCCTGTTGTGTGAACCCAATCACCTTGTACTACATGAGTAGGTAACAGTTACCAGACAGCATGCAAGATCTAAAAACAAACTAGGTATTTACATATGCTTTTTAATTCCAGTTCTCCGAACCTTTACCCAGAAATCCTAATGCAACTGCCTTGCAAGTTATCATACAGCCCTTGTACAACAATGATTTATTCCACTGCTATTATGAGTGGTCTTTCACTCTGACGATGTTCACTTAGCACACTTTACATGCAACTTTAAAAAAAGGTGTTTTACTCTAAAGCAAGGACAATCAAGCTGTTACCTTCCTGATGTTTTGAACTACAACTCCTATAAATCCCAGCCATCAAAGCCTATGGTCATATTGTGAGATGTAGTCCCAGATCAACATTCTAGCTGGGAGCTAAGGAACTTTTTATCCATCTGCCCTACTGCAGCCTCAACTGGGGTTCCAACACATACAATACATACAGCCACAAAATGATGGAGGTGTTGATGGATTAATCCATTTGGCAATATGGATTGCAGTTGTAATGGTTCTGAAATGGAATGCACTGGAAGTGGAAGGTTAAAGGCCTCCTAACACTTCTCCCACTAAAATCCTGATTTGGATTGAAATTGCTGCACTTACTTTAGAGTAAAAGGAGGGATGCTATGTGACTGGTAGCTACATCTTTAAAATAATATGTGCTCTGCATCATAGACTTTCTTTACAACTAGTATTGCTAATCAGCTATGTAAGCCTCATAGACTTGATTGTGTATTAAAGAATTTCTGCTGTGCAACATTTCAACGGGATATTTCTGAGGAAAACCATTTGTTCAAACTCAAAGGTTAAAATTGCTACTCACCACTTTAGAGGGAAGCTTCTGAAAAAGCTCACTAATGAGGTGGCCTGTTGGGTTTGTGGCTACAGCTACTGCTTCAAGAAGCTGTTCAAGAATTTCTTTTAAATAACCTGGAGAAGACTGGCACAAAGATTATAATGTCAAGTGATTTTACGAAGTGAGGAAAAACAGTAACTAATCTGCTGTTACCTAGTTTGCTGGGAAGAATATAGAGAAAACAATATACCATTATAACATGGCAGTAAGTTTTGCAAATAGCCACCCTGGAAATGCCTGATCAGCCTTTGAAGAGTGGTACAACTTACAATTTAAAAAAATCCATCAGTTGCTTAACTACGACAAAACAATGTGTACCCTTAGCAAGACTCTACTTTTATACTTTGTCCACTTTGAAAGAATCTGAAAACAGGTTCCTACCTCAAGGAGCTTACAATTTTAAAAAATGCCACAGGTGAGATAACAGAAGAAAAGCAAGCAGCAACACAGCAAACAGGGAAAGAATCTGGGATTACTTGAATGACACCTTGAATTAGTCTTGCTCACATCTAGCAACAATTGTGACCATGGGCTGAGTATAGATAGAGCATAAGTTGACTTGTGGGTTGCAATTACATTTGAAGGCTGTGCTATGATTTAACTATTGCTTCTTAAATATGAACAAGCCAGAGTTCACAATCCAGCAACTAACTATGGGTTCTCCTTCTGGGTGTTTCATGGTTAAGAACCTATAGTTAAACCATGGTCACATGTAAAGACAACCTAAAATTCAACAACGGTCCAGAGGTGACACATACAAACAAGTCCATTATTGGGTTTGGTTACAGGTTGAGCTACAAGTAGGTTCTTGAAATGTTTACAAATAATTGACGAAGTTTACACTTACTATTTCAGAAATTGTCCCTTGATTGTCATGGCCCTCGTCGTCGTCATCATCATCCTCAGCATCTCCCTTCTGAACAAACTCATTTTTTGTGCGTATATATAAATCCCACAGTTTGCAGGCAGCCTTATATTCAGGAGAGTCTGGCTGTGTAAAAGAGTCAATCATTTTTATCATCTAACCACTTGGAAATAAAACTGAAGTAACTAGTTTCACTAGTTATAAAAGGACAATTCAATAAAGTTACAATGCAGGTGAATATTGAAGACAGTATATAAAGCAATTGTTCTCTGTAAGAATACAACAATAAGCTTTAAAGAGCTGGCACGGCTACAGACAATGTTGATGGGTGGGATCCTCCCTGTTTTTGTTAATGCAGTTAATTCATACACAATCCACTGACAGAATATGCAAATGATGTCTTAACACAAAAGATTTTGTCACCTTATAATAGGATTTTGCATTATTAAATAGCAGCTGGAAGTCAGCAGTTAGCACATTCACGTCATCATATTCCTCCATTTTTAGCTTCTGTTGGATTTTCATTAAATCAATTGGCTGAGAAACCACTTCATAGTAATCTGGCTGATTTCTGTTGCAATAAGATAAAAAGGCAACAAATGTAAGGAAAACTCATATTACCTAAAAATATGCAAAATTGTATATACCAAAACTTGCAAGTTTATCGACTTTCACAAAAATATGGTCACAGGAATCTACATTTTAACGTAACAGATTCTGGAGAATAATATTTTTCCTGTGGGCTGTACCCAATCGTGGTGTTTCCTGAGAAAGGAAACTGTGACATGGCAATTACCACAACCTCCACAGGCTCCCCAAATATCCTCGAAATCTTCTCTGGAGCACTGGGAAACCCTCCAGAGCAGATTTCTAGAGGACTGCAGAGTGAAGGAGAAAGGGCAAAAAAGTCTACCAATGAAATATTGCCATTTTTCTTATGGCTCAACCCTTAAGAAAATACTGTAATTTCAGGTAAAAAAAATGTAAATTCTTTGATATGGAAAGTCTGAAATACATAACACAAAGATTCATGTATTCTCCCATATCATTTGCTAATATAATAAATGCCTGCATATTAAAAACATTTCAAACTTTGAAAAGAGTGATTATTTCAAAATGACATTAACCCAGTTCTCACATAAGGACAGTAACTGTGGGCTCATTAAACTGTGGGCTCATTAAATTATGGCTGTGTGCTGCCACCATTCTAAATCTGTACCCTCCTGCCAGAGGTTATTCCATGATGAACCTGGATGCTATGGGTCTGTTCACGCATAACAATCGATTGGTTTAAAAACCAACATATTGTCATATACCAGTGGGAGCACCCCACAAGCTCCTGAACAGCCCAACAATTTGGGTTCGCACATAATGTTCTACAACCTACAAAGAAAGCTGATCGTGAGCTCTGCAGTAAATGTGGAAAAAGAGAGCATAGCGTGCTGGAGACAGAGCAGTGTATATCTCTAATAGTTTGTCAATACACATGAATTAGGTTAATGTGTCAATCATGAGTTAAACAACCCAAAGTTAAACTATAATTAGTTGTTACACTGACTGTGAGCACAATGCATCCATAGTATCTGAATTCACAAGTCATGGAACTACTTCTAATTGGACAAAATGAAAGTGACCTGCGCAGTGAAAAATTGTGGGTTAATTAACCTATGATTTAAGGCCATTGGATAGTATGAAAATGCTTGAATAAATAGAATTCCTTGGCCGCCTCCATATGCATAAGGGACAGCGCGCGCGTGTGTGTGTGTGCGCGCGTGCGTGCGTGTGCGTGTGTGTATAAATTTATTTATTTATTTAAAACTTTTGTATGCTGTCCCTTATGCATAGCATCTCAGGACAGCTTACAATTCTCAGGATGGCTTACAATGTTGTGGCTCCAAATCTTTCCCTTAAGGCGGAGAGACTCAGAAAAGGTCTGGAATGAAAATTAGGGAACTGCAGTGGGAGGCTGGAGGTAGTAATGTGAAGATGTGTTGGCCCCTTCCAGTTCTACTAGTCTGATTCTATGAATCCTGCTCTCTTGCACTTGCCAGACTTCTTCCCTGCCCTTGGCCCTGGCCTAGTTCGTATCAAGTACACAAATGCTAGGGAACACTACTGGGCCCCTTCTTTGCACTGAAAGTGTGTGCAGGCACATTATACAGGGTCAGAGATGGGGATGGGGCACCCCTTCTCTGGGCAGCAACCTCTGCTCTGCTTCAGGAATTATGCCCTGCCCCCCTGCCCGTCCACTTTCGCCTCTGCACAGCGAGCGAGATTTTGCATAAAACCTGCAAAAGATATGCACACAATTAAACCAGCTTGTGCAGCATGTGTATCCCATACACAAAGCCTGCAAGTCATGTGCATGCGAGTAGACATGCTTGTGCAGGCGGTGCGCGGGCGGCATGTGTGCAAGCTGGGCTCGCCTGCTCTATGTGCACAAGTGTTGGACTTGCTTCCTGCCAGATGCTCACGTGATCACTTGGTGTGTGTAGGACTTAAAGCAGAAGGAAAGCATCTGGGGGAGCGTCTGGAGAGCGGTGCTGAGAAAACCTGAAAGATTCCCATCTCCAAAACAGAGTATTCACACTGGTTGGGATAGCCAACTTCCCTTTTAAGGGCACCCTTGCATTGCATCAAATACATCACAGCTCATGGGCTATGGCTTATGATGCTACCTATATGGAGGCAGTGTATAAATATAATAAATAAATAAATCACATTAATCACAGCAATAGCAACCTTCTTGTCACTTTCACATCAATTTTACACTTACCTTCGCTTGGGGGCCCTTATGAAAAGCTCGCACAGGAGCCTCCCTTGTTCATCCTTGTAATCTCTGATTGTATTGTATAATTCATGGCATACGGCAATCTAAAAGCAAAACCAACAGAAATTTACTACTCAATTATTTATTTGATTTACCATTTAGATTTATATACAAAAGTATAAAAGCAATGAACGTAAAATAGAGGCATGAGAACAATCATAGAACAATAAAAACAGTGCAATTAATTTAATCAGCAATTAAAAATACATACTGTACTGTGTGCTACAAAACAATAGTTGGCTGAGTCACACTGCAGGGAAAGCTTCTGTAAAGAAATGAGGTCTAAGAAGTCGCCTGAAGAGCAGAACTGTGGGGACTGTCTGATATCAACTGGTAAAATGTGCCAGGGGGTGGGTGCTGCAGCACGTGAGCACATGGCACCCTCAGAAACACTTCCTTTAGTGAATGCAGAGATCGGGAAGGGACGTAAAGAGGGAGACAATCTTTGTCTATGCAGTTGAAGTAACAGTACCATACTGTAATTATGGTAATATTCCTGGGTATAAAGGCTTTATACCATGGGTCCTCAAACTACGGCCTGCCATGTCCATTTATCCAGCCCGCCTCAGAGGTTTTGGACTTGCCGTGTGCCCAGGCGTGCACGGGCGCAGGGCGAGGCGGTGGCTTGCTCGCTAGATCGTTTTGAACTCGCTCTGAGAAAACAATCTCCACGCAAGCAAGCCGGCGCCTCGCCCCACATGCCCCCCCGCCTCATTGCGTGCACCCGCTGCCCCTGCCTCGCAGTGTGTGCGCGTGTGCCCCACCCCTGCCACCTCACCAGTCCTCATCCCCCCACCAGCACAGCCTTGGCGGCCCGCGCCCACCGCCAGCACCTTTCAACTGGCCCCCTGTTGAAAAAGTTTGAGGACCCCTGCTTTATACCATGGGTCCTCAAACTATGGCCCGTGGGCCACATCCGGCCTGCCATGCCCATTTATCTGGCCCGCCACAGAGATTTTGGACTCGCCGCATGCGCGTCCACCACCAGCGTGGCCTGCCTCGCCCCGCGCGCCCCCGCCACTGCCTCCCCGCACGTGCAGGGAGGCGGCGGGTTGCTTGCACGGAGATTGCTTTGGACTCACTCAGAGAAAATGATTTCCGAGCGAGCAAGCCTCTGCCTCGTGCGCCCAGCACTGCCTTGCCACGTGCGCCCACCCCTGCCTTGCCTTGTGTGACCCCCCCACTCCCGCCTCACTGCCTTGCTGACCCATGCCCACCACCAGCACCTTTCAACTGGCCCCCTGCTGAAAAAGTTTGAGGACCCCTGCTTTATACAATGCCTTTTTTTCTCAGCGCTCAACATGTTTCACACACATTCTTAGCATCCTCACAACAGTCCTCTGTGGAATAGAAGCATTACACTCCTCATATTACAAATAAGATAAGGATTTATCTTTCAGGCTATCTATTAAGGCTACCTGGTGAATTCATACCTGAACTGATATTTCAACTAAGGATTTCCTGGCTTATAGCACACACCCTTACCCACCTCACTATTCTAGCTTTCAGTAATGATTGTGTTGACAAAAATCCATGAAACCCTGTCAAGACTAGAGAGCAGAAATGGATAGTTAAATCATAGCCTTTTTCTCCATGAATTTGATGACATTCAGAATAAAAATCAGTGAAGTTATTTTTTTAATCCATAGACATTTTATCTCACCAATAATTATTTCAGCTTACATGTAAACATAGCATCTTTGTGAAAGGAAGATCCAAGCAAGAGCATGTCATGCACTCCTTGAAACATACATTAGCTCCAGCAAAACGCCCAAACCAACTTTGCCCCTTTGGACTGTTTCTTGTGTTTCTTGATGCTAAATGAGGTACTCTAAAGCCACATTTCTTTGTGCGATTCAAGCTTTGGAAATTCAGACATTCTGTCACTAAAGATAATCTCCATTTTATTTTAGTTTCACTAAATGTTAATCAGAAAATAACAAGGGAGTGCAGTCAAGTGACTTATTCATCTTTTGTCAGGGGCTTTCCAATCACTGTGCTTTTGGGGAGGGCCCTGAGTTACACAGAACTGTGGGTTTACTTTCCCATTTCTCACTTGCTTACTTGTCCTGTAGCAAGCAAGGAAAGTAGGAAGTCAGTACTGTGTTGGAGATGAGGTGACCAAATACTCATCGTTCATGATTTCAAAATCCTTTTCTCTCCCTTTCTCAGTCACATAAAAGCGTACTGCTTAAAAATACTTACAGGGTCCACTGTCGGGAGGTTGGAAAGTCTTCGCCTCTTTCGACTTGGGCCTGGTGTATTTGTGGCATGGTGGCCATCATCAAAATCTCCCCCGCTGGCACTGCTGGAAGGAGAGGTAGCCCTTCGCCGCTTGGAGCCCATGGAATCCAACTTCTTCTATAATAAAGAAAAATGCTCTTAAACATGAGGCTTTCTATCCAAGAGCTCAGAGGATGACAAAATATTAAACCTGGAGTTTTTCTGAATTCTGTGTTGCTGGAATAATTCACAGCAGAACTGAGTAACTTATGGACCTCCAGACGCTTTGGCCTACAATTCTCATGATCCCTTACCATTGGATATGCTGGCTAGGACCAATGGAAGTTGTGGTCTAAAACATCTGGAGGGCCACAACTTGCCCACCCACTTTACAGGAATGTTTTGATAGTACACCACTAAAATTTTGCCCAACATTCTGTACACTCACTGATAAAGCAATCTGTATTAGTGGTTTCTTTAAATCCTAAACTATCACTTTGCTATCCAAGCACATGGATGAGAAAAACACAACAATGAACGAATACTACAATTCAGAGAAATATGTGAGTTCCAATCCTGATGTACTTATTGTGTTCCTATGTCTATTTTTAAAAAATCTTATAAAACATAGCTGTTATACTTAGATAGCAACATAGGTAATTTTTAATCTATTTCACTTACATTTTATTTAAAGTTTGTTCACAGTTCAGACAAAGCTATAAAGTCAATTATAGTTTTTGTCATGCCTCAAGCACCTGGGAAGGATAAAGGTAAGCACAGAGCAGTACTTAATTCAAATATTAAATAAAATATTTGGCATTGTCCAAACTGATACACAATGCCATTACAAAAAGGCCTTTTTTCCTTTGTCAGTGATCCAATTAAAATCAATTATAACTGAAAGATAACCACCTAATTAAAATGCTCCAAGAAAAAGTTGATAAGCCTATACAATTTCAATTTTTGGTGTAAGGACTGTATTTCTAGACTACCATATGCACAAAGTATGAGTGACTCACACAGAAGCGGCCCTAGTACACTTCTGTTCCGGACATTTTTTAAAGTTTCTGCTTGGGGTATATTTCAGTCTCTCAAGCATTTGATGACCTATTTCTGAAAGCCCAGGAAGCAAAAATGGGGCAGAAGAACATGGGGTGGGGCTGTTAAAAATGACAATACATGAATGGAAGACTGTGCAGCCTAAAGAACAACAACTTGTGCAAACATTGTAAATATTTAACTTAATTAAAATTACTGTTTGGGAACAATGTTTTCTGGCAAACAATGAGTGGTACCAAATTAACTGTTCCACCAACAGAACTGCTTACTGTTTCTGTCTGTAAAATGGGGAAGAGGGCCATTTGTCTACACCTTGCTGATCCCTGCATATTGCCATTGCCTGCTGCAGAGGTGTAAGAGATGCTCCACAGCAGATACAGCAGAGGGATGCAGGCAAGAAGAGAGAGGAAAGTCCTTCCAATCATGCAATGCTTTACTTCACTCCACTGTTTCTGGAAAACTATCTCAAGACTTGAGAAAGATTACCACATTTTTCCGTCTATAAGACGTCCCCATGTATAGGGCGCCCCCCACTTTTCCTACCCATCTCCAGTGAGGAAGCTGCTGCTGTGCTTCGCCACCCTTCCGCTCATGTACGCCATTTTGCTGCCCCCCATGGCGCCTCACCGCCCCCCACCCACCAGTCCCCCCCCAGCATGCCTGCAGCCCCCCATGTATAAGACGCACCTTCATTTTTAAGTAAATGTTTTAAAGAAAAAGTAGTGTCTTATGCACGGAAAAATACGGTAACAACGCTCAAGCTTTTCATTACTCTAGCTAATAACCTGGTTGTATTACATATTACACCAGCCACATAAATGTTTCTAGAAATAGTAGCAACCTGGTAAGTCTTTTTCATACTTCCAAGTACTGTGTTTGCTTACCAGATACAGAGAAAAATAAGCCATGTAGGTTTTCCATTCTAGCACACACTTGTTGTGAAGCATCTATTACCATAATTATTCTTAATAGATATGTATTGTCATAATGTCAAAACCTGGTAAGGATGGGTGGATTGGAAACCATCTTGAAACTAGTGGCTTGTTCTATGGTTGATGGGTGGTTATACACTATCCCAGCCACCTACCCTTGCCAGATTCAAATGCCACAACAGATGCCTGAGGAGAATAATCATACCAATTAGCTGGTTTCCGACCAACATGCACAAGCAGGGCAAATAAGGCACCATTGCTTTGTGACTGTATAAACCCACCTGTAACAGAATCACATTGGAAGTTTCCCAGGTCTACCAGAGGTGCCAAATTATATAGACTTGGGATGGAGAATTTGCATGCGAGAATGTTATCTCACACAGAAAGTACTCTCAAATGTTACTGCAGAAAGGAATTCAAAAGAGGAAGCTCAAAAATAACATAACTGATCTCTGAAGTCTAACTCACCCATTACTGCACTTCCAGAGAAAGTGAGTTACTTTTAAGAGTTCCTTTCAAATCAAGGGAGTAGTATTTCATACTTCTGACTTCAACAGGGATTAAGAATGACTTTCTCTGGACTGGGACCATTGTCAGGAAAACATGTATTTTCCAATATAGGGGCATGCCACAAGAAGCCATGCTATAATGAGGATTTCCTGAAGAGTGTACAAGCTTTACACAACATGCATTTTAAAATAGACTATTGTGGTTTTATGATGAAAACAATGTCTGAAATGGCAATGTAAACTGACTTAAGTTTCTTCCAAATGCTAAAAAAAAATTCATAAGTTGGAGGCAAACATGAATCGCAAGTATGAAATTGCAGTTGAAACTGAAGGAACTACCTCCAAGAGTAAACAAGACAAAAACAGCTATTAAATAACGTGATTATCATAATCTGATGACACTGAAGTCATGCTGCATATGGAACTAATTGACCTGAGCTATTCAGAAAGGTTGAAGAACAGCATATAGGGCACTCACCCAATTCTGAAAGAGATGAACTTGCTACAGCAAACTTAAACCAATGACTCTACCTCTGCAACAGATATAGTACCTATTTGAGCCTCAGTAAAGTCCCAAACCTTACCTTAAATGCATGATCCAACAGGCATCCTAAAACTGTAATTCCACTGATAGCTTTCGCAATTTGCAAAGTAGTCACTAAACAAAAATAATGCGCAACTTATTTCTGATGTGGCATCTAACACTAAATGAACTGCATAACTACAATGTCACCCCATTTATCTTGTTCAGTTGACTATTTAAAAAAATCAATTTAGCATAGCTGTGTTAGAATGCCTGTGCTCCATATCTGAAGGTTAGATTAATTACACATTGTGAATGAGATAAATGAACAAGCATGATCTGTTATGCCATTATAAACCAAAAATGGCTGAGATGTATGGAAGAGAGGGACAAAACAGCACATACATTATCAGTAAATTACCAGATTTACCAGAGTACAACCAGCACCACGAAAAGCCAGTCTCCTCATTATGTCTTTACAGGCAAGTAAAGAAACTGAGAAAAGGCAAATCCTTAAAGCACCAATTCAGCAGTAGTATTAGTATAGCCTAAACTGAAAGAGAAGACAACAAAAGGAAAGAAAAACACAGAGGAAACAAAGGGAAGAACAGGTAAATCAAGGAATCAAGAAGAATGGTTAAGGAAAGATATACTGCAAAATAGTGAAAAAGCAAAAGCATATATCCTAGGTTATTGGCATTTCAGAAAAACCACCTTCTACATCATGTTTAAAACTCAGAACAAAAAGGGCATTCTTAGAATGTGTAAACAAAGGGTGCAATTCTACTCCTGTTTAACTCAGTGGCAAAGCTCTTGATTTTCCTAAGACAGAACTGCAACTATAATATTCACATAATATATAAGAAGAGTCATGATGGGTCAGATCAAAGGCCTATCCGATCTTGCTTGCACAGTGGTCAACATGATGCACAGAAGAAGACCACTACAGGACAGGAATACGGTAAGATCCTCCCACAGTAGCAGCAGCTAAACAGAGGCAAACCGTATCTGACAGCAGAGGTAAAATACAGCCATCAGGACTAGTTGCCATTGATAACCTTATCTCATTAATTTTTCTAATTTTCTTTTAAAGTCATCTGAGTTGGTGGCTATTACTACAAATCTGGCAGTAAATTCCAAAATATAACATGGTGCATGAAAAGTACTTCCTTTTATTCCTCCTTACTCTTCCACTGTTCAGCTTTGTTGGATGACCATGGGTTCTAGTATTGTGAAAGGAGAAAAACCTTTCCCTATCCACTTTCTCCAAACCATGCATAATTTGAGACAGCAAGAAAGAGCCGTAATACCACATAATTCACTGCCCATTTAGTAAAAGCAGTTCTCGGATCAGGATATTTTAAATATATCTTAAAATTATAAAGAATTATTATGAATACCCAACATATAATGACAAAAAGTTCGTAAGACTTCAAAAATAGCAAAGGCTAGTTACTGTCCACATTTACAAGGAATGTACATTTAAGTTTTATTACAAAATCAACACTCATACATATAAGAACTGAAAACTAACTATACACACATTCATATCTACTACTTAGCATCAATAGAGAAATACATAGCACACAGAGGAACAAGCCCTGCTGAAGAAAAATAAGCATGGTTTCTGCAAGGTGAAGTCTTGTCACACTAATCTATTGAAGTTCTTTGAGAGTGCCAATAAAAACACAGACAAGGGTGATCCAGCAGACACTGTTAACTGGACTTCCAAAAGACTTCTGACAAAGTCCCTCACCAAAGGCTCCTGAGCAAATTAAGCAGTCAGGGAGATTGGTCTTCTTATGGATCACTAACTGGGTAAAGTTACTCAGGTGCGCCTAGCACCGAGTTTGTATTCGTTTTGGCAGCAGGTTAATATCTTTTATTTAATTGCTATTTTAAAAATTAGTATTTTATCATTAACTGTCACTTTTTTGTTTTTATATAATTTTATGGAATTGTTATTGTTTTATTGGTTTTAATTGTATGTTTGTAAGCCGTCCTGAGATGCCAAGGCATGTGGTGACGGCATATAAAAGTTTTATATAAATAAATAATAATAAACAAAGAACAGAAGACAGGGTGGGAATAAATGGCAATTTCTTCCAGTGGAGAGATGTAACCAGTGAAGTTCCATGGGGCTCTGTGTTAGAACCAGTTCTGGTCAACCTATTCGTTAATGATCTGGAATTAGGAGTAAGTAGTGAAGTGACCATGCTTGCTAATGATACAAAACAATTTAGAATGATCAAAACAAAAAAGGGATTATAAGGATCTCCAAAGAGATCTCACCAAATTGGGTAAATGGGCATCTCTATCCTTGGATTAATTAGGAATGAACAGAAAATAGAACCACCACAATTGAACTTCCCTTATATCTTTGGAAAAATAAAGAAGAGCAATAACATTAAGGAGCTGGAGCAGCTCCGCTATGAGTGGTGGCTAAGAGAACTGGGATGGTTCAGTTTTAAAAAAGGCAAGTCAGGGGAGATATGATAGAGGTGTTTTAGCTAATGCATGGTGTGGAGAAAGTGGAAGGAGACTTTTTTTTTTACTTCTTCACACAGCGTATAGTTAAACGATGGACTTTGCTGCCACAGGAAGTGGTGAGAGCCACCAACCTGGTATGTTCTAAAAGAGGATTAGATTCATGAGAGAGGAGGGTACCTGTGGCTACTACCCTTGCTGGCTATGGGCTACCTCCTTTAGCAGAAATGGTATGCTTGCATACACCAGTAGCTGAGCAGCTTCAGTAGGTGCAAGTCTTGTACCCACCCTGCTTAAGCAATCTTGTAGGCAGATAGTTTACCATCATGTGCGCAGAGTGCTGGAACAGGTGGACCTTTGATCTGATCCAGCATGGCTTTTCTTATGTTCTTATTCTGAGAGCCACTGTAAATGCCTTTGAAGTAAGGGGTCATCTGTAAGTTGGTAACACCTACCTTTGTTTGTATTTTAACTTCAGACTGCCAGGCATGGCAATAGATTCACTAACATATCATTACTGACAGAGTGATGACAGTACACTGAAAACAAACCCAGACCTAGGGGGGTGGGGGGTATTAATGGTTGAAGATTCAAATGATCTGGACCTGGTGGAGAATATTATTCTCTAAAATTTCTGAGTATAACAGAAGTGGGGGCAAAGAGTTGTAACACTCATCAGAAAACTGACTACAGCATTCACTCAAATCCCTTAATACTTGCTATAGATCATTACATATTTCTACTAACTGAAAAATAACTATACTGTCACAACTTCCAAAAAATAAAGAAAACCCTGGCCAAAAGAAATTTGAAAACAGCATTTGGGCTCACAGGGGGTAAGCCACAAAGTTGATACTGGACTCTGTATTTTACCATAGCTATAATTATTTATTTCATAAGGAAAAGTGATCAGCAGTTCCATTCCTGATCTGTAATATTCTCTGTTTTTCAGATTTAAAAAAAAATGTATTTATCCACTCTAGAGCTGTTCCATACAAGTTGGAAACCTATAAATTTGTTTAAAAGATATCTGTTCTGTTTTTTGTTTTATCACTAAGTCAGGGAACATATGCGAATACCATCTGATAGTGGCTTCTTTAGGCCTCCAAGCTTTTACAATTTTTTTTTTATAACAGGCGTACAATACAGATAAATTTAACTGTAAGGCATGTTTTCCCAAGTAATGAGCAACATAACTTTCCTTATGTAGAAAAACAAACTTAACACTGAATATTCCAGAAACCGGTACTGTATGACTTTCTAAAATATAAGTTCTAAATCATCTTGTACTGCCTTTCTACATTTTTAATACAGCAAATGAGAAACAAAAACCAAAGTTGAGTCTACTCAAGATAGCACCACCAATTTTATTGCATTTGTTAAAGTATTTTGTGCTCAACTCTTTTCTCTTTCATTCATCCTCTTTCACCACTGCCTTGCCTACATAACCAACTCTCTCTGAAAGCTCAATATTCTGTTCATTCAAAAATGTAAATCAAGATCTTGAAGAAAACATTTAGAGGCTGCTGTAAATATTAACTTTATTCTTCTTGAAGGAAAGATTACAATGCGTGAATACGACTATGCTATATTCCTAACAAGAGGAGAGGCAGGCAGAGGGATGAGAAGCAGTCACTGCTTTTGACAAGCGCGGTTGCCCCGCTCTGTAGCACCTGTGAAAAGTTCAGCCCATTCCAACACTTGCAGCGTGAGCTGATCACTGGTTCTGAATTTCTAATATTCCCAAAATCGTGTTGAAGACGAACACAGCAAGGAAAAAGAAGAAAGCGAGAATAAATAACTGTACGGAAAGGGTTGGAATCATCCGCATTCAAGACAGATAGAAAAACGTGTGTGAACTGGCATGTGTAAACTCGAAGGAAAAAGAGGGTTAGTAGGTCAGGGGCAGTTCAGGCAATCCGAGGGCCAATCTCTTCTCCCTTGGGGCGAACGAAAGGTGGGGAGGAAAGCGAAGGCGGGTGAGAAAAGGAGAGGCGCAGACAAGCCATGCTCCGGGAGCCAAGGCTCCGAAGGGGGGAGTGAGGAAAAGGCGCTTGGCGAAGGGACGCGTCCAGCCGCCCCACAACAACCACACAAAGGGAACCCGCCGCGGCCTCCTGCCTTCCCTTTCCGCGAGTGCCGCTTGCCTGCCTAAGCCCGCCCCTTCGCCCTCGCCTTACCCAGCCGGCGCCGCCGCCGCTACTGCTAACCCTCCGCCTCCTGCAGCCGCGGCCGCGCTCGGCCCCCGCTGCCGCCGCCACGGCCCCCCGCGCTGTCGGCGTCGCCGCCACTGTTGCCGCTCAGCTTCGCTCCGCTCACTCGCTCGCTCGCTCGCTCACTCACTCACAGGCGAGCCCGCCGCTGTCGCAACGCCAGCCCCAGCCGCCAAGCGAGAGCGCGAGCGCGACAGCCCGAGCAGAAGGGAGGGGGCGCGCGCGCTTTACGACAGCGCTGCGGCTGGCTTTGCAGTTGCTCGCATTCCACGTGGAGCGTCGGAGCGAGGAGGAAGCGTCGGAGCGGCAGCCATGAAGCGGCCCAGTGCGTATAGAGACTGGGGGCTGGGGAGGCGGTGGGGATACAGGAACAGCTTTGGGCAGGCGGCTGTAGAGGTCGGCCACCGGTCAAGAGCTGCGGGCTGCAGCGTTCTGGGGGGAGAAGTTAAGTTAAGGACGCCGGCGTCTGGTCTTCTCGGGCAAGCAGCGCTGCCAGCCAGCCCGGCCAAGGCCTAAATTTGTCCCGAGGGGCTGTTCTTAGGCAAGAAGTAGCATGGGTCCCGAGAAGTCGGCTTTCTCTTCTGAAGGGAGATCTGTAGCACTCTGAGAGAACAGCCTTTATCTGGAAACTTAATTGCTAAGCAGTCTCCACGCAAGGGTTGGAGATCCGCCTGTGGGCCAAGCCTGGCTGTCCTGCTGAGGCAATGAATACGGGCCGTGAGCTTGCCAGGGCAGGCAAGGCTCGCGAGGATGCCCTTTGTTGCCGGCGTACTCTCGATGTTACATAACTGTGTTAAATAGCAGAAAGGGTAGCCTTCTTACCGTTTGATCTGCTCTATAAAACAGAGAGAGAGAGAATCACTTAATTGGCACTTAGTTCTGCCTTCCCGTCCATTTGCCAGTCTCTTATTTTTGGCTAGCCGATGGTTTTCCTAACTCTCCCAGTCTGAACATGCTTTTCTTGCCTCGTAATATCTCTCCTGATGCTAAACGTTGCTCACTTCGGAAGGATGGTTGAAATTCCCCAACCTGGGGTAGCGAATCGCCTAAGGCAGAATCATGCAAGAAGTGGTTACTCTATTTCAGCCTTTCTTCAGCCTGCTGCCCAAATGCATTGGACTGTAAGTCCTGCCATCCCCACCGACAGCTGCTGGGAGTTGTAGTCTATGTGGAGGGCACCAGGCTGGGGAAAATGGCTTTATTTCTACCAACTTCCTGTGGCTGGGCCCAGATTAGAATAGTGTTTCTTGTATTCTGTAGGCTGAATGGTTATTAAATCCTGCACAGACTCTGCTCTCATTTTTCTAAAAGCATGGCAGATGCTCTACTTACTGAAAATGGACTCATTAATCTCCAAAAATGGAGGCATTGGTTAACTCCTCACTTTTGGTGATGTTTCCGGTCAAGACTTGACCATCTATCAGCCCAACATCTTAACTGTTTTTAATTGCCAGGAGATACAGTGAACTGTGTGGAGGTTATATTTTGAATATCTAGGATTGATCTGCAAAACCTTCAACAGGATGGAGGCCTGCAGACTTTAAAAATACATTGGTATAAATGAAACAAAAAGTGGTCTGTAGCAATTGCACTAGTAGACACGTGCATGTTTTCTCATGCAATATTTTTTGCATATATAAAGCCATGAGCCTTATATTAGGAACACACTCATTTCCTTTTCATTAATAAACCATTCCTTTTGATATCATTAGAAAACATTTGCCTAGCTGCAGTAATCCATAGAGATTGGACCGATAACACAGTCACATTAACGGGGGCCATGAGGGAGTTTCCTGAAATGAGAAGAGCAACTGATTTGAGGCATGGCTTCTAGTCCCTGTAGTGAGGTCCGAGGCTGCAGGGTCTACTCATGTGGGCTGAGATAGCACAGTGCTAAAGTGGCTGCAGGCATGAGTAACTGCTTCTGAATGTTTCATCGATTAGGGTTTGTTTGTTGTTTTTTTAAGACCCACAAGTTCCTTGTGAATAGAGAAAAAACACACCAGCTAGTTCAGCTTTTTGCCTTCGATGCTAGTTTTCTGTTCAGAAGATTCTTGTAAATGTAGAGCAGACATTCCCAGCCTGGGCTGCCTGCACCCCCAGGGGGTGCAACCGAGAGAAAGGGTGCATTGTGATTCATTAAAATTGGTAAATCATGTCATCTTTCACCAAAAATTATCCCAATAATAATCTTACTTATTTTGTGTTTGGATTTAATTCTCTTGTCAATCAAAACAAAATCAAGGAATACTCTGAATTCACAGGCAGACTTGTAGATTGCAATCAGCGAGAGAGTTCCACATTTTGACAAAATCATGAATGAGAAGCAGGAACAAAGAAGTCATTGGATTTTACTTTCACAATTGGGATTGATTTTACTGTTTACAGTTTTTTCTAATGGCTCGATTTATATTTGAATTTTACACACTGAGTTAAAAGCTTATTTTTTGAGTTGGTTCACAGTACTGTATGTGGTTCAATTTGTGGTTTAAACTTTTGAAATTGGACTTCTTTATTTTCAAATGTAATATTTATTTTTATTTAAGTGTCATTTTAATTGTTAATATTATCTGCTTATTTTATCTGGCCAGGGCAACTTATTTTATATTGTTATATTGTTATTTTTTGTATTTTAATTGTATGTTGTGAGCCGCCCTGAGGCTTCGGCGAATGGAGCGGCATAGAAATGTTTTAATAAAATAAATAAATAAATAAATAAATAAATAAAATATTACTTTTGTAAGGCTGCAAACACAAACCAAACATTTCCTAGGAGTGTGGGGCATAGAAAAGGTTGGGAACCACTGCTGTAGAAGAACATTAAAACTGATTCTCTGCCTGTATCCTGCAGCAAAACAATTCATTCCCCAGCCTTTGTGTATTTTGCCTGTGTCGTTCAGGAAGAGACTAGGCTTCAGAAAGTGTTTACAGAAGAGTAGGTTGCAGTATGCAATTAATCTCTTAAGGCACAGATCTGGAGAAATTGAAGCTTGTGTATTTTTGTTTTTTAGAGCTGAAGAAGGCGAGTAAACGCATGAGCTGCCACAAACGTTATAAAATACAGAAAAAGGTAGGTGTTCGCTGCTGAGTTAATTATTACTTTTCTAAGGTGTGTATGTATGGGGAGGGGTGTTATTGGTGTGGAGGTAACTATGCCCGGGGTCTACGCTTAGGACAGCACTGTGCAAAGGGTTATAGCTTACGACTGCAGCTGTAGATTCTTCTGGTGGTTGATAGAAGCACATGTGGGGGAAGCTGGCTGCTCTCATAAGCGTGGGAAGGCAGGCTGGTTAATGGCATGATAGGAGCCAAGGCCTTGCCTTGGGGATTCTGCTTCCTCCCTGCCTTATCTTTCCTCCTTATGTTTTGATGTGTTGTTGTCTACAGTGGAGGGGCTCTAGTCTGCCAACATTGTTCTTATCTTTGCAAGTAACTAATGGTGTGGGGATAGCTATTTTGTGGAAATTGGGCTGGGTGATAGAAGATAAACTCCAGCTGGATTTTCCAGTTCTCTCCCTGCCCCTTGAGGACAGAAAAAGGAAAGGAAAGGAGGGGAGAAGAAAACAAAGAATGGCGTTCTGGGGAGAAGAAGGGGCATTTTTAGAAGATGCAATAGCTTTTTATTTTGTAGAAATGTAAATTTGATATTTTTCTATTTTATCATGGTGAATCGTATACAGTGTTTTGAAATTTTGGCATTTGCATTATTAGGGGCAAGATTATTGTTTCTCAATATTATACTGTCTGTTGTAGAC